TACCCCCTGGGGCCTTCCCTCCTTTGTCTCTTCGACTACCCCCTGGGGCCTTCCCTCCTTTGTCTCTTCGACTACCCCCTGGGGCCTTCCCTCCTCTGGCTCGACGCCGTACTTAGCCTCGACACCTGCATCACCGTGGTCGAATAGACGGTATAGAAGCTTCTGGACGAGAATGACTGCAGCGCCAGCAATGACGCATGACGCGGCAATAATGAGACCTCGTTGGTAGCGAGGGGCATCTAGCGGAGACAGCATGTTAGTGGATAGAGTTCCGAAAAGTATCTAAAATGGTCCTATGTGGATACAATAACCATTGAGTGGGTTTTGTTCGCTTACCTTGTTGTCGGAAGAGCTGTTGTCCTGCAAATCCTGCACATTGGATGCTCATCACATAGCCTGCTAGGGCTACGGGTCGCTTGTAGTCATGCATCTTGGACGCGAGCCATGCGGCGTTGAGTGCTTGAGCGGATCCCATACCTATTTCCATCTGTCAGCTTCTATTCCATTGCCGTTAATGCGATGTTGTATAGCTGAAACTGCTTACCGGCTTGTGTGACAACCACACCTCCATAAAGAACCCATCTCCCAACACTATTTGGTGCCAGTGCGAGCCAGAGAAGACCGACTCCACCCAAAAGGTAGCCTGCGGTGATATGGAATCCTCGCTCGCGAAATTTGTCACTGCTGTATGCCAGTGAAACGGACCAGACAAGACAGCAGACGCTGCCAACTGAATTGAGTCCATTGGCCTGCAGACCACTGAAGCCGAGAGACTTGATGATGGAGGGGGCATAGGTCTATCATGGTCAGTCAGGATCGAAAGTCTGGTACTCCAGGGATCCAAAAGGGAAAACTTACGTTCATCGGCGAGATCATCACCATAGAGAGGAAAGCACCGATCAGATGGCCGTATAGACGCCAGTCGCCAAAGGTTTCGAGGATATGTGATAGCAACACTGGCTTTCCCTGTCTTTGAGATTTGGTGGGGTCATTCCGAATGACACGAGTGATGAGCACCGACCCCTCGCGAGCTGTGAACATGTTATAAGACCTGCCGAAGAAAACCTTTGGTCGAGCGGCGCTGTGAGGGAGGTAGAAGTAGGCAACGACTGCGAGAAAGCAGGTCAAGACACCCTCTGTTCAAGAGTCAGTCAGTACATGTTGTTGTGCCACATCTCACGAGTCGACAGTTACCAATGAGGAACAGCCATTGCCATCCTGCAAGGCCGTGTTTACCACGAAGAGACAACAGGCCGATCGAGAGTGGACCACCGAGAGATCCTGCGATCGAGTTGGATGCCCAGAAGATGGCGTATCGAAGACCAAGTTCGCCGTTGGTGTAGAATTTGGAAATATACAGAGCCATACCGGGGACGTAACCACCCTCCAAAGCACCGATGAAGAAACGGGCAGCGACAAGACTCTGACCGTTCTTCATAAAGATTTGTCCCCAGGTTGCAATACCCCATAGGAACATGGTGATGGGCAAGAATCGCTCGGGGCCCATGACTTTGCTGATCATGTTGAACGGCAGTTCGGTGATGACGAAACCGACAATGAACATGGTTTGGGCAAGGTTGATATGGTAATTGGTAAGACCACCGAGGTCTTCGCGCAGGGTATCTGTGAGAGCATTGCCGACGTTGGTTCGATCGAATTGGAGGAAGCAGAAGAGTAGAACAATGAATGGGAGAATGATTAGATCCACCTTGAGTCTGGCCCTGCGCTCTTCCGAAGTGTCGTACTCAAGGTTCGCATCGTAGCCAACAACTTGGATGTTTTCATTAGAGATATATTCCGCGTCGGTACTGTCGGTGTTCCTGGATTGTGCTCCCGGCATCTTTTCGGAGAAGAACTTCATGTTTGATTGATATGGACGATTGTTGGGTAAAGTGAACTCCCAATTTTATTTGCCACGATTTGCGATTTGCGATTTGCGATTTGCGATTTGCGATTTGCGATTTGCGATTTGCGATTTGCGATTTGCTCCTGCTGGTGGATTGCTGTGCCATGTGTCGTGGCGGAAAGCAATCATATATAGATTTATCATGATCAGCATCTCGTTTAGGACTATTCACGAGGCACTGATTAATTGTATGCGACTTCAAAGATATCATGATAGTCGATATGGCGTGCTGTGTAATTCAAACTATGAAGATTCCTATCTATGCCTTGGCCACCCAAGGCTTTGCCAACTTCCCCGCGAAATCTTATCACCCAGCCGGGATCCGTCGGCATGCCGTAGGTAGACCGTGCGCAACCGTGGGATGTAGCGTGTTATCTGAGAAAACGATCCCGCGGCATACCCACGGCTTGTGATTAGCGCTGTATTGCACCATTTTGATTCGTTCTAAGTAGAGCCTGAGCATGGGCCCAGCGAGGACGGTCGAGTGGGCCCGACTTCAATGACATTTTCGTAGGGTTGGTTTGAAGGATATAGTCATGACATGTATCATCGGCAGGTTCCTCACTCATTGAAAGACCATCGGCAGGTTCCTCACTCATTGAAAGACCATCGCCAGGAAATTCAAACCCGTAAATCTCTTTTCAAGCCCAGAAATGGAACAAAACGCCCTTAAGAGGAGAGGTGTTGGTCTGACTGGGGTCGACAAGACTCGATCTTTTGGTGGCTACACCCTTTTCTGCCCATTGACATCGGATGTCGCCTATCTAGTCGATATCGATGGAAATCAAGTACACTCTTGGAAGCTGCCTGGAAGAGTCGGACGCCATGCCAGAATACTCCCCAACGGCAATTTGGCTGTCAACACACGCCAGCCCTCGCAACAAAAAACAGCAGATGGAGGTCCGTGGCCATTCCCGTTCTTCAACAAGTATGGTGGAGGTGTGATGAGTGAACTCGATCCAGAGGGCAAGGTTGTCCGTCAGTTTGTCGACCCGCTTGGTCATCATGATCAATACCACTATGGAGACGGTCGCCTTCTTTATACCAGTCTGGAAGCATTGTCTCCTGAGGACTCCGCGAAAGTCATTGGAGGAGTCCCAGGGACTGAGATTGATGGCATCACATATGCAGACACAATTCAGGAGGTGGACGCCCAAGGGAAATTGACCTGGCAATGGAAAGTCTCAGAGAGGTTGCCACGGGATGAATTTCCACTTCAGCCACATTATACTCGAGAGCACTATCCTCTGATCAACTCCGTCTTACCCTTGCGCGATGGCAAGCACATCCTGGCATCCATGCGATCAGTCTCGGCAGTTGTCATCATTGAGCGGTCAACGGGAAACATTGTATGGAAGCTTGATTCTTCAACTCTGGCCCAACAACATAACGCTACAGAACTGGACAATGGCAACATTCTCATATTCGATAACGGTGCCTTCCGTGAAGGCGAGTCAATCACATACACGAGAGCCATCGAGGTCGACCGTCAGACAAAAAAAATTGTTTGGGAATATCGGGATCGGTGCCAGATGGAAGCCTTCTTCACCCCTTTCATGGGCTCTGCGCAAAGGCTCGCAAACGGCAACACTCTGTTGTGTGAGAGTGCTTTCGGGCGTATTTTTGAGGTCACCAAAGAGGGATACACGTGTTGGGAGTATCTCAATCCACACTTTTCCCAATATCCTGACAAGGAGACGAGGAAGATCTGGTCCGGCGAGTCAAATGCCCTGTTCCGCGCATATCGATATTCACTTGAAGAGATCCCGTGGCTGAGGCAGCGCGTGCTGACGGAGGAGAAGAATAAAGAGAAGGAAGAGTCTGCACAGAAAAAGAAGACAGGAACGCTGTGGTCCATGTGTAGGACACAGTAATCGTTGGCAGGAAAGGATGGCGTAGCATTTAGGAGTTAGGAGTGTATGGGAAATATAGGTATCATCCAATTTTCGATTCCCCGTCAATGACTTCTGTCTTGACAATCTCGGAACCAACACCATCCTCAGAAGACTCGAGCCTCTTCTGCATGGAGCGTCTCTGTGCAATTTGAAGGCCCGCTGTCCAGATGGCCATGGCAATACTGACACCAATCATAGCCCACATACCTCTCTGACGATGTGTTAGGTTAGATGTCAGAATGACCAGGAATGAACTCACCGTGAATTTTGGAGCCATATCTGCAGAGTAGAAAACGATTGACCACCAGGCATTGACAGCATTACTTCCAAGATTCATACTGGCGATGACGATGGCACGTAACGAGTCTTCTTCGTACCTCAGAGCGTCGTTAGCCCAGGCAAAGAATGTCGCTTGACACGCGTAAACCGAGCCTGCCCAGTAGTATGCGGCAAAATGACTAGCAATCCCACTTGAAGGGGCGAGAATGATAGCGGAAGTGACAACTCCAGTGATTGCAATCCAGTATCCCACCAAATATCGCTTGCCGTGCAGGAAATCGGTCAACGTGGCCCAGAATAGAGTTGAGACAATACCAACAGCAGGGACGCCGGTAGGGTAGTTGTTTAGTTGATAGACTGAGTAACTGACATCTGGATTTGCTTTCATGTACAGTGCAAGAAGGCTGTTTGTGCTGAAGCTTTCTGTCTCGCCAGCAATGATCCACAGGACAACGAACCCATAAAATTGCCAGGACTTGAAAAGGCGCTTGACAAATCTTAGGGAGATGGGCTTCTGCTCTGGCACTTCTGGAACGCGAGACATGGCCAGGGCACGTTCCTCGGCGGATAGATACGGCGCAGAGGTGGTAGAGGGTGTGTCTGGAAACAGGAAGAAGCCGTAGACTGCCACTGGGAGGGTGATGATACCATCGATGATGAACAACCATTGCCAGCCTGTGTGTCCAGCCAGTCCATTCATGGATCGATAGATACCAGACTGAATGAATCCGCCAAACATGGTTCCAGCAAGTCCAGAGGCAGTGAAGATGCCACTTCGCTTCCCCAATTCTGTTTCGGTATACCAGGATCCCAGAATGTAGTGAGTTCCGATGAATGTACTTGACTCTGCGACTCCAACGAAGAATCTGATGACCATGATATGCTGAGGAGTCTTGGCCGCAGCGGTGACGATGGTCAGGGCAGCCCAACAAACAACCATGGAAGGGAAGAACAGTCTGGGTTTGATGTAGTACAGGGCGATGTTGCAGGGTATCATGCCACTAGCTCTTGTTAGACAGAATAGCGAATATTGGGAGAGGAGAGGAGAGGAACGTACACAATGTAACCACAGGTGAAGACGGTCGTTATCTGGGTCAATTGGTTACCTTGAAAGTCGAGATCTTCCTTCATGCCGGAGACATATGCCTGGGCCAGATTGCTCCGATCCAAGTAATTGAAGAAGTACATGACGCAGCAGAAAGACAGGATGAAAAAGTCGACTTTTCGAATCAATTTCCTTTCCGCAGGGCTTTTATCGGCCTTGAGATAGGCCCGAAATGATGTTGTTGGAGCCATAATGAAATGCACAGCAAAGAGTAGAGACGATCGAGCCCCAACATGAAAAGAAGTTAGGGTCCAGCAAACATGAGGCGTATTTGCTATAACACGTCAAAGATCTCGTGAGGTAATGTGGACGTTCAGTGGCCACACTGCCTGGTTAAGTACTAGATATGATCTTAGGGTCAGAGAGAGGGATGCGGAGAACGTCATATTCATGAATGATCGGCGCTGGGGATGGTCACGGGAAAAGCATATGCCGATCCTTGTGGTTGGATGATTCGCAGATGTCCGCTGAAAATGCGAGGTTGATGTAACTATACATCGTGGGAATACCCGACCAGATATGGATAGTGATAGTCGAAGTTCAGTCTTATCTCGCATGAACAGGCGAGGACAAAGAGCTTCCAAGGGTTCGAACCGAGCGTCTTACAGCATCACTACGTCGCGAGCATGGACGAGGTCGATGGTAGTGGCTGAAAGGGGGTATTAAGAAAAGGTTATAGCATCGCGACTCGGAGCCATTAGAGAGATCGAGGAGTGACCCGCAGTGACCACGACTCGGTGCTAAGACATCCACCCCACTCTTGGGTTGAGTGCTTGTCGGTCTTTGGTTACAAGGAGTATACTTATAGTGGGAGGGATTCGTTCGGCAATTGTTTTATCTTATCTTTCTGGTCATCATGCCACCTGCACGGAAAATTCCTAGCAAGATGAGAGGACTCAGGAGGAAAAGAGTAGCCTCGGGTCACATACCGATATACGCTCACGCAGACATTTAACAAGCCGGCATGTGGTCGCGGTATAGAGAGATATGAGTCTGCTGGTATGGATAACGGGAGGGACTCGGGAGACTAAAAGGCGATCACCCCAGACCCGTATTCGCCTCAAGGCAGGCGCAACCCAAAAAGTTGGAGTTGGAGTTTGGCAGGCACGACGTCACGACGTCATGTAAATTGGGTTCCCAAGAAGGACTAGCTTCCCCTCGGCAAAGCTTCCACTATTCTTGAATCATCGACGATTTGGATGCCGTTCATCATGACTGTTGAGTCTTGACTATTGGAATCACCTCAGGTCGCAGCCTGTTGATCATGACTGACAACTCCATCAGCCTGCTATGTCGTCGCTAGATGTTGTTGAGTGTCTAAACAAATCTTGATGCATACCTTTGATCCCATTGCCCATTGCACATCTGTCCTGACACCAAAGTAGGTATCATCATGGACAAGGGTCTGTATGGAATTAAACAGCCCTCCAAGACCAAAGCCAAAGAGATCTCTTCATCCACCTCACTTGCATTCTCGACCAGTCTAGCTTCACTAATCTCCAGTACCTCTTCGAAGAACAACGAAAAGTCTGTCCACGGTCGACCTCGGCCTTCCAAGACAAAGTCGGACATATTCACCGCCCATAATAAAAACGTCAAGAAGCGCTCCGCTGCTGATCTGGAAGATGGCGAGCAAAAGCACAAAACAAGAGACGATATCGGCTCGGTGGACGCCGCAGAACTTCACCGGTCCAAGAGGAAGATGGAGGATAAAGTCCGTATATACAATGCTATGAAGCGTGGCGAGTATATCGGTCGAGATGATTACGATGATCGCGGGCTAGTCGACTTTGACAGAAAATGGGCTCAAGGTCAGAACGGGGATCGAGAAGAACCCAGTGACATTTCAGACTCCGACGATCAACCTGACGAAGACGATGAAATAGTCGAGTATCTAGACGAGTTTGGACGATTGAGGAAAGGCACAAAGGCGCAGGCCGCTCGCGAAGAAAGGATCAAATCAATGCAAGACAACCTTAAAGCCGACCAAGAACGCTCATCAGCAAGACCATCAATGCCTTCGAATCTGATCTATGGCGACACCGTGCAACATTCTGCCTTCAATCCAGACCAGGTCATTGCAGATCGAATGGCCGAGATTGCCAAAAAGCGCGACAAGTCTGCCACCCCACCACCCGAGACTCATTACGATGCAAATGCAGAAATTCGAAACCGGGGAACTGGATTCTACACCTTTTCCAAAGATGCTGAGGAGCGCAAGAAGGAAATGGAGGCCTTGGAGAAGGAACGACAACAGACCGAAAACACCCGTAAAGAGAAACAAGATCAGAGGAATCAACGCAAAAAAGAAATCGAAGAGCGACGGAAATTGATTGCCGACCAGAGAGCTAAGGCCCAGGCGGATAAGTTCTTGAATGACTTTGACTTGGAAAACACATAATGATGGTGTGACGCGCAAGCAAGCAATTGAGGAGCCACACATATTTGTCACTCCTCCAAATTCCACAATAATGATGATGTGGAGAGATTTTGATTCATCCCTCGAAACTCCCGTGGCTAGTTTATCTCTCTAGTCTTTCAACCTCTTATGATAAACTTCCTAGATACCCAAGGAGCCAACGACTTGGCTAGAGCCATACATACAACGTAGATGCAGACTATTTGTTTTCTTTTCCCTTGACTGGAAATCCCATGACTTAATACACAGATCCTTGATGTGATTTGAAGTTCAATGTATTGGTATTTATTAAGCTGGTCATGTGTGGTTTTTTATTATTACCCAATCCTCTGCAATCATCCATCAATCCATCCTGCGATCCATCCCATGTGCCGTTTGTCCTATGACGGATCCACGTGTAAATTAACGAAGCAATCACCCATCCATCCCATATCTTTTCCCCCTTTTTTGTTTTCTCTACACCAAGAACGCAACTCCGGCCAAGAGGACAGCAGCAATGGCCGAGACACCAACACTTTGTCTCGACGCAGCACCGCTGAAGACATCTGGACCTGATCCACCAGAGGCAGGAACAGTAGAACTGCCAGTCGGGACAGCTGTCTTGGCTGGACCTTGAGGGCTGGGAGGTTCAGTTGCAGTGACCAGAGCAGGAGCAAAAGGCACGAGACCAACTTCCGGAACGGGAGGCGTGTCAGGTGCGGCGGTTGCTTCCGGTGGAGTGTCTGTGGTGATGAAGATGACTTGCGGGACGGTAACGGTCGCGGGGACAGGTTTGCCTTCCACGGTGTGTGTGTACGTGACGACAGTGACGGGACCGGTGGGTGCCGCGGTGACGGGAGGGCGAGGACCACGGCCAATACCGTTGGTGGCTGGCTCGGTGACTATAGCGGCGTCGTCGGTGAATGGAGGTGGTTGAGGGATCAGAGTGATGGTGGATGGAATGCCAGTGCAAATGCCAGGGTTTTGAGGAACGTAGTCGGCACAAATACCTGCAAGGTATGACAATGCAGCTGTGACTTCGTCATCTGAGCCAGACCAGGCGGAGACACATTCCTGGACCTTGACGATGAAGTCGGCCGAAGGGCAGAAACACTTCGAGTCGCTATTGGACTTGCAGCTGCTGACGAGGTCAAGCCAGGTGTTGAGGCAGCGAGGAAGAACTGGTGGGCAAGGAGATGATGGTGGCGGTGGTGGAGGGGGAGGGGGTACGACGCTGGACGTAGTCGTCGTAGTTGTGGTTGTGTCGGGTGGGGGCATGGTGAAGGAAGTGAAAGGGGTTGTAGTGGTGGTTGCCGGTGGCGGAGGAGGTTGTTCATCAGGCTTGCTGGTGGTAGTCATCGTCGTTGCCGGTGGCGGTGGGGGCTGTTCATCAGGCTTGCTGGTGGTAGTCATCGTCGTTGCCGGTGGTGGCGGTGGAACATCCTCCGTTGTGGTTGTCGTGGTCTTGATTGGGGGCGGGGGAGGCTGATCATCGTCCTTGGGAGGAGTGGTTGTGGTAGCTGGTGGTGGTGGAGGTTGCTCACCAGGCTTGCTGGTGGTCGTTGTCGTTGTCTCCGGTGGTGGGGGCTCCTTGCCAGGCTCAGTGGTGGTGGTAGTAGTGGTTGTCTCTGGAGGTGGAGGTTGCTCACCAGGCTTGCTGGTGGTCGTTGTCGTTGTCTCCGGTGGTGGGGGCTCCTTGCCAGGCTCAGTGGTGGTGGTAGTAGTGGTTGTCTCTGGAGGTGGAGGTTGCTCACCAGGCTTGCTAGTGGTAGTTGTAGTCTCCGGTGGTGGAGGCTCTTTACCAGGCTCAGTGGTAGTGGTGGTGGTGGTAGTCTCCGGTGGTGGGGGAGGTTGTTCATCAGGCTTGCTGGTAGTGGTGGTGGTAGTAGTAGTGATAACTGGCGGCGGAGGGACATCAACACCAGGAGTTGTGGTTGTGACCGGTGGTGGTGGCGGGAAGTCAATATCCTTGGTTGTCGTTGTCGTCGTCGTCGTCTCAGGTGGAGGGGGAACAAACTTTGTGGTTGTTGTTGTCACTGGGGTGGTTGTGGTAGTCAGAGGGGTCGTCGTTGTCGAAGTCGCACGTGTCGTTGTCGAGGTCTTGGTCTTGGAACGACAGTCAAACTTGATGGTATGAATACCGAAATCACAATCCTTCTTGTTGTTGCTTGGAGGGATCTGAAAAGTCACATCCTTTGCTCCACCACACTGAGTGTTCTTCACCGTTGAACCTGATTTCTTGCAGGGAGCAGTGTGCTTGCACTTGGACCCATCAGGCATGGAGAAAATAAAGTCCAGGTCGATATCAAATTCTACAGAGATATCAAACGAGTCGATGGAGAACTTGTCCCCAGACGAGATCTTGGGTCCACTAGGAGCAGACTTGCCCACCGTGCCTTGGATACACTTGGACTGATGGATGTGAGTGTTTCAACATTGATCCTCGAGATATGTATCGACTTACCTTGAAGTTCGTCCTGGCCTCGAGGCTCCGCTTCCGGTTCTTAGGCTGGAAGGAGTTCTTGCAATCAAAACCACCAAACTTCATGCCACCATAGTCACTGAAGCCTCCATTTGGCAACTTGTCCCAGTTGAAACCGTTGTTCTGGTCAACATTACACTTGTTGTCACTGTGGTCCGGGTTGGAGAAGACGGGTTGATCGCCCCAGCTCGTTGAGGCAGCCTGCTGCACGAACAGGGCGTATGTCAAGAGACCAGCAGTCAATGCTGGCTTCATGATGAGTGAGTTGATTGTCAAAACCAAAACACAAGGGGTATTGGAGAAGCTGCGACTAGCGAGTGAATGCTTCTGAACGAATGAAAAAACGAAAGACTGCTGCAAAAACAGGAACAAGGGAGATGGACAGAAAAGGTCTGGAGAAGGAGCAAAAGACAACGACTCAGACACCGGCTTGGAAGGGGATTTTGTAGATCACATCCTGCTCATGGAGCATGAAAGCTCTTCACCCACGGGCCACACCCACCTAGGTCTGCCGGAAGGCCATTATGAATATGGATATCAGCAACTTCGACTGAGGGCGGGACGCTTGAGGTTAGCGAGCCCCAAATTCAAGACATTCTGAAGAGCCTTGGGACCCAATGAGAAGCTCGGCTCGAAGATCAAGCTCTGGAGACTAACTGGAGTAGTCCTGTGGTGATCTCCAAACGACGGATTCGTCTGAGCGATCAGTCAGGCTTGGAGGTTGGGAGCCAGAAATAGCATACCAGCAACCCTAGAGAGAGGGTGTTGGAGCCTCAACTTGCCATGTCGAGTTCATCGACAACGACATTTGCCCAGAAAATGGACCAGTCATGAAGTCACACAAGTCGAGGGCGCACGGAGAAGATCGGATTGTGGGGAGAACGGGCCGCGACCCATGTTTCGGAAAGAATCAGGAGCTTGTGTCTTGTGCTGGAACGAGATACAATCGAGAATGGTGGCGGCGCCTGTCGAGGTTGGCGACAGTACAGAGTCTCTCTAGGAGATAATGCTCAACGAGGAGGCTGTGCTTTTCTCATCGAAATGCCATTCTTTCTGAATGAATGGAGAAAGGAGGTCCATATTAAGCGAGCATTGGCTCCTGGGCGCTTGCAGGGAAGATTGCAAGCGATCTGAAACTTCAAACCAGGGGAAGAGAATCGAGGTTGAGACGAGATAGATGCTTACCAGACTAGGTTAGGACATCTTTATATTGCCAAGGTAGGCTAACCCTATAAGAGCTAATATCTCTTAGTTCGTCCACTAAAGTGTGATTCCCGCTTTTAGCGCAAACTAATTCATCTACCGAGATATCAACTTTCCACACCTCCATGACTCTCTCCTACAACTACTGCCAGCCCAACGTTTCAGCCTCAAGCACACAAACTCGCGTCTCTGAGACATTCTCTGCCGCCTCTTGGTACGGAGTAGTCCGTAGTCGGCATGTAACGTGTAGCAGACAAGAGGTGGTCTCGAGTCTACTCAGAAACCTCAACTCAGACTCGTGCACAGATCACCTCTCAGTTGGAAACCCATTCACAACACAAAAATAGATCCTACACCAACACATTGTCTCTACGTACACATGTATTTTCAACCCTTCCCTAGCATCACGAAAACACTAGTCGACCGCGTGGGAAGATAGAACATGACGCCGCCTGCTACAACTCGTCAAACAGTTTTCGCGATCAATTGTCTCGAGTGAGCAATCCACGCTGCTCCATATACCAAGTATAGACACAACACAGAATTTGAACCGTGTTCCCCAAAATCTGTATCCCGTCTGTGAGTTCCATGCGCCTAACGTACAGCAAGCATTCCTAAAGTCACCCTTCAACGCCAGAAGGAGCACGCTTTCGTCAAGTCATCATAAACATTTCCTGCAACGCCCGCCTTTTGCCATGCCAGGTTCATGTGTCAAATCCCATACATCTCAGGTGTGTCCATTGATTGTTGCCTCGCTCGTCACAGATTTCGGAGCTCCTTCTTCTGAGCTATTATTGGTGACACCATTCGCATATCCATTCACCAGTCCATTCGACAAGCTCGATTTCGACTTCACCTCCTCGGTGCTAACCTTTCCCAACTCATCCGTTTCACGTTTTCCACTGGGCACATCTGCCAATGGACTCTTGCGCCCTTCGTTCTCAACTTTCGAGTCCACCCTTTTCATCACCCGCTGGAAAGGACGCCTTGCTTTGGGTTTGTTCACAGCAGCCAGACCGTCAACCGTGGTGCCATTACTCGCGCCATCGACCTCAGCACTAGTCGATGGTTGTGTTGACACACCGTTGGGTGGCTCTGTTCCAGTCTTAGTGGGTTCGGGCTTTGACGACACCATACCGCTGGCTTTGTCTCCTGGTGTCTGAATTGTCTCGGAGTCTTTCTTAGCTGCCTCAAGCGCCGCCTTGGTGTTGTTCAAATACTCGTCCAACATAGCTTTCAAAACGTTTTGGCGTACAGGTTTCGCCAAGTAGTCATTCATTCCTGCTTCTAAGCATTTCTCCCGGTCCCCACGGATTGCAGATGCTGTCATGGCTATCACCAGAACTTGATTGACGTTGGGGTCTGGGTCAGCTCGGATGGCTTTGGTCGCTTCATAACCATCCAGCACTGGCATCTGAACGTCCATCAAGACCAGGTGAAATGGGTTCCCTTCCTTGCTCTTGGCCCTCAAGGCGTCGTACGCTTGTTTGCCATCTTCATAAGCCTCGCACTTGAGTCCAATTTTGTTGACAAATGAGATTGCAATCTTTCGGTTGATTTGATTATCCTCAGCAATGCATACACGAAGCTGCTCTCGCGGGATCGTGCTGAGGTCGCAGAAGCTGACTGTCTTGGGCTCCGTCTCAGGGCTTGCTGCTTGAGACCAATTTGCCATCGGATCCGGCTCCTTGGCCACGATTTTCATGTCTTCATATTTGCTGCTGTTTTTGGGTGCCTTTTGGAAAGTGAGGGTGAAGTAAACCGTGGTCCCTACCCCCGGTGTTGACTCTATCCAAATCTTGCCCCCAAGAACATTCTCAATCATTGCCTTGCAAATACTGAGGCCCAAACCACTTCCTCCGTAGGACCGTGCCGTGGAGGAGTCGGCTTGCGAAAATGGTTGGAATAATCTTCCCAGTTGCTCCTTGGTAATTCCAATACCCGTGTCGCTGACCGAGCAGGTGATTTTGACTCTGTCTCGAGTTTCGGCGATCTTCCTTGCGCGAACCGTTACAGACCCCTTGGGTGTGAACTTGTAAGCATTGCTCAGCAAATTCATGAATATCTGATGCAGGCGCACAGGATCGCCCAGCATCAAGCTATCATCGATCGCCAGGTCTTCGATGGTCTCAAGGCCATGTTCTTGATTCGTATACGCCAACGCTCGGACGACTTCAGTAATGGTCTCCTTGAGATTCAATGGTACCGTGAACATCTGCATCTTCCCTGCTTCCAATTTGGAAAAGTCAAGGATGTCATTGATGACAGTCAATAAAGTATCGGCGCAGACACGAATACTGTCCGCATATTGCTCTTGGTCTTTACTCAACGGTGTGCCCTTCAGAAGCTCGGACATGCCGATCACGCCGTTGAGTGGAGTTCGCAGTTCGTGACTGACATTGGCCAGGAAGATTGATTTGGCCTTTGCAGCTTCTTCCTTCAGCTTGACGTTGTGCATTGCCTCCGCTTCGGCCTTTTTAGCCTTTGCCTCGGCCTCACGAGCTGCTGCAAGTGATCTTTTCTGCGACTCCACCATACTCGCGTTAGATGCACTGACTTTCCGCACCTTTCTGTATAGAAGAGCATTCCCCAATGAAATCGAGACTTGATTCGTTAGCAGATTGAGCACAATCATGTTGCGTTGCGTGAAGCAGTTTGGTCGACCTTCCAGATGGATGACTCCCATCAAATGATCCGCCTGAATGATGGGAATTGCGATGATAGACCTTCCGGCGGGGTTTCTTGCCAAGTAAGCATCACCAACGTTGGAGAAGCGATCATCCTCAAGCACGTTCTGGACAAAGACAGTCTCCCGAGTGCGCAGGAGGTAGTGCGTGATTTGCTGAGCAGCCTGATCGTCAACCTCGGAAAATGGAATGCCATCAGGGTAAGTCTTGACGCCAGTTTCGTGGTCTGCGCTCGCAGCGACACACCACCCTTGGTCTTCCGAGTCTATAACGATGGCACAAAACTCGGCTTGTCCGCCAACAGACTCGAGGATAACAGAGATCATCTTCGAAAGGAGGCTGTTGATCTGTAGTTCCGAGCTTATGACACGGGAGAATTCAAGAATGGATGTCAGGTCAAGGATATCAAGACCTAGGCCTGGGACTTCGTCGGAAGCTTGTGTGCCAGCATTGTTCTTGGGCTGGACCCAGGCTTTGGTGTACTCGCGTTTGTTCTGAGCCTGAGCCTCTGCTTCTGTCATTGTGAGCGCGTGGAGGTCTTCGGTCTGCACTGCCGCATTCATGGTGCGTGACGTCGTCGCTGTTTTGATGAGCCACTCATGTTTATCCGCAAGTTGTCTCGCCTTTCCAGAAGCATTCACTCGGTTCCACGCAGCAATTGCTTCCTGAATCATGACTTTTCCTGCTCTCTTAGCCCCACGAGCCAAGATGAACTCGGCTTGCATTTCCACAGCTACTGCCTCTTCGAGCGTGAAGCCGTGGACTTGACAGTGATCGACCGCCATCTCAAGGTTGGAGATGACCGCGTTATAAGCTCCAGTCACATCGGATATGGCTGCCTCCAGAATCCGCGACCATGCGAAATAGTTGACATCGTTTACCTGGCCCCAGTCGTCAATGAATCTCTTGAGTGCTCTTGCCTCTTCAATATATTGAGCCCGCTCTGCCTCTGGCTTCTCTTTGGCAACCGCAATCAAGGACAGACCAAGGTAGAAGCGACTCCCACAGACTGGTCGGTTAGACCAGAGCTCGTCAAGCGTTGTATCGAGGAGCTTTCTGCCCACCTCGACTACATAGTCGTGGTATCCCATTGTATGATACGCAGCGAGAGAGACTGCATGGTAAATGTCTGTTGCACGCTGGGGAAATGCCGAGAGAGTGGCGCACTCTGCTAACCATACCTCAGAGTCGTGATCGTCATCGTTCAATAATGTTTTGGCATCTTGTGCAATGGTCTTTCCCTGTAGTGCACGCGCCACCTGCCTGGTGATCATCAGCAAAGTGCCTCCTCTCCGATCCCTAGACCAGTCATCGAATTCTTCTGGGCCGTAGTTGCAAAACGCTTCAATCTCTGCGAGGTCTTGTCCGCTCCAGAATCTCGAGAGTGCCATGACACCTATATTGAGGATGCTCACAAATTTGTCGCCAGAAGCCAATGAGTATTCCAGGGCGTTGTCCAGTATAGGGAGCAAGTTCCGAACTGGTGTTTGGAAGTGGCCAATAAAAAGGGTGAAAAGGGTCCATCCTCGACCTCTAGTCCAAGGATCGTCATGAATTGTGAAGAAGTCCTGCGCAATTTCTCCGCATAGAATGCCAAACTCGACGTCCTTGAACCGACCGATCGCAGCCGAGCCAAGCATTGTGAAGCCCAACCCAGCTTGAATGAAAATTCCTCTGTCAAGAAGAACATTGACGAATGCAATGACGGTCTGGTACCAAAGCAAAGAGTTGGACCAGTATAGCGAACCCAAGGCTTCACTCAGGACCGTACCCAAGCCAATCAGATCCTTCTCTGTACCCAATGGACGAGCCAGCAATTCATCGCGGGGAATTTGACGAAGTCTGAACTCCAGCTGCTTGAACGCAATGTCGCATTCTTCCCAGGTCTTGTCCATGAGCGGGAGGCCGAGTTCGGCGAGACACGCCCTTTGCACAGCGAATGCTTCCAGGTGGCTACCCAGCGAATTGAGAATTCTGCCCTTCAAAATGTAGGATCGCGTCTTATCGGCGGAACAGCGAGCATGGACAAAAGTTTCCTCGAGGAGCTGTAACGCGTCGTTTGCTTCGCCGGCTGTGTAGAGTAGTTCTGCGCAATTGACAAGAAGCTGTAGGGTTTCATCATAGAACACATCAGAGTCGTTATTGTCCCACCTGGCGGGTTGAAGTAGTTTGATAGCGGTCTTGTAGTAGCACAGGGCGGTGTCTTTTGCCCCTGTCTCTAGGGCCTTCTGAGCACCGCGCCATAGCACATCACGATAGCGCAGCCTTGCATTTATTCGTTGTTTGATGATATCTGACGACAGACAGATGTGTCTTGCCAATGGGTAGAGGTTGTACTTGCATTGACTCAAGTAGGTCATCATCGTCTGAGAGATGATAAAATGCATCTTTTCGGTGTTCTGACATTCGCGCATTTCGTTGGCAGCACTGAGTACGCGCGCATGGGAGAACCGGAACTCATCATCACTTTCTCCGGGTTGAATGACGTACATTGAGATAAGTAACTGGAGTGCGGTAACACAATCAGCTTCGGAGACGTTGAACATCTTGGCGCGTTTCGGGCAGGTGGCATCATTTGCCTGATCTCTTCCACTACTATAGAAGAAATCACCAGTCATGATGGATTGAATCAGCTTGAACGAGAACGTCGAGCCGATAAGAGATGCCCAGGCTAGTATTGCGCGTGCGGTGGGTGGGAGCTCTTGTAAGCGGCGAGTCATGTAGCCGACGTCAAGGCTTCCTTGCGCGGCGAACTCGTCAAAGACTTTATCTAGATCGAATTGCCATCCAGACTCCCGCCAATCATACCATAGACAGTTGCGCTGGTAACAGGTCTGGAGAATATCTTTGACGAGGAAAGGGTTGCCATGTGATTTTGCGTGTACAACGGCAGCAAGTGGGACGACTGTGTCAATTGGTTGCGACATGGTGGCTGCGACGTAATCGAAGACATGCTTTTCGCTGAGGTTGCCGAGCTCGATCTTGTTGGTGGAATCGAGATCAAGTATCTTGGACAGGCCTGGGGGGACTTGATCATCCTCAGTTCGACTCGAGAGCAAGAGAACGACTGGAACCTTAGCTTTGATGATATGGACTAAGAGTTCAATAGACTCGGAGTCTGCCACCTGCACATCATCGAGACTCAGGCAAATCAATTTGCCGGTGCAGATTGTGCGCAGAACGTCCATATAGGTGTTGATGAACCTGATGGATTTGGTGTTTGACGGTCCTCTCAGAAAGTCGTTCGAATCCCAACCACCGCCACCCACCGGAGGGGCGTTGGTCCTTGCTGATGTAGAATCTATAGTTGGAACTTCTGTATTGATGCTCTGGGAGGTGTTGTCGTTCCTCAAATTCAACTTCTTTGACAGTACGGCCACGTCCAACAAGGTGGGAGGCAGATCTAATAGAGTATAAAGAACAGACCAGCACGGACTGACATGGGCTCTGAGATGTTCATGATAGGGTGAATTGACATCTTTTTCGGAGAAGATCTGGCGGAATAAGCTTGCCATGACTTTAATCAAGGGTTCGAACGGCGAAGGGCGGGCACGATCGAACTGTGCCAGGGCAAAATATCCCCGCCGTCTGATGGCAGGTTGGACGGCTCTGATGAGGGCCGTTTTCCCAACTCCAGATGGACCCAGAACGGTGATGACTTCGGTCTTGGATCTGCGTTTATGCTTGTGGGTGTTCCTGCGCCTTGTCATCATGCCACCATTCTCTTGATAAGGCTGCAGTCCAACTGAGAGGCCACCAGAAAAACTGCTTTCTCGGTCGGACAAGGCCTCCAGGGTTGCATTGCGGGGATCTGTAATTCCGCGACCTCGTTTTGCGAAATTGCTGGTCTTGTTACCGTAAACGGGGCCGTCAATTCCAATGGTGGTTGAATTGCTGCGAGACTCTCGGAATCCGAATGAACTCGAAGAATCAGAACCTTCCCTGTCATCATAGCCGTCCATGCGACTGTCTGATATGGAAGAGTTTGAGGCCGCACTCAGTAAGCCATGTTGGGTAGCAGTGTGTCGAGACGTGTGCGAACTTTGGCGCTTGTGCGCTTTTTCGATGAGTTTCGTGATTCGCTCCGTCTCGGCGTCGCGTCCATATTGCTTCGAGGGAAGGATGAAGAAGGATGATACGTCACGTAGAGCAACCTTGTAGTTGCGGATCTTCTCCAGGTCGCCCTCGCCTAAGTATTTTTGGATCTGAATCAAGTCATACTTCAAGCCACTGAGTGAATGGTAGCGCTCGTCCATCTGCTTCTGTGTCATCTTGGCAATCATGTGCGACACCACATCGGGCACGTCCATTCGAATGGCAGAAACCATAGGCAAGCGATGCGTTAAGACTTTCTGGACAATATCGATAGGACTGTCGGCATCGAAGGCCGGCCGGCCGGTCAGCAACATCCAGAAAAGGATACCAAGGCTATAAATGTCTGTACGGCTGTCAGGTTCAGCGGGTAGTCTTCCTGTCTGCTCGGGGGCGATAAACTGAAGCTTGTTCTTGACTCCGATTTGACGATTGAGAGAGGCCCAGCCCTCGCTGGAGAGCAAGTTCTCGAAAGACTTGGGTCCACCTCCGCCGTTGATGAGCTTGACGTTGTTGGTTTCTCTGTTCCAGTGGAAACTGTCGGCGCGTATCTCGCCGTGGACATACTTGGCTCCGTGATGTACCAGCTCCATGGACTCGGCGGCGCCAATAGCGAAATCTAGAAACGCTTGCACTGGGATACGCTCATCGGGCGATCCATCGACGCTGAGTGGATTTTGTTGCATTCCATAGTAGGCCGGGCCAAAATCCATTATTTCACGAAGATAGTTCTTGCCGGGGGCTTCGTAAACACACACCAAGATCGGTTGGTTGTCACCTCCGCCAGCGGGGAGTTTGAACATTTCCAAGGGTCGCACGGTATGTACGCCATCTGGGTCGGCTTCCTTGATAATTGTGAGGTTTTGATGATATTCTCTTTCCAGGCGCAGGGTATGTGTACTGATGCGAGCAATAACAGGCTGCCATATCGGATCAGGTTCGCTCCTGGATGAGAGATTCTCGCTGTCGGTGGATGCGCCACTGATACTGCTCCAGTGATGGTGCCTCAGGGAAGGACGGTGAGGATCGAGGCGAGGCGAACTTTTGTTGGAACTGGAGAGGAGGGAAAGACTAGAAATTGTGCTGATGGAGGCACGAGGATTGAGGACGTCAGGATTGTGAAGGATGCCATAGACATGCCTAATATTTGTTAGTTTTTAAGAACCAAGGATAGAGATTCATCGGCTTGCAGCACGACGTCGTGTGAGGGATTACCAATGGTCATAAGTCGAATGGAAGGGAGCGAACTAAGGCCATGTCAGTCTTTGCGCGGTCTTGTGGTATTACCAGCAACCATACCGATCGATCCCAGGTGTAATTGGGAACCTGTGAAAGTCGTTCGAAGAGTTTGGAGGGGGTCAGAGGGAGATCATCGCCCAGGATGTCGGTGTCCTCCATGTTGCGGAATGGGGCGGGATAGAGTGAGTTGGGGTGAGGTTATGACATGTCTGTAGATTCGGCGGTACGACTTGATCTGATAGAAACCAGCACCGAAATGATAGTGATTCGGAAGTGGATTGTTTTGACGATGAAATTGATGCAAATCAGCGCGACAATGGCTGTCGAAAAGGGAATTGTGGCTGCAAGAATATCCAAAGATTTGGTGAGACCTAAAGAACAGCGAGGGAAGTGATTACACATACTACATGCTACTTAGCTCAAAGTGCCTGTCACTAACGGGAACAGATTTGTGAGAGGTGGGGGGCCATTGGAGGGAAGGAGACCTCGGGAGCAGCAGCTAGGCACTTGTTAGGAAGAATAATTAAGCATAGCAAAGCCTAGCCCATCGACCCCCGGGGTGGGTGCCCCCCGCCCTCTTCTCGAATTTGCAACCATATAACCAATCGAGACCATGGCACCCATGGCTCTCTACCAGAGCTCCAACAATTGGATCAAAGTGCACTGCTGCCTGTGTCTGCTGCTTTACGGCGGGGCTACTCATGGCAAATGTACTCCGTACCTGTAGTTGGGGGCATACTCTTCTGTGGTGTCACGGTGTCTCTATCCTTGTTCGTCCAGACCCGGAAACCATACTCGTAGGTCACGGAAAACCTATCGAGGGCCGTCGGAGCCAGGCTGAGATCTCAGTGGTCGGTTGGAATGGCGATGGAGAAGAAAGATCAGACTAGCTGAATGAGCCAAAGGTAAGAACGGGTGGTGGAACGAGGGGAACACTTGGAAGCCTGAAAAGCAATGATTAGTTTGTCTGTGCTTCCACCGAGATCTCAGGGTCCGTCCAGGGTGTCAATTTGGCATTTTGCCGGTTAATGCTGATTAAGCCGCTAACCATGACTCTGACTCGAGCCTTTCCCCCTCTTTTACTGGTTGTGTTTTTAACATGACTCTGACTGTTTGCCTTTTGAGGCAACATGTATGGAGCCTAATTGTATGGCAATCTGATAGAGAGGTTTTTCTATTCACTGGTATTGTATCTCGGCCCAGGAATTCTCAGTTGCTACATATGCTTCTTAACGCTGCTCAGCTCTTCTAACTCATGCGTATTTCCATCACCTCACGACCTACTGCTTCAACACATCTCCATTATCTGAAACACTCTCAAGCTCATCACAACCTTGCTCTTTCCTCTGCGTTATTCCTGTGCATATCTTTATCAATATACTCCCCGTCACACATTCAATGCGCCGACAATCGCCAACAAGATGTGCAAGTGTCTGATCCTAGCACCTCCTCCGGCCAAGTTCCCCATTATCCATGTGTTTGAAGGTGCTGCGATCTCCGTTCCCGTCGGGCCCTGGCTTGTTTTCTCCGTGGTCTGAGTGTTTGTGACGCTCTCAGATATTGTGGATGTTGTCGATGGATAAGAAGCACTCGATCCTACTTCAGTTGCTGGGATGGCCGAGCCGATTCCGCTGCTTGTGAAGGGCACTGGGAGTTGCAGTGTCGATGTGTTTGGAGGGTTCACGTTGGTGCCTGCATAGATGTTGCCTTGACTGCCATCGACCATCTCATAGGCTCCCGTGATAAGATTGACGTATCCTCCTGAAGAATAGTTGTAGATTCCGCTGGTTATGGATCCATAAGAGTCATCCGGGAGGAAGTAGTTGGTCGTGAATCGATCCTAGCATTGGAGAAACAATTAGTCGAAGCCAAAAGAAGACCTTCAACTCAGCACACGTACCCAGCAAAAAGGAACATTGTAGTTCTTGAGGAGCATGCACTCAGTTGTCTCCGCACCTGTTTTGCGTCAGTGGAAACTCAAGTGAGCCGTGGGCTGGATCGTTTTACAGCAGATGGCCTCGGCCAGGTCTCTCACGGGCAAAGTCACATGGTCCCCTTGGGTGTAGTTCGTTTTTGGGGGTCCAGTCGGAACTTGCTGCGGATTGACCGTTTCAAGCAAACTGAGATAGAGGTCTGTCAAATGAGCTTTGAAGCCAGGGAGTTCTTGACCAAGAGCACCAGGTGGCATGCAGAGACCGTAGCCATGGCTACAAGATTGACGACTGGTGACTTCAGCAATCCCGAGGTGGGCGTTCAACAAAATCTTCAGAAGAAGGAGGGGGAGAATGTTCGATGTCAACAAGAGTACAGACAACATCTTGATGACGATGGCTTTGAAGAGGGAAGCGTGGTGGTTACAGAAACGTCTGCCAGATGAAGGGGTCAGAGCAGCGAATTTGGAACAATGATCAAGGCGAAGAGAAACCATGGAAGTCAAACAAAGTGGAAGCAGAAAAGTTGCAGAGGAGAGTTGTGAATGAGGCAGGCAGTCGCTCCTGATTAACGTTCCTTCCCCAGGAGCATCAGCCTCATCTAAAATTGTGCCCACGCACAATTCTACTCCCTTGGAGCTGAATGATCTGATCTGAAGTGCATAGTCTGAACCGTACTATTTCGATACTCTATCCTGTGCAGAGTTTGCCTCTGTGCCTGAAAATCCATGAACGGTCTGATGATACAGCTAAGCCTGATACCTGATTTGGATTGTCAGCGTGTGTCATAGGACGACCACCACCCACACCACCTGGTATCATTCAATGCCAGCTTCAGAATCGAAAGATTGTCTGTATGAACAGAAGGATTAATGATGCTCTGCGACCGCATCAAAAGAAGCTTCATGCTGACAGGCAGACTCTTTGTCACCAGCACTCTGCACCACGGAGGGTTTGTTCGTTGACCTGCTCAGAAAAATTTCCGGCCGTGGCCGTGCTGAATTGTCCAGTCACAGGGAATGTCGCGGATGGATCTTGATCGTTGTTTCTGTTCGCAGGATCAAAGTCAGAGACTGGCGCGCTAGGCCAAGTGGCATCTGCAACATGCTTGATTCCATTCCATCCATTTCCAGCAGAGGTCTCCAATGCAATACCGAATTGTTGCCAATCACTGCCGGAGACCTGCGCATTGCCATTGCCTTCTGTAGCAGTCGAGGTAGCCACAGGGGTCCATTCTTCCCAAACATTGGTGGTGCCGGCCTTTTGACCAGCTTGAGCACCCTCTTGCTGTTGCAAGGATTCGACTTCTTTCTGCTCCTTCATGGCATCCTTCTCCGCCCACTTCTTTCGGATATCTTGCTCATTGGAAGCACACAAGTCTTTCAAGGCTTGGTCCAACTTCGCATCGCGCTCTCTTAGGTCACACAAGTAGTCCATATCTTCTGGGGTGTCTTCGTCTGTGAGTTTTGCAGACCACCAGGCCCAAAAGATGCTAGCAGCTGCAACTTCTCGGATTTGTTGTTTGCAGATATCCAACTTTGAAGAGTACAAGAAGATATCAACCTCCTCCCAGGACATGAGTGTGGTCTTCGCGTGAACGTTCAGCATTCGCTCGATGATATGATCTCCAAAATCGCGGTCTGGGATACCCAAATATGAAGCAGCGTGAACGACCCAGGCATATTTGGAAAGAAGCTTTGGGGTCTTGGGGTCCAACTAAAGTCAAGATTGTCAGTATGGGAAGAGACCAACAGGGTAAGGAATGACTGACATCAAGGAATCTCTCACATCGGCCGGCGATGGCACATTGCTCAACCCATGCAAGAACTTGTTTCAGAGCCTCAAGGTCGCAGCCAATGACAGTGAATGATTTGCTGTTGTTATCCAATAGTTCTGTACGGACCCGATTGCAGAAGATCATTGCAGTGTCGCGTCTAATGGACTGAATGAATTGCACAGAAGAGTCTCTGTCGGCTTTGTGGAAGATTGAAATCTGAGGGCCCGCGGGCTCAGTTTGAAGACTAGAATGAAATCTGTTAGACCATATGAGTTTGACCGTGAGGATGAAGATCGGCTACCTCTCAATCTTTGCCTTAGAGATACGGGGTCCGCTGTCCTCGCGGTTTTCCAACAGGTAGTCCTCCATAGTGGCAGACAAAAGAAGAAGCTTAGATGTGGTCAAGTAGGTTTTAGTGGAAGGCTGCAGCGGACGAGGATGTAGACAGCGAGGAGTTGTAATGAATTGAGAATTCAGTCGCAGTGAGATAAGAAGGTCTGAGAATGAGTGCGGGAAACCTGTGGGAGGTAGGGGTGCGGCAGAAAGTTGTGATGGCAGGCACAGTTCAGAAACGTTCAAGAATATAAGTACCTATACAGCAAATATGATTCGTGGATCAAAATGCCAGACTGAGTGGATCTCAGAGTCATATGGCCCAGACTTCGAGAATATTCAACAAGCGCATGTTCATTCTGCTTGGCCAAGGGGTGTTGGTGATGAGTTGTATTGATTGATGTCCTTGACTAATGATGATTGCCAACAGTAATACCCTTTGCAAACCTAAGTTGTTGTTCGAATTCGCAATCCGAAATCTAAGGTTGCCTTACTTTTGCCGTTTTGCCGTTTGCCGTTGGGTTCCTGCATGAGAGCAATCAGCAGCCTCTTTATATTGCCCCTATCAATGGTTGATAAGCGTGGGGTACAGCAGGATCGAATCAAGTGTCTCGGTCATTGCTGGGTATGGCCGGCAAGCTTGCGAGACAACTTCGGGACGACACATCACATAGCAATGGCGTTCAAGAGAGAAAGTGACCGGACGAAAAGAACCCAATCCAATCCATATTGTTGCTTGATCAGATCTCTAGTTGTCAATCCAATCAGCCCATCTGCGCCATGCTCGCTGTCGTAATTGCATTACAGGCAACATCATGTGTAGTCATGTCTATTTCTTTCCGCTCTTTTTGATGCCTTGTTGGCCTGCGTTCATCGGTCCTTTTCCCTTTGCCTTGTCGGCCATTTCTTTTCGAGCTTTGGCGTCTGGGAGAACATGGGTCAGGATTGAAGGGAAATAAAGATGTCTGAGAGTAATGTACCAGCCTGTTGTTTAGCCTTGAAAGCAATTTCGTCTTCGTCCATTTCCTTCTTCTCCTTCTTGGGTGCCTTCAAAGGCTTCACTTTACCGCCTATTTTCCAATGTCAGCGAATAGAAGCGCGGTTAAAGCGAGTGGGACCGACCTTCACGACTTGCGCCACCCATTTTGCGTTTTTCTAATGAACACTTTCGTAGACTTGGACGGTACGAGTAAGTAGGACGAAGGGGGGGATCAGTCTGTTCACGAATCTATCTTTGAACTAGATTAATTTACTTCAAGACTTGACGTCTAGACTTGAGATCTCTGACTCTCTGACTACCCAACGGCGCAGGCTTGGCGTATTTCCTTGGCGTCTCGTGACTCCCAAAAGAATATGGCTCATCTTCCTTGGAGAACGCCTCCCCAGAGTACCCTCAGAGGCGGATCTGGGGGACTGGAGAAGATGGCAATGATGCATGTCGCCCAGCCATGTTGACAGGGGTGCACCTTTCAAGTTGAAAGTTCAGGACTGCTGGTCAAGTGATTATGCCAATCCTTTCATATGTAGACTGCTCACAGTTCTGCTGGAGGCCACATCTTAGAGGTAGGTTGCAGCTTCTGAGTTCGTTACACTTGCTCAAGGTGCTGTGATTTGAGAGCAATTCAATGATAGTAAGGGCGATGGTGTTATAAGTCACGGAGGATCGTAAGGGGGGTAAATGATTTCAAAGTCGACGCGATGGGTGTTCAGGAGTCCGTTCTTCTTCGGCTCCTCTTACAACCCCTTGCCGCATGTTGTTGCCCAATTTGCACCTTGGCCTACGACGTGTCAATCTCGCAGACAGATTGATTTGTTCTAGGTCCAATCCATGGCTGCAAGCTAAGACTGACCTGAGAGACGTCTCGCCGTAACAATGGAAGATCAGGAGCCATCAGTTGTCTCAATCATTCGAGTACGGGTACTGTATATTGAGATGTCAGATCTGTGGGCGAAATGGTCACTCTTATGGGCACGCCTGTCGTGCCTTGAAAGGCACCAAAAGTCGCGGGATTAGAATCCAGGCAATGTCACGTGCGTGGAATGCATCAGCACAACGGCAACAGATTCTCACTTTCCTGGCTAGCTTAGGCAACATGTCAGACGGTCTGAATGGAGAGTTGATGCCAATCTTACCACTAGCAAGATGGTGAGCATGTCATAATTTGTGGAGGGAAAGCGGCGACGATCCTCTTTCGCTTATTGTGTGCTATTTACAGATGCAGGAATGTAAGAGTGGGTTAATAATGTTGATCTATTGGAAGCGTGGCAAATCCTACTCCAATCAGAATGGCAGAAGCACCTCGGGCTCTTGCAAGCTTTTTACGACATGCGAATTACGTATCGAGTATTGTGGTCCTGGGGCTGGACTTGATCCGCTCTCGGACTAGTTGGCAAGACTAAGACAGAGCACAAACAGGAACCCAATTCGTGTTCTTGCTCACACCCCGGTCACCAATCAGTCCACGAGGCCAACCGAACACAGGCCTTGCCACCACCCATTTTTGGATTGGATCGAAGATGGGTGAGCGAGCCCGCCATTGGGGACGGCACACCCAGCTTTCCTCATAAACCTTTCGTTACCCGGCCGCCCACCACCTAACAGGCTTGTCTCCCCTCCCCATACGCATAGACTGGCTGTTGACCAAGGCGACTCACTCGTTCGAACGCCGCACTCATCATCAAACCACGTCTTACAACATTCGTTTTCCTTTCGACGACAGCGTCTGAACTCAATTGAGCTACAGCACCAGTCTGAGAGCTGTCAGACGCATTGCTACCGTCGCTGTCTCACCCACAAATCTTGAACTCACAGCCTTTCTTTTGTCGAACTTGCCCTTGACTTTGATCGATTGATCGACGGCCATCATGAGCCCTACTCACGACTACGACCTGGTTAAAGAGACGGATGACCTTCTCAGAGAGAGTGATGAAGTAAGAGATGAACCTCTTCGTCACGCCAAATCCGCCATCCCGGCATGGTGGAAGATTCTTCTCTTTATCGCACTCGCCTTCAGCGCCGGTCTGGGTGCCGCGGTTGGAGTAGTTCTCGCCTCATCACTATTTAAAACTGGCGACAACGCCTCCACGACCACCAGTGTCGCTGTCTCCGGCGCTGCATCCGCCAACGCCGCTCTTTTGACCGCGTCCTCGACAGCGTCCGCCAACGTGGCCGTATCCACATCCGTTGACCATCTCACCAACGCGGATAATGATCCACCGGAGCTGATTGGCAAGGTACTCGACTGCGGATGGTCCATCGAAGAAGCCAAGGCCAAGGGATGCGTCTACGATGTCATGATGCAAGATTGGGTCCCCGAACCGTGCTACGACAGCGTGCTGACGGAGAAATACCTTTCCAAGGGCAACTACACCTGGTATTCGGACATGGAGGGCCACACCATGACGGATGAGGAGATGCGCAAGGGCGAGCATGGTCGAGCGTGGATGTCGGCCAACTACCACAAAGACCACTGCATCTTCTCGTGGGAGAAACTCGTCCGCGCCTTGCGAAACAACCGACCCATCAGCCAGGAACTAGTCTCCTACGATCACGTTCTTCACTGTCATCACCAAGGTGTCGGCGATTCCGGCATGATGAAGCGTGACTCCGGCTCCATCGGCGTTGCCGCACCCACCAACTATGCCAAGTGTGCATTGTACGGGACCTGGAAACTCGATTTCCTCCCCGACAAGCATTCGTCGGCTGATAAATAAATTGGTGTTTTTAAGTCTGGGAACGGCGTCGTGGCGATTCACAATACAACAACACTCTCTCTTGAAGGTTGAAATGGGGTGTGTCGAACCGAGTGTAACGATTATGAAAATTCGAGCGAGCGGTTTGGGGATTTCCATCGACATCAGTCAAAGTAGTGATGGGCAAGTTCTGGAGGATATTTTGACCCTCACGTAGAAATTGAAGAACCTACAGTGTGAAATATAATTTTTTGAGAGAAGCTAAGCTCAGACCCCCATGGTTCATTCTGTTGCAAAGTACTGATATGAAATTGACGCAACTCGATCTGTCGCCGGCTTGCAGTGGTGTTGGGTAACGGTCTCTTACATTGTTTTCATTGCCGCAGAGTTTTCTTGATCAGTGAGAAGGCGTTAACCACAACATTTGAAGAAATGCAGCGTGGTCGACTCTGAAAACTTGGGAATACTTGCGTAGGGCATCAGTCCGTTACTTTCTACAATCTTTATTGGCACTCAACTCTGGCACTCACTAATCTGCAGGAATGAAAGCTCAAGTTATTCGACGTCATTCACCACAAAATGTCGATAGCAACTTCACAAAGCCGTCAGATTGCGTGGAGTCGTGTGCTTTATGCCACACCCGCCCTGGTATCGCCCATGGCTTGGTATATTTTCTCTTCGTTCTCTGTAGCATTGTTTCCATCGTAAAGACTCAACACCCCCCTCAACCGTTTGCGCATAGAGATCGACATTATCATCGTGCACATTGCATCTGAACTCAGATTCGGCTTCAATGGCAAATCCCGGTCTTACTGCATGTGCAGTAACCGGGGCAATTGGCGCCACTATTATTGCCTTTCCTGCCCTTGACACTCTACCCTTGCTTGCTTTAGGAGGGTTTGGCGCTGGTGGTGTGCAGGCTGGTACGTAGCACACCTTTCGGGCTTGGAAGAAGACGACTAAACTTATACTGTCCAGGAAGTCCCGCAGCTGCCGTTCAAGCTGGTATTGGAAATGTCGCAGCAGGTTCCTGGTTCGCCATTGCCCAAAGTGCAGCTATGGGGGGCTCTGGAATTGCAATTGCAAATGCAGCCGTTGAAGTCGGCGCAGTTGTTGTAGCTGCTGGTGGAGCTCTTGGTCGCGGAGTTCTAGGATCGTCCTAGTCAGAGTCGAAAGACGAAGATTCCGTCCAGGGCAGTGATGACGATGATGAAACCACACCAGAAGGCGAAGATGGTCAGGAAGAGGGCCGTACCGAAGATCCAGCAAACACTCAGGGTGATGAACAAGCACACAAATGGTAAATAAAACCCCTGGCGTTTGCCCCTTCTCCTGCTATGCCTATTGACTAATGTTATTATCATTATGTAGATACATATCCTAGGGTATCGATTCAACGTTCCACAAAGAGATTCTTGGTCGCACAGAAGATTCTCCGGCCTTCTTGTTCCGGACAGGCTTGAAATTGCAGAATAAGAAACCAGGACACTATGGAGAAGTGGCAGATGAATTGCAGGATTAAGCGACAACGAGGTGACTTCCTTCTCCAGATAGATTAAGCTTCCAATTTCCCCGCATCAAGCAGGCACGGAGTGGAACTTGCCGCCTTGGCATTGTCCACCATGGATCTCGACCTTGGAAGCCCAATGCATATCTCCTTTGATCCGCTGCGAGCTTGTTGTGACTTGTTAGCTGCCTCAAATGGCGTTTCGTTCTAGAGAATCATGTGAGGTCTTCCACAGCGCGGCCATTAATGCTCAGCAAACTGAATACTGCCTTGTCAGACCTTCCCCAGACGCTGTCAGCGGGCACGAAACACCTGTATCAATTGAAACGCAGGGACATTGCAGTTCAGCTCCACCCTTCATCGATGCTGGTCCATGCGAGCTGAAGTAACATAACGGTCAACCTCACGCATAGTGATCGTTGCGCGACAACACATTTTTCTGCCATTGTGGCAAAATGGTGGTGACCTCTCCAATACTGGTCTCAGCACAGGTTCCCACTGCTCCACTACAGGATCACCGCACTACAATTCAAAAGCGAAACCCCATTCCACCGGCAGTATCATTTATTGCAGGTGGGGTTGCTGGAGGTGTTGAGGCGGCGGCAACATATCCATTCGAGTTTGCAAAAACACGTGTACAACTCGCCAATAAGGGACCTGTACCGACCAATCCACTCTCAGTCATCGCTCAGGTAGTCAGGAATGATGGAATTCGAGCTGTATATACTGGATGTTCGACCTTGATATTGGTAAGTGACATGTCCGGTCTTGCCTTGAAATCATCTGACCAGCCTAGGGTACGACTTTCAAGGCCAGCATCCGATTCTTATCGTTCGACTCCATCAAGAATTTGCTTGTTGACAGCAAAGGCCAGCTGTCACCGCTCAGAGGACTAGGCGCCGGAATGGTAGCTGGCTGTGTGGAGAGCATTGTGGCTGTCACTCCTACGGAGAGGTTGAAGACAGCTTTGTAAGTGGGCTCCGCTGGACCAGCTTCAAAGGACTAACCACTCTGACTAGAATTGACGACGCCAAAGGCCCCAAAAGATTCAATGGGGGAGTTCAAGCAGCCCTCACCATTCTACGAGAAGGTGGTATTAGGGGAATGTATCGAGGATTGGTTTCGACCACAGCAAAGCAGTCAGCCACGTCCGCAGTCCGGATGGGCTCTTATAATATGCTACGAGAGAGTGGAAAGAGGTTCAATCTTCCAAATAACTCGGTCACCACGTTTGGTATTGGTGCTGTAGCTGGTGTCATCACTGTTTATGCTACTCAGCCTTTGGACACCATCAAGACCAGAACACAGAGTGCCAGGGGTGCATCCACCAGTGAGGCAATTCGAGATATCTTTCAGACAGGTGGAGTCAAAGGCTTCTGGAGTGGGAGCACCATGAGGCTAGGACGCTTGGTCTTGAGTGGAGGTATTGTTTTTACCGTCTATGAGCAAGTGGCGAGCATTTTGGCGCCATCATCCGGTGGATGGTAGAGGAGTCAGTGCTCTGTGAAGCCCTGGAACAACCCTGGAAGCTGGACAATCAGGGAACAATCTCTTCATAGTTAGGGAGATATTCTCCATGTGTACGAACTTTCGGTAACTATCAAAAGAAATGAAACAACTGTGTCTACAGATCGATGATGGATGTGAGTAAATAGGGCATCATAGGGGCGTACCCGGCCGAAATATGTTCCGCTCCGGTTTTGGGGGGAATTTCCTCCTCATCTCCACTCTGTCTGCGCTACGCTGGGACAAACCGATTCTTGATGCTTAGCAATCGATTGATGATGGCATTTCAACGGTCACCTCTCTTTAACGATATAAGGACCTTTGTTGTTGTTGGATGAAGTCTCGGACCTCGTCCAGTATGATAGACACACGATAACACTTTCCAAAACGAGTATGAAGACGCTCTTCAATGCGTGGGCGGTCGTCGCCCTCGCCCTCACCCTCTCCCTCACTCTCAACCTGACCTCCGCCGCCCATACATCCAACTGGGCCGTTCTCGTGTCAACATCACGATTCTGGTTCAACTATCGTCACCTCGCCAACACTCTCTCCCTATATCGCACAGTCAAAAGACTTGGAATCCCCGACTCCCAAATCCTCCTTCTTCTCCCTGATGACATGGCATGTAATCCACGAAACGCCTTCTCCGGCACAGTCTACTCCAACGCCGATCGCCGCATGGACCTATACGGCGAGAACGTCGAGGTCGATTACCGCGGCTACGAAGTCACGGTCGAGAACTTCATCCGCCTGTTGACGGATCGGTGGGAAGAGGGCGTTCCCTCGAGTAAGAGACTACAGACAGATGAAGGATCCAACATCCTGATCTACATGACCGGGCATGGTGGATCGGAGTTTTTGAAGTTTCAGGACAGCGAGGAGATTTCATCTTGGGATCTGGCAGATGCGTTCAGTCAGATGAGGGAGAAGAGGAGATACAATGAGATGCTCTTCATGATCGACACCTGCCAGGCAAACACAATGTACCGACAATTCTACGCCCAAGGCGTGATTGCCACGGGTAGCAGCGAGGAAGATGAGAGTTCGTATAGTCATCATGCGGACAATGATGTGGGAGTCGCGGTCATTGACCGCTGGACATATTATGTGTTGGAGTTTTTGGAGAAGGAAGTCACCGGTCCAACAAGTGACAAGACATTGGGCGATTTATTCGACAGCTACGACGTGGGTAAAATCCATTCTAACCCTGGTGTGAGATGGGATTTGTTTCCTGGCGGTGAACAGGCTGGTCGTGGACGGAGGGTTGTGGATTTCTTTGGTAATGTTCAAAATGTCGAGATTCAGGGCAACAAGACCAGTATGGAACAACTCCAAGAGGATATACAGGCGCTGAAAAAGTTGGTGCAAGAGTATGATTCTTTTGCCAGGGCTCAAGAAGCGAACCAGACGGACGTCTTAGGGAAGAGGGCGGAACTGCCCGTTGAGAATCAGAAGACGTCCAAGACAGCACAACCGTCGGTGGGTCGGGTTCAGTTTTCTGACAACCCTTCCCAGTGGTCCAAGAAGGCCGTGGGAGTGTCGGTGTTGTCTGGTCTTGCAGCGTTATGGTATTTCGCCCCCAAGACGGTTTGAGAAGGATATCAGGGCATGTAGAACACAAAATTTTCTCGAGAGGGAATGGAGAGCAATGGATCGTGTCACTCTAGAGAAAGCAGGGTCTAAATAGGATCCAAGTGTATATTATATTCTCAAGCCCTACGCCTGTTCTTCTTGTCTGCTCTTCCCTGGAGAATCTTTCTTCTTTTCTCAAAAGTATCTCCAATACCAGGACCCGCAGCACCATCACCTCTGGGTCCATCAATAGTTTCCCGTCTCCTCTTATCTCTTCTCTCAAAGAGTCCCGGCCCATCTGCAGCACGACCTTTGCCAGCGACGGTACGATTGATTCGATCACCGAGCCCACCCAGTCCAGTCCAATCTTCTCCACCAAACAGATCTCTCTTGTCATTCATAGTCCGTGCCTTTTCTTTCTTTCGCTCGGCCTTGGTCATAGCCGGCAGACGTACAAAGTTGCGTTCTTCATAGTCTGTCCTCTCTCGTTCCCGTTCCCGTTCCCGGCTAGACATGGCGCCACGGCCTTGTTGCGTGATGGTACCGCCAGCGCCGATTGAAGGTTGTGATTGTGGCGCCGTCGACACTTCCTCGTCAATGTACTCGTCGAGTAGCTTGGACCGTCGTTTCCGTGCTGACTGGTCCCGTTCACGATTAGGCCGGTCTTCGGGCATGAGTGTAGGATTATTTCGTGGTGGTTTGTATGCTCCTGTGACAGTGGATTTGTCGGCGGAGCGGGAGGTGCCAGTAGCCTTTGATGCTCCAGCGACGCGCATCGAGCCCGGTCTAGGACCATGAGAGGTTTCTTCTGTAGGTGGAGATGGCTTGCGCTTAAGCGTTGTTGGGTCGTCTGAGTCGGCATCCGAGTCGTCTGAATCGCTCGCATCATCTCCATTGGGTGCAGACTCGGCGACGGATTGTTGAGCAGTTTTTTGGTTGACGCGACGTTGAGCTTCTTCGGCTGCTCGAACGACTTTGTCGACTTGGTATTTCAATTTTCCTTGTAATGGGCGCACGCCTCTTTCGAGATAGACTCTTTGCTGCACCAGCTTCGATATCACCTGGTGGAGGAGATCATCTGACGAGGTTTCGTCAGGTTGACGGAGGCGGAGGACGATGAGGAAGACAAGGTTCTGAAGATAGGAGAGAAGTAGGTCGTTCTTTGTGTCGAATAAAGATATGCCTTCAGGTTGGATCAGGTCTTGCTGTTGTGGGAGAGCGGCCGTTGTCGCTTCAAGAGCGGTGGTTAGAGTCTGGATTAGAGCTGCGGTGGTGTCGACCGCCATGTTGGGGTGTTGGAGCGTATAGCTCTGGAGATGTCTGAAGGTGACGGTGGGAAGAAGAATGGAACAGGGCAATGAGTCCAGCAATGGTGGGTAGAGTGGTCTATCTGACCCTGTGTATGAGTTGTTGTGCCTGTAGTCCAGGAAAATCAAAAGGCAGGCAGGCGAAAAAAAAATCCGTTATCGATAGAGAAATGATAACAAATGACGGAGGAGGGATTGGAGAAGTCGTTCCTGGGCGTTGCGCCAGTGCCTAAAGCTAGTCGCTATTGGGGCATCTCTGGAGTACTCCGTAGGGCTTATGGACTTTCGTATAGGGGTACTCCAGGCTAGCCTAAAGTGACACTGGTCGCCTGGAATTTCCCGACAACGATCCCTAGACACTAGGGGCACACTAACATGTAAAAGCTAAAGTCCCTATGGTTCAGCAAAGTCCAAGTTGAACGGCCTGTTTCACCGACTTGACCACTGGAACATGATGTTCTTATCAATGATCGTCAAAGTTGTCTTTGAAGGATAGGTGCTCGAGCAAAATCTCTTGACCCAAAATATGAGTATTTCACAGTAAATCTGGTATTGACTGGGATGGTGACGGAGGCTGTTCGGGTGCAATCTTGATCGACCCCCTGACTGGTCACAGAAAGATTGTTCTAGAAGCCTAAAAGCGCGCCTAAAGCCTGTAAGCTCGGGTGATCTGAGGATCTCTCCCAGGTACTTGGACCCCCAGAGCCGCCATTGGGCCATAACTGTCTTGCCAACAGTTGGTCGATCCGGGGCAGATTGGGTGTAGATGGTCGAGAGACTTGAGAGGCGTTCAGGCCTCGAGGTTCCAATGGTTCCCTACAAGGTACAACCAGGTAGTTATAATAAGTTACATCCTTTTGATCCTCTTTGATGCTCGAATCTAATGTCGCCATTGAGACCCAAAGTCTCCGCCTGTGGCCCAAAACAGAAGACTTCAGAAGGGCTGAGGGTCTCTGGTTGACAGCTTCGCTTCGCTTGGACCATCAGAACCAAACCATGACGTCGAAAATCTCCTTTTAATTCACTGAACCAGATCAAGACAAGGGCACCGCGAGAGTCTAAGGGAGAAAGAAGACTGGGTCAAAGAAAGACACGAATCCACAAACACAAACACGCATTCTGCTCGCTGTACTCTACTCTCTCGAGTCTACAATTCTCTTACACATGCATCCATACGCGCTCTTACTCACACATTCCTCGTTCATTCAGATACAAGGCTGATCATGCCAACGTCCTCTGTATCCTGGGGAAGACATCTTTTGATGCCATTGACATTACTGACACTAACAAAATCCCCCACTCAAACCCATGTTTCCAGGTACTGAGTTCGCACCATCCCGCACCAACCTCTCCCTAGCCTGCGTGCTGCCTGCGCACGACCGTTAGGCCTTCGCCGCATCGTTGGGTGCTCAGCCCGTCTTAGGATCATGGGCACTCCCATTCATGATGCTTCCCATCCATACAACCACCCGAGTCGCCCTGCAGCAACATCCTCCAACCCTAGGTCTAGTGTACCTGACACTGACACGTCCACCCCTGGCTGGCCTTTACATGCGTCCGTTTCCAGCGCATCCAATAGGCCAATTCGCTCCGACACGTCGCCACAGGATGCGGAATGGCCTCTATCGACCACGAACGTCACAACCTCAACCTCTCCACGAGAATCCCAAACAAGTCTCAACACAAGGGCCCCGACGATCAGTAGCCTGACCTCCACTGCCTTGAGTATACCTCAGATCCGTGTCAATCAATCCTTCCAGCCAGACAGTGATAGCAAGACATGGTTCAATCCGACCCTCGAACGATCATCCTCAAGTACATCAGTTCCCCGCAGACAATTTCAAGAAAAGGATAAACACGTCGATGGTCTTTCTTCCCATCCCCAAGACTTCTCGTTGAACATTGACATCCCTCTCGGAGGCTTTGCCGAAGACTTGTCTGACAACACCTTTGAGTTCTCTAATCGGGGGAGCATGCTGATCGATGGGAAAAGACTCAACAACACCGTCAGGGCTTCGACTACGCTTACGCCCATCATGGATGATGAAACGAAAGTGGCCATCGAGGCCACAGCCCAGCAATCCCAACACCCTCCACCAGACACTCCCTACCAACAACCTCAGGATCATCCACTGAACACTCCCTACCAGCATCCGCAAGACCCTCCGCCAGCCACTTCCTCCGCCGCTCCATCTCGCCCTGTCACCACTTCCTCCAGTCATGAAAAGCCTGTCGCCAGACCATTGACCACAGAAGAGGAGATTCTTTCCGAAAGAGTTCGTGCCTTTTACACTGCCGGCACCGATGAACCACACCCAACCTCTTCCAACACCAATCTAGCCGCTCAGATGGGTGGCCGGTGGCAAGCCACACTCACCACCGACCTTCACGGCGGAAGCATTCCCTCTCTGTCCCGCGCGACATCTACCACCGACATGAATGAGGACAACGTCAGCTCACGGAAACCAAGTGTCGCTCCGTCTGGCTCGGGTCCGCTTTCACTGCCGCACGATCGGGAAGAGCTCGAACTCGCTGGAGGCTTGGAGGATTGGAAAGACGTGGATAACGCCGACGTCGATCGCTACGGCTTCATCTTAGCCAGAGCCCCCACAACCTCTACCGCCCCCCAAACCGCCGATGCCTCCAAAGCCCAGAAGCTCACCCGCGTCTCCACCAGTCTACAATTGGCCTCAGAAACACCAAGGAGGAAGAACACTCTCCGTCGCGCTCCAAGCAGCGCCCATGGCTCCATCAAATCCAACTTCAGCAGGCACAGCACCAGCAACCCCGACCAAACTCCCACACGTCCAACCAGTTCTCAAAGTGCGTATGCTCGAAGCTCCCTAGGAAGACGGAGTACGTCCTCCAGAGTGCCTCTCCCAGGGTCCAAGACTCGTCGATTGATGGAGACTGCCGGAAATATGTTGACTCTCCCCAACACCGCGCATTCAGTCATAGAGAATGGTCATATCCATGTCGATGATGCGCGAGCCAAACGAAAGGAGATTGAGCGAGAGGAGAAATGGCGGAGAATGGCACGTCCGCTTCCCAAAAAGATCGATCCAAAGACAGGTCTTCCCATCGTTGGCGGAGGGAGTAGCACTACGAGCGCTTTTACCTTCGACACCACATCGCCAAAGGTCGTGGAACGCACCTGGAAAGGCATCCCAGACAAGTGGAGAGCAACAGCGTGGCACAGCTTTCTGTCCAGCTCAGCTTCGAAACATAAAGACTCACTTCCAGACGATGTCCTCATTGAATCGTTCCATCAACTCCAATCCCAACCCTCTCCAGATGATGTCCAGATCGACATCGACGTCCCTCGCACCATCAGCTCTCACATCATGTTCCGCCGTCGATACCGCGGTGGTCAGCGTCTCCTGTTTCGGGTCCTACATGCCATGTCTCTCCATTTCAGCGAAACTGGTTATGTCCAGGGAATGGCCGCCCTCGCCGTCACCCTGCTGGCATACTACGACGAGGAGTTGACATTTGTCATGTTGGTCCGAATGTGGCAGTTGAGAGGTCTGGAAGAGTTGTACAGGGCTGGTTTTGGTGGGCTGATGAGTGCTTTGAACGACTTTGAAACATTATGGTTGGGCAAGGGAGAAGTGGGAAAGAAATTGGTAAGTTTTGCAAGTTTTGAACACGGCATCCGCTCTATTCCACGCAGAAAGAACACCTGAGCTCACTTTACGTGTTTTTAGGACGATCTCAACATCACGCCGACTGCTTATGGCACTCGCTGGTACCTGACTCTGTTCAACTACACCATGCCCTTTCCTGCCCAACTCCGCGTCTGGGACGTGTTCATGCTCCTGGGTGACGACACCTCACGACTACCAACTCCTAATCCGTCGTCACTGCGTCCTTCGAAGGCCTCAGACAACAACGATGGCCTCTATGATTTTGGCACGACTCTTGATGTGCTACATGCAACGTCCGCCGCTCTTATCGATGGCATGCGTGATATACTACTGGCCTCCGACTTTGAAAACGCAATGAAGGTCTTGACCTCATGGGTTCCGATCCAGGATCCCGACCTCTTGATGAGAATAGCCCGCGCCGAATGGAAAATGCATCTAAAGAAACAGGGGACATCGCGATGATTATCGCGACAATCATCACGACTCACCGGAATACCACCATTCCGGCATGCACATGAAACGGCATGATAAAAGAGAAAACTCACGCAAAAGGCCCCATCCTGAAATCGCATCCAAAGCCCTAATACATGCTCAACAAAGACCCATCCTTTTGCTTTGGACCAGCATCCCACAGGGGCCTCTCCATGCCACTCATGGTATGACAAAACATTCATGTTCACTCAGATATAATTTCTCATAATGGCGCTATATACCCACTGATCATGGATCAGATGACCGCGATAACTAATTACCCTAATACATTATTGTAATCGACGAGCCATATCAAACTGTCCAATTCCTCCATACATTTCCAAGCGACAGCCCTATCCCTCCGTGTCTTCTCGGTGCTGGTGATATTGTGTCGTTAGTCGTCGATAGCCATCGCAGAGTAGTAACATCCTTCATTCGTCTGATACGATGGGCCCCCAAGTCCATGTGTGCAGCAGGTCCTGTTTGTTCCTACACCGCATGTCGTGCACCACAATATCACTCAAAGCCAACATCAGGCCTAAGTCAATATGCCTCGAACATCCCAACATCCTTGTCGACACAACGACCCGAGGTCCAGGCCACTTCGAAAGGCATCAAAGCGTTCAAACATGTGCTCGAAGCAGCATTCACGACAAGTTCCAGACCGGTCTTTGGTGCTCAATTCTGGAACAGGCCGCCAACATTATCTCAGAGTCGCTGACAGCTACCCAGTCCCATCGTAACAGTGCCAGGTGCCAGGGTGCCTAACAAGGTGGTTCCTAAAACCAAAACACAAAATGCGCCCATGCGAGCGGATCAACCTACCAAAGTCAACATTGTTTGGTGAGTCTAGTTGTCGACACCTGTTTCCACCAAAAGGAGAAGGGGCATCTAGGCACATCTCAGCACACAGGGTCATCTAAGGGATCGACATGACATGGTCGCCATCAGGGACAGTGTACGCAAACCCACGGATTGACAATGAGACAACAAAAACTCAAGTACAGTACTTACTACGTTTCCTGTACTCCATAGATTTAATCGGAACCGAAAGGGTCTAGGGGTGATCAATTGCCAGTTGATCCGATGATGAGAATTCCTTACTCCGTAGGCAAGCTTGGTCCACGTGCTGATCGACAATTCATATCCTTGGAAAACGTGGCTTGCTCCATGTTTGCCATGCGAGACAAGCGAGACGAGATTGTCGATCTTTTCTCCAAAAGAGCGAGGGCCAACCACCACACCTTCCAAGACAGGACATACCGGGACAAAGAAGGGTTCATTTTCCTCCCTCCTTTTGCTTGAGTGGTTCCATACGCAGTGTCCGACTCGTCGGTGTCAAAAAAGGTAATCTCGGCGATCCCTTTCAGATCAAGGCTGGTTGCTGATGCTGGGCATCTAAAGCGTTCATGTGACGAAAGGGTCATAATCACGGCCACATACTCCGTATACAACCAACTTATTTACATGTGCGAGACTGACGACTCACAGTCGTCGGACCAACATAAGGAGAAACGCCACAGTCGACGTGATGGAAACTTGGAGGCCTTTTCCATGGTTTTGGAGGTCTTTAGATTCGTGGCTGCATGGCCCTAGAGTTCAACACTTCGCCTGATCAAGGCATCTGGCCGAAGGGTGGCCCACGGGGTGTCCCACCTACGGTGTGCTATGAGCCAGGGGGGCGGTGAATGTCCAAGGTCAACTCAGTCGCATACTTCGTATAGTGTTGTGTACACGAGAGCCAATTCAGCGTTAACCCCTAGGGTTCGCTGAGTTTCCTGGATGTCCCCAAAAGATGAAGTCAGTGGCTGGACCCCTTTGCCGTGAACCGTGGTCCACGGGGCGCTGCCATGTGTAGATTCATCACGCCTTTGTGGAGAAACACCCGAGATTCCCCTCAACTTTTCCAGGAGAGTTTCCGGCACCCCAGACCGATAGTTTGGAATTTTGGGCCGGCCCTGGATGGGTCGACTGGTTTTTTGGTACCATGGCTCAAGAACCCAGTCGAGTCAAGTGAATCGAATCCTATCACGTTATTGCTCATTTTGACTATCGACTTAAGAACTATATTAGGCGAGGGCGGTGAATACTAGTGGGCTGTTGGAAGAGCCGCAACAATAATTAGGAGAGAGAGGCCCTTCCTTGGGACGTCAGTCTGATCCATTGTTTTCAATATGGCCCCGAGCCGGGGACATCTACCCTCAAGCTGCAATAGTCAGCAAGGGGACCGAATACCAACGCACGGTTTGGAATTCATCGGTCGAGGTCACAGCCGAGGTTTGCCTCAAACATACGTCTTTCTCCCTGGTTGGTAAACCATGCCAGTCCAACTTGACATTGACGGGGCCAAATAATGGATCACCTCCAGTCATGTCAGGGTGTGACAGCGAGGATGTAATGTACTTAGTCTGTCTCCTTGTTGGCCTGGTGAGAAATTTGGGAAACCTAGTTAGATCCGGAGAATTGAGCGTGGGTGATCGGCAGCCATGGATCTTGAAGCGAACGATGGCGCATCTCCCACTAGCAACTAGTGATGGGTATTTGTGATGCGTCCTTGCTGTCATTGAACACGCTACTACTCCGTAAGGCCGATTGAGAAGTCGTCGGCAGTCAAAATTCCTTGGGTGAGCGCCAACAGATCCAGCAACTCTTCGGTCGTGGACGGGACCACCCCACAGCTGGTGAGGCAACCGTGTGCACACTTGTCGAGCGGCATTGGCCGTAGTTGAACACCACAAAAGCCGACTTGGAATGAGGGCGAAAGCGAAAAAAAGTTCTCATGGCGGTCGTATTGTGAGCAATCACGAGCTGAAGCGCGTTCTCCACGAACACCCAGATCACCAGAGCGGTTGGCAGTGGCAACTCGCGTGGTCAGATCCCTGATACCTCGTGCGAGCCAAACGTTGACATCCAAAGCACCATACATAAAGTTGTTACACATATACTCCGTAAGGGCACAGGATTGAACTCGACAATTTTCTCCATTGCGCTTGTTCTCGTTGGGTAAAGACACATTGACACCCCACTGTCCATGTCAGGCCAAATCCACCCCATAGTCGGTAGCATACAGGCGAGGTTTCCACCAACGGACGATTCGCCATGAGGACTTAGCGTGGTCCAGGGTTTCGGGGTCGCAATTGGTGCCGAGACCCAGTGACAGACTGGGATACCGAGACTGAAAGCGGCGATCGCCTTGATCATGACATCCTAATGCGGTCATGGATTTTAGCCCCAGGGCGACCACCACCAGGCCACCCGGTTGGCTGTACTGTGGACAAATGGGCGTTGTAGTCCAGATGCATTCAAAGACCCCGATCTCGAGAACCATTCGTGCCATTGTGGCTTGCCAGTCAATACGGATTGAGCGAGTTCGATGACCAACTCAGTCGTTGCCAGTGTCATTTACCCTGGGTCCTCCCCTTACTCCGTAGTACGGAGTAGTCGGTACCATTTTTCGCCTTTGCAAGTTTTTTGACATCCACTGACCTCGCTCTCGGTCCTTGGTACTAGAATACGAGCGCCTTGTCGTTTGTTCATTTTCCCGAAACAAGTCTTCCAACCGCGTCTCGCGCCGTGGCAACGAGACACCGACTTGCCTTGTGCTCGGTCGGTAATTACGAATACTGAGAATGCGCTAGCTCACGCATTTACGAACCTTTGAGTTGGGTGCGTCTACGAGTACGGAGTAGAGGGGCAATGTCACTCTCAGTAAGTAGTGCTCGGATAATTCACCCACCTTTGTGCCGCCTCGAGGGCTGGGCATTCTTTTTGAGTCGATATCTGCTCTAGAGCCATACAGCCACACAGCCACACAGCCAGCATATGCTTACGAGGCCTGAGTTTGACTCTAAGCGACGAGAAACAAACATGGGTAGATATGAGGGATGTCTCTTTTTGGGACCTTCCTGTCTTGGAGCCGGCGGGCATCTCCCTCAGGTTAGATATATAATGATTGCATATTGCTCAGGGTTAAGCTTGCAGTAGTTGTGACACCGGTGTGAGCTGTCAGTCCGAGTCCAGGAGATCATTTGCCAGTATGAGTAGAAGTTTCAAGTGGTTGTGTCGATCCAAGCAATAGTGTCCTTCAATTGAGTCTAACGGACTTTCGCCAAACGGTTCAGGCCTCCCTGTAATTCGTGATGATGGCCTGGGTAATGAGCCTGAGACGGTTGGGAAGTTTGCATAGCATAGCCAAACCTACACAAGGCATCATGCTATGCGAGCTGACGTCGTTTAATTCTCCTGGCCACCCATATCACGTCGCATGGGCTTTCCCAAGCCCGTTCGGGGTCTGATAATAACCAAACTCAGACATGCAATGGCCATATCCGGTCAGGGTCTTGTAGATGATGTACCTAGTATAGTGATGACTTCGCTGTATACATATTCTGAAGAACAGCTTCGTGCCATCAATGCGGACCTGCGAAGAAGCTCTGATACTCATCCTTCGAGACCTATATCACACGCCAGACCCATCATCAGAGGTCAGGACCGTTGATTCACGATGTATTGAAATTAGTCATTAGGTAGTACATAAAACGTCCCATCTACAATGGAACATAGGCAACCCTTTGGCGTTTTGTTCGACCTGTGCGGGTATCGTAGATCATTTCCTGCCGTCCGGACATTCCTCATCAATCATCAGTATACTAATAGCACGAATGCAAAAGCCACCACGCCGATCATCGAGGGTCTTGTCTCACACATCGGCCGCGCGAAGGACTTAATCTTACCTTCTGTCTGATCTGACGTTTTGCGTTTGTGGCGTCTCGAGTCGAGATTGATGCTCGGCAAATCGACCTTCTAGCTACAGTATTGAGGTATTGCTACAGATATGGCTGCCACGCTGCCCCTGCTCAGATATGCATTCTCGTCGTGGGGTGATCGTCGACATTATTGGACTCTAGACGAACCTAAGAATCTCCAGTGATCGTCCCGCCATCGCTTTTTCACGACAGTCAACCGATAGTCAACCGATAGCCATTGAGAGCCGAACCGTCCCTTCGTCTTCCTGGCGCGACCCGAAAGGTGCACGGAACTTCTGATGATCTGACAAGTGCGCTTTCCCTTTCCATACCGGGGAGGACTTTATCGACGAGAAATGAAAACATGTGCAACATAAGGAGGAGTGGTCCCTCGACACTCTACGGAGTATATACAACCTTCGAGGACCAGCATGCTATTGGCTTTTGGCCAGTGAAGGGAAAGGGTTTGCTGCACCACCTGTCCAGGCTCCTTGACATGAACAATTGGCAATCGCCCGTGCAGACAGCTAGGGTATAATTCATTGATAATGTCTGTGTCACGATGAGATGCTGTCCTTAATCTTGCAAAGTGTCCATTTGCAGCTATGTCCTAGGCTTCGTCACTGCTTTACGAGGTCTTGCGCGGCACGACAACGAGGGGCTGGTCGTTGGAAGGATTCTGCTCAAGCAAAGCACCTCCTTTAGGCGCAATGACCCGTGTTGTTGACCAGAAGAGGGCAAAGCCAAGGCCAAAGGATCTTGTTAGGGTGAATGCAGAGCAATGACAGGGCCAAATTTAAGGGTGAGCATGCCGTAGCCCTAATTTGCACACGCACATGCGTATGTGTACACACGCACCAGTGTCTGGAAAGTATGCTGGGAAGAAAATAGGCGAGGGGCGTTTCAAAACCAGTCGGTTGTATGCGTATGCGTAGGTATGTACGGAGTAGCTCGCAAGAGTGACGACAGACCAGTCCACCGGATTTGGGCTACGATCTACATTTGTCAATCCAGCAAAGTAATGATCGACAACAAGTATCAGTACCACACGTGTGGCATTGGCGTCCGGCCGCCGTGTCTCGAAACCATGTGCCACTGCCATGAGGGTTGCCCGTGGCCGCCATGTGAGGAGCCATGGAGCCAACACGCGTGCCGACAGGGATCAGCTTTGGGCTCAAAAAGTCGTCATAAGCTTCGTTTGTTGCAGAGTTAGGTCGGTGACGGTTCTCTCTAGGCGTGCCTAAGCTTGGTCTAGGTGCCTCTCGGGCAAAGATCACCACTGTGATGGACGTGATTGACACTCAACATGACTGCTTAGGGCCTGTCCACCGACCCCTTCATGCTGCCTAGAGACACTTCCTCGCACCCCAAACCCCATCTGGATTTCAAGTGTACGGGGTCTCCCTGCAATGGTGAGTTCGCCATGATGCAAGCGACTTGATAAGTCCTGTACTGTAGCATGGATCACGCCACAGCGCCATGGATGACATTTGCCAGGCGACCGGTCTTTGGCTATCACTCGATTGACATGGGCGCCGATTGGGATCTAGTGAAGGCAAAAAGTTGAGATACTATTCTAATAGTAGAGACAAGGTAGGAAATGCTCTAGATGTTCCCTCCCTTTATACATCCGAATCTCGCTGCGGGCTAGAAGCAGCTTGCCGTGAACCGAGATCGATCTGGATCATATCGGCCATTATGCGCGATAAAAAGGCTTCTCGAAACCTGAACATGTTCGAGCCAGTCTTAGAATTAGCTTAAGACGCATTTTTGCCAGCAGAAGCAATGCAGGGCATCCAGGAAGCTTCCGAGGCGGCAAGTCAAAGGGACCGCGGAGAGTTGTGCGTCTGATTCTGATCCATCACATCCTGCATGGATGGCAGGCTAGAGTTTTGGTCCAACGCAGGGTACGCTTCTAACATTGGGACAGGGACATCGAGGCGAAGAGGACAAGCAGAGCAGTGTTTCTACTACTTACTCCCTAGGCACGAGTACTCTTCCTCCGTACAGAAACTACCTTCGTACAGAAAATAGTGGTAGTCTTGCGCATGGCGGCATGCCACGGTGCCACGATCTTGATGCGCTTTTGGTGCCAAATAAACCCGAAATATTGTGGATATCGAGGGGCCAACGCTTGCCCACTGCTTGTGCCCTCGACTTCCCGCCTGGGTTTGGCTCTGGTCGAGATAGACTTTGACCAGTTCAACTGTCCAAAGTCAATGTGTCAGCCCCGGTCCCTGGATCCTTGTTTCTGGTGCCACTGGTCCCTGCTTTCCTGGTTGCCAGCATCTAGAGCTAGCCAGACTCGACTTGTTGATCCTGGTGGATGCTGCACGCCGTTCGCCAGTCGCCATTCTGCTTGGGCCAACGCCTCCACCGTTTGGGACATGACCGCTTGCCTTTGCATGAGGTCAGGTCGCTTCCCATTTTTCCAGTCCCAGAGTAGCCACTGAGTAGCGAAACAAAACCTGATACGCGACCGCCGCCAGCCGCCTGAGCCACCGTGGGCCCTGGGTGATGATCCGGGCTCTCCAGTCCGTCGATCGAAGCGGCAGCTGAGCCACGCATGGAATTTCCTGCTCCATCATCTCCATTACCACATCTGTCCCAACCTGTGTCCACGTCGTCTCACTGGTCCATAATCCCTCCGATGCCCCGATCGTTTCCCACTTGGGTCGCGCTTGGATGTCTCCTCCAAGGCATGAGCATTTGGAGACCTCCAGGCTCCTCACCCTGAGGCCGCTGGAGGAACTAACCAACTCTGGTGGTTAGGCGAGTGGCCAGGTATATACAGTACTGGTACAGTACGCTCATACCTGGGAGACAGGATTACGGCACAGCGATATTAACGTTCGACCGGTCCGTGAATACCTCGCTCGATTCCCTCCTCCTGGTCTGTCTTTGTCTAGTCACTTGTCAGTCACCAGTTCCCTGTTGAGCGTTGCAACGGTTCTGGAGCCCGCCAAAAGTCTCGTGGCTCCCACCAGCGTCTTAAGTCGGCTGTCGGCTTCGATCTGCCCTACTTTTGTGGAAGGTCTTTTGCATGGGACAGCGCTCGCTCCATCGTATGATCCTGATACGCTACACACCTCGACTTTTCCTCATACCCTGGCTCGGTCGCTTCCCGTTGCTCGTACCACGCCTGGCCGCTAGCATCCAACGTCCGGGCCCTGCTCCTGCTCATTTCCATTCCGTTTCCGCCCTCCATTCCTCTTCTGGCTTCTCTGTGTTCACGCCTAAGCTTCTTCCAGGACCACACCTCTCTCCACAGGCTGCAACTTGCATCGCTCTGCGTGTCAGGATATATCCATTATCAAGGCTTTCACTCGGCTTGGGTACCCAGGTTTACTAAAGTTTATTAGCAAGTTGTGGTCTTGTTCGGATATATCCTGAGGATCCCTTTTGATCTTTGACACACTACATGCCCACTGGTTCGAAACTAATCGCCATTGAATCATATACTCCAGAAGCCAACGTAACAGGGACCCATTACCACGTTTCGATCGACATCAAGGCCTTTGGTTAACTTCTACTACTCTGGATGGAACCAGCCTTTCTTTGGACAAGAATCAAGCCATTCATCACACTCGGACCCTGGCCTGCAAGATCTCAGAAAGCCACACCTTCGATCCTGGTCGGAAGCCCGGTCCCTCGCTTCTTGACATAACTACCCACCATCTCCCAATCCTCCAACATCTTGGAATTCTTGCCTGAGATCTCACCTAGAGGTCTTGCACTGTCGCCAACCCAACGTCACTGACAGCCTCCTGCAATCAACTTTATTCCCTCGTTTTGATATATACCAGACGCTCTTGTATGTCTTTCTTTGTATCCCAGACCACGGCACGGTTGTTCTATCGTTCATCCGTGCATCAACTTCCTTCACCTTCACTTGAACCGTTGACCTGTCGACCGCACTCATGTTACTAGCATTGAGTCAACCAAACTACCCGCAGACCGATATTAAGCCGCCTCATGAATACTCGGTTTATAACAAGGCAAATCCATCCAGGTATTCCCCACCTGAGTCACCTCGCCATCTACCATCCGTCTTCGAGGACAATAGGATGAACAACTCTCATCGAGGGTTGCCTCTACCTACAGGTCTCAATCTGCCTCCGCCGGATCGAGGGCACTCTGCTGCTCCGCCGTCTTTGGCATACTTGCCCGCACCTCCTTCACAATGGGCGGGCCAGGATGAGTCCATGCGGAGTTGGTTACATGCCAAAGCCGAAGAGGATCGCAGGAAACAAGAGGAGGAAAAGACTCGCCAGGAAAGCTTTCGATTGGAACAGAGGCGTATTGAGCAGACCATGTTACGAGAATCGCTACAGGGAGGGATTCCTCCTCCTATGGTCCCGCTAGTCTTTGCAGGTATCGGAGGGGGCAATCTTCCCTCCCACACTTTGGAATGGGCCCAGCAGTATCTTGCCTCTCTGAGTATTCAAAATCAACAGCAGCAGCAACAGATTCAAGCCCAGCAACAGCAGTTCCAACAGCAGATTCAACAGCAGCAACAGCAGAACCAGACTCAGACATCTCCAGTCCTCCCTCGAGACAGCCGGATAATCCCAGCGAATCCATACGGCGGGCAGCAGGGCCTGCAAGGAACACAATCTAGCAATCCCATTCCCCCTGCTCCTCCCGGACCTCCTCTTGGTCGGAATTCCATTTCAGCTCCCCAGTCCACCTCATCTCTTTCCAGACTGAATACTACAGAACTCATTCCCAATTCTACGACGGGGTCAACCAAGCAGCCAGTACATTCACTCCAACAGCAACAGCCGGCGGCGGCAGAGCCTGGCATTTTCTTCCATCACTGGACACCACCCAATCCATCCTCTGGAGGAAACCAACCTCCCACACCCTCAGGCAAGAGTGCGCATGGATCGCCGTTTTCACAGACCAATGCTTCGCATCTGCGAGCGGACTATCAGAACTCGCCCAAGAAACGCAAGGTGGCAGGCGGTGGGGCGGTTCACGCACCCACTTCTCAGCCATCTGATCCTTCACAGCCTCATTCAAGCCGCTCGTCACGAGAACGAGAGGTGTCACCCGGGCATCGATATCGAGCCAGGCGACATTCACGGCACCAGAGTGACGAGTCCATGCGTGACCAAGACAACGGTGGACGCACCGTCCCTCGGCCGAGTAGCCGACAACAACGTAGAGATGAGCTCAGCGGCGGCATGCCAGACCCAAGAAGGCAATTGACTGGGTCTTCGACCAGTGGATCGAGCGAGGACAATCCAGTTCGGTATGAGGGGTACAGAACATGAAACGCGGTAATTGTGCCACCCGACTGGTACGGAAATGAAGGAGCACGGATCGGGTAAGAGCAGCATTGCTGAGTGTGGAGGGGAAGTGTCTACCGTATCTTTCGGCTACCTCGATTGGCATCATAAGCTTGGTCATCCTAACTAGTCCAACTGTCCTTGTTCCAGCGTGAACGACTTGAGATGCACATCATCCTCGCCTGAGCCATTCGGTGGGCATGAGAATCAGCCAACAACAAGGGGGTTGGCCTGAATCGTTTTGAGGTATTTTGCACTGTTTCGCCAAGTATCTCCAATCAGACGACAGGTCACTCACGGGTTTGCTGGTCGATGTGGCCGACGCCACGCCATACTACGAAAGCTACTCGAAATTCAACATGTATTTGTTTTGTTTAGACTCCGCATCAGAAGTTGGAAAGACTATGGAGCGCAAAGAAGACGGTTGTCTAATGTCGCTTGCAAGGTTCTGGCCTTTGTGTACAAATTGAGAACAAAGTTCTTGATTTCCAGATGTGGGGAAGTGTGATGATATCAGGACCCAGCCTTACGAAATTGAGTGGAATACCCATAGCCTCCTGTAACATGATGAACCAAATTCGTCTAGTGAGATGATGATGATGTGATTTCGGATCAGGCCTTGCGTCGATGTGAGATTTGGCTGAGTTGAAGCGAGCATAGGCGACATGGACCAGGGGGTTCCAAGTTCGTGGGGATCGAGTCTGTCCGGATTCAGAATCGAGACGACCCAGTGAGCCACGACCGTTTGGGGAGTTGCAGAGAGAATACTCGAGCCAGACTAAGCGAGAACCTGAAACATGACGAGCATGGCAGGAATAGGCTTTTGTGGAAATTACTGGTACATATCGAGATATGCGATGTGAATGCCTAAACATCGGGCAACAAGCCACATGGACCCGCAACCCAACATGAAACATGACAGAAAAGCCTTGACTTGTCGTCGCCATGAACAATTGTCACCTGCGCGCCGGCCCGTGAACTGCTCATGCCAATGGCCAAAAGTCCCGAGCAAAAGGCCCAAGCTCGCGCGCGAATCGGTGGAGACTAGTTCATCAGCAAAGATGAGAGTGGGAACAACAACAACAACAAGAACAATGGTTGATTCCACAGAGGAAAGCCCCATCTCGTATTTTGCACGGCCTCCTCTTGTAGTACTTCGGCATCTCCACATAATTTCAAGCGACCGTAGTGGGAACTACATTCCTGTCCCATTGTAATGATACACGACGTGGTTGCACACGACAATACGACATGCGAGTGTTTGGATCATGGACACCAGAATACGATGGGGCTCAGTGCAGATTCCAAGTAAAGCCACGAAAGCTCTAACCTCTGGAGACACGGGCCATTTTGGGTGTCAAAGTGGTGCGGCGGCTCTAAAGCTTGAGCATATTTAGCAAGATGAAACACGGCCAATTTTGTTTCAGAGCGACCACCCAAAGCACGTGTCCACCAGCAACTTGACTTGTAAATGGGTACCAGGGACAGAAGTGTTCGGGGTGTGTGGGCTCGCCCGTAACCCCGTGGGATTTTCGCCGGCTAACTGCAAACTGCCTGTCAGCTGTCGTCCCCAGGCCTGACCTCAACCTGATACACTCGCCATACTCGCCGTCGATACCTGGGACACTCCTAGATCCGTGCAAGTCCGCCTGTACGTACAAGTAGGCGAATACTCAAACGAGTTCGTAGTCCAAAGATGAGACTCATCAGGGCCAGGATTAGCTGTTGACGCAAACTTCCTATCTCGGTACTGCACCTCATTTCGCTTGTCCTTTCGCCCCAGAAGCGATTCAAGCAAACTTACGCATATCCACACATAGGCTAGAAGCGTGTGAACGCCATTTGTTTCTTACTAGTATCTCCCTGTTGTTTAAAGACTCGCTCTGACCACCGTCTTCCTTCGAGGTAGCAGCGGCAACCAAATGTAGTGTGACATTCTTTGAAACCCTCCTCTAGCCTATCCCAACGAGATGGGGTCATTGAGTGTATCGCAGCAAGCTCATCAGACGTCTTCGTCGTGGAAAAAACCTCAAGCACTTGCGGCTAGCTGGTTACAGATTTCAGTGACTTCTGTCATCTCGCAAGGCATCCTTCTGAGCAGAATACGGTCGCAATAAGCAAAGCAGTAACCTCTTCGGGTTGAATTCCCAGCTGAAAACATCCATGAAACTATGGCAGACTTGATTGGGTCTTGGGTGGGTTGGAGCCAGACTTGACCAACATTATCATCCTGTGTACCATCGTTAGACGGTTCTATCAGCTCGACCTCGTAATAGTATTGACTTGATCTACACTTCTCCCGGCTTCCATGTCTCCTGTGAACTCCTCATCCAGTGCTCTGAAACTCTTGCAGTCTTGCGGTCAAAAGTGGTTGGCTTGCAATGTGCATTCTTCACGCAGGGTATCGCAGTATCAGCTCTCGTACGATGAGTCTCCGCCAGCCAGTTAGATGCCTCTCTGCATCCATGTCAGGATTTCCATGGGGGTCTGATGTACGAATCTACGCAGACTTGGACTTCGGTGTTATACTTGGCTGAGCTAGGTGTAAGCTGTTCACTCTAAATATATCCAATACCTAATCAAGCACAGTTGGATGCGGTCTCCGCCTCTCCAAGGACTGTGATTGGATCTCTTCACCTCGCTCACGTCAAAGAAGCATTTATGCCTGAAGTCGAATTCATCGTGGCCAGTATCTGGTTACTGGCAGAAAATATTCTTCCTTCGATGATAAGTCCAATTACTGCATCATTAGACTCTCACATTGTCAATGTCAACCAGGAAGAACACTGAGCATCGCGGAAGATCACGCCGCTAAATGCCACGCAGCTGGGTCAAGTAGTTCACACTACCGAGTGACTACCAGACCCGGTATATCGAGTTTGCCAATATCTCTCCCACGTTCCAACTTGGCCTTTTTTCACAGCAACTCCTACACTCACGTACCCGTCGTTCGATGTCATGATTGGCAGATGCATTCATATCGCAAGCAACCCCTTTTCAGGGCCATAATGGCATGAGTTCGAATGCCTTCCCATACTCTTGAAGGCATTGAGAAAATTGCAGAGAATTAGCAATTGTCGTCAACAGCCAGCCTATCAAAGCAGGGAACAAGCCCAGCGAATAGGAAAACCCACGCCGCCACAGAGAAGGATCGATTAGCGAGGGACTGCAGATCGCGGACGACCCAACCTAGATCAATGCATGCCGGAGGACCAGGGCCGGGGGCACTATGCAAGATAGACTGCATGTGAGGAACCGAGATGCAGAGTGCATCGAGTGGATCGTGGGAAAAGCCTCTGGGCCAGGCTTGACAAGAGGCCAAAGAGTTCGAGCAGCGTCCCAAGGCTGAATGGCCCGAACGGTTGGACGGGATGACCTCGACCTGCATATGACCTTGTTATAAGGGAAAGATGTGCCTAACATTGCTCCCTTTGCGGAAATGTCAGTCCGAATCTTCACGTAAGAGGACATTGAGGGAAAGCGAGCTACTCACTGGCGCACGGACTAGAGACCTCTGTCAAGGCCCGGATGTGGTCTACCATTGGCGGATGCGGGAATGCAATAGCTCGATGCAACATCAGAACTTACGTCTACGAAGTACACATAGTCGACGGTACCGAACAGCAACTCTACCCGTCAAGGTCGGACCACAAGGTAGCCAGCCACTGGATGCAAAAGGAGACACTCATCATTCATGAAGGGGTACGGCATTCACAGCCGCGCAACTAAAGGAAGCTGGGTTTTCCTTCAGGGGCTCTACAAAAGCTGGGGCTGGGGCTGGTGGACCAAGGTCAATAAAGATGCTTAAGGACAGGATTTCAAAGCCTAGACGGGTATTCTTGCGGTCTCCAAAACGGTTTTCATGGGCGATCTTTTGGCTTTTTAACGTTGTGGTGGAGCCCGTGGCCTCAACGGCCGGGTATAGTTGCTCCTGAACGGGCGATGAACAGGCGCCAAAAGGGGGTCCGTTCCCACAAACCGCTTTTGAGTGGCACCACAAGCAGCCTTTGCCCCATGAATCACATCCGAACGATGGTTCTGTTCGCCTCTGCATCGTCCAGTACGTTGCCAGATTCGTCACCATTCCTATACTCCATACTGCGGGAGTTGGTGGCGTCCATGGGGGCCAAAACTCTCGCGAGGCTGTCTCGTGGCGAGCTGAATATTGACACATGCAAGCTGAATTCACCGAGACTGATAAAAGCCCGGGTCCGCTAGACTTGTGCGTTCAGTTCTTTCTGGCCTTTCTTCGCCGTATCCCTACTGCAATCATGCCCTACTGTATGGATGATTTGGCCCAGCGACTTTCTACCAGGTCAGGGGTAAATCGAAGCCATAGGTTGGCCTTCCAGTGACACCACCTCTGGCCTCCGTTTGAGGCTCAGGGACGCGTTATGTTCACAACATCCCTGACCAAGTTTCCATGCCATGCCCAGGGCCCGTGTTCCCCAACATCGTGCCCCGCAGGATCGACCAGGAGACGTCCTCTGAATACCTTTTCAAATACCAGAACTCAAGCCTTTATCACTTCTTTCCCAACTACCCGCTCTATGGCCTCCAGCGGAAGGAAGTACTTCTCCATGTCATATTGTGCAGGCAGTCGAGAAAGGGCTATACGTGGGGACAAATGGCTGTGAACCCGGTCAAGAGGCAAGGCACACATGCATCAGAGCTCCTTTCAAGGCGATATTTCCAATTGAAGGCTGGACCCTACTAGATTGTGTCAACGATATAACTACATTAAATCGCTCCATGCTAACTACAGAGTATATCAATTGAGCAACTTTTCAAGATTCTTTGTGGCAGCTTCCAATAAGACCGGGTGATAGCCCTGAGCCTTAGCCTCCTCAATGACTTGGGCCTAATGAGTTCGAATGTTAGCACGCAACGTTTCGCTCATTTGGCAACGAGACAGCGCAATTCTGGACGATATGGGCAGACTTACTGTTCTTGACAGCGAATTTCCAAACTTCTCCTTGGCATATTTCTTGAACGCAGCTTCATTTCCTTCTGAATCCGTGAATGACAGAGGAATAACCTCAGAGAAAACGGTGCTTCCACCTGCGGCGCCAGAGATGATGCTGAACCATTGTTTTCTTTGCTCTTCTTGAACGAGATCCAGCGATTTAGCGAAAATGGTCGTTTCAAACGCAGATGTCAAATGGATGACGGCATGCGCCACGGCAACATCCTGAAGTCTCGCGTCGTGCTCTTCAGCAGCGACAGACGGGTTTTTAGCTCTTTCCACCGCGAGGCCTTCTCTCTTGGAACCGAATCCGAGATAGTACTGAGCGATACAACTATCATCGGCGCTCGCGTGTGTCTTCATGACCTCCTTGATGACCTCGCTGGCTCTGTTGAGCAGGGGTAGTTCCACATTTAAGCGCACCTCCTCGTCTCGAATGATCCCGACATCTTTATCAATGATGGCCGTGGCGGAAGCCATGGGCGGTGTAGCGCTCAGGACTCTCGGTCCGCGGTTTTCAAACATCCAACTCCATCCCAAGACTGGTTTCCCGGCAGAGTCCTTCTCGATCAGTGTATCGTACAGCTTTTGGGTGTCGAGACCTAGAACTGCAGCCAAGCCAAAGATCTCGCCTGTGGCTGCAATGTGGATACCGCACATAACTTGATTCAGCGCTTTGGCAGACTCGCCGCCACCAAGAGATCCGGGAATAGCATATAAAGTCTTGCCTTTGCTAGCGACGTTTTCAAGGACCGTCTTGGCATCGGGCTGCTGCAGGTTTGCAGGATCATCGGAGGCAGTCATAATGGTTAATGTGCCATTGATTGACCTGGCTACGCCGCCAGAGACGGGGGCGTCGATCAACTTGACGTCGGGACGGTTGAACTCTTTAGTGAGCCTCTCACGCACGTTGGCAGGTTGGGTCGGAGGAATGGTAGCATGGATAATAACAGTAGAGTCCTTGGGAAGAGCATGGACTGCGCCAACCTTGTCGTCGAAAAGAGCTGAGTGGACGTGATGATGGTTGGCAACCATTAGACACACCACAGTCGCATCCTTGACTGCCTCAGCAGGCGACTGGGCAGTAGATGCTCTCGATGCTGGGATGTCGTTGCATGTTGACTGCCACCGCTCCAAGGTCGGACCATAGATATCGAATCCAGTAACTGGGAACCCCGTTCGGACGAGATGTGTTGACATGGCAAAGCCCATAGCCCCCAGGCCAATGAAGGCTACTTTAGGGAAAGTCTCTGAGGACATGTCTGCCTTTGGGGAGTTCTCTTCTCCTGGATTTCAGGTAGAGATATACCACGCAAGGTATATTAGCCGGAGACTGATTGTCCAACGACTGATGCGAGGTACACAATAGGAGCGGTCTCCTGAGGTGGTCGAGGCAAAACAAAGAGAAAAATGAGAACCTTTCGAGCCTTCAACGAGGATCACGCCTTTTGCATTTCAACTGCCGAAAAGATGGTAGTAGATTCAAGGCCTGGGCAGCCATCACAGAAGCTATATACCATCAGTGATCTAATGGCTCTACGGTTAAATTCAGATGGAACCCCGGCAAACGACGGCTTCTATGCCGACGTAAGGAGAAGGATGCGGGGGGGAAGTGGAGCGTCCCCTCGGTGTTACTGCCGCCGAACCGTGGGGTGTGTCACGGTTGCCTCACGTGACAAGCCTTGATGGCTGCCTGAGGAACATGTGACTTGAGCCTCTCCTCCTTGAAACAGACGACAGTGATTCGGCTGGTCGTCGTCATTCAGCGGGCGCTTCTCCCCAGATGTTAGCAAACACCTTAAGAAGTTAACATAATATGCATGATGCAGTACGCCTGCGACGCCTGGTCCGTTTGACCTCTGCCTCACTTGGCTGGCAGGGTTAAACAGCCCATGCCATTCGGCTTTTAAAGTCGTGGTGGGCTCAGCCTCATCATCTCCCCTGACACCGCTCTCGCGATGGTTGTCAATAAAGGCGTTCAAAGGCGTCTTCTGGCAGGATCAACCAAATTCAGGCCAAAACTGTGATAGTTTTCCTGTGAAGATAAGGCAAACATTCGCCAACATAAGGAACATAGCCACCACCTCAAAAGTTCCCAGGCAAAAGGGACGATGTGTCACACACCAACTTGCCGAAGCCGCTGCCTAACGGTCGACCTGACTGGTTCCAAGGACATAAAAAATTGGATATGCCCGTCATTTGCTTGGGTAGCAACCGATATGTAGGGACTCGTCTTCCACCTACAAGATGAAGCCCTTTCTCCCTGGGCCTCAGCACGCAAAGTCTAAGACCAAGCAACGAGACTCAACTGCAATTCCTCAATACGCCCCCAAAACCAGGCTGAATCCGAGGTCCCCCATACCTGTGAGCTCACCACGTTCATACCCCAACGACTTTGATTCTCAGGCTGAGACCGAATACAATCGAACCGACGTCGAAGACTACCGCGTGGAGTCCGAGCTGGATTACAACATGTCTGGAGGTCGCCGAGCAGATAAACCATCCAAAATGCAAGACTTCAACCGAGGACCGGACCAGAATCGAGGCAGTCGACCCGAGTTGCGGACGCCTCCCCAACGACACAACGACGATCCACATTTCTCTTCATACGGTCCGGATGAAATGAACCAACATTTTCAGGAGACTTCCTTGCAAGACTCACCACCATTTCCCGTGGACGGTCCGTCGCTATACGAACAGATTCATGTGCTTCGATTGCAGAACGCTTCAGTGACATACGATTCGAGCTCGCGCAATGCATATGTGCATGACCCACATGGGAGAAACACGTCTCCTCTCTCCTCTTTGAGAGGGTTCGGTCCAGATTTTGACCCCGAGAAACCCAACCACGATGAGATCAAAGCTATCGACCATGCCCTCGCCCATGTCATCAACACTGGAGGCAGGGTTCAATTCTTGCCCTTCGACTGTCGTCCCCACCTAGACTCCAATCCCCTCCTCGTGTGCAATGGTTGCTCGCGTTCCTTTCACACAGTCATAGACCGGGACAATCACATGGGAGCGGGAAAACTCCCTTGCCCGAAGTGCAATGCGTTTTTTGAGTGTCCGGTTCAAATGGAAGGCCATCTGAGTATGGTCCATCGGCACCATCGCGGCTCGACTCATCCAGGCACCCCAAGCACTGGGTATTCTGAGCCCTTTACCCCCCGCAACGAAAACCAGGGAGGTTGGAACAAGGGTGCAAGTCGCTGATTCAAACCGACATTGTTGGCTGCGGCTTGGGGCGGGTTGGTCGGGGATTTTGGCCATCCCCAAAGATAAGTTCGATGGCTTGTGGTGATCTGAAGGCGTGGATTTTCATATCTCAATCGCTGGGACCTGTCTTATTAGTTGTATTGTTTAACAGGGAATGGACGGGAAGGAAGAGTGGTCGCAGTCAATTGGGCATGATGTCCACAGACTTTGTTTCTCTCCTAGCCTATTCGAAACCTTTTCTGTTATTATAGATGTCTGTAGTAAAATCATTTTGGACGATACAACTACCCAGACATGAAACCCTTTTCCCATCTAATATCATCAAAGTATGTGACTTAACGTCTTCGTTCAAGTGCAGAGAAAAATCCTGATCTTCACACCCTTGTGAAACTGAACTCTTTGACCAGGATAACCCCCGACTGTCTTGGGCGCCACTACGTCATTGCTGGGCCATTGTTTCAACACAATCAAGCCTCTCGCCATCCACAGAGACCCTCACTCTAGGGTTGGGCCGAGTCTTCATTCGTCGTTGGCCTGAAGATTCTCCAGATTTGAGCCTGGGATCCCATGTGTTCTCCCACTAGCCACTGGCTTGATGACGTACAAGCCACACTTGACACAACCCAGATGAAGGTTGCCATGTGCCTGGTCTCAACCATGGGCGCATGATGCCATCATATGAGAGATAGGGAGTATGTCCTGCGTAGTTATTGTTGGATGTTGGATTGGCTTTCTTTCATTCTTCATAAATTACCTCTTGATTGCAAGTGATAGCCTGTTCAGTAGTCTCGTGGCAGAAATCAACTATTCAACGATACCAAACACCCAATCACACCAACTTATCACTCTACCATGGAAAGCGCACGCAATTACTACAACAAGCAATATGAGAACTGGGTGCCATGGATCGAAGATAAGGTCCTCGGCTGGTGGGGTGAGAATAAGACAAGTTATGTAGCCAAAGGTGAGTGCAAGATTGGACGATGTCTCCTGTTGTCATTCAGCTCGACTAATCAACTCGTCTTCCTATCGATTTGCAGACAATCTCTCCAAAACCAAAATCACCGGCGACGAGAACGTCGATGCAGTCCAAGATGGCGTCAATGAAGGCGTAGGAGGCCAGCTAGGCAAGGGCGGTCTCCTGGAAGGCGTTGGAAACCTCACCTCGAAAGAAGTCTTTACTCGTTCTGAGCGACAGGGAAAGAATGACAAGGGCGGATACATCTAGTTGAAATAGGACATTGGTCGCCGGCGGCGATAAAGGGATCTATCGGTTGGAAGAGACGGGTTATGACCATGCTGTGATGACTTGGTTCTTTTTGTGGTTTAAATGAATTTTCATCTGCCTATGAATAGCCTACTTAGCCGAAGCTTCAAACATTATTTTATTCAATACCTAGTAGTAGGTTTCCAACATTCAAAGCCAGCAATTGATCACTCACTACCACCACATCCGATTTCCATTGTAGATTCAACCATCCACAATGATGAATAGCCTTGATCGCCAATGTTGCAATTTGCCAACATGTTCCAAGTATTCTTCATGGACGTAGAGACTCTCGCGTGCGGATGGCCGAATACCACCACCTAGAGCCTCTCGTTATGGTCTCCACACCGATATCCGACATGTTCCTCCACAACTAAATTCCAGCATAACGCGCGATAATCGAGCAGGATACAGGTAGGTCAAGATATAAATACCAGGAATCTCTTCTTTATGATGATGGCCATCGTATGCGTTGATTTTAGACATCGTCGAACAAGAATCAGAAAAGTCACAACGGTCAAGAAGAAGCAGATCTACAACCATCCACACCCACAGTACAACAACAATAACAATAATAATGTCCGCCATAACCAAAGACACATTATCCTCAACTGGTACAGCCTCGCTATCACCCAGCCATGCTCCATACTTCTCAACCCGCGCATTCGCACTACACTCAATCCCCATCTCATATGCCCTAGCATTCCCACCACACATCTACATGTTTGGCAAAGCGATGGTAGCATCGCAAGGAGCAGCGTCGAACTTGGTGCCGCGAGCAAACCTCGATCGGATAGCGTCTCTCGTTCCTCGCGCCACACTTGACACACTGTGGAAAGCGAGAGGTTGTCATCTAAACACCCTTGAGGGATTCCCTTTGTTCGCTGCAGCAATGGTAAGTCTTGTCTTGCAAGTCATTCCGAATACCTTTAGATTGAGTGGAGATCGTTAAATGTTGACTGACGCCATTAGCTTGCTGGCACATATACCCAGGTCGACCGGCGTGAGATGAATATCTGTGCTGCAGAGTACCTCGCTGCCCGTGTCTTGTACAATGTCTTGTACTTGACGGTGCGCTCGGAGAAGGCTAGTTATCTCCGTTCCGCTGCATACTTCTGGAGCATTGGCATTCCCTTTTATGTTCTTTGGGAAGCTGGGTGGAAGGTAGTGGAGGAGGATAGGCGGCCGGCAAACCTGTGAATGAGTATGGATAGTGGACATTTCATCTGTTCGGCAGGAATTTCTTTGCTTCCACGGACGATTCAGGTATAGAATTTTGTAATGTATTGTGCTGGGCTCAAGGCAGGAAAGTAGCTGCTCTCGTTTGGTACCCACGAGGCTTTATAGATATAGGGTTTTGTTTACACGTGTGTTTTGACATTTATTCCTTTGGTTTATCCTCGGCTGCCTTCGGCGCGGCTGCCCCAGCTGTGGCCTTGCTACGCTTTTCACTTGCGTACCGCCAGCTTCGACCAAGTCCTGCGGTGACCACTCCCTTGAGGCTTTGCGTGAAACTTGGCCAGCGGATAGTCTTCTCAATAACCTGGCGAACCTCTTCGCGAAGCCCGCCACCTTCGGTATCTTCGGCGATGCGACGTTCAAAAGGTCCTCCTTCGCGTCTCCGGATCCTTTCTGGGTCTTCATCCTTTGTCTTTTCCATCAGCTCATTGAACTCGCCACGGGGAATTTGGAATTTGCTCTGATATTCAAAGTAGAGCTTGGCCCGGAATGCGCTTGGTAGACGGCGAACCATATGACCTCGTGTGACAGGGTCCATGTTTTGATGAAGCTTCGCGTTGACCGAAGGGTCATCAATCCAGTCTTGATTTGAAGTTGCAGAGTCATTGAAAGAGATGTTGGGCAGGTTATCAATCAACGGGGCGTACAGACGACGAAAGTTCTGCAATTGGTTGTCGACAATATTGTTGACTTTTTGAGGATCATCGCCTCCAATTGACATTCTCGGATCTCCCATGTACGATATTCCTGCGATGGTTGAGTATAGCTCCTTCTCGGTGAACTCGCCGGGCAAGAGAAGTAAAGCTGTTCGAACGGCGGCAATCAGATTGACCTGGTTGGCCAGCCGGACGGCAGGATTGTCTCGAAGGATTTTGACCGGCTTCTGAAGTCGACCAGCGAGATAGAGTGTGTTCCATTCCGAAAGGTCTTTGCACAACGTGTCCAGGTTGACAACCCCATACTTGATTAATGTACCGTTGACGGAGATGTAGGGATTGAAATAGACGCCTGCACCTATCGAATCTTGAAGCTTGGAGACTGCGTAGGAGCCCAAAGACCCGACACCCGAGTAATGGTCGCGGTGCTCGGAGAGATTGAGAGAATGCCAATGTTGAGAGTAAGAGACGCCAAAGATGAAATCGATCATCTTCTGGTTACCACCTTGGATCTTGGAAATGGCCTCGGGAGGGGCGGGATGGAGTTTGGGGTTGCCGACTTTGTTACTGGTGCTCTGTGGGAACACGCCGGAGCCATAAGCAAAGGCATACCGGATAGGGGCCCGGAACCTCCACAGAATCTGTCTTAATGCCTCCTTGAACTCTTCATTGATCACGATGTGTTGATTGACGCCAAAATTCTTGCCTGGCAATTCCGAGAACTTGGATATGCTGAGGTCGGGGTTCTCTTCCCAGTCCGAGGGACTGAGGGTGGAGGAGTCGGACTTGGTAGAGCCATCGAGCGATGGGGTTCGTTGATTGCTGGCAGTGTCTTTAGCCGACTGGGCCGCAGGACGCGAGGCGGTCGCGGAAGAGGTTTCTGGCCGCGAGGACCCTTCAGCATCGTGAGCTGCCGATTTCTTCTTGGCACCTTTCTCAACTGTTGCGTACTGGCGAATGTGGGGTTGTATGGGAATGGGAGGGTATTTTGAAGGATAAGGAAGGAAGCGAGGACGTCGAGCTGTGTTGGCGAGCTCATGAAACGCTCTTTTCCCAAGAACGGTGGGCACGACTGGTAAGGTCATGTTGAGGACACAAGAGCTGGGTATTCCGAGGATATCCTCAACATTGTCGTCGAGCACGTCAGGCTAATGTAGATTGTTTGACTGCATGTCGGCTGAATGACAGGATGTGTTGAATATGTTCAATATGTTCGTTCTGGTGCCTGCGCCGACGCCGACATAAAGTGAAGTCGGCACCTTGTGTTATTGCATCATATGGTAAACATGCCAAGAATGAGAACACAAATATGCCAAGATGAAGGACGAGGCTGTAGCTCCCTACAAGTAGCGGCACCATGAATAGGAATTTACCAACACGAGGTGGTAGGGGGAATTGCCTAGATTAACGCACCAAGGTAGCTGAAGTACTTCAGGTAGTAGCTAAGATGTCTACCTAGCCTATGGAACTTCCAACAGTCCCTTTCTGATGTCAACACAGCTTTGAACGCCTTTGCTGCTCCGAATAATAATACGGCTTGTCTTTGAGGAGCGGAACGCTCATGCGAGAACATTGTCCACACGGCAATTACCCACCCTGTGGTTGGTGAATTGTTCAAGTTTAGAGCTTAATCTGGCCAGAATTGCCATGCTCAGGCACCGAAGTGATAGGGGGTTTCCCTGACATGCCTGGAAAGTGATCTCATGGGCGGAATGGCTCAATACCGCCGTCGTCCAGCGACCGTACCATTAGAGGTCCGGCAATCCATGGATGTCAAGTAATTGAGCAGCTTGAGTGCACTGTGGCTGCCGTCTTCGTATCCAGTGAACCATGCTCCGATACCCCCATTGTGATCGGTAAATGTCAAGACACTCGTGTCCGAATATTGGAGCTTAGCGCTCCATGTGGAATGGTATCCATCAGATGTGCGCTGCGGTGGCATACCAAACACTACCGCCAAACGATAGTAAAGTAGTTGGGATGAAATTCGATGTTGGAATGCTATGTCTGTTTCCAGACGATGTCGTCGTTTAGGATAGTACTCAAATTCGGCATCCAAGGAAGGACTGGCAATGTTGCCTGAGCACGTGTCCCAAGCGACTGTTGGTGGGAATGACTGGAACCGTGCATCTTCGCCGTCTTCAAGATAGTTCCACTCACTCGACAACAGTGCTGTCTCGATCACCGTTTCAGGCAGCTGGTAGGTATCATTCTCCCAATCGTATTCAGACTCGGTGTCAGTCTCGGTGGGCGATGGGGGCTCAGGGGGGTGATTCCCAGTGTCCAAAAATACAGGGATTCGGGCTGCATGACGTGGAATGAATCTGCGCCTTGCCCGACGTCGGTACATTGTGCCGATCAAGCGTTTCGGGAACCCGAGGACTTGCAGATCGAGGATGTGAATAGCTGGCAGACATTCGACCTTGTCGATTAGGCGCAACACAGCGCTGTAGTCTTTCAGGAGGTATTTGAAGATGAGGCACTGCTGCACAGGCTGTAGCCTTTCGAATAAAACGGCCGGTCGACGAGAAGAGAGGAACTTGCGAATGGCTCTGGCTGCACTGAGAGCCTCAAGAGAGTTGACTCTGCGACTGGGTGCCATGATGAAGAAATATATTGGCCTATTATGTGGTTGGGTCGAAGTGAGAGTCAGAGGGAGAGGGAGAGGGAGAAAGAGAGAGGGAAACAGGCAAGTCCTTTACCCAGTCAGATCTGGACCATCTGGCTCCTGGCTCTTGCCTCTTTCTTGCCTCTTGCCAGGCGTGGCAGGAGCAGAGTAGCACATCTTAGTATGGTGGTCAAGAGCGCCCCATGGACTGTACATAGAGCGACATTAACCACGGTCCATCATAATTCAACCTACATGTGACGAATCAAAGGCAACGACAATCCTGTTCTCTCTAGGTATTGGTATATCTAGAGGTAGTAGTTGTACGGTAGTATACTGTACTGATGAAGTATTATATGGAGTAGAGCCAACAATAATTCGAGGTCAAGGCGTCGAATACTGCAGACCTAACGGTAGTGCCAGAGTACGAAGTACGGAGTAAGTGCACTTGGCGCTAAGTGACACTAACGCGGCAGTATTGTGGGCTAGCTGCATTAGTGCCACTAACAGCGCCAACTGCCGCGGACCTGCATTCGGTATCAACAAACAGAGAGTCATGCTTGGGTTCCTGCGCTGCTGTTGAACCCCATTCAATCAACGCCAACGTTGAGCACACAACCAACTTGACCTTCTCAAACCTCGCCAAAATGGAGTATGCAACATACGAATCACGTCTGGCATCGTTCGAACCGCCGTCAAAACGTTCCAAGCTGGGATGGCCTCACAAGACTCCAACACCACATTCTCTGGCGAAGGCGGGCTTCTACTACAACAGAGTCACGGACGGCAACGACAATGTTGTGTGCTATCTCTGCGAAAGAAATCTCAGTGGATGGGAAACGGATGATGACCCCATAGATGAGCACTTCAAACACTCGAGCAACTGCGGCTGGGCAATCTTGATGAACATCGAAAAAGACGCGACTTCAGACCTCTCAGCCATGGAAGACCCGACAGGACCCATGGTCGCGGACGCAAGAAGAGCTACGTACGCGATAGGATGGCCACACGAGAACAAGCGAGGGTGGACTTGCAAGACGGAGAAGATGGTAGAGGCTGGGTGGCATTTTGCTCCCACTCCAGAGTGCGAGGATTATGTGTCCTGTGTTCACTGCAAGCTATCTCTGGATGGCTGGGAGCCAAAGGATAATCCTTTTGATGAGCACTACAAGCGATCCCCTGAATGCCCCTTCTTCCACTTCGCTGGCACCACCGCTCCCTCCAAACGTCCTCGAGCGAAGAAAGGACGCGCCTCCAAATCCTCCCGCACCTCCAAAGCCTCGACGCGCATGTCAACACAATCCACCAATGATACGGTACTGTCGGAACTTCCCAGCTTCAACGATATTCCTGATCTGGACGAATCAATAGACACTAGTGGTGTCTCGGTCATGACAACGATGTCAACAGCATCCACAGCAACAACAAAGGGTAAGAGGAAAGGTACAGCAAAGGCAAAGACAGCCACAAAAACGAAACGAGCCAAGACAACTCGACAGACCAAGGCAAAGAAACAAGAGACGGAGCCTGAGGCAGATGAAGTGCAGCAAGCACCAGAACCAAAACCAAAGCAACAGGAAGCCGAAGCATATGACTCACCAGTCGAAAGCAAGTCACAACCGGCGCCATCCAGTGCAACAGCAGATGTCGCATACCCAAGCATACCCCAACAAAGTCCAGTGATCGCAGATCTTACCAGCCGACTGAGCCCCGTCCCGCCACCACCAGGATCCTCACCCACTCCACGAAGAACTAGACTATCTCTGACCAAAAGCAAGGAGATATATTCAACTCCTCCTAAGAAGAGGAACGTTCATCCCACGGCAGCGGTGATCGCGTCGCCACCGAAAGGGAGCAGTCCTTCATCGCAGTCCGACATTGAAAATGCGCCTCCCAGCTCACGTCCAGCGTCGACTCGCCCGCCAGTAGCACAGACAGTGCCCGTGACGTTTTCTTCACCAGGCTGCGTCCAAACCACTTCGTGGACACCCGTTGACGTTGAGCTGGCATTCGAGCCAAACACGCCTCAACCGGCCGATATCCTTGCGCTGACGGGAGGCAAACTGAGTGATAAGGAGAAGGCCATGACCGTACAGGAATGGGTCGAGTATTTGGCAACTGAGGCCGAGAAGGGACTCAGAGCAGAGACGGAGCGGGTCGTGGGTATATTTGAACGTGAGGGTCAGAGAGCAATGGGCGTCTTGGAGGGGATTGTGTGCGTGCAATGATGTACAAAAGCGAAGAGAAGTCTTTGAACTGGCTCTCTCTCTCACAGTAGAGGGCTCTTGCATAGGATGATCATGTTGATGTTATGTTTACGTTTGGGTGTTTGTCTGACCGTGGACTGGGACACAGATGTGTGGGTTGGCGTTGGTACGGATGGATTGATTGATTGACTGGATGTCGATTGAAGACAAGACAAGTCTCCAGACTTTGCACGTGAATCAACTCGGAATGATCTCACTGCACTGGTCTACATAACTACAGAACCAAGAGAATTGCAGTTGCATGTAACACATGCCAAATCAGGAGCGAAGTTGTTCTCTCTTGTCAAAACTCAAAGGATAAACCCGAGTCATGTTATCTTTGTCAATCATATCGCTATACATAGTAAACATGGCTGGCTCCCCACGACCTCGACGCGACAGGATAGGACGGGATAGGACCGGACAGGACAGGACAAGAACAGCACATCTAGACTGCAATGTCGGCCTCAAGGACATCCCGCTCCTCGATCAATTGATTGCGGGGTTTTGTGCTGGAGCCGGTCAAAGCAGCGTCCAGACTGCGGTATTGTTCGAGTTCTTGAACTTTTTCTATTTTCGCAATGGTTTGTTAGCTTTGAGCAAAAAAGGAAGAGAAACAGGAAAGCTGGCTTAGAATCCCTGGATCAAGAAAAAGGAGTAAACTCACTGTTATCAACCGGACTAGTCGAAAAAATCGCCTTCTCCCGCTCGCCCAAACTGGGGTATATACCCTCATTGATGAGCAACTCAGCCAGACCACGGTTCCCAGCACTATCGACATCTTTACCCTGACTTTGCAGTTCAGCGCGGGCTTTGGCCAGACACTGTTTGTAATATTGGCTGTGGTTGATATTGCAGACCGTATCCCACTGCTCTGACTTGTGGATGGGACAAAAGTGCCGCGAGCACAGTAGACAAGTCTCGAGGAATTTGGTCGTGGGCGAAAAGTCGCCTGGGTTTTGCTCGTCACATAGGTAGCATGACCTGACCAGAGTGGGTTTGGTAGGTCGTGCTTTTGGAATTGTTGCGCCCGCCGGGGCTTGTATTGTCGATGCGGAGGCGGGAATCGATTGTGGAGTTGTTTTGGAAGGTGCTTCGACTGTAATGGTGGGAGGCGGGGGGACTGCTGATGCCATTTTGGGTAGAGTTGCTTTGGGGTGTTGGCTTCTGGTGGTGGGTGCTTTGAGGTTGACGATGACGAGGACGGGACTGTCTAGGTATGTACAGAGACACAAGGGTCAGGTAGGAATGGAAATAGGTTGGTGAGGAAGTCGAAAATGGTGGACCAGGAGGGAGGGGGGGGGGTAGTTGTTTGGGTCTGGGATGAGACGACAGCCAAGTGAATGGTTGGCCTGATCAAGAAGGATAGAGTTGGGATGGGTGAGATTCAGAAGGATTTAAAGAATTGTGTGGCGTGTAAGACAGGTCGGAAAGTACCAAGTAAGCAGTCTGTCTACTAGACTGTGAAGCGAGAGGATGTGAATCGAGAGAGCAAGGTAAGATAGATCGAGGAAGGAGGCTGACAGTCAGGCTCATGTATATACGGAGTAGATTTCAGCTGTCAACGCCCGCACCAACACATCAAAAGCGGCCCCGCTGCTACTGCCACTGCCCGTTGCCTCTGCCGTCACAGGTCTGAGGTCTGAGGTCAGAGGTCAGGCCCAAGTGCCAATGCTGAGATCCTGAACAGATCCTGGCTCATGGCTCATGGCTCATGTTCTGCATCGGTAGTCGGTACCTTTCGAGCGCTTGGCCAAGCGGGCAGATCCTCGTACGGGGTATGCGTAAGGTACGGGGCCAGAGGGTCTGGACACGAACTCGCCTCAGCCCCACGGAATACGGAATAAGACCACTTACTACTGTCTGTGTTGTAATGATCTGTCTCAAAGCCCCTAGCACGTCTCCTTTGGTACCTGAAATTCAACAGCAAGGCACCCAACATACCAAACTAGACATCTTGAGGCGGTCATGGTTGATGTTTGAGAAAGTCACCAGAACAAGCCTCCATTAACCCGCCACTTCGGTAGCTTCATGAGTGGTCAGTTACGGAGGTGGCTTGCCAAGTGGTACAAGGGTGTCCGGGTGCCTTTTGCGTCTTCCATACTCCGTACATTCTCCTCAGGTGCTTGTCCATGACTATTCGGCAAGTGGTACAGGAATCTCTTTCCCAGACAACGCTCTTACCCGCCCGATGGTATACCTGACAAACCTTGTGCTGCGGCTGATCTAGCTGCCAATTATCTTTATTTTCTTTCGGCCGCCGAATCGATTCTTTGGTCAAGATGACACCCGCCATGTTAGTCTCGAGGCTGGTCAATTAATGAATGAAGTCTAAAAGACTAGTCATGTCAAAGTGTGTGCGCTCAGGTCTCCAGCTCATTGGCAGGCACGACTGGTAAGTACTTCCAGGTTGCGATCCAAATTCGGTGTTTATTACTTCAACAGTGTAAGTACTCGTATGTTGACTGATGGCGAACCACCTTAGTCACCTCTACTCTAACTCGACTTGTCTTCGATCTACAGTATCACGACTATGTAAAGTACACAACGTTTGAACTGACGATGACAGCGGGGTTTCATCCATACTCGTCAATCCGTTGACCAGAACCAGAATGTGGTTCGAGTTCGTCTCTCACGATAGATGCTTCACTATGGCCCCCGAGGGGCCTTTGCTAAAGCCAGATACCCAGAAGTTCAACGCCTAGACCGTCCTGGGTGTAGCTGTCGGCATGTCGGAGGGTGTAGATCCCCGACACGCCGACAACATTAGCATCAAACTGGCGACCCTAGGCGTGCCAGGCCCATGTTTAGGTATTTGCCAGGCAGGATTAGGCGTGATTTGGCCCTAGACCAACCACCTTGGCCCCCAAGCAGCCCCTCACGGGCCTCTTGTCAACCACCAAAGAACCTGGTTGCTTGACTCTTTCGAACCCTCTGACGTCGACATCCATAACGATCGACAGGCACGTTTAGAGTAGTGGATCACCGTGCCTGAAACAATCATCATTGAGATGTGGTTTTTCGACAATCTAGCAGGAGGCCATTTCGTCATCGTTAACTAGAAAGTCACTGTCGCCATCGCCATCGTGGATGGATTCTCTGGGTGACGTATTTGGTGAGATTCGATTCAGAAGGAGCCACGTTAGAGCATTCTCAACATTGAGTTGTGTAACCTGCTCAGACGCCATGCCACGCAAGTGCCCGTTCCATATCTTACCAACCGCTCATTTTGGTTCGCACACAGTCACAAAACGAGAAATTACGCCTGTAATCATGTCAACACTCACAAGCAGACTGAGATCTCGACAATGACAACCTACCACTCATAAACAACCTTCCTGACACAGCATCATGAATGACGGTAGTCATGCCCGGTAACATCTCGCCATCCCTGTCTTCAATGATCTTTTCCAACTCATACTCATACTCATCTTGACTTTCCCGATGAAGACGCCGCACCCTCCACACTGTCGCCGGTGGAGTCGCAGCATTCAAAGGGTCATCAAAAGGTCTAAGGGCTTCCAAACCCTTTGGCATGGTCGCCAGGTATAAGTCGCCATTCGCATCTTCAGAGATATTGTCGATGGGATAATCCAGACGGATGTGATGCACTTGGGTCAAGCTGCCGTCCGACGCTGGTCGATAGACTTTGACGCCTCCCACGGCAGCACTGGGAACATACAACAGTCCATCAGTGCCTAGGTGAAGTCCATTGGGGAATTTATGCCCGTATGACACAAGCTTGCACACTCCTTCCTTTGAACAGTAGGAGACATCTCCGGTTCCCAGGATGAGAGAAAGATGATGTTTCTGTTTTTGTGGTGGGTTATGTTAGCCTGATGCTTCTCACTCGAAACGTCCTTCCATCCACAGACAGTCCACAACTTACCCAACCGACCTTATGCGGCCCATGGTCATTGGTATAGAAAAAACCACCAGATTTGGTAACTGCCAGATTATTGGGCGTTGCGATTTGGACGTCAGCATACGTCTGGACATGGTCCATCTCAACTGCGCCTGGTTTCGTCGAGAAAACATCAATGGTATGGTTTCCTCCAACCACCGTGTTGTCCAGAACCTCTCCTGTCGCCGAATCGACCGAAGGACGAGCATTGATTAACCATAAATTGACCTGCTCTGGGTCATCTTCAGACCTAGTCCCCGTCATCCCCACAACATGGATCCTCCCGTCACCTGCCACGCCGGAATATCCACGGGGTTTGAGGACTCGATACGTAAAGCTTTGAGTGCTGGTTGGATTGTCAATGTCCATGGCGACAATGCGGTCGTCAGTGGCTCTGCCAGTTGCGTTTAAACGGTGGATACTAGAGAGGTAGAGGGATCATTAGTCACAACCATATCCTACACTTTCATGTTTGCCAGCCTGTCCCATCCCATCCCATCGAATGGACCACAACTTACTTTGGCATCCAATGTTTCCTCGCCTCGGAATCCGAGCAAGCGAGATATAGAGTCCTCGACTCGTGATCCAGCCACATATCTTCACATGCTTGAATATTCGGATCCCCAGTAATACGATAACATTTGAATGGAAAATCACTGATAGGTTGAATCGTTCGACCCAGACCGATGCCGACGAAAAGAGTTTCCCGAAGAAAAGATTGATACAACAAGGTGCCGAGGGCCACGAAGAGCGAAATGGTGGTGAGCTTCGGTCTGGCCATTTTGATGATGGATGGGATAAGGTTGCTGGTTCTTCTCGCATGCAAAAGAACGAGTGACTGGTGACAATCACCTTTTCATAGGAGGTATAGAATTGATGAATATACACAACGAACTGATTAAGGCGCCCAGAGTGTGGTTTGATGTTGATGATTTCAAAAATACACCATAGCTACCTATCCATGCTATGCCCAAAATAGCCGAGCTCTCATTGTCCAAGGTTCAAGGGGGCCCGAGGGTCCTATGTTAGGCAGGTACCCCAGGTAGGTACTAGGTAGTTAGGTAGTTTTGCAATTGATTCCCTAGGTAGGTAGGTATGTAAGCATCATGTCCAATACAAGCCATCCTCTTGCTAACGTTCGATCCACCATTACGAAAAAGAATGCGAAAGTGAAGTTAGCAGATGGTAGGATTGGCCTGATCTACTGCCAAGGTCATGATGGATCGCCTGATAAATCCATTCACATTGTGTAGGGTCACATCTCTTCCATCACTACTTCTCAGAACAGTCAGTCTACTACCAGCAAGTGTCCAATGTATCTCATGCAGGCTTCATGTTGATTAAATTGTCAAAGTGCCCGACATCAAGTTTATTTTTTTGTGTACAGCATAAATTGAATGAAAAGGGAAATCCCAGAGCCTCGGCTAGTACGCAGCGTGGGGGAGGGGAACACAAGTACTTTCTGGGGGTGGGGTTCGTCACGCCCTGCGACCTTTGGTGGCACCCCGCACCACGTCTTGCACAACTGGACTCTGAAGGCATTGCAGAACGCCACTGCGCTTGAAATCTACAAGTATATCATCGAGTTGGCTTGAACCGGAATAGCCGTGGGTAGCGAGTATGTCAGAAAGTGGTTATCCGAGTACAATTTCATTCTGGTATCAACATCACAGTCATTATGTACTTTCCCAGCAAGCTGAGCCAGCCAACCCGCTCACTGCTTGTATTCATCACCAATCTCCTTTTCCATTAAATCAAACAGAGGCTTCGCGCTGAACCACCCTGCTCGAGGAGTGCCCACCGCCTTGTATGTGAAAATGGCGTCTTCCTCGTCAATCTTGACAGTGGTGCCACCGCGTCCAGCGGCGGCGGCATCGGCCAAAAGCTGAGTATGACAGCACTTCTCAAGACTGAGGAACCAGAAGACAGCGGCTTCGATAGTTTGACCAACGGTGAGCAGACCATGATTTTGTAGGAGAACGGCCTTCTTGTTTCCAATGGCCTTGGCAATGTTCTCGCCTTCTTCCTTGGCCAGAACCACTCCCTTGAATTGTTCGTAGACAGCATGATCCTTATAAAACGCGCATGAATCTTGGGTAGTGATGTCAAGCTCGCGGCCCAATGTACAGAAGGTTCGGCCGTAGATAGAGTGCGAATGCGCGGCGCAGTTGACATCAGGGCGAGCACCGTGGACGGCGGAATGGATCATGTACGCAGCTGTGTTGAGAAGGCGATTGGGACCGCCATCAATGACCTTGCCCTCGTGGTCGACCAAGATCAGGTCACTGGCTTTGATCAGGGAAAAGGCGAGTCCGAAGGGATTCACCCAGAAGGTGTGAGGGTCTACTGGGTCTCGGATGGTGATGTGACCTGCAACTCCTTCGTCGAACCCATATTTGCCAAAGATGCGAAAGGCAAGAGCCAAACGCTCCTTGAGATATTGTCGTTCCTCGTACTTGTCGGTGAACTTGGGTGGAGAAGGGAAGAACTGCATCTTTGCTTCGGCTCCACGTTGAGTCAGCTTGGGCTCATTGGTAGCCGTGCCTTCTGGCTGAGAATCGGCTTTGTCAAAACCGGCAGAAGGGGTGGTCTCGGTGTATGTTGCTGTAGGAGGGGCCATGGTAGAGGATATGGACGAAGTCAATGGTGGGGATAGAGATGTGTTGGTGTAAAATGTCGACTGTGGTGAAAGCTGGAAGATGGAGAAACAAACAAAAGTTAGAGCGTCCCCAGACGATGGAGGGATGGTTATTTGATATATACCTTTTATCTACCGACTACCGAATGTCGTGGGTCGCTTGGGGGTCAGGGCGCCTGGGCGGCTGAACATAGGGTGTAGGGTAGAGAAACGAACGTGCGGGCAGCAATCATTGCGAGACTTGTGGATGTGTGTGGATGGAGGCTTGGTGGGAGCGGGAAGTGGCAAACAACCCTCCTGCCCTCTCAGACCTCTTTCCTCTCTCGCCCTTGCCCAGTCAGAGTCTCCCTTCCTGCCAACTGATGATAATCATCCAAATCGGACAGGCGCAATTGGGCATTGGGCCTCGGATTTGCACGATCCTCGACCCCACGACTCCACCACGTCTTTCTCCATCCATGGCTTCTATCATAGGGCCTCACGGGCATGAACGGATATATCGCCGCACTTTCCATATAGGGAGTACACGCACAATCCCGCAATTGGAGAATCAGACACCAGTTGCCGTGTCGTGCGTGTCTTCTGTCCGTTTAGTGGAAAGTGGTACCCGGCTCGGTGTAGTATTTGTGCGAGTTTCGCACCTCTGATTTCATGGCCCTAGAGAACGAATGGCGGAAAACGGACCGGAGAACTCGATTATTGGCTGTAGCAACCGAATATACCCAATGCCTGCGTGCCTGCGTGCCTACTCTAACCGTACATAAGCACACGCATACGAAATACCCATCCGTTCTCTGCCTTCAGATGGGGCTTGCTCCCTCACTCTCCATAAAGTCTTGACCCGCGGTTGTAGCGGCTATTGCGGATCTCGATGGTTGTCCTACGCGAACTCACATACCCCAGATATTGATTTGTATTTCCATCCTGGTCACAGGCTACAGTCCACTCCGGCCAGTCTGCTTTTCTGTTCACAATCCCAGCCGAGGTACAACCAAGTTGAGTTCATCGTCCCGTTCGACATATGATGGTCAAAGGAAAGCGGGAGGACTATTCTGCAACTTCATTTACAGATCAACAAAAGATGCCTCACCGCTTAATCCTCTCGTGCTCGCCGCCAATCCCAATGCCATTAATGTCCCGAGCAAGCCCATCCAGCCTAGACCAAGGTCAAGACAACGCAGAAGGGACGTGTCAGGCAACCTCTGGGAGCACCCTGATGTATGATGAGGACTTTGACATGTCCGCTTGTTCATTTGAGTATTTCACCCAATGAGAGCACAGGAATTCCAGTCTCACGAGTGAGTGTCGAATCCCTTTAACATGCTCAAAATGGATTAGCGCAATTGTGCCGAATATGAATTAGCTCCATGATTTTAACAACTCTAATGGGCTCGCTTCAACTTCTGTTTCTGTCTTCTCCATAGAAATTTTGGACTTTCAGTCAGGAAAAAGAGGGATTGTCAACTTGGAGCCGTCAATTCTACTGCATTGTGATTCCTTTTCATCACAACCACCATACCATCCTTCATATACTTCGTTCTATTCTATTCCCACATCCACTAGCAGCCCGTTTCCATTTTCCGCTCGCAAGTTTTCTCTTCCCTCCCGGGCAATGTACAGCATCGCCCGCTCGGGGCGTTTCGCCTCTAGAGCTGTCCGACTAATCCCCTCCACCTTCACCCTTGCTCCCTCTGCCTCTTTCATCCCTCGACATCTTCCTGCAAGAGTCATTGCATCAAGCTACTCTTCTTCGACTCCTCGATTTTCACAATATGGACAATATGCCCAGACTGAATATACCTCAGTCTCCAATGCAGATGCGGGAGACTTTGGCGCCGAAGACATCTCCAACGTCAAACGCGAATTTTCACAATTTGCAGAGTTGGGTCAGGCCGGGATCATCGACAAGAGAGTCATCAATACCATAGTCAACAGCATGGGAATCCATACCATGACCGAAGTTCAACGCATGACCATCAACGAGTGCTTGGACGGCACAGATGTCATCGCCCAGGCTCGGACTGGTACCGGTAAGACGTTGGCTTTCCTTATGCCCATTGTCCAACGCGTATTGAAAGATAGCAATATCGATTCCAACTCTCGCCGTGCCGATATTGGCGACACAAGAGCTCTTATCATCTCCCCAACAAGAGAATTGGCTGAGCAGATTGCCGTCGAAGCCAAGAAGATCGTTCAAGGAACCAACGTCGTCGTCCAGACCGCCGTTGGCGGCACTCAAAAAGCCTTCCATCTTCGATTGATGCAGCAGCAAGGCTGTCACATTCTTGTGGGCACTCCCGGTCGAGTCAAGGATCTAGTCTCAGACCCTTACAGCGGCGTTCGCCTCGACAACATCCAAACCTTTGTTCTCGACGAGGCCGATCGACTTCTTGATATTGGCTTCGGGCCCGAAATCGACGAGATCCAGAGGTACATGCCCTCGCGTCGAGAAAGGGATCGTCAAACCCTGATGTTCTCGGCAACCATCCCCCGTTCTGTCGTGGGCGTAGTCAAGTCAACCATGAAGCCTGATTTCAAGTTTGTTCGAACCGTCGATCCTGAAGAAGCTGCAACACATGAATCTATCCCCCAAGTAGCCTTGATTATTCCAGGCCTACAAAATCAAATCCCTACCATTGTCGAGGTTGCTCAAAATGCAATTGAAGAGCACAAGCGTGATCCAACAACCAACATGCCGTTCAAGGCCATCCTTTTTTACAACTCAGTGAACGAAGCCCATCTCGCTCATGAAGTCTTGTCAAACCTGCGCGACCCCGCCGACCAGGGTGGCATGTTTGCTCCTCATCCTTTGGCGCCCTGCCGAATCTTCGTCATGTCCAGCCAGCTCGATCAATCGCAACGCACTCGTATGTCTGACGGTTTCCGAAATTCTGAAAGTGGAATTTTGATCTCCACTGATGTCAGTGCCCGTGGAATGGACTTCCCCAACGTCTCACATGTCATCCAAGTCGGCCTTCCACGTTCCACCGAAGACTACGTTCATCGTCTGGGACGGACAGGTCGTGCTGGCAAGAGTGGCAAAGGATACATAATTGTCACTGCCGACGAACGTTACGAATTGGCCCGACTCAAGAAACAGATCCACACTAGCAACTTTAGCGAAGAGAGCCTTCCCACCAGTTCCCTGGATATGACTCAACCATCACACCTTGCTCCAGAGACTGCTCGCATCATGCAGATGGTCAAGGTTGGTGTATCCCGGGCATCAAACCAATTGAAGAGCAAAGCATACCAAACCATGCTTTCCTCCGCGTCGCAGTCTCCCGTCGGTCGTACAAAACAACAAGTTGTCGATATGGTCAATGCCAATGCAACATACGGTTGGGGAATGGCACGCCCGCCAACTGTGAGCCCAAGGTTCTTCCACAAAGGAGGCTTCGACGGGACGGTCGGTATCACCGTGGAACATGAGGATAGACCGCAACGTGAACAATCACCAAGGTGGCGCCACCAATCAGAAGACCTTAGGAACGCAAGCCCGAACGATTTTACTAGCGGCGGAGCTTACGGCCGGACCAGAGGCTACAGAGATAGCCGGGGTGTCCGTGGTGCCTTTGGTGGCAGTCGAGGATCAGACTCGGATGGTTTCTCGAGAGGTTTCTCTCGTGAAAGGAGCTTTTAAGCCGCTCCTTGCTCGTTCAATATCGGACGACAATGGCGACACCAGTCGTGGGATTTTCTAGACGGTGACCAAGACCACGGCACTTGGATTTTACGACGCACCTGCTTTCGAATACAAAATCGCCGACACACAATGAACGGCTTAAAGAAGGATACACGCGACTCATCCTCAAGACATTCACATTGTCATATTTACAAACCACTTGATGGCGCAGCGCAGCAACATCAAGGGCACTCACTCACCGGCATGTCCCCACTTACGCCATATTCCCCATATCTTGCTCCCCACCCAACACCAACCGTCCGCTCGAAGTACTTCATCCCGACCTTGCAAGCCGTGCGACAAACACGGAAATCGCAATCAAGCAGACTCCAATCCAGCACGTCAAGCCACATCGAGGACAACGACCACGACCACAGTTGGTGTTTCACCTGTAAATATAGAAGGATATTTTTGGGTTCGTGCATGAATTTTGCTCCAGGAGTCCTACTTGGTGTTATGTGGAAATCGGGCGATATTCATTCTCTTTTCCGTTCTTGTCTTGTCCTGTCTACATACACTACCTCCATTACACCACACAACAACATCCCTACAACACGCCTTGTCTCGATATGCGAACCACGACCACCCCATTCTTCGCCATCTGTGCATATGACGCCTTCTGGAAGTGAGGGTTTGGCTGTGCATATGAGGGAATGTCGATTAATAACAGAATCATTTCGGCGATGGAGGGGGGACATGGCGCGAATTGTCTTTTGTACAGGAAAGGAAAAACTTGAATCTCCCAATACCAATGACATATTTAAACTAAATTTGTTCTCGTTCTTGTTCTGGGTCGGTGTCTATTCATGTCGTAGGATAGATATCTGCATGATAAATTCAAAAGATCAAACCAAAAAAACAAAAAAAATCACGTGATTTACAACACACATGACGTCATGATATTCAAGGAAACATTTCTGTCAGGAAAAGTGCAAATAGACAAGATACCTACCTTAGGTACCTAGGTAGGCAAGATTGAATCCATCAGGCTAGGAGGTCTGTAGCTTAGGTAGGTACCTAGGTAGGGACCTGAAATAGGTGTGATGCTTCATGATACATGATCGAGACAAGATATCCATGAAACGGGAAATCACAGTATTAGAGGACTGGTGCCATTCATGACCATTGCCATGATCATCTATATGAAGTGAAGAACTCATCCACTAGAATGACCTCTCAACTTCCAACTACTAGTAGTTTAATTAATTCTGTCTTCTCCACTGCTCAATCTCCTGCTGACTCAACTCTCTCAGGTCATTTACATCAGCCACCTCCCCTGTAATCGCCCCCTTGACCATTTCCACCCCACGACCGATAAAAGTGCCTTTACTGACTGCATAAGTCGCAGTCACAGCCTTGACCTTAATGACACCGATACGGGGATCATTCTCGCCACCATCATGTACACCATCACCCAGATCGCCCAGCCATGTCTTGAGTGCGGGACTGTAATATTTCTGCACCACGCTGCGGTCGGTAATTACGCTTGCTGTTCCAGAGATGGATGCCCAGCTGCCGTCGCCGGTGAGGAAACCAATGTTGACGTGGGAGTCTGATTCAAGATCGGAGGTTTTGCCGGTTTGTGTGTTGGTGTGGAAGAGGAGGTCGACGCCGCCGGATTCCTAATATAGGAGGAGAGGCTTAGACGGGATTGGTGTTAATGTTTTTTCCCCTGACGTACCTGTGCAGCCACTGCCATGGCTCGAGATACTAACAAGCCAGAGTCGGCTACCCGAGTGGTCATCAGACCGAATTTGGATGATTTGACAAAATCAACGAGGTCTTGAACCTTTTGCTCGAGACCGGGTTCATCTTTGTTTTTGGCCTTGTATCTATTTGATGTCGCAGGTGTGTCAGCCTTCATGGAATGCAAAGGTCTCGGGAGGGACGGAGATCAAGAGGGAGAGATATGGCCGCGGATCATGACTTACGGGTCTGCGGGTTGAGAAGACATGGTGTAGGATCTGTTGGAGGTGTAGACTGGTGGAATATGTGATTGTAATGGTAGTATTTGATTGAAATGAAGAGCACGGGAGGATGGACAGACAAATCTGGAGGAATGTAGTAAAGAAATACTTCTAGCACGCCAGATCGATCGAGCCCCAGGCACAGAAACAGTTCGTGTCATGAGTGACGTAGTTGGAGTTATGTATTTGAGGGGAGAGTGAGAGCATCAGAGTGCTTGAAATATGGCTGGCTGTCATACATACATAAAAGGTACCGATCTCAACGGAATTTCAGTGGATGGCACCGTTCCGGGAAAGGCACCAGATTCGTTGATCAGGTCCTCTATAGTCATTAGTGGATCTTCCCAAGTCCAAATGATGCCGTGACGGAATTCTGCATGGAGGGGAACACAATGTATGGGACTTTGAAAGTGGTGTGCGTCATTGTTTGCGTTTCAAAGACGGACTCCGGGCCATGCTCCGGATCGATGGTGATATCTCTGGACCAGAACGTAGGGTTTGGTCCTGTAGTAGATTTACATAGCATTGGAGATTCCCCTATCCCTCTCCGAATGCGTAATCAGCCGAAAAGTGAGGAATTCTTGTGTGATGGATTGTTTGTAGCATCGACGAGGCTGAGATGACCGGACGAGACATCCCAGCCAATGACGTCAAGACTTGTCGGTGCCAAAATGGAGAATTTTTGTGCTTTTTCTCTCCTGGAATGAAGCGTCTGGACGCAGAAGATGACGGCAATGTTTCTCCATCCATGAATAGGACTTCTGCACGGGGCTCTCAAGACCTTCTACTGCGCCTCAGCCTGTTCTGCTGTCCGCAGGCTGCCTGTGACATTCGTCGTCTTTGATGACCTGGAAGAGGCTGCTTCCCCTGAACACTGGAACTCAACATGGGCTGCTGCCGCAACGTAGCTCGTGGCAGGACCGTTGAATGTAGACACCTTTTTGTACCATTTGGCTCTGTCCTGATCGCAGGACTGATGAGGCTTCCTTGGCGGCTAGATGGCGGTGGATTGGGATGACAACCAAGACGATGGGATCGCTTCACTGTTGGCGGATTGATGGAACATTGAACCTCAAACATTTTCAGAGGTTGTCAGAACCGCTTCAAGTAATAATTCCAAGTCGACCTTCCCATTCATCTTCCTGTTTGACTCCATCTGCACCACCTTTCCTCCTCTTCTCATTTCGCTTGCGCCTCTTTTCTTCCCGCTCAGCCGCGTCGATTTCTTCGGCCTTCTTGATCCGCGCTTGAATGTCAACCTCACCTAGCCTCTTATCCTCCTCCTCTTGGGCCCTCTTGCGGGCCTTGAGCATCTCGAGCCGGTCTTTGACGTCTTGTAGGGTGGCTCTCTTGACTTCTCCAGATTGACCAGTGTTGATGAGATGTTGTTTTGAGTTGAGATGCTCGATATACTGGACGTTGTCTTTATAGGTCAGGTCACAAGCCTCACAGTAGAAGCCGGCGCCTTTGCCTCGCTTGCCAACTCCAGCACCAGCAGGAACTAATGTGCTTTTGCCCACCATGGAGGCGACATCTAATCTGGAGCCCCGGGCAGAGGTGTCATCCAAAGCCGAAAAATCGACTGCCTTGTGCCATTTCTTGCCTTGTAGTTTAGCCTCGTAACGGGCTTTGCTTTCCTCTCTTCGCTCTTCATCCTCTTTCTTGGCTTTGGCTTCATATTCGGCCTTGTCCCAGGTTCTTCGAAAATCGGTGTCGGAAGCAGGTGCGCCATATGCTGATTTGCGGTCAGACATGGTGAAGAAGGGACCGAGGTGCTGATCGTGGAAGATCTTTGCTGAGATGGACCTGTTTCTCTGGTGGGTTGGAATTTCCAAAAAGTGATTGCGGCCTGCAAGTCAGTTTTGGTACCAAAGTTCGAGGGCGACGTGGAGAACGCAGCCATAACCTTGGAAGGTTTAGCGTGGAGAGAGTCTGGACATAACGCTACTTAGGCCTTGGAGAAGCTCGGGGCTCGAGCGGGCCCCTAACGTCCAGTGGTGCTACGGGCACAATCCGGGTTGTTGATTGGGGACGAGGGGACTATCGGCCGCCTAAACAGAACTGGTTACACCTACGGAGTAACCGCAGCTGGGAGTGTGGGATGAATGCCCCTCTCTAAGTAGCCTGGCACCCATGCAACATTGGCGTCAGTTGGGGTAACTTTTTTTCTCATCTTCGTTCCTGAATGACTCAATAATTGTATCGCAAACAGCACTGCCACCATCACACTCATTAACAGCTCATGATGCCTGGGAGACCCTCTCCATTCAATCTCGAGACATGTGCTCGTCCCAATATCTTGAAACTCAAGCCTTATCGCTGCGCTCGAGAGTACGAACCTTTCCTTTCCCCTCATCGAGTCCTATGGACAATACTGACTCATTGTGAAATCCAGTGACTACAAAGACGATGGCAAGAACATCTTGTTGGATGCCAATGAAAATGCATACGGCCCAGGTCTTGATCTGACCCTACCAGATCCTCAGCAGAAATCCTCCTCTACCCTGTCCACCAACCCTCAAGTCGACTTTCTCGGCCTCAATCGCTACCCCGATCCTCATCAAGCCACACTCAAAGAAGGATTCTGTCGACTGCGGAACACCAAGGTCCACACAGACAAAGACTTGAAGCCTGAGAATCTCTTCTGTGGCGTAGGCTCAGACGAAGCGGTCGACGCCTTGCTGCGCTGCTTCTGTAGGCCTGGCAAGGATAAGATCCTGACATGTCCACCCACGTATGGCATGTATGCTGTCAGCGCAGATGTGAATGACATCGCCAGTGTGCATGTTCCATTGGACCCAGACAATGGCTTCTGCCTCCAGCCTCAGGCAATCAACGAGACACTGTCCGCCGACCCTTCGATCAAACTAGTGTATATCTGCTCACCAGGCAATCCCACGGCGGGCTTGATCAAGAAACAAGACATACAACAAGTCCTAGAGCATCCCACATGGAACGGAGTGGTTGTTGTGGATGAAGCATATATTGATTTTGCACCAGAAGGATCAAGTCTCGCAGAATGGGTATTGGAGTGGCCCAATCTCGTGGTCATGCAAACTCTCAGCAAGGCATTTGGTCTGGCCGGGATCCGTTTGGGAGTGGTATTCAGCTCGCCCGACATTGCTACACTGCTCAATAACATGAAAGCTCCCTACAACATCTCAAGCCCCACGAGTGCCATTGCAACGGCTGCCCTCCAAAACGACAGCCTCAAGGTGATGCAACGGAACAAAGCCAAGATCATTGAGCAGCGGGATCGGCTATTAAAAGAACTTCCCATGGTCCCTGGTGTGGGCAGATTCCGTGGCGGTTCCGAATCCAACTTTTTACTGGTGGAGATTCTTGACAAACCGCGTGAACAAGGAGGACAGCCCGACAATGCCACGGCACTTCATGTCTATGAGACCATGGCTGGTCAGCGAGGTGTGGTGGTTCGGTTCCGGGGTAAGGAGTATGGATGTCAAGGGTGTCTTCGGATCACGGTAGGCACGGAGAAGGAAGTTGATCGATTTCTGCAAGAGATTAGAGCAGTTTTGCAACAACAATTTTCAAAGGGATCGCAAGGGGCTAATGGTATTCTGGAAGGAAAACGGGAAACGGCGGCGAACGAAGTGATAGCCTAGCTTGCTAGCTTGGTAGAAAACAAGGTGTTTAGAATTTCGATGCAAGAATGACACTGGAAAAAGATCTGATCCTACAAAGCCTCGTGGATTTGCTAAGGAAAAAGAACCAAAGGTAAACCCCTCACCCTGCTTGGAAGATCCTGGCGGGGGTTAGCGAGCTTCGGTGCACTCCGAGGACACAAGCCCCACGTTCACTTGCTGTAAATCATGAAAAGAGTGGTATTAAATCCTAGGCAACGTCTTGCAAAGTACCTAGTACTAATCCCAGCATATATCTGGTATGCGAATACTCCCACATGCGTTCATCTCCTACGCTAGGTATCCATAAGTACTCCGTAAGTTCTTGGTAGCGATGAATTAGGTTCTGTCAAGTAGAGTGGAGCTTAGAACTGGAGGCGGGATGGCCCGAGGGAAGCAACAGCGATAGGTAACAATTGGACATTGTTGCCTGTATACGTGCCTTGGAAGATCCTGTGGCTAGGCACCAAGCGCCTATTGACTTTGAGGAAGTCCCTGAAGAGCCTCTGCCTACAGCGTATGCCCTCGTATGCTCCTGCTCATGCACCCGCGCCTTCGCCTGCCTGCATCAAGTGGATTGGCATCTACACCAGACCAGATTGGGAAAGAAGTAAACCAAAGGGAAAGATGCCCAACTGCAACTTCGCTCTTTCCCTCATCCAATGATGAATTTCATCCCACCATCGAATCTGCGTTGCAGCTCATCCTCTCACACTCTGCCAACACATCAACTCACCACCCGTTGAACCTATCATTCCAGCCGCTCTACCATCCTTGCTTCTGCCAGTCGCCTTCAGCATCCCTCTCAGATCACGACCTGCCTTTACACTCAAACTAAACCCGAACCCGCCTGCAGTCCTGTCACCCGGTTGCCGCCCACCGCCAGTTGCCAGTCGACCCTCACCCTCCTCTTCCCAGACGCCGCTACCAACATTTGATGGTCCTGCATCTTCCCGCATGATTGCCTTGCACCGGCCATCTTGAATCTGTCCGTCCTTTCTCCTTCTGCAGGCACCAAAGGGCAAACACCAGCATAAGGACTGTCCGTTTACTTCTTACTGGACGCTGTGACTGCGTCTCTGTTTGATAGTCACCATTCTCAGCATTTCCAGTGCCAACGCCCTGCTATTGTCATCAACCTCAAGTCCTCCGCCGTCCAGACAAGCCAATTCTAATCGCATTGCATGTCTCACCCAGCATCTTAACAGCCTCACGATAACGCGCTGGTCTTCAATTCCCCACCTACTGTGACGACCCAAGTGAAACCATCTTCACACTTCCCACAACCAGAAGAATCACAATAATTCTCAGCCGACTTTAACCGCCCTCTGCCTCTCCCACTTTCCCACCGACCGCACCTTCATACGTCTGCCTATCTACATGACCCTTCTTCTTTGAAAGACCCTCCCCGCCCTTGTCATACAATGTTGCGTGCCATGCGCAAAAGGATACTGATCTACATTACAACCTCACTCCTCTGATTTCATCATGGTCAAAGCAGATATCAAGCGGGACTACTACGCTGATCTGGATCTTCCTCCCAACGCCGACCTGGAGGATGTCAAGAAACAGTTTCGCATACTTGCCAAACGCTATCATCCAGATCGAAACCCTGGCCATGAGGTGGAAGCGGTCCCCAAGTTTCAAGCCGTGCAAGCGGCCCACGAGATTTTGATCGATCCCGTGGAAAAGAAGAAATACGATGAAGGTCGTGCCCGCCTCAACGCAAAACAAGCCCAAACCTCTCAAACCTACACTGCCCCCTTCTCTCCTGACCCTTATGGCTTCGCTCGGCCACCTGCCCCCAAGCCACCCGGCTCAACTCCCCAGAATTTTCCCCCTCCGCCGAAGCCAAGAGACAAACGTCCGCAATTCTCAATGCCCAATCCCAAACCCACTTCTACGAGCGCGGACAAGTACGCTGCGTGGGCTCGCACGGTTCCAGACCCACGAGATCGACCAAGATACGATGCCGCCACATCAGCAGAAGCTGCCAGAGGCTTTTCGAATATGAGACAAACTCAGTCAAATCCTCAAGCCCCTACTCGAAGCACTCGCCAGCATCCAACGGCTCCAAGACCGCCCTCTGCCGCCGACAATTTCCACGTCCCCAGCGGAACGTCAGGAGCCTTTCCCGGCTTGTCCAGAACTCAGAGTGCTAGAAAGCCCACAGGATACAACACAGCCCCCTACGGATCTGACGAGCCTCAAGCACCACGTTCTGCTTACTCGTATGTGAGAGGTGACCGTTCCCAGGCTCCTCCACCGAACATACATGTTCCCGAGCCGCAGTCCACTCGAGCGCCGCCTGTGACCCGGCCAAGACCTGCTGTGAGCCCTCTCCGTCACACCAGATCGTCGGATTATGATATGCGATCAAATCAACCAGGTTCTTCACGCCCATCCGCCAGATACGCAACAACTGGTGGAGAAAAGACTAACGTACACGGCGACGGTGTTCGTCGGTCAAGCAGCGTCCGTAATTCCCCTGTTGATCCCGAATGGGAGGAAGATCGTGGCCCTTTCGGAAGACCAACTGCTTCACGTCATGAACATGTTCCCCGGCATCGTAGTGCGAGCCCAAAGGTAACCTCAAACGGAAGAAATACCACCTATGCCTCGTCATCCTCATCGGAAAGCGACGACGAATGGGGTACCATCCACAATCGACCCAAAGCTACTCCCAAGAGCCGCTCGAAGCCCGGCACCACTCCTACTTTCCAAGCCTTTGCCGATAATGATCCCGCCCTCACTGGCCAATTTCCAAACACCAACTACACAAAGGTAGTTAATGACGGCCAACATTACTACCCCCCACCAGGCTCGAAAGATCATACTAGAAACCCCTGGTCTACCACGGTCTCCCCTGATGCTGAAGTGCCCGGTCATAATTTTGCAGGATACGGAGGAAACACAGATGGACCCAAGTATGCTTCCCCTCCTACTCGTTTCCCTTGGTTAGACAACTCTGGCATCAAGCGTTCCCCAAATGGACTTTGTCTAAATGGTGTTCCTGCATGGGCAGTCCCCTCGAGTGTCTTCCCGCAAAGAACTCCTCTACGCCCTGCCTTCGGCCACCAGTCGGTGCCGCTCTATGCCTTTCCTCTCATGTCTTTTCCCAATTTGAGACCTAAATTGCCCTCACACTATGACGCGCACGCCGCTGACATACTTGATAGTCATGACCCGCAAATGTCTCAGCCACAATCTACTTTTGTACCCTCAGAATGGCATGACAAAGTCACCTCAGATAACTTCCAACCAACCGACACGCATGTGCGAAAATCTCCCTCCAAGTTCAATCGCTCTACCAACAAGCCGACGACACGTGGGAGGGGATTGTCGAGAGCAGGTGACGGCGAAACTGGTTCTTCCAGTGAGAGCTCGACGAGTCGCACACGAGAGCACCGTGACTCAAAAGCGAGTGAAGACGCCCGTGCCAAGGCAAATGCTTTTCAGCCACCAAAATTGCCGCAGGATTGGGCAGCTAGGACGCGACAGAATCCGGAAAAACTGGCCAACGGGTCACAGCAGCGAAAGGATGGCAAGCCTCATGTTGACTCTCAAGATCCAGCGTATGTTGTGGTCGAAGAAGATGTGGAACCCATGGATATTGATGACTCGCCTCCCAGCAATGGTAATGGTGTACATCAGCCCTCAACCAACGGAGCATCTCGAAACCCTACAGCAGAGTCATCACGGTGGTCTTCAAAGCGATCATCAATGAGTGGCGTTGACCTGAGAGAATTCACTCAGCATGCTCCATTTGCTCCTAGTGCAACAGGGCTAAAAGGAATGGACGACATTGCCGCGAGCTTACCTTTTGAGTCGCGCGCCGAAGCAAAGGTCGACCTAGATCGACAGAATTCAGCAAATAGAAATCGGCTTCTCGATATGCCCAGACCGCCGAGGACCATTGAACCTCCGTCGGAAGATCGTCTAACAGAAGAAAACTTCATTCGCTACACGAAAAACATGTCAGCCTACATGTTGGAGTGGAACAAGTTCAATGCCAAAATGCTCGAGCATTTTCGACACCGCCAGGACCAGGTTTGTGGTCACATGTCTACGAATTGGATCACGATGCACAGTGACGGGCCGGATGCGCACGCGGCTGCAGCACAAATCGAGTCTTCATCCGTCGCCGCAGGTTATGCCACGTACATGCAATGGCTGGAAGACGACGCCAAGTGTCGGGCGTGGTGGGATGAGGCATATGACAAGCACATGGCCTCTCTCCGAGAGTTGGGTAGAATTAGAGAAAAGGCGAAACGTTCATTGAGGAAATGAACCGGGTCGTCTGGGAGTTTATTGAAGCCTTGGAGTATGGCAGGATACGTGGAGGTGCATTCTACTGGATTATTGGTTTTGTGACTTTTGTGTTCAAAGATGAGAGCGGCATCCTCTCTTAGAATACTGTCGTGGTGGTTCGACTTTGCTTTATGAATGGTTGATTGGATTTTTTTCTCTGGCTCCAGGATGAGACATGGGAGAAAATTGACGACAAATGATGCAGAGCCATGTGTCGTAGAAGGACACTAAATGAGAATTGATAGCTTTGTTGAAACTCGAGCCTTAAGCTCTTGAGCGTTCTTTTATTATTCTCGATCTCGAGACCGTGTTCCTCAGCAACGACGGCCACTCGTAAATACTTAAAAATCCATATTTATTAAGATACATAGTATTCCGTCACTATCCTTTACTCTATCACTAGGACATTGCAACAACAACCTCCCACGGGCGCAGGTCGATGATCCACCCGTCATGCTCAGTTCTTTGAACGACATTGTCGCCCTCATTGAGATAATTTCGCAACTCCTCCACAACGGCACCACGCCTCACTGCGCCGGTGGCTGGATCGCAGAGGATATCGACCGCAACTGCCGGGATGGGCCAGCGCACGACCTGGCCACTGAAGTTGGTCATGATTATAGCTTTGTTAGGAGTCGACTGCTGAGTAGAAGAGGAGGAGGAGGAGGAGGTAGTAGTAGTAGTCGCCGCAGTACGCAGATACGCCACCACCGTCTCATGATCGAGATCCAACATTTCAAAATCGCCATAGACAAAGACATGCTTGAGCGATTTGCGAATCGCAAGTAGTCGACGCCAGTAATGTAGGGGAGACGTCGGGTCGTTGATCAGAGTCTGAGCGTTCCATTGCTGAAAATCCGGATGGATAGACATCCAGGGTTTCAAGCCCGAAGACGACAAGTCTTTGTGTCTAGGTAGAAACCCAGCATAATCCTCAGCAGTCGGCGTCCACTGCATTGGCGTACGTGCGTTATCACGCCCGATCAAACGGTATTGTTTCTTGAAAGCAGCTTGAGCTTTCTCATCATCCGCATACTCCTTCATCACCACCGTGTTCCAATGATTCTGCAGTTCAATATCCTTGTATTCATCCAACGACCAATTTTCAGGAATGTTGATCTGAGCCAGTTCCTGACCCTGATACACGAACAACGTCCCGCTCTGAAGCGCCAGATGCGAAGCCAGCATCTTGGCCGATTTACTGCGATATTCGTCCGAATCGTCACAATACCGAGAAATCGTACGTGATTGGTCATGGTTCTCCATATAAATCGCATTCCAACCGGCATTATCAAGCATGAATTTCTGCCATTTGTTGACGATGCGCTTAAAGTCGCGAGGAGTGAACTTTCGAGCCACCCATTTCGATTCGGGCTCGTGGTCCATATCGACGATTTCGAATTGGAATGCCATGCCCAGTTCGCCGCGGTCTTGGCCTACGGCTTTCAGAATTTCGCGGGTGTCTGTCACGCCAGGCATTTCTCCGACGCTGAATGCGTCGTATTCTTGGAGGATTTTGCCCATGCCTTGGAAGAATTCGTGCAGGCGAGGTCCGCATGCGAAATGCTCGATGCCGGATTGAAGGAATCCAGGACGTTGGATTGAGCCGTCGGGCAGGCCGGGGGCTTTGGATATGAAGTTGATGACGTCCATGCGGAATCCGTCGACGCCTCGGTCGAGCCAGAAGCGGATGATGTTGTGGACGGCGTCGACCACGGCGGGGTTTTCCCAGTTCAGGTCGGGTTGTTCTTTGGCGAAGAGGTGGAGGTAGTATTCTTGTGTGTGTTCATCCCATTCCCAAACGGAGCCGGAAAAGTTGGATTCCCAGTTGTTGGGTGGGATTCGTTCTCCTTGTTCGTTGTAGCGTGGCGGTCGCCAGTAGTACCAATCTCGAAAGGGGTTGTCTTTGCTGGATCGTGAGGCTTGGAACCATTCGTGCTGGTCACTGGTGTGGTTGACGACGAGATCCATGACGTATTTCAGACCACGGTCGTGAAGGCCCTTGATCAGATCGTCGTGGTCGGCCATTGTGCCGTATGGTCGATGGATGTCTTTGTAATCTGATATGTCGTAGCCCATGTCGACTTGAGGGGATGCTAGAATGGGCGAGAGCCAGACGATGTCCACACCTAGGGCTTTGATGTAGTCCAGTTCAGAGATGATGCCACGTAGATCCCCGTGGTTGGATCCAGGCGTACTGCATTTGAATGACGCCGGATAGATTTGGTAGACGGAGCTTTCACGCCACCATGTTGGTTTGATAGGCTTTTTCACCACCTCGGCCCTTTGAAACGACGACTCAGTAGGGGCTTGAGTCGTCATGTTTGCTATTGCTAGCGTTGTGATACAATAAAGAGCTTCTCCACGTCTCGTTCACAGGCAAAAGAGACTAACACAGATGCTCGGCCTCTTAATGGTTGAGATAGGGCGTCGCACCAGCGTCCCCCTGCAAAGAAGATACCACGGATCAAGGAGGTGGAAGAAAAATGTTTTTGCCCAAGCCGAAAAGACTGAAGATGAACGACTTTATGAGGACCTCAAGCCCAGCAGAATGGTACCAAATAGTACCAAATAGTACCAAACGGCAGGACTTCTGAAAATGGACACGCAGCCAGCGATGTGTAGCCGGCGGAGATAGGTCCTAACGTCAAAAGCCGCAAAAGTCACCAGCCACTTCTATCACGGGGAAATGGTCGCCGTTGAAAGAGTACTAACACAGGAGAGAGGATAAGGACGGTGGATGATAGAAAGGACCTCGCGTGCTTGTCATAGACATCATTTGTGAGAACGCGGATGATTGACTTCAGCGTATGCAGGCGAGTGGAGTGGCAGCGAGTATTTCACCGAGCACAAAAGAGAGAGCCTGAGCACGACGTGCCATGACTCTTGGTCATTTTCGAGTGCGGAGAGGGCAGATCTGGTCCGTGTTGGCACTCAAGGGCGAGCATTTTGAAGCCAGCTTTCGCTTTGTTCACGTTTGTAGAGAGTGGTTGTGGTTGACCGCAAAGACAGGCTGAAGGGAAGTTGTTTTTCGGTGACGATGTCGATCACTCACGTGACATGTTTATATACGCCGGAGCATTAGTCAATATAGGTGCTCTTCCTGTGGAGTAAAACCATGAATAGTGCAGTCCAACGTAAGTAACGTGACTTACACTCCTTACTTAGTCAGCCTTCCTAGTCCTAGTGACGATTTCTCACATCTGCGCAAGTGTGATATTTGAATAGTGAAACGATACTTTGTCAAAGTCTCGGCTCGGCCCTCTCAATTACCATGTCTTTGGGTCCGCTAATGTTAGGGAAGTAGATCATTACAGAAATAACGGAGGATTTCGAGAAAATCTGTTGAAAAATATGCTTGGATTCAATTTCAACTCAGCCAACACCCGCCGCTTTCAAATGAGGTCTTTTCGCACACATATCGCACTCTCCTCGTTCAAATCCTTGAAATCAATAAGGCACAGGGTCAACTCAGTAGATGAGATGTCTTCCTCAGGAATGGACTCTGTTCAATGGTCTGCTGTTCCATCTCTACTCCATCTCTGCTCACTAAGCCTGGCCTGGGGGTGGCAACTGGAGTCCACAACCACCACAGAACTTGTCACCGACCCTGCATTGATTTCCGCACTTTGTACAGAACAGCGCATCCGGTCCTACATATTGAGGTGGAGCGAGATACCTGTCATCTGGTCTGTTTGCTGCCCTTTCCCTCACCTGCAACTCGGCTTCCTTGCGGGCTAGTTCTCGTTCTTTGTTCAGCATGTCCTGCCTCTGCCTCTCACTTTCTGCCCTCTGCCTCTCACTTTCTGCCCTCTGTTGATCCTCCCGCTGCCTTTGGGCCTGGTATGCAGCTTCTTGTTGTTGGGCTCGAGCCTGCATGGCTGCCTGACGTTCTGCTTCAACTTGCATTCCTCTTCGAGCTCCCGACCTGGATGCTCCATAGACCACAGCAGCACCTAAAAGGGGAGATCGTCGTCTGGGAAACATTTCTGCTGATTGGGTGCTATTGGCTGGTGTCAGGAAGAGTGAATCACTTCCAGCTCCTGGCCTAAAGAATACTCACTTTAGTTGGTCAAAGTTATTAATCAAGCCCGTAAATTAAACTGTGACTTAGTTTGTAATGCTGGACCAGAACAAAAGCAGGTTCCAGATTCAACGGACCTGCCATCTCTTATACTGCTTGCAGAGGTCGTCTCACTTCGCTTCTCCTCCTGCAAGATGGTCAAAGCGTCCCGTATTTTAGACTTTAGTGATAAAGCGCAGCAAATCTATACGAGAAGGGTGCGCCTTCTTTTTACGTACAGTGGTCGAGGCTCGAATGGCCCCTACGTAAGCTCACGGACCTGAAGTTTAGGGTTCGAGCCCTAAACCAATCCATTGATCAAGTCAGCACTGCCATGCAAGCAATAGCTCGTGTCTTGCGCATTCCTAACGGTGCATGTGACTGGACTGGTCGTCTTTTCGCACCTTAATCCACGCCACCACTGATGTGAATGGAGGGCGACAAGGAACTATCATGCCAACTCCGCATAGTGTTGCCGAGGAATCACTTTCCACGTCTCCAATGACAGGCATCTTTTGAGCTTGTCACCTGTGCAGTGAGTGTATGGAACTGGGCGATGTCGAACGCCCCGTACCGGGTAGGCCGAGGTCTTTTGTTCTCCCAACTGCTGGTATCCGTCCAGATAAGAACGGGTCCAGGCCTGGTTGAGTGCTCGCGACTTTGTTAGAAAACAATCAATCACAAGTACCTAGTGAGGCAGGAAATTTCACGGAATTCGATGATGTTAGGCTGTGAGCTCTCCTCGACATATATTAACAATTTATAAAACTGCTAGGTCTGTAGATTCAATGAGAATGGCCAGCGATTTCATTTTCGAGAAAAAGCAACATGTCTTGATTATGCATGCTTTATGCATGCATTTGATTAGTGCACACCCATTGCCCTGGGCTGGGCGAATGAGATACTAAAAGGCACTGCCCTGCTCAAAACGCCCGCTAATTGACGAAAGGATTTTCGGATACTCGGTATTTCGGCCGTTGGATCGACCGTTGGATCGACTGATGGATCGATCGTTGGATCGACTGTTGGAACGACGTCAGTGACGACTCTTGCCGAACCCTCAGTCAACATCAGTCAACCGTTCAACTTCGACAGGTGTCCAACCATAATACATATTCACAACAGAAAAGACCATGGTAAAGCTCTGGGGTCTTTAGCTCCTCTGGCAGCCAGTTCTCAGCAATGTGAGATCATCAGAATGGGAAATGTCCCTCTTCTCCTACATGGCTTGAAATTCCTGCGTGCGCCTCTCTTCTCCCAAGACTTATGGCCAAGATGCCTTGACGGCACACTAGATTCTTGACTGGTGGGCAGCTCCCCACTATGACGATGTGTCGCCTCCAAAACAATGTTGCACTCATGGCAGAGCATGCCGTCCTTACCATGATTCGAAACTTCAGCGTTGTTCGATTCGCTGTTCCCACGTGCCAACAGGATCCTCAGTGATGTCTGATCCAAGGCTCTCGTTCTGATCGCGATGTGATTTGCGATGGGTCACGCCGGAGAGTACGCGATTGGGTCTACCCCATCTTTTCCAGTGATTCTCATGACCATGCAAAAGGCTTGTGTCTCAAAGAGTGTGCCCAGAATCACCATGAAAGCTCAATTGTCCCAGATATGACGTTTGTCGCATGCAGATCCGGGGTGATTGTATTTAGATCCGCTTCAATTCCCTGCGCTGCGGTCTCCCATCCAGATTTGCATCAGTCACACATTTCCAGGTGTTTTGACTTACCTCTTCCTGTTCATTGTCAATAGTCTAATCTTTGTTCGACATGGCCGACAGGCAAACCAACCCTGCCTCGAGGCGGTCCTCAGCTACTGTTGGTGGAGATGAAGCTCTCAACGTACCAGCCATTCCGACCAAGGAAGCCTTCGACGATGACAGCAAAGTTCCGTTCATGACCATGCGAACCTTTTTTATGACTGTCGTGGTCTCCATCGGTGGTGTTTGCTTCGGTTATGACACTGGTCAGATCAGTGGTTTCTTGCAAATGGACGACTTTGTCTATCAATTCGCCGACGATCGCGACACTCTCGAACTCAGCGACATCCGCACTGGCTTGATCGTCGCCATGTTGTCGATCGGTACACTTTTCGGAGCTTTGATCGCCGGTCCCGTTGCCAACAACCGTCGCATCGGTCGCAAATACTCCATCTGCATGTGGTGTGTTGTCTTTTGCTTAGGCAACATCTTCCAGATCGCTGCCCAATACCCCGTCTGGTATGTCATGATGATCGGCCGTATCATCTCTGGTTTCTCCATCGGTGGTCTGTCGGTCATGGTCCCTGCTTACCAGGGCGAGAGTGCGCCAACCCACGTGCGAGGTGCCATCGTGTGTTGCTACCAACTTTTCATCACTATCGGTATTCTCCTTGCATATCTCATCAACTTTGGCACCGAGACTCTCTCAGGTACCGCATCCTGGCGTGTCCCGCTGGGCCTCAGCTTCCTCTGGGCTCTGATCCTTGGTCTGGGTATCCTATGCTTCCCAGAAACGCCACGCCATCAATTCCGTTTTGGCGAGGTCGATGCTGCCACAGAGAGCATCGCCAAATTCTATGGCGTCAGCACCAAACACAAGGTGGTGGCAAAGCAGCTCGCAGAAATGCAGTACAAACTCCAACTCGAACGCGAAGAAGGCGAGAGCTCTATCACCGAAGTTTTCACCGGCCCTCGCATGCTCTACCGAACCTTACTCGGTATATGTATCCAGGCTCTTCAGCAACTCACTGGTGCGAACTACTTCTTCTACTATGGTACTACGATCTTTTCGAGTGTCGGACTTGAAAATCCATTCATCACGCAAATCATTCTTGGTGCGGTCAACGTGATCACCACCTTCCCTGGCCTCTACATGGTTGAGAAATTCGGTCGACGGAAGTGCCTGTCAATCGGTGCTGCCTGGATGTTTTGTTGCTATATGGTATTTGCGTCGCTTGGCTATTTTTCCCTCGAGACCGAGGACGGAAACGATCAAACCATTGGTTATGTCATGATCGTATTTGCTTGCTTGTTCATCGCAGCTTTTGCGTCTACATGGGGGGTGAGTTACCATGTTATATCTGACAGAGCCCACGTTTCTAACATCTCTTATAGCCAATGGCATGGGCCGTCACCTCTGAAATCTATCCCACTCGCTATCGATCCGTCTGCATGGCACTTTGTGCTGCGTCTAATTGGGCCTTCAACTTCTTCATTGGCTTTGCGACACCATTCATCACTTCCGACATTGGTTTCGCCTACGGCTATCTTTTCGCCGCCTTCAACTTCATCGCCGTGCTTGTGGTTTATTTCTTCCTTCCAGAAACGTGAGTACTCTTCCCAATCAGTTATCTGATCCTGCAAAATATCATTCTAATGTCCCCTAGTTCTGGTCGCTCCCTCGAAGAGATCGACACCATGTTCCTCTTTGAGGTCAAGCCATGGAATTCCAGCAAATGGACCGCACCTGAAGGCGAGGAACTCGCCAGCGCCGATCGCCGTCGTATCTCGGAAGGTGGTCGCCGCGCTAGCAAGGCTTTGGAATCTCGAGCCGGCAGCTATGCTCAGACTGAGAATGCCGGCCGTGGGTCAACTGTATAAAAGGTTTCATGAAAAGTTGTCTGCTTCATTTACAACAAAGCACTTTCCTTTGGGTCAAAGCCCTCGTTGTAATACTCTATGTAACACTGGCTGGAAATATGGACGAGCGGCGTTTGACAAGTCTGCTTTTGGAAGAATCTATCTGGAAACAAGCATCACTACTGTTCACCACCTCGCCTACTCTAGTCCCCGCGGCCGAAGAGCAAGTCTGAGTCATGACGCTACATACCTGGTCCTGAAAATTAGGCTGATATTCTGCAAGTTTTAGAGCCACGAGGGTTGCCCGTGGGGCAAAGCCGCCTGTTTTGTCGCTTACTGCAAATTGCCCCTTTTTAGCTCATCCTTGCAACGTGCTTAAGCAGGCTCTGCATACGAGTACGAGTGCTTAAAGTTTCATCCTAAGTATAGAGAGTGTCTAATGTCGTCTAGCCGGGATCTACACTGGGGAGAAACTGGGCCATTGTCTGACTTTGAACACTATAGACCTACTTGGCTCCGATCACATTAAAACAATACGGCGGTGAGAGTCATGCATTGATACCGACTGTGATCACTGATTATTCCTGCTAGAGTATTACCACCAAGTTGGCTTTGTTGCACTGTCGGTGCTTGGCCGGTGCCGACTGTCGAGAAGTATTGTCTTACTAGCTAAATCTGAAAGAGAGGAAAGCAGAGGAGAGAAACAGCCTCAGCCCATGTAGTAGGCGGCCCAGCCCAGCTGGCACCTGCCCTGCTGTTGCAAATGTAGTTGTGTTGGCAGAAACGGCCTAACATCGACATTGATGATCATCATCCCAATTCGACAGAACGCAGGGGTCTACTTAGACGTTCTTCCTCTCCTCGGGTAGAGTCTCGATCTCAACGCCACGTCTCTTCTCATCCAGGTTTGTAGTGTGAGCAAGGGTGCCATCAAGGCCAAGATCGGTAGCAAGGCTCAATCCCTTCTCGGTGGCAGCACCACCACCTACGATGGCATGGTCACCATCGAAGTGCTTGGCGATTTCCTCGAGAGGCGTGTTGCGAGTTTCAACGTAGAAGAAGTACACAACAGCCAATTCGATGGCAAGCCAGGCGCAGTAGAAGATGTAGTCTATCATGTGCGTCAGTGGGGAGCTGCATCAAGAATGGAAACATCACTTACACTTCCATCCAATATGGTCCAAGGCGATCGGGTTGACATATTGGTTGAAGAACAATGCAATGTCGACCATTAAGAACATGACAGTGAGACCCTTAGCGCGAATATTGTAGGGGAGGATCTCGACAGTGTATCCGACCAACATGCCAGACCATGCAATGTTGTACCAGAAGTAGTAGATGTAAATCATGCTAGGAAAATAGGTGTTAGCTGACAGTCAGATGATGCTAAAATTGGGAAACGTACCCAACCACTGCATTGGCCGCTGACTTATCGCGAGTGATGTTGTATCTGGCGGAACAAATTGTCCAAACGATGAAGGTTATCAGCATACCGGCTGTAGAAGTGAGGAAGAGCTTGCGACGGCCGACCTTGTCGACAAAGAAACAAGCTGTCACCGCAGTGATCAGATTGAAGATTTGGAGGACCTGTGAAATTGTCAATAATCTTGTCACGGCGAGGAGTCGACAGGAGGTCCTTGACTTACACCGTTGATCAAATTCTTGGTCAAGCTCTCTGTGTAGCCTATGTCGTCCAATACCTTGGAAATGTAGTAGGACACAAGACCATTACCAGACCACTGTGAGAAGAGGCCAGCACTGAGCAGGATGATCAATCTACGTCGGTTTCCCTTGGTCTTGACCAATTGGAGCCAGCCGTTTGATTCGTTCTCTTTCTCCATACGGATGGTGTCGCGGATTTCAATGTACTCAACCTGAACAAGTTCATCGTTGACGTTACCATTGGCGTGGACCTTTGCCAAGGTCTCGAGACCCTTCTCCTCCTTTCCGTGTGCAATATGCCAACGTGGAGACTCGGGAACGAACCAGATGAAGAAGATCTGGACCAAGGACGGTACTGCTTGAACAATGGTGGGGATTCGCCATGACCAGTTGTTTGGAATGCGGTCAGTGCCATAGGTGAGCCAGGCTGCAACAATGGAACCTGCATACCAGGTTGTGTTGTAGATGGTGGTAAAAATGGCTCGATGTTGAGGGTGGACCAGCTCGGTAATAAGCAGAGGCGATGCACCGTGTGCGATGGCAATCCCGAAACCAAGGAGGTATCTAGCACCTAAAAACATGCCGAAATTGGTAGAAATGGATTGCAGGACAACACCAACAAGCATAATAAGACACCCGAGAAGGATACCTGCGCGTCGACCTAGAAAATCGGCAGCATATGGAACAAACGGAATGGCCGAGAGGGAACCGATCGACATGATGGCGTTGAGGATACCGATCTTTCCTCCTCTGGGGTGATGGAAATAGTCCTTCCAGGGGTCAAGTGTCTGAAGACCGTTCATCATGGAGCCATCATATCTGAAGTTACAAAATCAGTATCTCTCAAAGACAACGAACTACCCAGGCTGGGTTTCCAAGGTATGACCTACCCGTTCGTGGCACTGGTGAGGACGACAAACATCAAAATGATGTAGTATTTCCTCAAAGCCTTGTCTTTGTACCATGTTACGGCGGGAAACTGGCGTCCGCCGAGTTCAAAAAAGCCTTGAGCCATCTCGGCGGTGTGTATCAGATCTTCTCTGTGGCAGATGAGTCAAAGGCGAGAATGTCGGGATGAAGGAATGGTGACAGGGCAAATCCTGAAGATTCCTCAGTAGGCACATCTCCCCTTTATATCCTGGTGGCAGAGTCCATCGAGTCAATTCTGCCAGATTTCAGTCTCCTTCCGACGCCCGCGTGCATTTGGTAATAGCGTAGCAACCATCAGACCAACTCCATGAGCATGGATCACGATCAAGGTGCTGGCATGCTGCATAGAACATGGCTTGACAACCCACCACATCTCGACCACGGGATGATGTTGGGCCGATCCTGAGAAGGAACTGCCGCAACTTCAACAAGGTAGGAGCCAACTGGGCTGGTATCCTGCTACATAGGCAGATCTCAACACTATCTCATCTCCTCTGAGAGGATTAGCCAGACACGAAAAACTTATCAACACGGTGGCGACACTCGCTTGCACTTGGGCTCAAGAATTGCCGAGGGGCTCACCCATGGGTCGTGTGCCATGATTGATCCCTTTAGATCTGGACATTACCCCGTTGGTCCAGACATACCATTTGACACAGGTGATGGTGACTGCCATCATAGATTCGTAGCACGGAAAGTCAGCTGTATGCCGTCCAAAGAACCTTTCGGCCACGCCGGCTTAGAGGCAGAGAAGCACTAGAAGGCCACGCCAAGGGCGACAACACGCTCGTTTACAGTGCTGGGTTACTGTGGCCGATATCAATCAGTCATCCGGTCGATGGCCAGCGACGAGGCTGGGCCTATGTCCGAGAGAGCTTCGCTCGCATTCGGACAGTCTCACTGATAGGCGCACACCAGGGCCGAGGGCCGAGGGGACCTCCAGCCCATCACCACGAGACCCCGCAAAACTGATGTTGGACTTGTGGTGTGACTAATGCTCGTCAGCACGGAGAGAACAAGGTCGTGCAGCCTACCGCCTGTCTCAGAGTGATCTTCATACTGTGGGTAAATTTATCCTGAGAGCTGGAAAGTCTTACTGGTCGATCTTTGTCTCCGGACGGACTCCAGGTCCATGCTGAAAGAAATAACGATCCACGTTGGAGACAAGCCTACTTCAAGCACTGGCTGACCATAGAGGCGCCCTTACTTTTGATCCTAACTTAGGCTAATCTGGAAGCAGTCCGGAAGCACCCACCGACCTAACGAAGCATGGCTCCCCATATCAGTTGACAGCAGCAGATTGGTCAACCTTGCTTTGAGATGTCACGTGTATGTTGGAAATATGGATAGTGGCATTACCTTTCACCGAACATTCCCCACTTTCTATGATGTGATTCTCGTCTAATTGACTGTTGCAGATGCTGCAGTACTAACGAGCTTTGCCAGAATACCGCATCGACTGATCTATGCGACAACGGAATGACATTTGGCCGTCGCGTCTGCGTTTGCCTCATAAGCATCGGCATCAATGCACTCCAACACGAACCTTATCAGCCCTAGTCCCGACAAAGGATATGAAGCCGTACGGGGAAAGTGGAGGGGAGTAACCATGATCCCAGACATCGAATAATGGCAGTCCCCTATCGCTTGGGCTGAGTGTACTGCTATTGACATCAAGACATGTTTCTGGTTGTCTCCCATCTTGAACAGGCTGTTGGCTTGCCGGCTAAATCAAAATGCTTTTGTTCATGATTCTAAATGGTCGCTTTCTACCTAGAAATGGCGTGGCACTCAGACAGGTGATACATGCGTACAGACGAGTGATGAAATCAATACGTGCTCCATTTTGCCGGCGAAGGTGACCGTGGGGCCATGATCATGACTAGTTGATTTCACGCGACCTCGTGGGCCGAAGGCTGGTTGAAGGCGCATACGGCAGCTTGAGAACATATGCCATTCTCGCCACAACGGAGAAAGGACGTGAGGCTCAGCGAATTCCACATCAGAGGCCACTCTTGCACTGATCATAATAATCTTCAACGACCACATCTCAGGAGGAGCTCTTCTTTACGTGGTCTAGAGAGAAACAATAGACCCAGAGATAGATGTCATTCCTCGTACCTGTGGATAAAACGTGTGGACACACGCGACGTGCGCCATTCTTCTGTGGCATCCAATATCTTGCTTGGGTGACATTGATGATGGGATATTCAGGTGTCGATGGTGACTGCCAACAAAGGTCATGATTGAAGAGGCTTGCATACGTAGCCTTGGAGGATCTGCCATATCTTTTGTGGCAGGCTTCAGAATCCTTGACTGGTGCATGTCAATAGTCATGCCGTGCATGCATACGACTTACCTCGGTTCTCGCACCGAAGACTCAATCCTACTGGCGAGGAACTTCAGTGAACACTGGGGCAGTCATCTGCCTTGTCGACGAGCCGGAGACATAGGCCGAAGTTTGGCCACGCACAACCTGGCCTGGTGCCATTGCTTTTGGTTCTCTCGCTTGACGGAATGGAACTTGGATGAGATGTCGTTCATTCGGGCGCCAAGACGGAGCATAGAAGCTTCACAAGCTTGACATCTACGGAGTAGGCTTCCAGCTACGATGAAACAAGGCGTGGATAACTGGCAGCCGCCTAGCGCAACGAAGCTCCGTCAAGCCTTGGACGCCTTGGTGTTCAAGCGAGGGTGTCCAAGCGAGCGCAATGGCTGGCATATCCGGTACATGGGGTATACGGTATACGATCGTATATCGCAGGTCCTGATTATCCGAGAGACCTCTCCATAAGGGTATTCAGCCTGATTTTCAAAACTGGGGCTGAACATATCAATTGCTCCAGGTTGTGGCTGATCCACCATCACTTGAAGGCGGCACATTTTGGTACGTATCTACCTTCAGATCACAACCATTACAGCCGACTGATGCAGGTCACAAAGTAAATTGACACAGGTTTTGATTCTGGTCCTTGTACAACGTTTTGATTCTCTTGTGAGCCGATGCTTGCGGAGAGGACTTGTTGTGGCAGATGTTGCGAGATCATCGTCAACACGAGTCTGGGCGCGAATCACGGTAACAAGCTTGTATATTGCCAGAGCATTCATCACACTGACCAACCTTGAAATATCCGCACAGTGTGGTGCCACAAATTCCACCAGGGTACCTCGCGGCCGCATAAACGAGCGAAGGTCAATAGGCCGGCATTGTTAAGAGGTTATCCGATGTTTTTACGACCCGGGCATACGGGGCCTCGCGTCGCTGAATCCTTCGGATGAGGCACCGTTCGTTTCTAGCCATGTACTGGTCTTGAACGTATCGAAACACAGGGTTTATACGGCAGACCATCACGGGAGGCTGCGACATGACTTCTCGGTTCAAGGAGATAGACCCTCGGCGCCTGTCATGAAGGTATTTCCGAAATAGCACACAATCTTGCATCACAACAACCGAATCTCAAAACAGGCTGAATTGCGAGCTGATGTCTTGCAAACCATTCTTCAGAAAGATAGGCTGAAGGAGATCTCTTTCAGCTAGGTAAGGGAGGTCTTGGTATCATCTACATGCTAGCATTCTTGTTCGAATTTGATTTCCCGTTCATTTCCAGCTAAAATTGATAGAGTAATTTCTAGGACGAAATCGATGTGAAAGAGGAGCTTCAACCTGGCCGATACCACCAAGCCCCTTGTGTCGGGATAGAGTGATGAACGAGGCGCTCAACACTGTGCAAGGGGCCTCAAAGTCGGCGGGTCGATTTGCTGTCGGTGTTGCTCTGCATTGGAACACATCGTCAAGCCTCTTCCTTTGGTACTCATGGTGAATGATCATGTTGTTTCATGGAGAGAAAGAGAGGTGTCCGTGCGAAACACCATATCTTACTGGTTCCGAAGAAGCGAGCACCGAGTATACAGTCCTCAAAATCAGTATCATCAACAAGTGAAAGAAATAGCGTTGAAGACATGGTGGTTGGCATCCTGGTGGTGTTGCGCACTCGAAGACTCTCAACCAACATTGTGAATACTTGACGACCCAACCACTGTTGTCGCCTGCAATACCATGTCTTCTTTCCGGGATAATCAAGTTTGAATGATACAACCGGGGCAAACCACTCTGGCAGCCGCGCAAATATGGGCATGACAAGTCAACTTGGCCATAAGCAATGAAACGGCCCTCGACGATTCGTTCATTGGCTTCGTCTTCGGGCACAGCCTGAGGTGTATTCAAGTTTCACCTCAAAAGTAGTGCCTTTGAATCCACTAAAGGGGCTCATTCAAGCTGGCAAAAGATAATGCCCTGCTCGACGAATAGTTTGTAAAACATGCCGTGGCCACGTGTGACGATACCACAGCACTGTGGATCTAGACTCCGATGCCTCCGTGAGATTGTAAAGTCGGTGTATCATCGACAAATGGCTCACAACAACCGACGATGGTGCATCATCAGATCGCGCCTTATGGAATACTAATGGGTTCCTGATCCGATATATCGTTCGCCGAGCCGCAATGAATGACGTTCAGCATGCACCCACGCTCAAGCGAAAGTATGAACAGAATGTGGTTAGGTCGTTCTCCACCTGACTGTCGCGCATTGTCCATCGTTCCCATCTGGGCGTGCCCTTGATCAGCAGACGAAGACACTGGATCACGATGTGGAGTTGATATCATCCATCAGCCTGTCTTTTAGCCGGAATGCTCACAGAAGTGGATGTATAAGATGGAAGTGAGTGGATAATTGCGTAAGGTTAAGATACAGCGGATGACCGACGTGTTGAATTCCTCTAATTATCGTGGAGTTGTTTTCATCTATCAACCTTCGATATCGCATGGCGCAGCCCAGATCGATTGACCAAGCACCACCTTCAGAAGACGGAATTTCGACCAAAGTCAACATTACATCTGAAAAAACACATGCAAGCAGGAGTGATTGATCTTATGTAGATCATGCTCCTCAAACTAGGGTTGCATCATCGACTCGAGTTTTTCAAATCTCTACATTTACTGGGACTGAAGTTTGCCTCATTCACATAAGCCTACCCAAGTAGCCCTCGGCCTGGGATCGAACATCATGTGATCTCCGCGCGAGAGATCTCCAAGAATGAAAGCGATACACGAATGAGATGGGGAGAAAAGAGAAGGCCACCTTCGACCCGAACCGGAGTTTCCAAGACATGCGTTACAGTTTGCATGACAATGGGGCATGCAGAAGACTTACTCAGATGTTATACAGCATTTGAAAGCCTGTGGACCAACTTGCAAAAGGGAAATGGCTGCATGTGCGTTATCAACGACAACGCAGTGTTCCCGGAAGACGGCAGACCAAGCGTCCAAGTTCAATACCCAATATTCCAGAAGAAACATACCGCAGCCTATGGCGCTGTCGGCGGGAGCCTGCGTTTTTCCATCTGTGGTAGAGAAAGGATTGGTGATCGATCAGTCGCCAGGGCCATCGAACAACTTGTGGTGGATTCCGTTCAAGGCCCACCTGGCCTCAAGACTGTAAGGAGGAACACAAATCCTACGGAGAGAAGAGCTTGGAACCTCCCTGAAGAGGACAGTACACTTTGGGTCATCTCCAGCGAGAGACCAGAAGGTCATCATCTCATTATGGTGACACCAGGACGCGACTCTACGTTGTAGTTTCGAGACCGTGGAGCCTTTGATGGCAAATGGCTTGGCCGGAGCTCGTCGATTCAAGTTAAAATAAACGCCCAAGGACCCTTCTGGGGAAAAGAGCGAGACCCAAATCAAGGTCTACGGAGTAGGAAAGCATGGGTGCTTCCGGCCGGCCTCCGGGGCATGCATATCCCCCCTCGGCCCTTCAACCAAGCCAAGGACGATGCGCATGTGCTGGGCTCATGTGCTGGGCTCTGGCTCGGCAATTGTTACGGGAGTCACGAGTCCATACAGTCGACTGTCTTGCGTCCGAAATCATTACTCTATAACTACCTACCTAGGTACCTACCTAGTCACTCTGGTGAGAAATGACAACTATTGCAGGTAAATGGATCTGGGCTGTAGAGGTGGCGGCACTGGCGGTCAACACCATCCCATCACTCAAACCGCATGGTGCTAGAGTCCTCCGCTCCACCAGGACACACCCAACCATCACTTTATCACCAATCACTAAACATTTCTACTTGCTCAGGATTTTGGAGCCAGTTCCATTATTGCCAGGTTGTAGTGTCAGCCGGTGCTTCGTACGTCCCGACTGATGTCGGCAATGGCCTAACCGTTGTCTCAATAAAGTCTTTGACAGCTTCTATATGTACAGACAACATACACACTGCTGTAAGGATTGCAAATTTGAGTTGAATAGATCCACGAAGCTTGTCAATCGAACTGCTGGTGGCTGCTTCACTCTCCTTACTACGGAGTATGTTGCCAATTGGCTGGTCAGGCCCATTCGCCTCGGGCCAGGAGCACTCGTTTACTTCAATAGCAAAGAGCTCGAATAAAAAATGCCCATATTCAGGCCCTTTGGGCCGCCTCGGCGCTGATACCCCTGCACTCATTCACGCCCAGAGACCCCAGGATAGAGGTTAGTGGCGTGCCAGCAATCATTGCACCACATCACCTCAGAAAGACTTTGACGTTCGGGGCATGACCCATCGACGATCCTTGATGCGTCCCCTGTCATGGCCTTTCATTAGTTGGTTCGGACCAGACTATTCCAGAAGCAATGCACCGTCCACTGGGAGTCCCTGGCCCAGTAGTCGCTGACGCTTGCGCCCCCGCCATCCTGTTAGCTACATACCCTGCATGGGCCGAGGGCCTCCACGCGTCTGGAGTTCCCAGTCGTCCCACAAGTGTGCCTGTCCACTCCTCATGTGAACAAAAAAGCCTCCACACGAAGCCTCCTCCGCTGTTCAGCCATTTGCGGATGGTGGATTTTGGTGGCGATGAGCTCAAAACTCCCCCCTCTTCTGTATGCTACCTGCCAGACAACCTCGAACGACGCTTCATAGGATTATGACAAAGGACCGTTTCTACCCTCATTGCCGTTTCGTTTGGTCGACAAAATGCTTTCCAGAGGCCCAGCGCAAAATCAAAACACCTACTCCGACTACCATGATTACTCCCAAAGGCCCGACCTGATGACCTCGGCCCCGCAAAGACTATCCTCCATCTCACAATCTCAACAAGACCATCAATCCTTCAAGTCAGAGAATCTTCAAGCTGGTCGGAAGAGACGGGAAAGTGAAATGGATGGCAATGATACAAGTGATGCAGGTGTCCGCCGGAGGATTAGTCGAGCCTGTGACCAGTGTAACCAACTGCGCACAAAATGCGATGGAAAGCTGCCTTGCGCCCATTGCACAGACAATTCTCTATCATGTGAATACGCTCGTGTTCACAAGAAAAGAGGCAGGGCCCCGAAAAAGGAAGTTGATCAGCAAGAAGAATCCAACTATATACATCAGATCAATAGCCACACTTCCCAATCAACGACTGAACAAACAGTTGATCCACGGAGATACTCTGGCGCAGCTTTCCAAGCGGCGGATGGCTTAGTTGATACCGGTGCTCTGGGTTCTGCAAACACCCCTCCGCCGAGTACCTCGTTCGAGCCGAACCATCATCATCAAAATGCCTTCTTCGGTGCCTACGACGCCTCCCAAGGGATTGGAATGGCACCGACTGGACCACTGCACGACATGGACCAGTCAATACTCCCTCAGATGGCTCAAACTCGAGCCATGGACTTTGCTATGCCGAATCAATCGTATTCTACCCAACCTCTCGACTCAATCAGCGTGCAGGGCCCAAACAACACCGGCTTTGGATTTCCACTTGGTGATGACTACTCGGTGGCTTTCATGGGCAAAGCACCAATGGTTGAGTCGCCAGATTGGATGTCTCTCACATCACCTCTTTTCATCACCGAACCTTTGCCCAATCAACCTCGAATTACCGATCAACTGCGATATCCTGTACTGCGGCCACTCCTCCCTCACATCGAGTCCATTATTCCACAGGCCCTGGCCTGCGATCTGCTCGAACAGTATTTCCTAAGCACGACGTCAGCCTACCTGAGACCGTCCAATCCGTACGTGCTAGGGTACATCTTCCGCAAAAAGTCGTTCCTTCATCCCTCCGATCCTCGCCCTTGTACGCCGGCTTTGCTCGCGAGCATGCTGTGGACAGCTGCGCAAACTAGCGATGCCGCATTCCTTACAAGTCACCTTGATGCAAGAGGCCGAATCTGTCAGAAACTGTTGGAATTGACGATCAATATGCTGAAGCCACTGATCCACAGCCACCCTAATACATCTGCACCCACTCCAAACCCGACCTATCCTCAGATCCAGACCAGCGATGGAGGACTTGGGGCACTTGTGGTCCCAACCCACTCCAGTGGCCAAGGAGTTGACCGAACTCAAATCGACAATCTGGCAACATATATCCACTTGGCCACTGTAGTTTCCGCAAGCGAACGAAAGGCAGCTAGTTTGCGATGGTGGAATGCTGCTTGGTCGCTGGCTCGTGAAATCCGCCTTGGACGAGAATTGCCTCCAAACCCCACTGAGCAAGATGGAGAAGAGGGAAGCAAGACTTCTGGTGATAGTCATCTCAAGTCAGGGCAACGAGACTTTTTGAGTGATAACCGACGGAAAACCGTGGGTTACGTATCGGAAGAAGAAAGAGAAGAACGTCGCCGGACATGGTGGCTTTTGTATATGCAAGATCGCCATCTCGCCTTGTGTTACAATCGGCCCATGTTCTTTCTCAACAAAGAGTGCGAGGGATTATTGCAACCGTTGGACGATGAGGTTTTCCAAGCAGGTCGTCTGGACAAGGCGGCCGAGACAGCCACTCGGCGGCGCGGCTTGAACATCGAGTGCACGTCGCATAGTGTCTTTGGGTATTTTTTGCCTCTCATGGTCATCCTCGGAGAGATACTTGATCTCAACCACGCACGAAATCGGCCACGATTTGGACCCCGAGCGCGCCAGCCAAAGAGTTGGGACGAGGCCACCGAAGAAATCACACTGCAACTCGAGAGCTACGGACAGAGCTTGAAAGATTTTGAAGCTGCAGGCGGTCATCTCCCCGACAACTCCCATAACGATGTGGTCACCCCTTCAGTGGTCTCTGCGGGTACCAATGATTCCCATAATGCTTCGGAGCTTGCCCTGCAGACCAAGACGGTCGTGGCCTACGGTACCCACATTATGCACGTGCTGCATATTCTCCTGACCGGAAAATGGGATCCCATTGCATTGCTTGATGACAATGATTTATGGATCTCGTCTCAGTCATTCGTCACGGCGACAGGACACGCTGTCAGTGCGGCACAAGCAGTGGCCGAAATCATTGAGGATGACCCAGATCTCAGTTTCATGCCATTCTTCTTTGGCGTGTATCTTCTTCAAGGCAGCTTTCTGCTATTGCTATTTGCGGACAAACTGCAAGGAGACGTCAGCCCTGATGTGGTCAAGGCTTGCGAGACAATTGTCAGGGCTCACGAGGCATGCGTAGCCACACTGGACACCCAATATCAGGTATGTCTTCTTTTTCCTTTTTCCTAACTTGGGGTATTCTTTGTGCTAACTTCGTCTGCAGCGGAATTTCAGAAAAGTCATGCGCTCGGCGCTGCAACAAGTGCGTGGACGCATTCCTGAAGATCTTGCAGAACAACAACATTGGAGACGCGAAGTTCTCGCTCTCTACAGGTGGACTGGCGATGGCACAGGACTGGCGTTATAGGCCAGACTCATCTGTATTGCTTTATGGTTCAGGTTCAATGCATAGCATAACGACAAGTTTCACGATGAGGCGCAGGTAATTGCACGGTCATCGAAATGTCCACGGTCAACATTGGAGGTCTCACAGTTGACATATGATAACAATATTTACTCATGATATAGTATAATTTGAAATCTGGAGATCAGGTATTATCAGGTCTAAACACGGATCAATGTCGCGCAGCATCTATGGGTCGCGTTCCTGAAGACAGTGAGAATGCCCTGGCCACGTTGTTCAATTCTCCAGAAATACGGGGCTCTAGCGGTGACGTCGAAAACTTCTCGAAAACTTCCCAAAGATGACCTCCTTAGGACACACCAGGACCATCCTGCGCTGTCGTCACAAGCACATGAGTATGGTCGCCTCTCCTAAGATCCTACCACTATCTCTATTCACCACCCAGTATACCCGATTGAAGTCAGGACCAGGGGCGCTTCACTTAAAGATAGCCAACGTTAGGCATGCCGCAACACGTCCAACTGTCAATTTGGCACGACACCATACCCCACAATCTTTCGTTGATCAAAGGAAACTCCGTAGGGCCGAGGGCTCCTGGATACCTGTGGGTCAAGGACTCAGTGACTGGCCCAGTTGACCTCTTGTCTCCCAAAAGAGATTGGAGGGCAACTCTGTTCTCTTTGGTCCACCCTCCGAAGCATACCTAGGTAGGCAAATATCACCCCAAAAGCTTCAATGTATGTTTAGCATCTGGAGAGCCCAGAGTTTGACGAGGGATCTTTGGTGCTTGGGTTTGGCGCCTGTGGTTCCCGCAGCTTTTCGGCACGCTCGAGGCCGCGGGCCTTACCCAGGGCACGTCAGGCCTTTGTGGGCACCACCCGAGAATAGTGTATTGGGTGTTTGCTTGGGGGGTGAAGGCTATTAAGTCTGGGTCATTTGGCGTGCATTCAAGTGCTCGTTTCCAACAGAGCTTATTGGTCTAGCCAGCGTTGACTCAGACATTTGGCGCACACCAGCCTAAAACCCAGCCAACGGCGTCCAAATGGCCACTCCACCCGGACAGTCCCACCGCTATCAGTTCTCTCATCTTTGAGACAGACGGCACCTTGACAGAGAAGGGATGTAGCATGGCAGCAACTTGACCATGCGATCGTTGGATTCCCATGTTGAGCGTGCTCGAGGTTGTGCAGAAAAGCAAGGGGCACCCTCGAGCTTCGATCCGAAGTCGATCATTGTAGAAATGGCATCAATGCACGTTCAGATCGACGCAGACCACGCAAGACAGAGAAGGGGGAGCCTGGATTGATTTACAAGCCTCTCGCTTAAGTGAAGAGGCAATCGCTATCATCACCCCTGCCCGGCCTCTCGTGCCTCTCGTGCCTCTCGTGCCTCTCTCTATAGGCGTGTTTCGCTCTCACATTATCGGCATCCACGCGCCTATCTTCCTCTTTTGATGTTACGAGCCTTCTCTCACTTGCATATACCTTTGCCACCAGCCGGGTTGAACATCACCCCATCTGCTTTGTTCCTGGATCTGTTCGATCTCTAGCCTCGCTGCGTACACGATCCGCGGACGCGATGCAAACCTCGGGTTCGGTGATCATCCCAACAAGAGAATTTGTCTAGCTTTCTTGCCCGAGATTCCTTCAGTCACTCGTTCACTCATGGTCTTCTTCACTCGCGCAATCATCTCAGTCTCGATTGTCTACGAATGAACATCGATCTTTGGCCACTCAAATTCACCTCGACAACTCTCTGTCCGAATCACTAGGACTATATCGATCGTTGCCTTCGTCGTCGTACGAGTTCCGGGTTCATCGCTACATCACTTCGGAAGTGTGTTGCCTGACGACCAGTCCTGGTTACGGGTGTCGCATCTCACCCCACTATACCAACCACGCGGTTTTCAAGCGCTGCCACCACTTACGCACAGACCTTGACTGACAGATGCTTTGACAATATCGGGTCTTGTTTCTACGTACATCCAGTGGATTACGACCAGCCATGCCCGCCATGACTGCCACCGCCCGCCCAACAGGTACGTCTTTTGTCACCAAACTCGGCATGTTTCAGCCAGACAAAGCCACACCGCCAGCAAGGTTAAGTTGGTTGAATTTGTGTTTTGCGGGCATCGGCTTCGATGTCTTTTCCCGGTTTTCTCACATTTTTGGCCCAGTTTTAAATTCTCGCATTCGCTGCGCTGTTTAGAATTTACTAATGGGATGGGATTAATCTAGATGACTTCGACATGGGCAAGCTGCAGAAGAGCCTTAAGCAGCGACAACGCCATTCCATTCGAATCAAACCTCATGTGGCCAAGTTAACACCTGCTGAAATCCGGTCGCTCAACAATAGTGCTATCGCATCTTCAGCGGGGAGTCACTCAAGCTCTCACGCTTCATCGCCGGCTCGATCTCGCCGATCCACCACCGGCACACCGCCAACGTCGCCAGACGATGGCTTGAGCTCGCATCGACACTCGGTGTCGCGCAATTCACCACATGATGTCCTCACCCCGCCTCATACGCCGAGTGGAGGTCGACGGTCGTCACAATCGAGTAGTCACAGTCACCACCACCACAATCATCAGCATACCTACCAAGTTCCCCACTCGAATGGCATTATATATGCGCCTCGACCGCGGGGGCATTATCACGCGAGCTTCATGTCGAGTGCACCCTCCTCCAGACCATCTAGCTCAAGCTCGTCAACGACATACCGAGGTCTTCCCACTTATAGAGGGCCAGAAGTCACCCGAACGGGGTCGATGAATATGCTGCAACGCCCATCGGCAACTATTGTCGCCAACCCTCTATCGCAATTCTCACGACCGAGGCAGAGCGCGTTCGGCGTCTCACCAGAACGACACCGACATTCTCAGGATCTGGGAACCGACCGCTCCCAAAGCTTACCCGCTCCTCGAGCCAACTCTATATCGAACATTAGTGTTGCTTCGTCGCGACCCGCAAGCCCACCGAGGGTGACAGACTCTCCAGTGTCAATGATGGTTGAGGAAACGGAAGCTTTTCCAGTCTTGGATCCAAACGATCCTCACAATCAGCCCAAGGAATTTTCAGACAGCGACGATATAGAACACGATCCAGTAAGGACGCCCTCGGTAAACGAGCAGCCGCGACCCCAACCACCCCGGACTCTTCCAGTAGCCCCAATGCTGCCTCCGCCGCAAGGGGAAGAACAGCAAGATCAGCAAGAACAGCAAGAACAACCACCGCCACTGCCACCGCCACCAGCATCACCTAAAAAGGACAAGCAGAGGAGGTTTACCATCAGCTCAGCCCTTTTCGGAGGAGACAAATCTAATGCAAGTGACGAGAAACCTGGGAAATTGAGAAAGGCGAGGAGACAAACCCTCACGTCAGCCGACGGCCAGCAAACTGACCATCCCGATTCTGAGAAGAATGAAACCGCACAAGGTGCTCAAGTGGAAGAAAAAGATGAAACTCAAGCTTTATCCGTCATCATTCCAGATACAAACAAGGGCAAAGAAAAAGAAATCCAATCTGCACCGGTCTATTCACGATGTTCATGCTGCGGCAAAGTCAAGAAACCATCAGGATTTTCATCTGGCCTCAGCCCCGTAATGGAAAACGAAAACCTTCGAACAAATTTCAGCTTCGAGCTGGAACGCACATCCGAATCATCATCTGGAAGAAGACTTTCGGACGCGAGTCGCCGGAAATTCACACCCATCATTCCCATGCCCATCAGCGAGACTGAGACTCGTCAAGCCACTATCGAACCGTTGATCGCTTCGCCGACGCATGTTAACAAGGAAGCTGTACTTTCGTCGCCGCAAAGTAGCATCGAAGGCGGAAGCGGGCAAGGGTCATCACCAGTGACGCCGACTTCCAGAAGGCCCAGGAAACATCTTGATCCGCCTAAATTTGTCCGATTTGCGAGTTTGCATGGGCGCCGGAATGTCGATTCGGTTATTATTGCTGAAGAGGAGGAAGAGATCCCTGAGAACACGCCTCTCATGGAAGGCCAAGGGCAAGGACAGCAACAGCAGCAGCATCTCCACGAGGACGTGGTCGAAACAGAAGAACTGTTTTACGGCAACGAGGATACGACCGAATTGCCAGATGTGGTGATCAGCCAGCCTGTATTCGACATGGAGCCCATCCACCAACATCAACCTTTGATTCAACCACGAGTATTAGTACAGAGCCCCTCGTCCAGCCAACGCACCAGTCAAGACCTCCAGCACCACAGACCATCCGTAGCAGGATCCGACTCCGATATGTTCTTTACGCCTCGAGACGGGATCTCTCCAGCTGGTGAAAACCCACCTTCGCCTGCTGCTGCAGCCCCGACACTCTTAACCAGGACTTCGTTCCTTGACTTGCCTGAATCCAATTTGGACTTGCAATTGAAGGATTTTGGCGTTACTGACAAATCATCGACGACGACGACTATCATTTTGACTGAGGATGCTGCTATTGTTGATGGTGTGCAACTCGATCGTAAACCAGGGTCTGAGGTCAGGGTGGCATAAAACGACAGTTTTTGGTTCTCCGAATGAATTAAACAGACGTGGACGGACGGACGACTCTCCTCGATTTGCAGAGACTGGTGTTTTTTGGTCATGAGAAACGAAGGGAAGGAAGCGAGCCCGAACATGACTGATGGATTGATCGATTTCTCTTTTTAACATCGCGGATGGCGGATGGACTGGAATGAGTTGGAATCACTTTTGACGATATTTGATTGCATTCAAGCGCTGGCAAGGATGAGTGAAGATGGTTCGCATGAAGGAAAGCAAGCTTTGAAGTTTTAATGAGAGGTTGAAGTTTGGTATTTTTTTATGCATGATACCATGAGTCTTACTTAGTGTAGCGTTCAGTTTCCATCCAATCATCAGATATCATTGTTCACGGTCCAGCGTCGCGCAAGAAATCAACGCTTCAAGTCATAATCTAGCAGCGATGGAAATCTCCCTCCTGTCTCGGCTAAGTATAGACAACAGGCCCAAGAAACCTCTCAGTGATGATGACATCGCCATTCAAAGGGAGGATAGCTAGATGGACCGTACGGTAAAGAGGAAGAATTGAAGGAAATTCATGTTTTAATAATATATGTATGCATGAGGTACCCGATTGTCCAAAATCCAATCCAAAAAGCGCTAAAAGAAAAATATCCTGAGGGTGCAGGATCCCCCTGGGGAATAATCTGTACAGGACCCTTGCTCAGTCAAACACCAGTTCTGGAATCTCCCCACCGGTCATCAATACACCGTCAACGTCAACTACACCGCCATGGCTTTAACCATTATTTAGAGACCAGCAGCGAGCTTGCCAGCCGCCTCATCAGCCACGCTCTCTTCGTACCACACCTTGATGCGAGAGGCCTTCTCGGGGCTTCGGACTTTGACATCCATCTCGAAGGGGAGGGGACCACCAATCACGTTGGGAGTGAAATTGTAGCTCGCGGGCCACTTGGGCTGACCGTTGGCATCCATATAGGGCTTGAGCTCGAAGCAGCCAACTATGCTGCCGCAGGCAACGAGAAGCTCGGCTTCGGTAACCTCGATACCGGGGCACATGCGGCGACCCATGCCGAAACCGTGGTGACCCATAAGTCGTGGGTGCTCAGTGAGAGGCTCCTTGTAGGTGGGGTACTCTGGTTCAAGCCAGCGAGCTGGGTTGTAGGTTTCTGGATCTGGGTATAGCTTGGGGTTGCGGGCTAGGGCAAGATCAATGGCGTGGATCACAGCACCCTTGGGTAGATAGTAACCATTCCACTCGTCATCCTCTTCCAGAAGACGGGGGACGCCCAAGGGGACCGGGGGTCGCCATCTGACACACTCCTTGATACAGGCACGGAGAAGAGGTAGATTAGGGGCATCAGTAACCTCGACGACACGGTCACCAATGACCTCATCGTATTCGTTGCGTACCTTTTCTTGCCATTCAGGGTGGAGAACCATGGCGAGGAAGAAGCAGTAGAGTGGACCACCGATGGTGAAGATGGCGACAGTGACTAACATGCCAACGGCATATGCAGCTTCATGGTCGTCAAAACCGAAGGAACGAGAGCCGCTTTCTGCTTGCTTGCGCTCAAAGTAGGTTTTGGCATAGCTGATTGGAGCTGTTCCGTTTTCGATTTCTTGGGAGACTTGTTTCATCAGACCTTTCCATAGCTTTTCTTCCTTTTCACGTCGCTTGCGAACTTTGGCAATGGAGGGGTTCAGCCATTCGGGAAGACCACCGAGGAAGGGCATCAGATTGGTGATTGAACCAGAGGGAGAGATCTGAGGAATGAATTCACCAGCGTTTTTGCAGTGAGCAGCAGCGGATTCAGGGTGACCATAGCCGAGACGGGCGCTGATGCGACCACAGAAGCGATCGGTGAGAGCAAAGTGGTCCTTGGGATCAAGGAGGAGCTTGTAGAGGAATCGCTTAGCCTCGTGGCTAATGTAACCATAGTACTTTTGGTTGAATCCGGCGGTCAGGACGGTGTGGGCGAACTTGCGCTGGTTGCGCCAGTGTTCTGAATTTGTCAGAATGAGTGTACAGGATGGAAAAGGGGTGGGTATTCTTACCGCCATGCTCAAGGAGAGGGAGGTATTGGCCCTGAGAGTCACTTCCTGGGACTGCAGCAACCTCGGGTCGAGAAGAGTAGATTCTGGCCTTCTTGCAAAGGAGGTCATAGGCGATGTCGGGGTTTCCAACCCAGATGTGCATCTCACCACAGATGGTGGAACGGAAGATACCACCATACTCGTCAGCGAACTTCTTCATGGCGAACCATGGGCAGTTGGGGTCGACATCGTGGACGCGTCCAATGTAGGGGATGGTTGAGGTTGGGCCTGGGATCAACTTCAAGCCTGGGGGAGGTCTGTCCTTGAGCAGATACCTGATGAACTGAATGGCAGTGACCAGGACGAAGATGCCTGTGCCAATGAACCATTTGTAGGTGCCAATGGCAGTGACAGCTGGGGAATTGAAAAGAGCGTCTGCGGTTGTCTCGTTGGTACCGAGATAGTTCTGTATTTGGGTCACAATGACCGACGGCGAGATTGAAGCCGCCATGGTAAGAATACTCCTGCTGCTGGCGAGGGCGGAGAGCAGGAGGGGACAAACGAAGGGAAGGGGGGGGAGGGTATATAAAACCTACGGAGGATGGATGAAGGAGGGTCAGGAGAAGGGGAGGGCAAAGAGTCGCGATGACAATAATAATAATAATAAGGTAATCAGTCAATGAAACCAGAGGGAAAACGCGGTCGCTCCTACTCGCTGTTCATGGCCGCTCCTTCTCGACTACTGACTACTTGGCGCCGTTTGGCTTGGGAGCTCGGGCAAGAGCCGAAGTTACAAGAGGCAGGGGCGATGCTGATAGGCGCAATAGGGGAAGCAGGGATGGCGCAGTGCCCGCAGCGCCCGCAGCAGTCATCATGGTGGAGGGACAAATGTAAAATTGTCTGTGGCTAAAGCCTGAGACGAGTGCATGGCATTGCATGACCGACACCAAGCCCAGCAACTGGAACGAGTCATGATTTGCAACAAAGTCAAAGCGAGACGTGGGAGGCAACGAGTGCATCTGAGATCTCACCGTGAATCGATGGTCCCCATGTCTGGTCAGGTCTCAGCCCTGTTACTGTAACCAGTCAACTGTAACGGCTTGACCGTAGTCTTGCAGTACCCGTTGCTGGGAGATTCTTTGATGGCAAAAAACATTGATACTAAACATCATTAGCTTCTGGTTAGCCCTAGGTTGGTGCATGATGATCCCCAGAGATGTCTCCGCCTGCCCACTGGGACCCAATCATTTGAGTCATGTGTATCCAAATTTGGAACATGGCTCCCCTGAAATCAAGGCAGGGCCCATGCCACCCAATTATAATCTTTGTCCAGCCCCAGTACCTTCCCACCGTATCCCCTGATACTGTGCATTACCGTCCCAAAACATACTCCGTAATCTGCCAAAATTGGAATGTCCGTAGCGTGCTAGCTTGGATAGATTACAAGTGACACTGTGCACTTGCTAGATTCAGATCAGATTGCCACAGATTCTTCAATCCACGATCGTGGTACCACCAAATAGTATCTGTACTAGATAACTAACGTGATAACTGCCACATGGTTCCCGCGAGGCTCCATATCATCATGAGTTTGATATTGCCCTTTCTAGATATGCTGCTGATCCTGTTGCTTGAGCATGCTTATTGTGGCCTGAATCTAAATCTGGCTGGCCTGAAAATACAACAGATACACGACGTGACGCAATGGACCACTTTTCATGAGGAAACCATCTCTACGGAGTCCAGCGGCTGACATGCATGGGCGGTCGACGTGTCCACTTCAGATCCTCCTCAATTAGACAAACACACTAAGCCATATCCGGTAGCTGGCTCGGTGGCTCATCTCTAATCTCAGCCTTGTGCAGTGGAAGGCAATCCACGTGATATCAGCTTCCCTCTACACTTATCAAATGCCCACCCCACCAGACGAGGATCAATTTGAGAGATGACACGGCTTCTCGTAGCATCTGAGATTATGCAAAGCGTCCTTCGCATAATAATACTACAGAGTACTTGTGATGAGATCATACCTCTCTTGGTCAAAGATACATACAGAGTACACGTGAATCTGAAGATAACCAATCTTGGCATAAAACATGTGATGTTCTTTCTCTCCACGTGATTTCCGTTTCTTCCTCCACATGAGTTACCATCTTCATGCGACCAATGATAAACACCATGCGAACAATCTGATTTGTACACCATAGTACATGTATTCGGTCTCACGATATGACAGCGTGATACTGTGCGTCCGTCGAGTCGGCTGTCCTGATCTAGGTCTCGATTGCAGATCTTCAATGGCCAATAACAATCATGACCTTTTCCATCCAGCTAAATGGCTGGCCGGTTTGTCCCAAAGCCATTGCCTGGGAAGCTGAAGACATTGCAATCGCTGCCGGTGAGATTGTGCACATTTTGACGCCCCGTGATGCGTCTATGAGCCGCCCAGCGAACATCCCCAGTCAACAATGGCACAAGTATACTATGCGCATCAATCAGTTCACCCTCTCAGAGTGGCCTCAACTCAGTCCCACGACCATTGCCGACCTCTCGATTGGCGAGGAGCAATCTGATTCTGTTGGGATTGCTGTGTCATGGTCTCCTCCGGGTTTGGGCCGTTATACTCGAAACGTCCTCTCTGTTCTGACTTCCAACTTGCTCCTCTCGCTTTGGGAGACCAATGGAGATCCCGGCGTATGGCAGAGAACATGTGTGGTTAACAATCTAATCAAGCCCGCCTCGATCACTTCAGACACACAGTTTAGGCGCGCAACAAGAATACGCAGCTTTGCCTGGTTACCCAAACTTACTCAAATCGAAGGAACCAAATCAGGAACTCACCTATTGATCCTCGCTGACGATGCCCAGAATCTCCACGTCTGTCGAGTCCGGAAGACACAGAATATGGATTATGGTAACTGGGTCATCGACCCCATTGCAGCTCATGCGCTCACCTCTCCTCTTCCTGTTGAACCTGGCTCGTTCCTGCGACAAGTACTCGAAACCTCCTCACCCGTTTCCGACATTGAGACGACGGCTTGGACCTTTGAATCTCACCGTGATGATGTGCCTGTCACTGCTGAACTCCAGGTCAAGGTGAGCTTCGGTCAGGTAAAACGTGCGCAATACTTTTCGGTCCGAGTATCGAGAGTTGGGCCATTCTCGACAGACTTTTCAACCCCCGCTGAGATAGCAGTTGATATCACACAATTGGACAAGCTACACAATGGACATATGCTTCTTCAGCAACCCCAGTCATCCTTCTTTGATGAGGCAATCATTGGGCCAAAGTCAGAGTTTGACCAAAAATGGAAACTCGGGGGCCAAGTTCGCGTGCGTAGCTGGGGCACAGCTTATTCTCATGATCATACCCAAGCTGCTGCATGTGTGACATTTCATCCATCCAGGATGCTCCAATCTACGACAGCAAATCATCAGCATACATGGGTCTTTGTCGCCAACCTGACTCCTCAAAGACAAAAACCTTTGATGGAATCTCGCGTCAATGTCATCCACCGCATTTTATTGTTCTTGGCTGGCATATCACCAGCAATGATCAAGAGTGATCTAGACAGGAAGGTTGCCCGCAACGCCATCTCTTTGATCAGAATGTACTCGAACGAATTCACAAGCCTTGAACCCTGGGCTGCAGCGATCTCAAGCACAATTACAGGGACTACCGTTGATCAAACCAACGCAGAGGCAGGCCAATTGCCAACCAATGGACATCAAACGCACTCGACGGATCCGGAAATGCACCTGACAAGTCTAAGCGAGGAAATTTGCGAGGTTTGCAACTCATCTATTCCCTTTGATACCTCAGCTCGATGTGCCAAGGGACATGTCTTTACTCGTTGCAGCCTCACCTTTCTCGCAATCCAGGAGCCTGGGATTTGCATGTCTTGTGCCCAATGCGGAAAACAGTTCCTCGATCCCGGCAAGCTGGATATGTCGGATGGTCTATGCTTAAGTCGGATGCTGTTTAGTGAGTTCGATGTTTGTCCATACTGTCAAGGCAAATATCGAGGGTGAGACACCATCGCCCAGAATTCATCTCCTTTCAGAACTCGGCCAGTCTGACAAGAAATAAGCCACTTGTCATCGCATCGAAGCACGTCTAGATCGTCACAATCTCAACATATAACCTCGTCAGACACGTGGGATAATTTGCCCATCCAAGTCTCAACTGGAATGCGGCACGAACATGTGTCACCCCAGCATCATCAATCATTTGACTGCGAACAGGACCGACCAAAATATCCAGCATATGCATCCTCATTGTCCAGTCGAGCGTGCTGACAGTTCTCCATCCTCTCTACCGCGAATCTTGTCGCAATCCAGAAACTTCGGCTGCGATGATGATCGCATTTCCGCAAACGGCAATCTTCTTTCAATTCCACTGCCACCGCTGGCCCCCACGACGACGACCTTCGCTGCAAGCGAATGATGAGCCCGTCGCGGAGCACCTTGAAATACGAGAGTATGGCGGCGAAAGATGCCTCGTCTTCCAAATACTCGATGACTCGAGCCACTCCCCATGGCAGTCGACTCTGACACTATACCAGCTGGCTCAGCTGGCTTTGGCCAAAAACCCAATATTGTCACTCAAGGATCGACTCCTCACAGCGAGGTCGCGTCCATCGAGACAGGATCCGATATGTCTGTCAACGATGCAAGTCTCTCTCCTAAACCATCTTCTCGTCTCTCCTGGAAAGGCGGCATTTCGAATCTCCTCAGACGCTCTGGAGAACGACATGTGACCCCTCAAGAAGTGAGCCGATGGTCCAAGACGACGACCGACTCGGACATAAGTGAGCCGGTGAAAACAGCCTCGCTGATCAAGGACAAAGGGGTGCTCAAGAAGATGATGAAGAACAAACCTTTGGGTGTGTCAGGCCCGGCTACAGATACAAGCCCAGCCGATCCAGCGTATGACCCGGTCAGCGAGACAGTTGGCCCTTTTGGTGATCCCTTGATCATACCCGCCAGCTCTACAGACGGTCCAGAAGAGCCCACATCCTTCTATGACGACGGCTCTGACGAATCCACAGTTGCTTCTCCACGTTCATCCATCGTGCAACGAGCCAGTAGTGTGCGTGTTGCCCGACCACGCATTGTGCAACACTGCAACGACTCTGGAGGCTCTATCGGCAAGCTGTTCGCGCCCGATAGCACGCCAATAGAAGAAGAGCCTGCAATGTTGGTTCCAACAGCTCTCAGTCCGAGCCACCAGCTCAGAAAGCTACATACCATGAATGCGGAAACCGAGAAAGAAATAGATGATCACATCAAGGTAACCTCCCCAGGAGGCAGACAAGACGCCTTGGACGCTCTGGAGGGCAAGAATCCCAGCTTCGAAGATATCGCAAACATCGCTCCCGAAGATGCAGCCATAGACCGCACCGAGGCAAGGGACACGATCAAAAACACCGTCATCGAATATCCCACTAGCCCAGAAACAGTCACAGGGACAACTACCCTGCCAACACCACTCGGGGGATTTGGATCTCTCCGACTACACAAGAGGGACAGGGATGCCAATCAAGTGACCACAAAGTCCGGCAACACCCCTTTTGTCGACGGCCTTCGTTCCAATCCAGTGGAAGTCGACAAGAAGCTCTCTCGGGCAATCTCCGCCCCTATCAGCCAGTCTGGTCGAAGGGTAACGATCCGCCCATCGAACTTGGTCATCGGCCGTACCGCCACCGATAGCAGTACGTTCCGTGAATCCATCGTCAGCACACCCTACCCGGCACGACAGAACAGTATTACTGAAGAGGATGAAACTTCTTCTCAAGCCAATCAAACTTCGTCGGGTCATGGTTATCGGCGAGCACGCCCTCTATCAGACCAGACCGAAGTCGATTCTGCGGAAGAGAAGGATGATGATTTAGATATTTCCATCAACGAAAAGCCGCCAATCGTGCCAATTTCAACCAAACCTTCGATCATGCCCACCACCAGCCGATCTGATCGCTTCCCATCGCCTGTGGCTCCAGAGATTCTCTTCCTCGATCTACGACTTGCACGTCATCCATCGGCGAGGGTCAAAGTCGAGGTCGAAGTTGTCGACAAAACCACTTTCGACGACGAACAACTATTCAAATTAATCCAGAAGACATACAACAGCAAATTCCATGGACTGGTACGTGGGCTATTCTCGGCGAGCAAATTGTCACATGCAAGCCTAGCACCATCATCTTCGTCATCCTCACCGTCGTCGTCACCTTCCATCCATGGTTATTCTGGATCTGGATATGGATATGGATATGGACATGGAGATTGGCACGGTCAACAACCTTTGACCATCGATGGCGCAGACTTCATACGACACTTACTCCGACCGCGACTTGGACATCGGCGAAAAGTCTGGCTACTCTGGCTTCGAAACCAGCAGCATGTGCACCGAGGTGGTCGTATTACTGCATCGCCACGCCATCGATCTCGACTATCCAATGACGACAGTCCCGCCGACTCGACCGTTAGCCCGGTGTTCTCGTTTATGCCATCACGAGACGGAGGAAGTATCGCTACAAGTACCAATCATAATACCCAGCAGCATAATGCCGTCCATAACCACAACGAAAACGACGGTGAAGTGAAACCCTCTGTTCCTCACAGCAACAATAGCACCACCAATCTCCGTAACCCAGCCCAAGCCCCAGCCCCAGGTTCATCAACCCAAGCAAGCAACATCGCCATGCCACGAATGCCATTCCAGACCTATCCACAACGACTTAAATCCACCGTCTCTCACAGTCAACCTCAAACCCCCAACACTGCATCAACATGGTCAAATTACGAAGCTGTACCACCAAGTCGTATCCACAGCCATAGACACCCACATACACATTCACATTCAGTTTCACATACCACCATCGATGGAATCCCCACCCTATATCTACACTATACATTCTGTCTCTGGCGTGTGCTATTATTCCTCGCCTTGACAATCATAGCATCGCTATTCACGACGACCATGTGGATCTTATTCGGACTTCCTGGTCGCGGAGCGGATCAAGGTGATGGAGAAGTGGTTTTTGAAGATAAAGCGTATCCCTTGAGTTGGCAGCGTGATGCGCAGGGTCGGGTGGGAACGGGGCTTTTACTTGGGTTTGTGGTCCTCGCGTTGGGGTGTATTGCGGAGGGAGCGTGGGTTTGGGCGAGTTGGGTTTTGAATTGAAGGATACCTAGTAAGTAGGTATGGAATGAAATGCAATGAAGGATAGGGAAGGGAGGGGGGTTGGAGGCGGTGGTGTTGGAGGTTTGGATACGCAATGCAGCCTTGCATAAGGGTTTTGGCTTTCCTTTGTAACTCGCTTGTCGTGGACGATAGGGTTCCCTGCCGACTCATATCAGATGTACTATGAATAGTTGTATATGTTGATGGTGGGCAGTGTTGACAATCTTATATATGTGACCACAGAGAGTGATATATTTCGATCGCAGTGAGGAATGCACTAGGCTGGCAGGGTTTGCTACCTGGTTGAATAACTGAATTGTGGAAGCTGTATATGATACATGTATATATATAAGTTGCAAGTCATGACAAGAGTTTGTATAGTGCTGCTATGAACTTGTGGCGGTCTTGATTCCACCACCACACCAACATTTATTCTCGCCTTCTCTTTCGACTTGGACCACAATGTCCATTTTTCGTTGTCTGAGATATAACGAAACTCTTTCTCTAACATCCTCTGGATCGGCCGCTGGTGATGCGATGACATGGATGACTCCGAGGACGGTCGGGTCGTCGTTGGTCTGAGTTGTATCAGAATCATGACCATCACTGAGTTTGTGGGAGTGGCCATGCGAATGACCATGAGAATGGCCATGATGATGACCAGGTTCTTTCTTGATGTCTTCTAGCCAGAATTTGGGCACGGTGTAGCCAACTACGCCTCTAACTTCGGCCACTCCACTAAGAATGCCTCGGAGGTTGTATTCAATGTCCGAGTTGAGTGACAGGAGGAGAATTTTGGTGGTGGAGATGACAAGGGGAATGGTGGACGCAAAGATCAGGACAGCAATGAGGCACGATGCTAAAGGATCAAACCCACTCCAGCCTGTCCATCGAACAAGTAAAGTCGAGGCCACCACAGAGAGGGAGCCAAGGGCATCTGCCATGATGTGCAAGTAGATGCCTTGCATGTTTTCTGTGCCATGGTGATGGCCTGTGGCTGGTTGTTTGCTTTTCATTGGGGAAGCTGACGCAGTCAACAGCGTTAGACCCTGGTTGTGGGAATGGGTATGTCCATGATCATGTTCACAATGGTGTTGATCGTTTCCATGATCATGATGGTGGTGTGCGTCTGAGTCTGCACCAGAGTGAGAGTGGCCGTGGCTGTGATCATGGTCATGATCATGACTATGATCGTGCCCGTGCCCGTGCCCATGGTCGTGTCCGTGATCGTGTGCGCCGTGGAAGGCAAAGATACCGACCAAGTTGACGAGAAATCCAGCAGTGCTGACAAGAAGGAGTTCTCCCGTCCGACTCACATCAGCGCCAGTAAAGAGTCGTTCGATCGCCTCATAGACGATCTCAATGCTGATGAGCATCAGGAAGATGCCATTTCCCAAACCTGCCAGGGTGTCGATTTTGCCATAACCATAGGGGAATTTGAGACTAGGAGGCCACTTGCTCATAACGGCAGCACATACCCCGACGAGGAGAGCGACACAGTCGAAAAACATATGTATGCTGTCGCTGATCAAGCCTAGAGACCCGGTCAGGAAGCCGTAGGTGGATTGGACGACCATGAACAACAGGTTCAGGATCATAAAATAGAATATGCGTCTCGAATCATCGTCGGCCAGAATGCCATGTAGTAAAGAGTAATTCTCGGTGGAATGAAGGAGGAGTTGAGTGGGTTTAGAGAAATTTCGGTGGAGGGTTGTTGGGCGTCGAGTCAAACCTGGAGTATACGGCGATCGCTCGGTTTCCCTCCTCTTGAACATAAATTGAGCAGCAGTTGTATCCAAAGGCGGGGCTTTGACTACATGCTTGTGTGTATGTGAATGAAAGACGTTGCCGTCAACTGCCTCATCCATATCTGCGTGGTCGACCGTAGAGTCGGAAGGAATTCGGGGGAGAGGGAATGGAGAGGTCAGACGGCTTCCAGCTCGGGCTCGCTGATATGACCGCGAGTGCGAGGGGGTGTGGGAATGTGAGTGAGGGTGTGAGTGCGAGGGCGAATGTGAGTGTGATTGTGAATGGCCCCGGCCGTGGCCACAATTGTCGGTCGAAGCCACAGGAAGGGTGAAGGTGGCAGTCATGGTCGCGTTAAAGAGGGATATAGCGACGAGTAATAGTTTGAATGGTTCAACATTCGCGCGTCAAGGGATTGTCGAGCATGGATTTGTGTGTTGAGATGTGGTGTGCAGGCAGGTGGGAGGGGTGTTTGGAGGTACTGGAGCCTCAGGTACTGATCCAGGGGGTAAGCCTGCGCCTGGCGATGATAGCGAGAGAGATCGACGCAAAGGTCTCTATGCAAAAGATAGTGGAGGCGATGTGTAAATAGTGTCTGGCCTGACACAAAAAAATGTCTGTCGATGGTTAAGATATGGTGGTAAAGAACAGAGGAGGAGACGATTTGAGGACGAGCAATGGGCAAGTGTGAAAGGCATTGAGGACGAGGCCACTTTCTCTCTCTCGTCGTTACTATCGACCAATTAATGGGCATTGATCGGGGCACTAATTGGTGACACGAGTCGCTGTGACTGGCCCAAAGGTCTTCGTAGATCCCCTGGGCAACTCTAAATTCCATGGTCGAGGCTGCATGATGCACGAAATAGTCGCTACGGTGTTATAGGGCAATGCCAGAAAAGGCCGAGGGGCTTGGAGTTAGCGGCCGAAGAGCCTATAAGGAGGCCCGAGGCGTCCTGGGGCTTGTGAAAACCTCGGGCGTGGCGAGGGGTTCTCGAGGGGCACAGTGGCCAACGCCAAGATTAGCGAGCCCCTAACTTTGTCAAGTCAGCCTGGGAAATCAGCCCAGGGTGCCCCTGATACCCTGATCCTTTGAGTCTCCGATGCAGCTCCTATATTATCACTGAAATGGCGTTATCATCATCGTCATTCATCCTGACTTGTCTCACAGCATACTGTAACACAACAATGTCCATGACTACTAGGTAAGTGCTGTTGTGAATTCTTGAAAATTCAAGATCCTGAGTGTGCGGATGTTGTTCAAGAATAATGCGGTTGTCAGTTGCTCCTTCCACATGGATCATGATTCGACGTCATGCTGCAGGTCCTCAACTTCTCACTATTGGGCAGGTGCCGATCAGCGCATTTTGACACCTGGTCAAACCGACCACCACCTCAACAACTGGCACACGCATGGTGATATGCCCCAAGACAGTCATGTTATTGACCGTTCTGGTCTTGATCTCTACACTCTTCACCATCTTCCTCCTCCTTTTACCCTCTCAGCGTGATCCTTCAGAGAAAATATGTTCAGTTCAAGTCTTGGTTCTCGGCGATATCGGCCGAAGTCCTCGTATGCAGTATCATGCACTGAGCATCGCCAAACATGGAGGTCAAGTCCAGCTCATTGGATATCTTGGTGATTATTGATTGCAATCGACTGGGCTAAAAGCGCGTAGCTAAGTCTCCTTCGCAGAATCAGAGCCTCTGCCTGAGTTGCTTGCCCATCCTGGCGCTACAATCATACCACTGACCCCATCGCCACGGGTTTTGCAAACATCTAATCGGACTCTCTTCCTTCTTTACGCCCCTCTCAAGGTACTCTTGCAACTATGGTTTCTCTGGAGAGCCTTGGGCTATACCTCGAAGCCGGCCAAGTGGCTGCTGGTGCAGGTAATTGTCCATCAAGCCTTGGGTGTGCTCTAGCTCATTCTGTATCAGAACCCGCCTTCCATACCAACTCTCCTCATCGCAAGCTTGATCTCCATTGCACGCGGTACCCGCTTGATCATCGACTGGCATAATTTTGGATACTCCATCCTTGCTCTCAAGCTCGGTGCCCGTCATCCCCTTGTCTCTCTCTCCAAAACATACGAGACGTTCTTCGCCAAAGCCGCCACTGCCAACTTTGCCGTCACCGACGCCATGGCCAAAATTATCAAAGCTGACTTCGTCACTCAGTCTCCTGTCCTCACTTTACATGACAGACCAGCAGAGATCTATCGTCCACTTACACAAGCACAACGTGCTGCTTTCCTTGAGAATTACTCTCTTCTTGCCAGTCATTTTAAAAGTATCCTCGACAACAAGGCCCGTCTTCTGGTTTCGTCCACCTCCTGGACTGCCGACGAAGATTTTGGCCTCTTCCTGGATGCTCTCTCTGCTTACTCTGCAAGCTCCACTTCCCTTCGCACTCACCTGCCTGAATTGGTCGTCGTCATAACAGGAAAGGGTCCACAAAAGGATTTTTACCTCGACAGAATCCGTCACCTAAACGCTAGCAACGCCCTCAAAAGGGTCACCATTTATACCGACTGGCTCAGTTTTGACAACTATGCATTACTCCTGGGATCTGCTGACCTCGGCATCTCCCTCCACACCAGCAGCAGTGGGGTCGACCTGCCTATGAAGGTTGTCGACATGTTTGGCGCTGGCTTACCAGTCTTGGGCTGGAGCAAATTTGCAGCTTGGCCAGAATTGGTTCAAGAAGATGTTAACGGACGAGGCTTTGAAAGTTCGGATGAAATGGCCGAACATCTTCGTCAACTCTGCGACCCGAGTTCGACTCAACTAGCCCGATTAAAACAAGGAGCCCAACTAGAGAGTCGGCGTCGGTGGTCCTCTGAGTGGGATGCGGTTGCAGGCAAACTCTTGGGCTTCACTTAGTAAGCAATGACCAGTTACACGAACGATATCAGCCTTGCCTCGTGCAGACAAATCGTCCCGCCAGTTGTCATTCAACACACAAACCTAGGACTCTTGTGTTAAAGCCCGGGTGGAAAGGGCCAGTGTCATTCGCACTACTCCGTAGACAATGGGCCCAGATTAGATGTCGACCCTGGATAAAGTATGCTTGTGGTTACGCCCAAGGCAGTAGAAATTGGCTTATGGTTCAACCCGAGCTAAGGAATCCTGACCTCTTTTGCCACGATGGTGAGGCCAACTTCATGCGCTGGCCAATCGGTCGGAAACCGATGAACTGCACCACATGGGTATGGACACATGCGAAGATCACAATTCTAGCGCCTGATGGAGGCAATCTGACCACCCGACCTACCCGTTGATCCACGTAGGCCAAGAACAATGAAATCGGAGAAGCTCTGGCACGGGTGGATGATTTCTGATCAGTAGAGACGCGAGACGTTGAGATGCAAGCGATGGCCACAACCCAAGTTCGAGCCCTCCAGCCTCTAAAGGTAGCGAGCAGCGCAGCCGGAAAATGGCGCCTCGGCCCCCGTGGAGCACCATCCTCCGCCAAGCGTGCCGACAACGTCCACCAGGCTCGATTTTGCTTAAAGTCGTCGTCATCAGCCGTCAATCCGAACGATGATGAAGCATTTTCCCATTACCCATGACCCTCAAGTGGCCTGCCCGCAAGGATCCTACAGCTCAACCCAGTCAGCAAGGTGAGCTATGTGAGCTATCGCCCTCACGTAAAGTTTGACCGCCTCCAAGGGGATATGTCCGCGCATGATAGTAATCTAATTATAATGATTGACTTGGCCGCTGTGAGTCCATGGAGGAACTATTTCACTCCAGTTTTACCACTGATCCCGTAGCCGAGTGGATCTCTTTATATCTTGACCTGGGCAGCCTTCTCCCAATCTGACTACAACGCTCCTCCTACGACACGACTGAACTTCACTCCAAGCCCGTACTTTTCTTCCAGTTTTAACAATCCAACTGATGGCATATTTTCTTCAGCAAGCGCGACGCGTGGCCTGGAGCTCCCTGGGCGAGCTCGACAGACCCTCACCCTCGGTCAAGCGACTTTCGCGCTCAGTATCTCGCCTTGCATTGATCGAGGCCCTCGAACAAGACGGCTGCGTCATTATCAAAGATTTTACCAACCAGGCCACCGTAGACAAGGCCAATGACGAGGTGAGGCCCTGGCTGGACCAACAGGACACTGGCGTCACCGTTGGCGCGTTGCAAGGAAAGACCAGAACCGTGACCCGTCTGATCGCCAAAAGTGCCACCGTCCGAGAGCAATGGTATGCGGATACACTATACCAGGACCTCTGCGAACATTTCCTGGCTCTGGAAACCACACATTGGTACGGAGCCCGACCTGTGACCACAACCAGTCATCCACTGCTGTCCATTGCCATCTCTTTTGACATTCCCCCGGGCACCGAAGCCCAGGGCTTACATCGCGACGATAAGAATCATCACGCCCGTCATCACCCTGCTGATGAATACACCAAAGGCCGAGATGTCCTACTCGGTCTCTTTGTCCCTGGCGTCGATACTACAGTGGCCAATGGCGCTACCAGAGTCGTGCCCGGTAGTCACCTGTGGGGGGATGACCAGCCTGACTTTGGCTGCGATGGGGACAAAGGGGTAGTAGACGTGGAACTCCAAGTCGGTGAGGCGTTGATCTTCCTGGGCAGCTTGTACCACGGCGGTGGCGCTTACAAGAAACCATTGGGCACTGCAAAGGAAGGAACTCGTGAAAGCAGGACAGTGTACGCCATGTTCTCATGCACCGGAGTCTCCCGTCAGGAAGAAATTTCATTCTTGTCATACCCCGTCGAAGAAGTCCGCACCTATTCACCTCTGGTACAGGATCGGCTGGGGTGGAAACAAAGTGAGCCCAACTTGGGTTGGGTCGATCTCAAAAGCCCAGAGTTCTTGCTCAAAAGTGGCTGAGTCTCCCAAGCTCGCGGTCAAGCGACAGGACAGCAAGTGACTAGAGCTTCTGCCATCTCAGACAAAACTTGGTGCCAGCACGGTGCAGCTGAATGCCACAGTACCACCGCCAGACCCTTCACGCTTGACATATTGCAACGGTCCCAGGTCGAGAGCATTCTTGCTCAAGACATCTTCTTCCTCTTGGAGTACACCCAAATCGACTGGTCCACCCCTCCCTCCATCCAATTCATAGAGATGTCCGTCCTTGCCCTTGACATACGCAATGAAGGCGTTACCAGGGTCTCCACCCAGTTCTGGAGCAACAGTATCTCCAGCCTGCGAAGCTGCAGCATGGGCCTTCTCCAGCACCTCCGAATCATGAATGAACTCGCCACGATCTTTGGGTTTCAAGGAAATGGTTGCCTGGCGGAACTGGTCCAGGGTACTTGCCTTTTCGATGAAGTCGGCCGCAGGGTCATTGACAGTGCAGTGGAGGAGCCCCATGAGCCCACAGGCGTTATGAACATACTGAGGATACCAAAGCACGGGCTCATCCGGACCGGAACCTTCGTAGACTGCATCGGTTGCCTTTTGATGTGCTCGGTGGGGAATGGAGGTATCGGTCTCAGGGAAAGTAAAGAGCAGGGCATGTGCTGGTCGTGGTACGAGGGCAATGAGATCTGGATCGGTCAGGCTGTAGATGTCGTGAAAAGCAAGGGCTGATGAGAGACCCAACTCATGAGCTAGCTTGGTCATCACTTCAGGGTGATTCTCTGTCGACATGTTGTCAGCACTAGATCAATGCCCCGCCTACCTATGAGGGTCTTGGGATATGGATATATACCAAGCGGGATGTATTCTTTTCTAGCCATCTTGATTCAACGCTCGTAGATCGTTCTTGACTTGGTGAATTCTTGCTGTTGGATTCGAGTGGATGAGACTCTTGACCAAGTTTCTGATGATCTCAAAGCAATTGAATCTCCTTTTGCAGATGTTGACACTCAAATGGGCAGGCACGACAAGGCATCCTCATCTGACGTCGTCACTTCAAACACGTGCATATTACTCCGCTGTAGTCTATACGGTCAAGTACAACACGCGATGCATTTCGCGATCGGCTCCACCTTCCATTCTCCAGAAAGAACATCTGATATACCATAGTCGTAGACTGTTTATCTCCTGCTCAATGAGACCCTGATGATCCCGCCCCGAATACCTGTCAGAGAGATCGGCCTAGTCAAAACTGATCTCCGTCCCTCATAATATCCACCCTACTCGAATATGCAGATCGGAGTCTAATCGACTGCACTCTGCTCCATGCGAGCCATCCTTCCTGGCCGTCCCCAATCGAAGCGCCAGGCCCTGAGTACCGCGCATTGGGACGGCCTCCGCCTCGTCGTAAGGCAATCCGAAATATCGTGCTTGATGATCCCAATGCTGACCTTGTCGCACTAGACATATATCTCCGGGAATGCCGCCGTCATCCTAACTGGTCCGCAGACCATCCTCCAAACCATCTATGTCGACTCAGTTGAGGACCTCGTTGCAGTAACAATTGACGAGTCCTCTGGCCGCATTGCCCTATGTGACGAGGATAATGTATACATTTACAAGCCTCTTGGTCGAGAGGATGGAGTTCTAAGATGGGTTCAAGTGCAAGAGTTGGACAATCCACCATCATTGAAATTGACCTCCCTCTCATGGGGCTCGAATAAAGAGTTACTACTAGGCGGATCAAGACTTGTTCTCTGGTATCTGCCGCTCACCGGGGATCCAATTCTCACATGGAATCAGGTCCTGGCATACCCGACGGCGATTGCATACATCTCTCCAGATAGTGGCCTGATCGCCTCAGTCGGCTCCCATGACCGGTTAGTCAAGATCTGGAGGAGGCTCTCATTCGAGGCAGATGGAACACGTTTTGATGTCAGCTATCTGCCACATCCGACAGCCGTCACAAATCTCCATTGGCGGAAACCATGGCACGTCGAACAGAATCTCGACAACCTCCTCTACACCTTTTGCGCCGACAACCACATTCGTGTCTGGACCCCTTTCGACCCTCATGCGCTTGATGTCTTGCAGCAAGTCGGCACAATTAACATGAAGGCTTCCATACAACCACGAAGGCTGAGTGTCGGTTCTGTGAGTCGAAAACGATATGCCTTCATCATCGACAGCCGAGACTTTTCAAAGGCCACCGAGGGTGCTGTCCAGGGCTCAAATCCTCGTTCTGCGGACCATGCCCTTGAACATCTCATCGAGATCGCCAACCGGAGCCCCGAAGTCTGTGTGGTGCTTGATGGGATGGGACACATGTCTGTCTGGGGACTGGAGCACGCTGGATACAAGAACAGAATCCCACCTTCTGTTTTCCACATCTCCCATGTCGATGGAATGGATATTCGCATTCCGCAGCTGAACGATCCACTAGACGATTATGTGCAATTCTGCATCTTTGCAGGCGGTGTGACCCCTTCGTCGTTGTCTCTCCTTCTACATTCATACGCTGGCGACGTCGACTGGTATGACGGGCAAATTACACATTTGTTCGACACAGCCAACAGGAGTAGTCGAGCACATCTGATATGTTCTCTTGCCGGCCACAGTGCCCCAATCAAGCGACTGGTGCGCAATGTTCGTGGCACGGTGCTCTTGTCGGTGACGGATGAAGATCATGCCAGCCTTTGGCAACACGAGGGCAAACAGTCTTCTGCACCACTGCTTCGTCGAAGTTCCTTCAGAGCGGGGTCCGGTGCCAGGGATGCCGTTGTTATGTCCAGAGGTCGATATGCGGTAATCCTCAACTCTCACGGTCTGGAACTCTGGGATGTGCGAGAAGCCAAAGGCAAACAACTGGGTAGCCTTGCGCTTTCGGGAAACCTCCCTGATCGCATAACACAAAGTCGGATTGCCAGCGACAGAGCCTTGACAAGCCGAGTCGTCATTGGCTATTTTCCTGATGGTTCTGTTGAAGCCTGGGAGTTTCTCCTACCTGCAGATGATGGTCGCCGGTCACGCCTTAGCAATGGATTTCCGGAAATCATCCGATCTCTAGGTGAGGTGAAGCTGCGTGTATACAATAAATACAACTCTTTGGTGTCGATATGCGACAACATGAATTCAAACGATCGACCTGAGGAGAGTCAGATTGCCAATTCGCTTGCTTTCACCGCAGCTGTTGCCAAAGAAGGGATCGTGGAATTGATCCAGTCCAACGAAGAAGTCGATTCCAGCAAACCTCGACTGGAAGCAGGATCACTACTCGAAACCAATGTTCTATCCCCTAGTGCCTTGGGTGTGAATGGCCAGGGCAAGGTTGTTATGATCAACGAAGATGGCACTAGCCTGACAATATGGGACGCGAACACAGGCATATGGGAATACGAACATGATCTCGATGGCACCGATACAATAAAGACTTTCGCTTGGGCAGTATCACCCCAGGGGCATGTGCTTCTGGCTGTTTGCTACGACTACCATATTGTTGTGCTTGGACAGATCAGATATACTTACCCGGCGCACCGGTATGCCTGGGTCGATCTGCGACACATTCGAATCAGAGACCACACCAATCACTCTATAGGTGATGTCTGTTGGCTGAAAAGCGGTGATTTGGTAGTGGGATCGGGCATCCAACTTTTCGTTTTTGAAGGGTTTGCCAGAAGTCACCACAATGAAGAGTCTGAGCCCATCAAAAGTCTCCCACGAAATCTTGAGAGTGGGTCGGCATTCACTGTCCTGTCGACATTGAACTCGATTCTCCCTGTTTATCATCCAACATATTTATCTCTCTTGACCTCGATTGGGCGCTTTAAGACTGTCAAAGACATTATACATCGACTTCACAAAGACATGAAGTTTTTCGCTGAAGGAGACGACCTTCCCAGCTTTTTGAACTTTGAGCTCAGCTCATTTGCCAGCGACGGTCACCAACGAACTATCAATTCGACTGCACACCATGGGCTTAATGGCGACACCAATGGAGATATCGACGGCGATTTAATCGCTGATATATCAACCAAGTTGACGGAAAACCTTGAAAAACACACCATCAGAGAACTTGAACCATCGGACAAGTCGAGGCTTTGCCACAGTATCAAAACATTTGGTGAACTCGAGCGACATGCGAATTCTGTTGACTCGAATGGTCAGCAATTTCTTCAAGCTCTTTACAATTCAGAAAGGAAAGACGTTCCTTGGAGTGCCATCGCTTTGGCCACTCGAAGTACTTCTCAAGAAATTCTGATCAATCTTGTGACAACACACCACGGGGGCAAGCTCACATGGGATGCGGCACGTTCCTCAGGACTCTTCTGTTGGGCGTCAGATCTCGAAACGTTGCGCACACAGATGGAGAATGTTGCGAGAACAGAGTATACCAAACACGAAGACCGCAATCCCGTCGATTGCTCGTTGTACTATCTTGCACTCGGCAAAAAGAATGTCTTGCTTGGGCTTTGGCGAATGGCCGTTGGCGTAGCTGAGAAACCCAACACGTTGAAGCTACTTTCAAACGATTTTGAAGAGCCTCGATGGAGAGCGACGGCATTAAAAAATGCCTATGCTCTGATCAGCAAACGACGATTTCACTACGCAGCGGCATTCTTCCTCCTTGGAGGAGATTTATGGGGTGCGGTAAACGTCTGTGTGCATCAGATTCAAGATTTGCAACTTGCCGTGGCCATTGCTAGAGTGTATGAGGATCAACCGGGCACTCCAACATTGCAGCGACTGATCAAGCAAGTCTTTCTCCCTCGTGCCATCACCAATCAACAAGGGCGGTGGATGGCAACATGGGCATATTCACTGTTGGGAGAGCCGGCTCTTGCCATGCAAGCCATAGTTCACCCGCTGCACACCGCCATTGGGAAAGCATTGTGTGACATGGATGAGACCGATCCGATCGAATCCTTGAACTACGCCGCCAATGACCCCGTGCTGACAGTTCTCTACCTTGAACTCCGAACTCAGTTTATAAAGCAGAATCGTTGGCGCGGAATCATTAGTCAGAAGGACGAGTGGGATTTTGTCATGCGGTGCGTACGGCAGTATCTGCGCATGGGATGCGATGCGATGGCTCTTGCTCTGGTGCGCGACTGGATGTTCGTGGACCAGAGTAAAGAGATAGGCTTCAGTGAGGACAACATGCCGCCCAAAGAGCCAGGTATCCAGAAACGTAAGACGTTCATTGACCTGGAGAAACAAGCGGATGAAGAAGATGAACAAGTACAGAAGGCCGTCAGGGAAGAGACATTCCAGCAACAGCAGCCTGTGAAGAAACCACCGCCGACACAATTTCAAGAGCCCAGTGCCGATAGCTTACTGGATAGTTTTGGCTTTTGAGGACTGTTTGAGAACATATATCAGAGAATTATACGTCTATAAGATTCTGGTTGCGAGTCTAAACATGGTGATGAGTGGTATTTCTATTCACCCGCAGGCCCTTCTTTTGAGTTCAACCATAAGATTCGATCTGCTATCTTATCAGACCAGCAGAAGGCTCACGAGGTGGGGTTACAGCCAGTCGATCCTGATGCTCATCCAATCCATCAACAGTCCTTCTTGGCTCGCAGATTCGCTAGGAAGACGAGGGTTCAGAGGCGGTCGAGACTCTGAACCCTTGTCAGATTGGCAACTATTGTCGGATGCAATGACATGAGCTCTTTTCTTTTTCTCTCATTTTTTGTTTGAACGCGTGAGACGTTCGCTAATGATAATATTAATGTGTCAAAGCTACTCCTTTTTATTAAATCCATCGCATCAAACCATCATATGGTCGATTCAGACAAAACAAGCAACCAGTTAAACTCAACCAAGGGTCAACACTAAGAAGTGTCTAAGTACCTAGTGAGTGTCTAAGCTGATCAAGGCGATTGCTTATAGGCGAATTCATAACCAGAAACCCATAAAAAACGGTAAGGATCTCCCTTGTGGATTCTTGGCTCGGGTCTTGGCATGATTGCACCATTCTGCCACACGCTTTGCAAAGGCAGGAGCGATCGTCTATCTCGCCAATCGCAGGCCTGAAAAGGCAATCACGACATTTACTTCTCACTCGTTCAGATTCCATTTGCCTATCATATGTTGACGACACGGATTTGCCCGTGGGGACAACAACCCCAGCCTGATCTCTGGCCTCTGGCCTCTGGTCTCTGGTCTCTGGTCTGGACGCAGTGGATCGGATCATTGTGACCTGACCTATAACTAACTATATCTTACATACATATCAACCATCAAGGTCATGAGTTTCATCCTCGATAGGTAAAGTTATTCAGTTTCTGAGTGTTCAGCACTTTCACCATCATTCCTATCACTCATCATGGCCGATCTCAAGGAGCCTCGTCAGGACTCGGTCTCTCGATCCTCGATCCACCATGCGTCTGATTTCCAGGCCATCGATCCCCATTCAGGCGTCAAGAGAGGTCTCAAGACTCGCCATTTGAGCATGATGGCTTTGGCAGGCATTATTGGTCCCGGTCTATTGATTGGGTCTGGCGGTGAGTGATCACATTCGATTTGTCGTCAAACTCATCTCATTCTTGTATACAGGTGCACTTGCCAACGGTGGCCCCGCTGCTCTTCTCATTGGTTTCGGCGTCATCGGTATCATCGCCTTCAGTATCATGCAGTCGCTTGGAGAAATCACCACTCTCTATCCCAGCGGTGGCGCCTTCACAAGTCTCGCTGATCGTTTCGTCGACCCGGCTTTTGCTTGTGCCGTGGGTTGGAACTACTTTATCATCTGGATTGCCGTACTGGCCAACGAATATAATGTTTTATCATCGATATTTGTCTTCTGGAGCGATAAAGTCCCTCTTTGGGGGTATTTTCTAATCTTCTGGTTTGCATTTTTGGGATTTCAACTCCTGGGTGTCACGACATTCGGTGAAGCAGAGTTCTGGCTAGCCTTGACAAAGCTGCTCGGCCTAACTGCCTACTTCATCTTCTCCATTGTCTATGTTTCCGGGGGACTGGTGGGTCAGAAGGAAGCATTCGGTTTTCGCTATTGGAATGATCCAGGAGCATTCTCAAACGGCTTTCGAGGAGTTGCTTCGGTCTTTGTCTTTTGCTCCACTTTCTATGCCGGAGTTGAGTCAGTAGCCGTGGCTGCGACAGAGACCAAGAATCCTAAACGTGCCGTTCCTCTGGCTATTCGACAGGTTTTCTGGCGCATCATCTTCGTCTACATTGGCAGTGCCATTTTCTTTGGCATCACATGCCCTTGGAATGCTGAGTCGCTCATCAATGGCCAAAGCCGGGCTCTCAAGAGTCCAATGACTATTGCGATCCAGAATGCTGGCTGGGAAGGAGGTGTTCATCTGATCAATGCCTTCATCTTCATCACTTGTCTGTCGGCCGTCAACTCGTCCATCTACATCGGGTCACGCACCGTCTTGTTCATGGCACAAGAGAGAAAGGCTCCAAGATTTCTCGGCTACACAAACTCCAGAGGTGTGCCTGTGGCTGCCATCATATTCACTAACGCATTTGGAGCGCTATCTATGATGAACGTCTCAACTGGAGCCGGCAAGGCGTACGGCTACATCGTCAATCTCTCCGGTGTCAGTACATTTATCGTATGGGCCGCCATTTCCTTCATTCATATCCGTTTCCGCTCAGCATGGAAACTCCAGAACCGCACGCCAAGGCAGCTGCCTTTCCAATCCCTCTGGTACCCTTGGAACGCGTATTTTGGACTGGCCGCCAACATCTTTTTGGCTCTGGTGCAGGGCTGGACGACATTGAGCCCCTTTGATGCAGGTAATTTCGTGGATGCCTACATTCTACTACCTTTGTTTCCGATCATTTACTTTACATACAAGTTCATTTTCAAGACCAGGTATCACCGTCTCCACGAAATTGATCTCGACTTTGGTCGCAGAGCAGATGTAGACGCTACTCATGACGAGGAAGAGAGTGGGGAGGAGTATGTGTCGAAACCCAAGAAGCCCTTTTGGAAGAGACTTGCAGAGAACTTCTGAGGGATGGTGTCTCGAATTGATTGTCAATTGAAGATGAGCGATTTAGGTGGATGGGGTAACAGAACAGAGCGACATCTGAGATACCCAGTTGTGAAGTTTTATATTCTTAATATATTCCATATGATGGTCGTGACTCAGTCTCTGAGATTTACGTGCCAGTTCGTGAGCAGATTAGCCCCGATAGCCTAGGAAAAGACACAGTCATGCATCGACAGTTGGATATGAAATCATTGAGTGTTTTTCTGTGTGAAGTTTTTATTCAATAGGAGGATAAATTGACGTGGTGGAGGAGTATACCGTATGAGGCTGATCGTCACGTGGCGATAAGATAAGCGCAGTCAAAGCCCCGACCAGAAAAAAAGTTCATGATCGATTCAACTGTACCGTCCAAACTCTCCAATCCAACATTCGGTCTCAACTTCTCTCACACAGCCTAGGCCACACGCTACAGCAGCACCGCTGTCAACATGCCGGCGCTCAAGAAGCGGAAATTGAGTCACGAAGATGGCTTTAGACCGAAATCAAAACCGACCGACCCTCCCTCATCCGCATCCGAGTCCGAATCAGATTCAGAAACAGAGGCAGAGGCGCAGAACGAAAATGGTGACAATGCAGACCACACAGACGAAGGTCAAGATGAGATCCCTACAGAGTCAAAACAACCCACTACATTTAAAGAGCTCGGCATCATTGATTCACTGTGTGAAGCATGTGAAGCACTAGGCTACAAAGCCCCCACACCGATCCAGGCTGAATCAATCCCTTTGGCTTTACAAGGACGAGATCTGATCGGTCTGGCCGAGACAGGATCAGGAAAGACAGCAGCTTTTGTGCTCCCCATATTACAGGCACTGATGGAAAAGCCACAACAGTTACATTCGCTGATCCTGGCGCCGACGAGAGAACTGGCATATCAGATATCCGAGGCGGTTGAGGCTTTGGGTTCTCTCATAGCTGTGCGCTGTGCCGTCCTGGTCGGTGGAATGGATATGATTCCTCAGGCGATTGCTCTAGGTAAAAAACCGCATGTCATTGTCGCGACTCCCGGTCGCCTGTTGGACCATATGGAGAATACCAAAGGATTCTCACTCCGACTGTTGAAATACCTTGTCATGGACGAGGCCGATCGGTTGCTAGATCTGGATTTTGGGCCGATTTTGGATAAGATTCTCAAGATCCTACCCAAGGAAGGGCGCAAAACATACCTATTTTCCGCGACCATGTCGAGCAAAGTCGAGTCTTTACAGCGAGCATCGTTGTCGAATCCCTTGAGAGTTTCGGTGTCTCAGGACAGGTACCAGACGGTTTCGACTTTATTACAGTCATACATCTTCATCCCTCACAAGCACAAAGACCTCTACCTGATCCACATCCTGAATGAACTGGCGGGTCAAACGGGCATCATTTTCACGCGAACTGTCAACGAGGCACAGCGGATATCTATTCTATTGCGCATGCTAGGATTCTCAGCCATCCCCATCCACGGTCAACTTTCTCAACAAGCACGACTTGCCGCCTTGAACAAGTTTCGAGCAAAGTCTCGAAATCTCCTCGTGGCATCTGACGTGGCGTCTCGTGGTCTTGACATTCCCTCGGTCGACCTAGTTGTCAACTTTGATCTTCCTCACGACAGCAAGACATATATCCACCGAGTTGGTCGTACTGCTCGCGCGGGGAAGAGTGGCAAGGCCATCTCTTTCGTCACTCAGTATGATGTCGAGTTGTGGATGAGGATCGAGGGTGCCTTGGGCAAGAAGTTGAAGGAATACGAGACAGTCAAGGAAGAAGTCATGGTGTTGGCGGAAAGAGTCAATGACGCTCAACGAGCTGCTGCCATGGAGATGAAGGAACTGCACGAGAATCGAGGCAAGAAAGGTGCGACTTTGCGTAATAAGCGGACGGGACAACCTGGGGGTGGAAAGAGGGGGAGAGATGATATGGACAGGGACGATGGTTAAATGGCTCAAAACAACTTGCCGTCCACCGTTTTCTTGACGAAGATTACATGATTGATATGTCTGTCAGCTGTCGAATCCCATTTACATCGCAATTACATCGGTGTTTTGATCAACAATCTTCCACCGTGAAAAGTCGGTGTTTCAGTCACGTGATATTGCTTTCTCAATGACGTATGGAAACCGCTCTTTCCCTCTCATCCCTCCGCAAATCTTCGCATGGAAGCCTAACGCTAAACCTATTCGAGTTCTGCCTCCGGAGTTGTTGAAATCGAGGATCTTCAAACGTCTTCCCGTCTTCCAGCTGGGTCTTTTGTTTTCGACGGCCACTCAGAATCTGACTAATGAACCAAAGAACGCCAAATGCTCTTGGTATTGAGCTTTCATTTGACGCTCACAGACAACTAGGGACTTTATTCCCACGGAAACCCCAGATCCAGAGGCCGGTGTCCCGTGCCTCACACCCTTTCGTATTCGATGGTCCAGTCAGGAAGACCTAATCCCTCTCCTAATGAGCAGGTAAATCTGCTGCATTCAAATCTACCAGAGATGGCCAGACGTCCGTTGCATATAATCGATTGATCTGAGATTACCATCTTCTGCAAAACTTGATCCACCTGCTTGATTCTCCTATCTTGACTCTTGTCGCTCTGATAAACAGTGGATTGACTGTTCGCTAATGCATACCACTGATCAGACTCACCAAACATGAGCCTTGCCCGAGCTTGTCTTGCTTGTAGGTCCGCAAAGGCCAGGGTAGGCAATGCGTCCACTAGCATAATCCAATTGATTGAGTTACATGCTGACCCGCCCCTCAACAGTGCGACAGAGAACAACCACAATGTGGTCGCTGTGTGAGACGCCATTTGGAGTGTGTTGGCTCGTCCAACGACCAGGATATCGTCTTTCTCAATGAAAATCAGGTCGCAGAGCGAAACTCTCGACGTGCCAGGAGAGGACACAGGTCGCGCAATCAATTGACCTCTGTTACATTTGATCTTGTCACGACACCTGAGCGATCGCCAAGTCACTCCCAGAGCCCACCTAAATCAAAGTCATCATCGCCCGAGCATGTGGTTGACCCAGGCCTGCGGTTTCAATACCCTTGGCTCAATGAGCAGCGAATTGCCCACTTGGCTCCGCCCATGACGCAAGATCCAGATCTTCGAGCCGTCGACCGATTCTTCGTCAATTGGACGCTACATCCTGATAACGAGGAGATCTCCAATGGACATATGTCCAACATGCAGGATCTCTACATTAGCGCTCCTCCTCAGTCGGTTCTATGGCTTGCTGTCCGAGCCGTAGCCTATGCCGACATGAGAAATGAATTGAGCACTGGAACGCCTTTCTCCGTCAAGGCACGACAATTCTACGGTGCTGCTCTGAGCCGTCTCAGGGAGGTGGCCTATCAGGGACAGAATCTTGCAAATGATCATATGCTCGCTGCAATCCTTTTAATTGACAATTTCGAGGTAAGAGTCTTCCTTCGTCCATGCCTTACTCTCGCCACAGCTGCTAATGCCTTGCTCTGTATAGCTCATGTATCTCTCGCGCATCGAGCCACTCGGCCCACATCGCCACGCCATTAAGCACATTCTTCACACTGGCGGGGATGATCACCTCTTTAATAAATCTCGCTTCGCCCTGTGGTGTGTTGCTCACAAAAGACTACAAGCTCGACAGATCCTGCTCGGCGAGGCACCCGATCAGGAGCAGTTGGAGTGGGTTAGCAAGCTCAACATTGACCGACCAGATAATCACATATCCGCGGACGTCATCAACATGAGCATTCAAACTGCTGCGGTGAAGCGACTGGTCAAGAGCGGCAATGGTGTTGACTCTGACCAGGCTGAGCTGTCCGCCAAGCTTGACCAGACGCAACAGCTTCTTCAATCGATACAGGGTCTAATCAGCCAAGTTGAGAACTGGACCTCGACCATCCCCATGGCCTGGAGGCCAAAGATTCAGGCGCCAAACCATGACAACAAGTCAGACTCCGGCGAGTCAGACGTCGACAATTCAGAACGTCGCGAACCCTCACCAGCACCTTTCTTCCCCTGTCCTCGCGTCCTCAGCTATCGAGATCTGTGGATTGCCTATATCTGGAACCTGCACGCCGCGAGCCAGATTGTCCTTCGCGAATCATATGTCGATGTGATAACATACCAGGCCACTCTTCTTGGTCGCGACTTGACTTATGAGGAGGTCATCCAGATTGACCATGAAGAGAACCAAGTGCACAAGTTATCGTCGGCCATCATTCAGTCATTACCTCCTCTTCTGGGTCTGACGCATCGAAACCAACCTCTGGATTACTCACGGCCTCCTACCAAAGGTGCCATGACAGGTCGATTCTTCGCTTTGTTTTCCATGTGGATCGTGCAAAAGGCGAGATATACTTCGAGATTGCACAAAGATACGGCGATGAGAGTGATCGGTTGGATCAACTCGAAACACGGATTGGCGTAGACTATGAGGGTCGGGTCCGGTTAAACAAACTGTACTATTTTTCGAGTATTTCTCGCATGGGTATGGGCTGAACTATCGGCGGCGTTGCGATCATCCAAAATGTCTAGCTAGGGTTTGTCAAGTTGTAGTGTAACATTTATAATGCCATTTATGTCCTTTTGCTGGAGACATATATGTCCTATACATGGGTAGTTTGAGGAATTAATATCCGATCTGCCCCCGCGGGGATCCTTACCATATCGGGCGCTGCGTCCGGTCGATATTCAAGAAGACGTCATGGGGAGAAAGACTATTGTTGAGAGAGTATTCAGCGATGATCGTCGTAAAGAGGTGTATACATGAGAGTCTCTGGGGTCAATCATTCATCTATACTTTGTAAGGGTTTTTGTGTATATATACATGGTCAAGTTCGCTGCAAAGGGCTATTGAACTCGCAACTACATTTCCTTGTTACATCACTATTCACTGTCACAGTCACACAGTATAAAACTGTATCAACTGAACTCAAATCAAATCAGATTATTTTCCTGTGAACATCTAGTAAAACACCATGTCTGGTGTCTCTAACGCAGATAAATCCAAACCTTATATCCCATTGGCAGGGTTGGCGAACGATGGATGGTCGACTGATACTGAAGCCACAGCGACATGTTTCTGTGGAGCGGTGCAATTGAAAGTGGTGAGTCCAGATACCTACCTTACATAACCCAATTCCAATTCCAATTCCCCTTGCAACGAGATGTGATCTGTATGAGGAAAGAAAGATCACAACAACAAACTCGTGAGAAAATAACTAACACAACCTCCTCTCCACAATCAGCCCACCGAATCCCCCGGTCTCGTCGGCACATTCGTCTGCAACTGCACAGACTGCCATAAAATCACAGCGTCGATGTTTGCCTCGAATTTCACCGTCGACGACAACTACATGACCCACCTCCGCGGCGAGGACAACCTCACTGCGTTTTCTCAAAATACATCCATCGTTCATCACCACACCATGACGAATTATTTCTGCAAGACGTGCGGAACTCTGATGTATCGTGTGGGATCGGCGTTTCCGGGCATGAAGATTTGTCGTATTGGTACAATTGACGATTTTAATTTGCAGGAGACAAAGTTCAAGCCGCAGGTGGAACAATTTACCAAGGATAGAGTGAATTGGTTGAAGGAGACGGATGCGAAGGATAAGGCGGAGGCGATGTTTCCTTATTATTAGTATAGGAGGGGGATGTGAAAGATTATGTTCTCAGTATGGCTTGAGAGTTGGTCTGAAAAGTAATATGCTTGGTTTGTTCGAGGCTGTCTGCCCCTGAATGCTCAGATGGAGGAGTCAGGCAACTTGTATAGCGTTAGTGAATATCTTTCTCACCGTGAGCTGAATACAATTAGTCTGTTTGGCATCGCCGCTCTTCATGATTCTCATTGACAACGAAGGAGACTTTACAGACCAATCTTGAAGAAAGCAGGACGATTGATGTATAGCGGTAGGTTGAGAATCAGATGCTAGCAATAACACGTGACGTTGATATCAAATGGTTATCTTGGCGTACGGTGAATCACAATCGATACTGCTCTTCGCAGTTCTATTCCCACCGCAAATTATGCAGGCACTGCAGGCACGACAGGCACAAGCACAACTGTCAACTGCCACTCGGAGCGCAAAAGTTCAATTGGATGTGCGGCGTCACTCAAAAGGTGATCAATTCAATTCAATCTCGAATTCGACTCAAGACAACTTTACTTCTACAGAAGTCCAAAGACTTATTACCTTGCTAGTCGCTTTTTTCACCATCTTGACGCCTCTGCACATCTCCTCCTCTCTCCCATACGCACAACCCCCCGCCCTGACCCTGACCACCCACTCGCCGTTTCTCGAACCACTTTCACTTCAACCCAGGCTGCAAGCCTAAATTTCCGGCAAGATGCAGGCGCCGGTGGTGGTTATGAGTGAGTTCCTTGTCGATTCTATTGGCATGTCCGCATGCTGACAATTGTTCAAGATACTGGCAATGGGGAGAGACAAGTTGGAAGAAAGGCTCAAATCTCAAATATCACCGCAGCCAAAACGTGAGTCTCATCAAGAACCCCGCCATACCGGCACAACACTCTTTTTTCCTTCAATCGCACTCACACTTAGACCTTCTTTAGTGTCGCCGATATCATCCGATCATGTCTTGGACCAAAAGCCATGTTGAAAATGTTGCTCGATCCCATGGGTGGCATTGTGCTTACCAATGATGGACACGCCATCCTCCGAGAAATCGAAGTCGCCCACCCAGCTGCAAAGAGTATGATTGAACTGAGCAGGACTCAAGATGAAGAAGTCGGTGATGGAACTACAACTGTCATCATTCTAGGTATTCAAATCCCTGAACCACTACACACAGTTCATCACTAACAGTTCCATCTGCAGCCGGTGAAATGCTAGCCCAAGCCCTCCCTCAGCTCGAACGAAATATCCACCCGGTTGTCATCATCCAAGCATTCAAGAAAGCCCTCGCAGACGCCCTCGCCATCGTCGAAGACATCTCCGTCCCTGTCGACACCTCCAACGACAAACAAATGTATCAAATCATCGAATCATCCATTGGAACAAAAACCAGTTCCCGTTTCTCCGACCTCATGTGTTCCCTCGCCCTCAAGGCCGTCCGAGTGGTTTCTCAAGATCAAGAGTTCTTCTCCAACGCTCCTCAGACCAATGGCACCGCCAAACCTACTCCTCCAACCACAACCATTCAAGCCTCCAAGCCTCCGGAGATCGATATTAAACGCTACGCCCGTGTGGAAAAAGTACCAGGTGGAGAGATCGAGGATTCGCGGGTGCTCGATGGAGTCATGCTGAATAAGGACATCACACACGCATCTATGCGGCGACGGATAGAGAACCCCAGAATTGTTCTCCTCGACTGCACTCTGGAATACAAGAAGGGTGAATCACAGACGAATGTTGAAATCGCCGATGAAGAGTCGTGGAATCGCATCCTGCAGATTGAAGAGGAACAAGTCAAGAAGATGTGTGATGCCATCCTGGCCGTCAAACCCGACCTCGTCATCACAGAAAAGGGTGTATCTGATTTGGCTCAACATTACTTCGTCAAGGCCGGCGTCACCGCCTTGCGACGGGTGCGGAAAACCGACAATAACCGTATTGCTCGAGCAACCGGAGCCACCATTGTCAACAGAGTAGACGACCTTGTTGAGTCTGACGTGGGCACTGGGGCAGGTCTGTTTGAGATTGAAAAGATTGGCGACGAATATTTCACCTTTATCACCAAATGCAAGAACCCCAAAGCATGCACCATCCTGCTCCGCGGTCCATCCAAGGACATCCTCAACGAAATCGAACGAAACCTGCAGGATGCCATGTCGGTGGCTCGAAACGTCATGTTCCACCCACGACTGTCGCCCGGCGGTGGTGCCACCGAAATGGCCGTATCAGTGCGGTTAGCCCAAAAGGCCAAATCCATCGAAGGCGTGCAGCAATGGCCATATAAAGCCGTGGCTGAAGCTATGGAAGTCATTCCCCGTACATTGATCCAGAACGCCGGTGCCAGCCCGATCCGAATCCTGACCCAATTACGAGCCAAGCATACCGAAGGCAAGTCCAGTTTCGGCGTCGATGGCGACACGGGCAATGTGGTGGACATGAAGGAATACAAGGTCTGGGAACCTCAGGCAGTCAAGATGCAAAGCATCAAAACCGCCGTCGAGAGTGCGTGTCTGCTTCTCCGCGTCGACGACATCTGTGGAGCCAAGAGCGCCAAACAAGTCGGTGGCAGTGGATTGAGTGGTGGCGGTGGAGAAGAATGATCGAACGAATGAACCACCGTTGAGGAGGTTGTTCCAGGACCACCAGATATTGTCCTACTGATGATAGAGAGATCGCAGAATGTTCTTTTCAGGAACTTTCGATCTCGACCGGCCTCCCATGTCCGAATATATACCTATGTATGTCATGTTATGACCCTGGGTCTCAGGTCTCAATTCGGTAGATTCGTCGCAGATAACAGGATGAATCATCCAATCAAAGAATGAATCGAAGAAGGAAAGAATGACACCGAATCCTGGATTCAACATGGATCGGATCGGACTCTAGGCGATTGAGCAGGAAGGGAAAGGAAAGGAGAAAAAAGGACAGACAAGGATCGGATCCATCAGTGATGAACCGAGCTAAGGTACCTACCTACCTAGCCAGCCACGGTACGGTGTCTGGTAACGTTGTATGGAGAATTTTGTATGTTTGAAGAAAGTGGACAATGAATGGATTAGTGGATAGACGCAACAATACTTGAAATTACCTAGGTAGGTACCTACCTACTTATCTGGTTCTCTCGAATCAATACTACCTAGAGTATGAAGTATAATTTTCATTTTCATTTTCATTTTCTTTCAGAATGATCGGGCCCAACTATCTCGTCATCCTAGTACTTACTTAGGGCCATTGAACTTCCTATATCACTCTATCGTAGATTTGAATTTGAATTCGAATTTCCCTGGTGCACATTTACTATAATAGCACATTTTCCGGTAGTTTGATCAGGTATCTCTCTAACCAAGGTTGGTACCATAAAACCATATCCAGAACGGTACAGATACCTAAGTATTGTATCCCTTTCTTTCCCCAAGCAAATGTCTCTTGATCACAAACAGGATGGTCGGGATATTCTTCGCACAGTATTTGTAGATAGAGAGATAGATCGATCGATCGATCGATCGACTCTGTCCAAGTTCATCCAATCCAAGTCTATCCTGACGTGTCATCACTTTCTTTCTTTCATTCTTTCCTTTACTCCTTCCTCATTCACTCTTCCTCGCTAACTTCACTTTCATCCTCATCGTCCATTAGATGCTGATGAGGAGCTCGAATGCCCAGTCCGACGGCGCCAGCATCCGCAGAAGCGGAAAATTCATCGTCTTCTTCATCTAAAGCGGCTTCGAGTTCAGCGGCAAGTAGAGCTTCTTCATCGAGTTCTTCATCGTCGTCGGCGGCGGCGGCGGCTTGGTCTTCGGTTCTCGAGACGTTTCCTCCATGTGGAACAGACATGCGTGTGTCGCGCGGGCTGCCCAGGTCGAATTCATCCACGTCGTTGTCTTCGTCGTCGTCGTTCTCCTCCTCCTCGTTGTCATCGATATCGTCTTTACGATGGTTTACATCTTTCATGATCACGTCGTTATCTCGATCATTGCTTTTGGCGCCAAATCCTGTGCCGGATCCAAGACCGAGTCCTCGACCGGCGCCGCCAATGGGTGTTCCTGTATGTGACCGGTCGAACATCTCGGGGTTGATTCGGTTACGGCGATTCTTCCATTTGTCTTCTGGTGGGGGACTGCCCATGTCGATTTCAAGACCACCCTCATCGTCGTTGATGATAATGTGAGGGGAGCTACCAATGTTGGCCGAGAGATTGCGACCGTGGGACTTGGAGGGGGCAGGTGCCGCTGAAGAGCGTGACGCTTTTGTCTTGGTTGGTTCCGGTTTGGCCGAGGTTTGATGTCGGCGAACAACAGCGATAGTCTCGTTTTCAGAGCCAGATGAGGATGAGTCGACAATGCGTTCTTGAGATTTGATCTTGGAGGAATTGGTGGGAGGATTACGTTTGGTCGCCGTAGCCGAGGACGTCGTCCTGGAATGCCCGAGGCCACGTTTCTGCGCTGCTGTGCCGGTGCTCTTTGGTAAAGAAGTTGATTTTTTGGGAGGCATTTGAGGTGTCGTGGCGGTAAAGCGGCCAGCGCCAGGCGGAACTGGGGTGGAGATGCCGCTCATACTCATGGGAGTTCGGTTTCCTGCCTGTTGCTGAGACGTCTTTTCTAGATTCTCGCGAGCTTCAGCGATGAAGTGACGGAAATCAAAAGGGTTGGCCGAGTCGCCTGGACCGGGGTCATCGTCTGGCGTAGAGTTGGATTTGGTGTTGCCGTTGGTGGGAGAAGCTTCGGCAGGAGCATCTTTGGCCGAGGGTAACTGTGGCATTGATCGTGCAGATTTGACAGGATGACCGGGTCCTGCCTTGAGATTCATATCTATCGAGGTAGATATCGACTCGAGAACGAAAGCAGACTTTGATTTGTCAAAGATCAAGGCCAAAGAAGAAGGCGTCCGAGAATTTTCGCGGGGAGATGATTGGGGTCTTGAGTTGGCTGTATACTGGTAGGGTTCCTCCTCGCTATCGACGTCTTTGACGCTCAGTTGATAGCCATTGCCGGATTCGGTCAGTCGACTATTTCGAGAGGCGAAACCTGACTTGGGTTGCCAGTTGTAGCGGATGTTGATGAGGGAGTTGGGTGATTTGTCGCCAGATTTGAGGGTTTCGCCGAGGATGATAGGATAATCTCCTGGACGACGAAGATCAACCCAGCCATTTGGTCTGGTGGGATGCATTGCTGGAGAGGCCATGATCAAGAACGGGGAACCAAGTCTTTGTTGATATTGACTCGAACAGAGGGGGGAAGTGGTTATTAGGGTTCAGCGTCGAGGTCTAATCCTGTTGAGAGGAACGACCAGGTAAGAATATGGAAATGTTAGGGGGGGAGTTTGGCGTTTCTAGACCAGGACAGGTGGACGACACACAGTTGGGGGTAGGTTATGACATGACCGGATTGTCCCAGTGTAAAAAATGAGTGTTTGATGGGAGGGTGACAAAGGAAAGAGTGACGTCCAGTCTATGGCTGACAGCAATAGGACAAAGAAGATGTGGTGGCTGATCGTGATGAGTAATGATGTAGTGAATCAGGGATTGTTGCACAAGTGCAGAAGCTCAGAAGAGAGCGAAAAGGACGATCAATTCCCAGAAGAGATGAGGTTCAAATGTGAAGATGTAAATTGAAGTAACAAACAAGTAAGAACCTTGTGATGTTGAAGTTGGACCTCTCAGGCTTCGACTCGGTTCCTTAGGTTATTCTAAACTTGTGGCAGCTTAAGGAGGACGAGGAGCCACTGACGGAAGTGGACCGGGGGGTCAGTATGGGGGAGGGGACTGAACCATAGGGGGGCCGATGGGCCGAGGGAAGCTTGAGAGCGCGAGGGCCTTTTTCTATCAACAAGCCTTCCTGTTATCAGGCCAAGGCCATAAAGAGTCCGCTCTGGGCTTGACTATCATTACTATTGGCGGACCTTTACTTAGAAGTGTTCCTAACCACGGGACCTGAAGGCCTATTCATGCCTAGTAACCTCCGGGACCACCCATACGCAGGAACAAAGGGCTTTTCAGCCAACCACCAACACCAATAAGTGCATCTATCCACCTACCTAGGGAACTTATCTAAGGTCTAGTTTTAGTACTTACTTAGCCCGAGGAGCCTTATCAAATACCTCCCTCTAGGCATCTACCTTTAGATATCTCGGTCCACACGTATCATGCCACTGTTCCATAGAAACGAACAACGAAAAACAATGTCTCAGCAAATAAACTCAACTGCATCTCATAATTACTCCATCTGCCATTCTATCTCGGGGTATATATCGTATCATCATGATTCTCCGGTCATATAAACATACGTCATTAGACCTCAGACACTCTTGTGCTCGGCTGCCAACGCTCCAACTGAGCCCCCAGCTCGCTCAGAACTCGGCCAAGCATGACGCTGGCTCCTCGACTCAAAGGCTTGAGGAATACCCGGGTGGGATCCTCTTTCGAGCCACTGGCATCCATCAGCCTTGTATCCTTCTCCTGCCTTGCATTTTCTGAAGCCTGAATCAGCTGCCTGCCCCGTTCTATCACCGTCTCCAGCAGGCTGTGCCCATTTCCGTCTTTAGACAGATAACGAAATGCTATCACGTCCTCCAAGCCGCTTGGAGGCTGCGTCAACGCGTGTTTAACGAAGCCTCGGGCCATCAGATATGCTTTCTCACTGTAAAGCTCTGATTCAACTGTGTATTTGTCGTCGTGCTCAAACCCTTCAAACCCTGCCTCGTTGAAAAAGGGCCTTCGCACCATGACCAATCCTTGCAACGAAACAAGTAGCTGCAAAATCGTTGAGTTGTCGCTCCATTTTTCACTTTCGTGTTTGCCTGTCCACGTCCCCAACAGACTGAGGCAGATTTTGCCTTCTTCATACAAATTGGGGTTGATTCGACCAAGCCCACTGGTCCAACTGTGAAAGTGTGCAACAGGGGGCACCTCAGGAAATCCTTCTGGTAATTGCAAGTCGATCAAAAACGGCGCACTTTCATAAGGTGTATCCCGTGGCCCAATGATCAAGCACCGCAACAGGTCGAGTCGGCTTTCATAAGTCCGCACGTATATCTCTCCTTCAGGCAGGCCCGTTAACAGCGCTCGGTGTTCTTTCAAGATTCGCTTCAGAAATGATCCTGGCGATTGTCTCAAAGAAAGTCTTCCAAATTGGTCCTGGGGCGGATCAGATTCCAAAATGCGAAATTGATGGGGTGCATCGTGTTGAAGAGCAGTCGTCAGACGCGCAAGAGAAGGTCTTTGAGTATCATCCTCATGCGAATCCATGTCTTTCATTTCCACCTCATTAACGTCCTCTTTCCGCTCTTGCATCAAAGTAAACAGTATCTCGTCGTCCTCGTCGTCCTCGTCGTCCTCTCCCTCGGATTCCCAATTGTCGTCTCCACTGTCAGCATCCATGCGTTCACCACCTTCGTATTCAACAGACCAGTCCGATGAGGCGGATTCGTCCAGGTCCATTGACTCGTTGTCATAGTCACCCAGGTGTTCTTGTTCGTCGATAACGGCTAAAATGTCATCAGGTGCGACGCAGACGTCTCGACACTTCTGCGCGGCACCAAGCCTAACGGTACATGAGCCGTCGAGGTTCGTTGCCACAATCTCTCCATACCAGTCAATATCTGGACGCTTTGCCCTTGCTGAGCCCGTCGTCGAGATGTGCCCATTTTGATCTGGAACCGAACCACGTCTTGACCTCCGCGATGAATGATTGGAGTACCTGCCAGTAGACCTGGGCACTTCTCTGGAAGCGACAGGAACGGTATCGTCATCAGCTATCATCGCCGCGCCGTCACGCGATCTATTGATCACACACAAATTTTTCGGCTTCCGCTGCAGGCACAGAAATGACATGATTTCATAGAGTGATATGTCTTCAACAACATCGCCAATAGCGCCATAGCGAGAGTGGGGGGCCAACACCGAACCATTGGACCGGAGCTCAATCTGGGGCTCCTTGAACCACCGCACACGGGCAATTCTCTCGGCAGAGTCAACCATTTGAACAACACCCACGCTGCGAGGAAGAAGATCGTGCGGCTCTTCGAAAAAGGTCATCTCATTGAAAGTCTTGACCTCTCCCATGACAAGGTCTCGTTGCTGCATTCCATCTCTTTTGAGGACGAAGTCTGCCGGCGAGATATCGGGTTCGAATAGCGAGAAGCCGTGAAGCGTTGACGAGTCGTTGTTCGAGACAGATCCATCCTGCCACAGCACAGTGGCTGTCTGCGTCACGTGGACTATTCTATACTCGTCCATGTCCCATCCATAAATTTTGCTGACTTTCTGAATGGCACCATGCGCGCTCGTGCCCACCCCTTGATACTTCACGCGTGCTGCTGTCGGATCCCGAAACCTCACATGAGTCCCTGCACCTAGATCTTGACCCGAGCCCGATCGTAGAGAGACCATGCTGTCGTGATGTTCTCCTTGGATTTCGCCACCGAGTTCTGCTGTTCCAGGGTGTCCATGCACATGCTCGTGGTTGCCGTTGACAGGCCTGATGCCGGTGTCGTAGATGACAACATCCGCCCTGGGGCAAAGAGTGTCGGGTTGACTGGGATCGCCTGCTTTATCAAAGAATTCCAGTTCATACGGAGGCATGTCGTCGCCACTGGTGCGCAGCCCAGAAGGCGACTCCCTTGAACCCACCCAGTCCACTGTGACCTCGCCGGCTCGGATATTCACAATCCATCCATGAGCCGGAGACTGTGAGCTGTAGCCACCTTTGATCCATTTGCCTTGACGAAGGCGGGTTCCATCAACGATGACAAACGAACCGGGCCGAGGAACATGGTAGATGGGAATCGTGGTGCTCCAACCCTGCAAAGCGCCTACCACATCTGGTCGGAAACCATCCTCTTCTGGGAGTGCGATCAAGGGTTTTCCTTCCGCGCGGACTGGAATATATAGCCCGTCGATAGACGGAATTTGGACCAACGAATGATCGGCGAGGAGAATGACAATGTTGTACTGCACTTCTTCGACAGTTCCTACCCAATTTTTTGAAAGAATAAAATCATCCTTCATCACATCTTGCGCCCTCTTCACCTCCCGCGCAGGGACATCGACCAAGAGAACGTGCGGGTTCGAAGGTGACAGATGGGCAGGGAGGGAACTAATGCATTCGGATGTGCAGGTGTCGAACTGCTGTGGGAAAAGTCCTTTATTAGGGATGGTGAAGGGAAGGCTAAGGATTGGTTGAAGGATGTATGACTCGTCGATGCTGACGACAGTGCCTGTAATGGGTTTGCTTTCGAGGCGGACATGGTCACCAATCTGAAAACTGCGACTGATTAAGATCAGGTCGTCCTCGGCCACGAGGGAACTGCCGTCGGGTTCATCCTCAAACTGAACAAAGACATATCCTGGAGGAGGAGCTCCAGTGGTGACGAACTGGTTGAGGATCTCTGGCGGAACAGGAACATGAGCGATGATCAACTCGTCGGCCAAGGGTTCGAAAGACTCGGTGTGGGTGCGTTCAATGGTGCCACGGAGGGCAGGATCGGTCTTGAGTTGCACATGATCGTAGAGATCGAGTGTTCGCATCTGGCCAACTGCTCACTGCGCAGACACCCGGAGAGTGAGTGGCACGGTCGATGAGCGCGGCGAAGATGGTAAAGGGAAAAGCGATGGCGACGCCGTTGGTGGGGGTGTTGGAGGGGAAGATTTGGCGCGTTTATCAAAAAGTTATGCAAACACGTATCGTACACGAGCAGGGAAGGAGGGACCCTCGATTAATTACAACCCCTAAGGCTGGGATTTGGGAAGGCGCCAGTGCTTGGCGCTTAATAGTAAAACCGGCAGGGCTTTTTGGGGATAATTACAGCCTAACTAGCACGACTCTCACTCCTGCCTACTATTATTATGTACAAAGCTTCAGCATGCACCTGCCTGGAGGCAGAATCCATATAAGCCCAATTCTCTTCGCAGGCTAATTTCAGACTTCGCCCCAGCTTCAAGTCTCATCTGAGTATAAGATCTCCAATGAGGTCGAATGCCTCATCGTTGTGCGCCAGCCGTGTCTGCTATCCCCCATTGTCCGCCCTGGTAGCCAGGCACACCGGGGGAAGCAGCATGATATTGGGCAAGAGTCCAGAGCGAGCAGATGGGCCATCAGGATCACCTGTAGTTCCTTCCATAAATGTGGTAGTGTTCACCCGCAGACGGGACAAGACGCTCTCCCGGCCACAGAAAATTCAAACGACCACTCTTATGAGCCTCAATCGCTGATTCCTGGCTGAACCCATTGTCAAAGATTGTTCAGGCCGTCAAATGAATGCAGATCTTGCGAGTTGGTATGTCTATTGAGGACGATCCAGACGAGGGGATATCTCATGATATGTCCCGTGGCCTCCAGGACGACTTTTGGAGATAGTCTGGATTCGAGAAGTAGTAAAAGGCGTGTGGGGTGATTTGTAGCGTAAACCACACCAGGCGACAGACTAGGGTCTGCGAAACGACACTCCTATTAAGTCTCGGTTGCTGTCTGGGGAGATAGAATTGAACAGCGGTGCAATTTCATCAACCGCATTGGCAACAACCAGTCTTCCTGGTGCGGAAATTCATGCAACCACCTCCCGTGGCTTCCCACAGTAGACAGCCATCTTGCGACTTGTAGTTGAGGCAACCGCTGGTATTGTCTCCGTAGTTTAAGCAACCTTCGGCGTGGTCACCAACGACCATACAACCTGATGCGCCGTTTCCATACGTGCAGCATCCGTCCTCGGTTTTGTATTTGGTAGGACCTGGTGGGGGTGGTGCCGGCGGAGAATGCCCTCGTGCGGCCGGTGACTGGCCTCCAGGTGCTTGTGTCTGTGCCTGGGCTTCACCGGGCTGGAGATGATCGTTGCTGTGCGCCGACGAAGAGCGTGAAGAGGGAGCTTCATATGGAGGTGGTGGCTCCATGCGTGGGAAAGAAGAGCTCGCTCCTGCGCCCGCTTCTGAAGTCGTCGCAGAACTTTGTGCGTTACTGAGTTTTCCCATGGTGGTCGGTTGAGTGAGATTAAATCAGGGTTCCGGGTTAGAACAGGAGATCTTAAGTAGTAAACAATAGGTAGAGTTGTCGACACCACGACCAAATGCGACACAGTTCTTGTGGGATTAGCGTTCGATGGGGGCTGGAAAGTGAGTTCAACGTCGTCGACCAGACTATTATCTACCTTGACCTACCCAGGTCCTTGATTCGACCAAAATGCAACTGCCTGGAGAGCGATGCAACAAAACAAGTGATGCCGGTCAACTTTGCTGCAAGTCATTGGTTAACTATACGAGCACGAGCACGAGGATGAACACGCGACTCTGGATTGGTGACTATCGTGGGTGCCTGAGGCATCTTGGAGGGTCCAAGGAGCGCGAAGGGGTTGGAGTTTAACGATTGATTGGGGATGGAGAACCCCGCGAAACCACCTAACGGGCATACCGAATACCTAAGGAAGGCATGATCTTAGCCTATCTGGTAGCCTGGAGGGGCGCCTGGGGCGAGTCTCGTGGCGCATTCATGGGCACTTGGGCTCTTGTGGCTGAACACCTGGGTTGCTTGTGATAATAATAATAAAACGGCAGCCTAGGATTTTCATCTAGCTTTACGGGTGCCTGGGAATCTGGGTTCGCTTGCATCCAACATTTGCGTCATTATTCAAGAACATCAAGATCGAAAATAGACCTTGGGAACTTGGTAAGAGGGAGAAGGCAGTGCTTGCAAGATATAGGCCATCAGTGGCCATCTTCAGGACTACAGAAGTTGGCTTTGAGCTGCAGACATTGGTCGATTCACATGGGCAATTACTATCATTGATTGTCCCTTTGATCCGACCAGCGACATTTTCGAGATCTTCATCCCTTACCAAGCCGTCAAAGGGGTGCTTTGATCATCGATTGGTGACATCTTGGAAGAGGACGTCTTGGAGTCGAATGACTGCATATAGGATGCAATTTCTGATGCTTGAAAATCAGGTGACGGTGGATCACGGCTTGGACAGGAAAAGAGTAGTTGATCTTGATGCCAAAATTGGAACAACATGGAGAGGGTTTTCTGGTAGAGTCAGAGACTGGTAAAGATCCCAGATCGACACGTGAGGGCAGTCCCCGAGTGCCTGGTAAGATCGGTACAAGTGAGTACCAAGCAAGTAGTAGTGTTGTGACCTCCATGGGCTTCCATTCTCTTAGGCGTGCCTGACAGTTTCACGCGGAGAAAACATGCTCTCATGATCTTTTTCTGCTCATTCAACCAAGAAGATCCACTTGATCGCGATGGCAGTTGCCAAATGCTGCTAATGATTGGACAATGACTCATGGTTGTTCCTTCAACAGGACTAGTGTCTCCTTCAATTGGATAGTGGCGACATCCCTCGCCTAACGTTCACCTGTTGGGTAAAGCATGGCAAGTTCTTCAGGATTGTCAGTTCTTCAATTCTGTCCTCCGTCGGCGCAGCTGTCAGAACGACACTGTAATCTCTCAGTAGTCTTGATCACTGATGAGCAAGTCGCTCCCAATTTACTCACTCATTTTTCTTACTTCGCCTACCAACTTCGGGGAATGGGGGTTGCTCCCTCCATTTCTCTTGTGGGCTCTAGACCCTCCGTGCCTCCCTGCGCACCCTCCCCTGTTGCTTGTCCTTCGTTCTTCCACTCCACCCTCCTTATTCCATCTTGATTCTTAAACTGTCTCTCAGACAACCTCTCTCAACCTTTCGACCTCTGGACGAATCCCATTTCTTTTGCTGCACCTGTTTCTTTAACCAACACAACTCGTTGCATTGGCAACTTGCACTCGTTTACCCATCCCATACATAATAATCGCCAAAACACGCCCATTTTACCCGCTTCCTTCTCCTTCCCACCTTGTACCCATTCGCGTCGTTAACCATGGGTGGAGATCACCACTATCGTTCTCTCTCGACCAGCGACGAGGCCGTGCCGCTCGCTGAAAAGGAGCAAGTCTATGTCAAGCCATCTGGCTGGGGAAAGCAATCTATACTCCTTTCGATCGCCACAGGCACTTTATTCATTGCCGTCATCGTTGCCGTTCTTTCCACCGTTGGCTCCGCCATTGTCTCGCACAGCGGCTCATCCTCCTCCGCTGCAGCTACCACCGCCGCCCCTGCGCCCACCAACACCGCTGCTGCCCTCGCGAGCGACCCTGATGCCGATATTCTCACCCCAGCCAATATCCAAGACTGCGGGTATTCTGCGAAAGAAGCACGGGAAAAGGGATGCGTGTTTGATGTCATGATGCAACTCTGGACACCAAAGGACTGCTTTGATGGCGTTCTATCCGACCGGTTCCTCGAGGTGGGCAACTGGACCTGGTGGGCTGATCCTGACGCTTCCCGAGCTTTCACCCTTGAGGAGATGAGAAAGGGTGAACACGATGCTGTGTACGTCGCACAAGACTACCACATCACCCATTGCATCTACGCCTGGGAGAAGTTGGTCCGCGCCATGAGGAACCAGGAACCGTTGATTATGGAGTTGATTTCCTATGATCACGTCATTCACTGTCGACACAAGACCCTCCAAAGAGCCGATCACGGCGCTTCGATCCGTGGTGTCAGAGCCCCAACAGGTTACACCAAGTGCGCTAACTACGACACCTGGAAGTACAACCTCCCTGCCAACGAGCACTCGTCAGTCGACAAATAATAAACTCGAGAAAACACTTTTTTTTTCTGCTTATATATGTCGATATATTGTGCTCTTTTGAATCGAATTTAAGCAACTTGTCATCAGCGTCTGGAAAGTTACCTCGTCTCAAAGCCAGTTCGTGCATGTGACTTGCTCGGACAGAGCGGTTTTCGTACACCAGCAAACACAGCAGTATCTGTGCCAAGCCGTGGCTTCTGGCTGGCTCATCAACCTCGGAAATGGGGCTGAACGAGACTTTCTCTTCGGGAATACTGACTGGTATTCCATTTTGTGCCAGAGAGGAAGTGAGGAAAGAGAAGAGAAGGGGAGTCTTGACTTGACGCGCTGATGCTGTGATGACTGCAATGGGGTTTCCAAGAGGTTTAGTTGGGTGACGGTGTTTCATTGCGATCGGTGTCTGGGTTTGGAGGGCCGGGGGATATTTTCTGATCTTGTCATTTTGATAAAAAGAAGATTTGAATCAGAATCTATCATAACCAAACCAAATCAACATTCATTTCACGACCACTGATATTGAGACCAAAGTTTCCAGGAGCGTCTATGTTTTGCTGTCTTCGTATGTCGCCACATGAATCATGGATCAGATGCATCCTTCACTGGATATGAGAATCCCAGAAATTGCCAAATAGATCCTTTCCAGTCTATTCGAGGACCAACTTCACGCCTATCACGCAAGGTCCAATATCCAAGTACTCTCCGACCCACTCATCTTTCCTGTGATACCCAATCCAGCCATGCCTCTAGCAAGAGCCTCGCTGCTCGATCCTCCGACCCAAATGTTCTCACTTCGATCCAACCCTTCCTGTATATCCCAAGATTCAGATCCAACACTGTAAAGAATTCTACCATGAAGATACTTTTCTCGCATGCCTCTCTCAAACCCTTTCTCATACCATATTCCACCCCCATTGGAAATACCCGTGTCCCCGCCTCCTACGCTTGGTGTGCTCGAGTTTGTTGCCAACACACCGACGATCACACGTCCAACATCTTCCGGCCGATCAGGTGGGAGCTGGACAGACATGCGGCCTCCTGACTGGGCAACAGCTCTCGGCACCATGATGTTGGTTGCCACAGCATTGATTCTAACCCCATCACGTTCCGGGTCCGGGTCGACGGTGGTCCGTAAACTTCGTACCAGTCCAAGAATTGAATGTTGGGTCACTTGATAGATGGGAAGAAGCGGCATTTCCTTGAAAGCGGCGATACTCGTCACGAAGGTCAGACTTCGATCGTCCTTTCCCTCGTCTGAGGACGACGGAGGTGGGGCAGTGTAGAAGGGGTTGACCGGCTTCTTGCGGGCCTTTCCCTTTGGAGAGTATTTGAGATATGCTAGAGCGATGCGGGCGAAGCGCACACTAGCAATTAACACGTCTCCGAGATTAGCCGGCTCTGTTTCAACTTCACTATAAGCCATGCGAGGAGTTTTGTTGATGCCCGTTCGATCCTCGAACCATCCCCTTTCTCCTTCTCCGACCGTGCATGCATGTCCTCCATCGTCGCCAACGTTGAAGATGGCATGGTCGACACGGCCATACATGGTCACAGCAAGTTTGAACAGTTCGAGCATATCACCATACCTCGTCATATCCACCTTGTTGAAGTGGACCACATGTGGAGGACCCAATGAGCTGATGAATTTGCGAGCCTGATCAGCGTTGGTATCACCAAAGATGACTCGACATCCGGCGGAGTGGAGTTGACGAACGACAGATTGTCCGATCTGCGAGGCACCGTTGGTTATGACAATGACCTTTCCATGAAATGCCTCCTGTGGAAGGGGCGGAGGGGTAAAGCGACAAGGGTTGGGAGCAAGGAGAGGAGCCGAAGTCGAAAGGGATTTTTTGGGTCGGGTTGAAGTGAAGGGATTTACTGGCGCCGGTCCAGGAGTAGGTGACTTGGTTGATGTTGGGGAAGAGACCGACGAAGAACCGTTGGGTTCTTTTGCTGTAGCTGGAGCTGGAGCTGGAGCTGGAGCTGGCGCAGGGGCAACCGCCGACTTAGTCGTAGGAGTAGGAGGCTGTTGGACGATCGGAACAACTTTGGGCGTCGTTGATTGCACGGGGGATGGCGCTGGAGCTCCAGCTGCTACTCCATCGACGGGTGGGACGACAGAAGATACTCGTTTCTTCTTTTTGGGGGCGGGCGAAGTCATAACTGGCTCCTGCTTCGGGGGTTCCGGGGGAGGCTGTTGTTCTTTTGGTTTTGGAGGGTGCAGATCAGTTTCGAGTTCAAAAGTATGAGGAGTTTTGGTAACAGTCTTCCGCCGTCGAGTTACTTTGGCGGGCTCATCGGCAGAAGGGGCAGCCTCCACGGGGGGTTCCAGACGAGAAGCCGCTGGAGAGGGGGATTGTGATTGAGCAAAATTGCGATTGGGGGAAGTGGTACCAGTGCTTTTGGAGGTCTTTGACACTTGACGAGATAGTATGTCTTCTCCGTTGACCGCAGATGAATTCTCGCTGGCCCACGGGTTGGGGGAATGGGACTCTGAGGAATGAAAGGTCAGGTCGGAACTGACATCAAACTCATTGCCTTGGTCTATTTTGGACCTTGTTTTCCGCAACGTGTCCTTCATTGTGGGACCAGCCAGTCGAGTCTTCCCTGTCGCATATTCTTTCGTTGCAGTCAAGACAAAATGTTACAAAAGGTGTCGTAGGAGTTCCTTTGTTCCTTCCTCTGCCGCACAATTGACAATAGATGTGGTTGGCGGGGAAGGTGCAAATGATGAAACCTTGGAAGGAGGGACCGAGGAACCAACTTTATCAAAATTGTGGCGCAAAAGCGGCAGAGAACGACGTCTATCAGGCTATCAGGAGCGTTCTTGGCCGAGATGCTTCGTCATTTGTGGGCACTTCCCGGAGGCTGGTAATAGACGACGTTAATGTTGATATAAAAATTGATGAGCCAGAATCTCGAGAAAATGACTTATCCTCTGTGTCAGATTTGTTCTAGTTTATAGGACAAGTATAGCCCCGGACAACAACAGAGGGAGGTGTGTGTAGTTTGAAAGCGACGGCGAGCACGCCTATTAGACTGAGGGTCACTTGGGCTCAGGCTCAAGTTCAGGCCTCAGTGGCAATGAGGTCGTACAGCCATCAAGTCCATCAGTGGGCAAAGCAGTCAACGACAATTAAAAAATTCTAGAACACATCTCCGTGCGTAGCCGCTTTGGAACAGGCTAGTAAGAGACCAGGAATACTGTGCATGCATCTCTCCCATCTGGGTTGCATTGCATTGATTTGGTCATTGCTTAGAAGGCGATTAGGCTGAACCGCCCTCTCCGAATTCAGATGTGACCGCCTAATTGCTGAGTCAAGCCTCCGACTATGAATATGCCAATGGCTAGGTACACCGCAGACGCTCACAGGAACTGATAACTACAATACTTAGATGATTCGGGAAGCCAATTGGTTTGTAGATAGTATCTGAATCAAGAGCGCTAACGTCAAAGAAACAGAAGGAATTACTGTATGCTCGCGAGTTGTCACCCATCTCTCCTTATGGGTGTGAGTAACCCTCGACCCCTCGTTCTCTAACTTAGGCACAGGGCACCACGTGCCCAAACTCTGGGGATGGCACAGTGTGTAATCCAGGGACCAGCCGTCCCAATACACTGGTACATGTTACCCAATTCTCCTCGAATGGTTATACAAGCAAATTGACAAGCAAGGCTGGCCTAGAATGCCATCGATGGTGCCAGCTTACATCATCTTATCTATCTCATTTCTCTTCATTGTCACACCTCTTGGCTAAAGGGACAGATAGGCCAACATTCAAAGCCACAAAGTCAAATCCTCAGATCATTAGGTTATTAGATTCGCAGAAGACCGCCTAGAATCTCTCTCGACTCTTTTGCTTTGAAATGGGTGCTCATGTCCGCTACCCGAGGAACTTTTCCGCTTGGTTCAGTACCCGCCTGTTGGGGGCTGGAATTCGCGTTGAATTAACACCAAACATGCTCAACTTCTCTTTTCAATATTGACATGAGTCACATTATCAATCCTTGTTCCAAGGTGGGTGTTGCGACTGGAGGCAGCCAGAGTGGACTTCAGTACCAGTAGACCTCGACTTGGTCGTGATCAATTCGTTCTATATATTCAGGCCTCGCGGTTCTGCCGAGGTGACCTGGCCGGAGGCTCAGATCAAGATCAAGGCAACATTGAAATACATACCAAAGCCAGGGTGGTAGATCCCAAAGAAAATAGAAACACATCAAGATCCGCCAAAATGGGCTCGATCGTTCAACAACACCCGCTTTCCCAACGACCGACCTACAACGACGACCAACTCTCCACCTACGTCGCCCTCATCAACCCCGACCCATCATACTCACTAGCGAAACTCAGGTCGGAAATCCAAGAGAATCCTCTTGCAGCCTTGTCAACACTCCAACTGCGACAGATCGCGGCCGTTCACTGGGGAAATGTTGCCTTGCATTATTCACATCATCGAACCCTGGCTCTAGACCCTGATTCGCTGTTCCACAAGATTGTCGAGCGCAAGTTTGGCGGATATTGCATGGAAAACAATGCCTTCTTCTCCACCATCTTGCGCTCTCTTGGTTACCAGATCTACGTCTCGGGCGCGAGGATCAGTAACGCTTTGATGGGACATGCCGATCCGGATGGGTTTGCTGGATGGCAACATGAAGTTATTCTAGTAATCATCGATGGTCAGAAGTATTTGGTATGATCACGACCTCATCCCCACCGCTCACCTTCCCACATTTTCATGTGCTGATTAGCATTTAGGTCGACGTTGGACTAGGTGGTGGATGTCCTGTTCACCCTATACCCCTTGACAAAAGCACCAGTCAAAGCTACGATACCACACCTGGCAGCAGCGTGCGGGTGGTCCGCCGCAATATTGCATCCCACACGACGGATCAACAGGTCTGGGTGCTGGAGCTCAGCAACACAACCACCAACACCTGGTCTGCCGCGTACTGTTTCACTGAAGTCGAGTGGTTGCCCCAAGACTTTGAAATCATCAACTTCAACACCTCGCAGTCTCCTAGGAGTTGGTTCACCTATCGGGTTATCTTGGTCAGGCTGGTCATTGATGAAGAGACACGAACAAAGGCCTTGGGCTCAATCATGCTGATGGATCATAAGTTTGAAAGGCGGCTAGGTGACGGTAAAAAGGAGTTGCTGTTGGAAGCAAAGACTGAAGAGGAGCGAGTTCAAGGCTTGAGACAATGGTTCGGCATCATTCTGCGTCCAGAGGAAGAACGAGGTATTCGAGCCCTGGCTAGCGAGATTCGCGGAGCCCCTCCAGGTTCTTGAGGCCTCGTTCTCGGCATTATCGTTATCATGTCGGTTCCCGTCTCCTGACTTGCTAGGGATGGTACCAATACGAGCCCACTACCTGTACAGCACTGGCGACTTCTTCACTTCAATCCCAATCGTTTGAGTGAACCATTTATATTTAGAATAGGAGAAAGAAGAATTGTCGTGCAGTCTGCACACAACCCTGCATTCATCCCTGGACAAGAATTGTGCTAGCCCCTACATCGGTCTGGTGATTCTGTCGATGTAGTCTAAGTCAATTCGATCCATCCATTGGTAAAGGCAGAAACGAGCACGGAGAGGGGATAAGAAACGGGTGTATTTGGCGAAATACTCAAGCCCTAGCTCTACCGGCTTAGGGTCCTCACCTTGACCACCGCGACTTCTGTTTCCAGCATGAAGCTAAAACGGAGGCTTTCTCCTATGAAGCGAAAGAGACCTAGATATAGAAACAATGTGCATTCGCGAGCTAGCAAAGGAGACAAAGATTCATTCGAAATTGATGGCGCGCGAAGGATACCTCGGATTGACAGCTATCAGATGTAAATGATTGGACCATCAATGCGAACACGAAGAGTTTAAGCGGCATGATATGGCGGGGTAGTGTGGGTGCATGGGTAGCTATGGCATGACCTGGCATGCCTGGACAATGAGGTAGAAAAGCCTCGCGAGGAGAGTTTTGGCATACGCGTCGCAAGTGATGGAGGTTTCCATATTAGGCAAGATATTTTTGGAATTCGTGAATACCAGGGGATTGGACGGAGGACTTCAGAGTTCTCACTGGGTGGCGACCTGGATTGGGCAAGCTTCCAGAAGGGTCAAGCGTGCCGTTTTGCCGTTGCTATGCTTTTGGCATGACATTGGGGCACATGATTGTGCTCCAGGGATGGTCTGTGACCTGGGGGGACAAGGGCTGGGCAGTGTCATAGACTTTTTGTCGTTGGACATGCAGATCGAGCAGCCACAGAGGCAAAGTCGGAGGTACCCGTAAAATGATAGAGGGAGGAAATAGTCATCGATGCGCTGTGGTAGTCTGATATAGCTCGCATTAGGCGGTTTAGGAGAGGTGTGCCCACGAAGGAAGCGGGTAGACCTGCGATGTCGGTGAGGATCTGTCACTAATTAGGGGCATATGTGGAGAGACAGTACGAGTACGTGCTCAAGTACCTATTGTGGTGGCAACTCTGGAAGGCCTCTGACATTCACAGCCACTTGAAGAGTTGGGGCCGAGGGGGGCTACAGCCGAGACCGAGACTAGCCAGGACTGGCACGAATGGTCCTTCTAGATGCCGACCAGGATAAACGAGTCTCTTGGGACTTTTGTCGTCGAAAGGGACAGGCTGTGATGTTGTATTCGATGTGTGCGCAGGGAATCTGAGGGCTGCTGGGAAAAATCCTAGGCGTATAAATCTTAAGAGACGCGTACGGGGTCATTTCGGAAGTTGCGGTAAGTGGTATGAGGGATTCATGGTTGCACCTGCCCGTTCCTTCTTAGAATCATGAGGCAGCCACGACTTCTGCCCATCTGCAGCATCCAACACCAACGTCAACGCCAGAGAAGAAGCCACTATCTCAGGTACCTTACTCATCAATGTACAAAAAGTTGAAGCCGAACTCTAGCCCAGATAGTAATTGTCATTGATGGGTCTCCGGGACAAGGACCCGCGGTTTGCACGCGACTGCGAGTTAACTAACACTAATTGGATCAATGGTAAATCTTAACTGTAATGAGGGTGGTGGTGGTCACTGTGGGTTGAGCCTGATGAGGCGCAAGCAGGTCAGGGTCTGATGTCCCCGCGAAGACAACTTGTCCTGTCATCTGATTGACTCGTGACAGAGGATAGATGGGGGATGGAGTACACTACATTGGGCCTTGCATGATTAGCATTACTGCTTGCTCGAGCACTGCCTCAGTCGTGAGTTCGCCTTGAGTCCTGCCTCGTGGGAATACAAGGGCCATGATGACTGGACAATGTCTCCTCGGGCTTTGGCGGAGGAACAATGGGCGATGAACCCATGCCCGAGGGGCATTCCCTCCCCCCAAGGCGCTACTCCAGCAGCTCTCAGAGCCCCAATGGTACCTAAACATCCCTGTGGCTCCGTTATTGGCGACCCCAGGGCCAAGACTCTGCGCCTAGACAGAATGCCGTTCTGCCCAGGCGTCGCATTCTCAAAGTGCGTCAATACGACTCGGCTGCATACCACTCTATCCCTAGTGCTGCCACTAACATGTTTGAAATGATAGGCATGGATGGGCATTGAGAGCTGCTGCAGCACTGAGCTTGGGCTGTCTGGCTGCGCCAGTGGCCCCGGTACCACAGTTGCAGGTCCAAATCCAAACACTAAGAGCTTAATGAGCGATATGCCAAACACCCTAGTTGCCCATATCCAAGGCGTATTTACGGAAAGTTATGAACCGAATCTACTTGGGTATAACCTCACGCGAGGCATAGCAGCCATGGCACGATGGAAAATTAAGCTCTGGGATCGGGTCATGGATGTGGGATCGACAACGGGAAAAGAGATCATATGAACCATGTCTGGGGGAAAAACAGTTGAAGGAAGAATGGTATACGTAGTCCAAGAATAGGTGTGCCCCTCCAATCCCCCAAAGAAGGATAGCGCGAACATGAACACTCCACTCCATCTCCATCCTGTCAATCTTGCCATCAACCCTCGCCCGTGTGCTGTGCCCATCACCCCTTCTCACTCGTCTCTCGCTCCACCCGCGACAACCGACATCAAACACATAAAGCTCCTCCCAAGATCCTACTCTGCCGTCTTCGTCTCACTTCCATGACGTTTTAGATCTTGTGCTCGCTTTTTCCACATACAGTCGCATCCTAGTGTATCGCAGACACTCCTCTTCTCTCTCTACAACTATCGTTATCGCTTCCCACGCTGTCGTCCACGCGATCCCTCCTCGCTACTTCAGAGCCCTCGGTAAACACAACAACAATGGAAACTCCAAGGCAAAATGGTCTTGACAATGGAAAGGCCCCGACTCCCCCGGTCGGCTTCCGTCCTCAGAATGGTGGTCTTATTAATGTGCAGCCACCTCGACGAGAGGATCTGCAACCTTCCTATGCCCAAACATTGCAGGGCGACAATGATGAGACCCAACACGGCTGGTACGGATCAATGAGTAGGTAAACCCCGACTTCTCCACGCTTTGCGCAATACTCACCTCGGTTCAGTCAACTCTCTCGGCGCATGCGTTGGTTTCCTCGGAGCCATCCCTTGCTGTGTCATCTGCCCCAACCCTTATAAGCCTGTTTCCCAAGGAAATGTCGGTTTGGTCACCAAATTCGGTCGCTTTGCTCGCGCTGTCGATCCCGGTTTGGTCAAGATCAACCCTCTGTCCGAGAAACTCATCCAAGTCGATGTCAAGATTCAAATTGTCGAGGTGCCACGACAGGTTTGCATGACCAAGGACAATGTCACTCTCAACCTGACATCAGTTATCTACTATCACATCACATCTCCCCACAAAGCCGCTTTCGGTATCTCCAACATCCGACAGGCACTCGTCGAGCGCACACAGACAACATTGCGACATGTCGTCGGTGCTCGCGTTCTCCAGGACGTTATTGAACGCCGCGAGGAGATTGCCCAGTCCATCGGTGAAATCATCGAGGATGTCGCTTCAGGATGGGGTGTCCAAGTCGAGTCTATGCTCATCAAAGATATAATATTCAGCAATGATCTGCAAGACTCGCTCTCCATGGCCGCTCAATCCAAGAGAATCGGTGAATCCAAGGTCATTGCTGCTCGTGCTGAGGTCGAATCCGCCAAACTCATGAGACAAGCTGCCGATATCTTGAGCTCTGCTCCTGCCATGCAGATCAGATATCTCGAAGCTATGCAAGCCATGGCCAAGACTGCCAATTCCAAGGTCATCTTCTTGCCTGCTGCCAACCAGACCATTCCTCAAGAAGCTTTGTCGCACATTCAACAGCAACCCACTGGCGAAGGTCCCAGCGGATACAATTCGAAGCAAAACACTGGCAACGCTTTTGACCTCAGCCCCAACGATGGCTTTCAACAGGCCATGAACGCCAGGGTGATTGAGAACATCTAAATCACGACACTCGGGTCATGACAATTGAGCCATGATGTCTGGCTCTGAGAGGTGACCTCGGTACAATGTGGACCTTCACATTGATAAATGACTGTTGAAATGGTGGATTCCCTGTTAGGTTTCTCTCCCTACCAGGGGAGACGGGGAAAATTGTTTTTGAGATACCCATTGAGTATCAAAGCACTCGCTTTGTTTTTTGTATCAGTAACGCCAGCTGACCGCCACTGCACGCCTTTTATACATCTGAGGTAGTTGCAAGCATTAATGCTTTATTGTTATATTGGATTTTGTGTATTGTAGAACCAGATATGCTGTGATCGTGCGATGTGACTGACGTCTCCGTCATATACACACATATTATACCCTTCAACCCCAATCACCACACCCCTTACCACCGCCAATTTTCACTCACAATTTCCAAGGCGCCTTTTCCGCAAATTCCTTAAACGTCGTCTTCTTCGCACCAGGGAGCAAGAAAGCATCACTCTCCGCCTGTTTCTTCTCTGCACCTTTCCCATAATAACTATAATCCCTGATCAAGAGCATATTCTGTGTGATTTCCTCATAGATACGGTCACCCGATTGAGCAGCAGATTCCGCACTCGCAGCGGTCTCAACAAATTTGATCGGTCGACCCTTGACCTCACTGAGAGTATCGGCCAATTGTTGAGGATGGACCCATTCGCTGACAGCCTGGACTGAAGCACCGTTGGCACGCTCACCAGCTTCGAACAAACCAGCTGTATACAGACCAATATCGTTGCGGATATCGATCATAGGCAAGAACGTAGTTTGAGGATTCCACGGCTGCGACAGTGTAGGAACACCGTCCTGGTCGGGTTTGAATTGTCCGGTCAAATTACTCATGAAATATGCTGGCATCACGTACGATACAATCAAGTCGTCACCCTTGACTTTATTGGCATATTCCTCCACGCTGGCTTTCGAGTCGAAATGCTCGATCTTGGTTAATTGCCCATTTGAGATTTTGGCCGCTGGAGGTAAACTGCTCCATACAAGGTGTTTGACTCCTTGTTGCTTGCATGCGTCGACAATGTTCTGGCCTTGTCGAAACTCGGCTTTGGGGTCGGTGGTCTCCCAGTAGTTGGTCACGGCAAACACGCCGTGTGAGCCGGCGATGGCACTCTTGACGCTGTCGATGTCGTTGAGGTCTGCTTGTGCGAGCTCCGCGCCGCGAGATGCGAGTGCTTGCGCACTTGGTTTGGATGGATCTCGTGTAATGGCTCGGATTTTATATTTGGCGGAGAGGGAGGGGTTGTTCAGCACGGCGGACAGCGTGCTGCCGCCTTGGTTGCCTGTGGCTCCGAAGATGGTGAGGATTTTTTGAGACATTTTGAAGGAATTGCGGAATGCCGTGATGATGGTGGGAAATGATATCGGAGTGGTGAGTGAGGTTGACTGGTTCTTTTTGAGTCACTTGTGACAACAACTATCTCAGCTTCAAGGAGGGGGGGGTTGAAAAGATGAAGAATGGTATACAATTCTACTTAGGATAGACCTATAGTATTTATACATATTGTCCCGCTGAAAGACAGAGTTTGTTGTCAATCAATGTCCTCACTCAGCGCCCATCTTGATCCTTAGGTAATCGAGATAGGGCCCCACGAACCATCCTGGGGTATGCTCGTATGTTGGAATGAGAAGTGGTTAGTCAGGGCGTACACTCGTACTCAGTGGGCTCTTGGCTGGAAACCTTGGTCTCGGCATCATGGTGACAAAGCCTCGGGAGGTCAATGCCCGTACATACCTGGTAGGTTTTATTTGTTGGACGTAAAAGCATTGGGGAAACAACGAGGAGGATAGAAATGAGGGGCAGACGTGCAGGAACAAACGTCATTTACTGAAAACGGCGGAATCTGGGATGCTCTTGCTCCGATTTATCAATCATCACTCAGCATTAAAGTCACGTGGTGTTATGTTTCGGAATTTGAAATTCCGAACTTTGAAACGTTGTCCATTTCATTATCGACGTTCTCTTTGTAATTTGTGTTTCCATCGAGAAGCATCGGACTCCATCTAAAGAAGGTTTGATTCATCAGCAAGTCCGTTCAAAGCCAAGTTGAGCATGGCTGAGTGATTGAAACCCCTCAGAGCCGTGCCACAGGCATCTGGTCCGACTCCAGGATTGTTTCCATGACCATTTTCCATTCATTGGCGAGAGCTGGATCAATAGCACAGCCATCATAGCTCACTCCAAACTTGAGCTGACCATTGTCACCAACAGCTCCGATGAGGAATTCCCCATCTCGTGCTCTGACGGTGGTGTCCAAGCCCCGGAAATCCACTCCAATGTCCTTCCCATCACTCAGCTCTTCTATGTCGTATTTGCCTGATGCTATGATTGATCCACGTGGGCCAACAGAGCTGACACCGCATGTTGCCAGCGTTGGTGGCGGTGACGCAGGATACTGACCTTGGATGTTCCACCCGCGTCGCCGAGAGTCTGTACTTTTATTCTCAAGTCGTTCCATTGTTGTGAGATACATCATGGGAAGCAATTGGGATGGACTTTTGGAGCCAAGCTCAATTTGATCTCCTTCTTTCTGCGGACGCTTCTGATATTGTCTCAGGCGTCTATGGGCTTGTTTACCCAATAGTCGCAGTCGCCCTTCGAGGCTCAGGTCACTTGAAAGAAACGGCAATGCAATACCCTCGCTAAATGCCAACATCAGATTGTCTTCCTTACCCGTGGTTGGTGTGCCTGCGAGAAACGGGCGAGGATTCACGGGAAAGGATCCCACAAAGGGAAGTCTTTCATGAGCTGGAACGTCTGGATTGCGACGTTCTTCGAATTGCATCATGACCAATGCCACAAGTGCAAAGCATCCACTGCCAATACTGATTCGGACGTCCCTGCACAACTTTGCGAGTCTCCGAGATGCTGCCATACTCAGGGTTGGCCGCACTGCATATGTGTTCAAGGGCGGTATCCTAGAATAGTCAATGACTAGGGAGAATTTTGATTGCAATTTCTGTCCTTTAGGTAGCGGTATGGCTCTCCTTAGAGGGTTTTGAAATGCAGCTGGTCCTGGCCGCTTGACATGTCGAAGGATCCTCGAAATCGCCCAAGACCATCTCTGCCTGGCTTGACTCCTTCCCATGGATGGATAGAGAGACTCTTGAGCAGGAGGCAGTCGAGGTCGAGGAGAAGTGCAGCAGAGTATCTTTGCGTCAATCTCCAAGGTAGCCACTGATCGATTGAGTATGTCGATGAAAGAAGCCATCCAGCGCATTGACGTCAAGCCATCCATAATCTCGTGACCCGCAATGAACATGAAATGGACACTGTACCTTCCTTCCGCAGTTCGCACCAGAGGCATGACATACAGCCTGCTCAATGAGTCAAAGGGATCGATACATCGGGAGCAATTCAGTAGATGGACAAAGAACTCGTCATTCTGTGCGTGAGGGTACTGATCTTGGACGAACACTGTGTGACGCCTGGTGTCTGCGACCATTGCCGCTAGACTTGTCGATGGTGTGTAAACGTATAACCAGTCCTTTGAATCGATCTTGGCCGCAAGTTCACTCGGTGAAATCTCCTTGCCTTGACAAATCCGAGACGAGAGAAGAATATGGCGATGCCGCATCACCGCCCATGCCTGGACGATCCTGTGTCGCAATTTCTCCAGCGACAATGAAGTCCTGATCTCGACCTGCAGGTCGGTGGTCATGTCGGCTCTGCCTTCACAATCGATTCCATCCGTATTGAAAAGCCCTTCTACGATGCCAATTCGGCGGTAGAAAATGGTGGAGCCCAAGTGGACAGCCTCATGCCATTCGTGGTGACTCGTAGCATAGCTTTCGAGCCAGCCGAGTGGCTCACCCTGACGGTTGCTCATCGATGCAGAAATTGGTTAGGCATCCTAGAGATGAAGGCAGGAATTGTCTTCAGAGGAAGAATCCTAGAGCTCTGCGGAGATTACCATCGATTATGCACCTACGCAAAAGGCCCAAAATACGGAGGACGTCATGGATAATTGTGCGGTTGAAGGAACGAATGTGGTCCCAATAATTGGAATATATCGGGGCCATCTACATGAGTGCGCACGCTATTCCGTAGCAAATCTCTAGTCACATGACAGCCTGTCGATCCCTATAGGAATGACTACCTACCTAAAATATGGCCCAGGAGTGCTATCTAATAGAAGAGGGTGCCCTGAGGAGAGAGCCTGGGAGAGAAGTGGTATCTGGAGGGGTGCCCCAGGAGAGTACCCTAGAGGGAGTGCCTGTGGGAGTGCCTCGGGCGCCTAATCAGCCCTCAGAGAAGTGCCTGAGGGGCCCCTCCGCCTACGAAGAGCTTATGTAAGTAGATACCTAACAAGGCTTAGTCTAGATCTGAATTTGGTGCACGCGGATTAGATTGACGCGTCGCGATATGACGCGTGTAGACTTTTGGAATGGCAGGTGTGCATTTTGTATCTTGATCCTCTCGAAGAAGACATCCTTCGCATTTGCCCACGAAAAATTCTCAAGCATGGGTGCTAAATTGCAATATTGGGCATCATGAGCCCCGAAGAGTTGGCCAGCTTTGCACGAGCAATTTCAAACTTCCCCCAAGAGCACATTGACCACCTATATCAACTCCTCCTTCGACTGCAAGAGACCCATGTCGACCCTGAATTGGACCTGATCCGCTCTGAATATCATGCCCTCTCTTCAGAAGATGGCATCGACACCCTGCCCAACGATCCATATCTTCAGTGGCTCATCGATCTATTCAATTCCGATGCGCACTCCTCTCTTTACACCAATTTCCTCGATGTCCTAGACGAAGCCCACATTGACATTACCGACGCTGGTACAAACACGGACGTGGAGACTGACCATGGGCGTCACGCAGGGCCGATGGTTGCTTCTTGGGAACCCCGACCTTTTGAAAGATCACATAGTCCCGACACATTCAACGAACACGATCCAAGATGGCGGCAGGCTATCGCATTAGACCATCGGAAATTGGCCAGTCAAGCACTCGAAGCATGGCGCGACGGACTGCAAAGAAAGAGAGAAGCTCTTCTTGATTATGAAGATGCTCGCGCAAACGAATTTGCTGATCAATTCTACCACAAAACACTTGCTCGAAAAGCGGTCTCACACTGGCGCAATACAGTGAAGGAGATGCAAAACCTCGAAAGAGTTGCTATTGAGCACCGTGCCAGGAAGGATGCTATTACTGCCCTCACGAGTTGGACCCTTGGCGCGCGAGAAGGCTTGTTCAAGAGAGTCCGGGATGAACGCTTGCTCTATTCCTCACTAGGCATGTGGCAGGGTAAAGTTGATGCAATTCGGGAAATGCAACAGAAGGCCGATATACAATATGAAACACATGTTACTCAACAAGTGCTTGTGAAGCTGTTCACAACAACCAGTCAACTTCAAGAAGACCAGACCCAAGCAGCTCTGACTTACAAACAAATACTGAGTCGGAAGATACTGAGACTGTGGCGGGCACAACTCAACAACCTTGGAGCTCTAGAAAAAAAGCGAGAAAGTCTCATGTCCACATTTGCTGGCAGACATGTCCTGCGATTGTGGTATGACCGCACTCGGAGTCAAATCGATGAGAAACAAGCTCTCCTCGCCCGAGAGCAGATGCTGAAAGTCAAATTCTTCCGCAGATGGCAAGCTTACGTCAAACAAAGCAAAGAAGCCAAATACACCACTGCCTACCAAAGGATGAGGAGAAAGGTCAAGGTTGGGATTGCAACGGCAGTGCTCACGAATTGGAGACAGCAGGTTTCCAAAATCAGGCGAATGCGAGATGTCGCCGACGAGTTTCGAGCTCGCCGAAACGTCGAGGCTGAACACCGGCTTGCATTGGTTGCAATCATGTCAATGTACAACAGAACTCAGCAAGTTGACAATTCATTGCAGCAAGCTCAAAAGTTCCGCCGCGAGAAGATCATTGCACGACTTGAGATATTCGGTAACAGATGGCTGTTGCCGACAAGACAAATCATGGTCAACCAGCGCACTGCCGACAACTACCACTCCATCAAAACCGCAGGATACACCTTGTCGCGATTACGGAGTTGGCGCAATGTGACTTATCGGGTCAAGAGACTAGAAGACGACGCTGATCGATTGACCCAGCGCAATGAGCGCAAGAGAACGGCCGACTTGCTACAGAAATGGCGACGCGGAGCAATCAAATTGAACTCGGAAGTTCAAGGTATCGAAGAGAGGCTATTGCCCGTCACCCCAGCGGCGAGACGGAGTCAGTTGCTAGCATCGACTACGCCAGCCTACACCCCTGCATCCGCTCTTTTTCGGAAGACACGAGCTTTGAAGGGATATCGAGAGGAGGATGAAGATTGAAATTAATATAACGAGCCACGAATGATGCATCATGACCGAGATACCCCCAGAGAGATTTTGTCTACAGAAACAACGAGTACAGTCGTTTTGATTGGATAGGACCATCTGCACCAAAACAATCGGAGAAGATGACGTAGCAGTTTGCGTCTACTTCAATGTCAATCAACTATATGAAACCGTTTTTTCTAGCATTATCTTTTGTCCCATGGGTGGATGTTTCGTGCTGTAAGGTTTTGAACTGATTTAGCGTACGTCCGTCACAGTCCGTCCAAGTCGCCTGAAACAATTGGATCATTCGGTACCATGGAATACTTGCGTTGATCGTCTCGAGGATATCATCAGGATCCACCTGGAAATACCAGGTTTCGTCATCCCCAGCCTTGGCCTCAGCACCACAGATCCCAAAAACTCCAGACATAGATGCAGTATAGTATACTCTGCGAATATTATCTCTGTGGTCGTTGAGCAACTCGGTCTTATTTCTCAGATCGGGCGAGTCGCCCACTTTAACCCACCACAGCCTTGACTTTTTGGATTTCCCCCCCCCTTCCCTGCACCCCCTATCAACCCAGAACCAACCATGTCGAACTATCCAATCTGCGACGTCGACACACCCGATCCATGGATGCTCGAATTCCGCGGCAAATTCTACCTAACATTCACACTCGGCAACCGCGTCGAGATCTGGTCGTCGCGAAGCATGGAAGATTTCCGCGGATGCGAGAAAACCATCGCCTGGAAACCAGCCCCCGGATCACCCTGGTCAGCCGACATATGGGCACCGGAACTGCACTACGTCGACGGCCGGTGGTACGTGTATTTCTGCGCCGCACAACCAGGAAAAGGCAACGCATCACACCGTACATTAATGCTTCGCAGCGAGTCGCAGGACCCAATGGACGAGAGTCCAGGAACATGGCAGTTTCTCGGTCCCGTACGAGGTCTTCCGGACCATTGGCACATTGATGCGACGGTGTTTCGCCCGGTTCCTAACGAACTGTATATCTGCTACTCCGGCTGGCCGTTGGGCGATCATTCGGATACGCAGCAGGATTTGTTTATCATGCAGATGGCGAATCCCGAGGAAGCCGTGCCGGGGACGTTGACGTGTATATCGAGAGCGGTATTACCATGGGAACGACCTGATGGTGGGCGTCGTGGCGTCAATGAAGGTCCAACGTGGTTGTCGATCCCGGGGTTTCAGGGGATTGTATACAGTGCCAATGGGAGTTGGACGAGTGATTATCAACTCGGTCTTGTAAGATGGACGGGCGGAAACCCGCGTGATGAGCGATCATGGCAGAAACGTCATACGCCTTTACTGGTCAGTGATGGTGCGGTCGGAGGACCTTTTGGACCGGGTCATGCTTCTTTCATCTTGTCTCCTTACTCCAACAACATGATCTTCTGCATCTATCATGCCACGGAACGGCATGGCGAGGGATGGAGGAATCGCAAAGCGAGGGTTTTGTGTCTTAGACCAGATAATTTCCATCCGAATGCACCGCCGGTTTGCTGTGCAAATGGTTTACAGATGAATCCAGGGACGGGGCCTAGGCCTGCTGCTGCTGCAAGGCAGCAGAATGTTTTTGAGCAACAACAGCAGTACAAACAACAACAACAACAGCAGCAGGAAAAGGGCTTCATGAGTCGGGTTATGAGGAAGTTGAATAGTTTTTGACTCTTGTTGTTTGGGGAGAGAAGGTTTGAGGCGTTGGAAAAAGAACAAGTAGGGCTCGTGTCACAGGCATGGCTCCTAATGTGGATGAGGGAGAAACACCACGAACAACACACCGAGAAACAGGAAGTACATAGTGGGTACAGTATACTTGCCTAGATGGCAAGTGTTTGAACGAACATACGATTTCTAGACTAAGGATGGGTAGGAAAAAGATGGCAGAACACCAGAAAGATTGACGATATTAATGAATGATAATTGTCAAAGGACGGATTTACGAAACGTGGACATCTGGATAGATAGACTCGGGCCTTTCTCCACAGAAACGCGTGTTGTTAATGATCATGCTTGTATTCAATCGACACGGGCAGTAAAAGAGCAAGATATTGGCGAGATCCAATATCATAACGAGCTTGATATTGACATTGGATTCTTCTAGGAGGGAGTGTTGGGATATATGACGTCACTGACATGTGCAGACAATTCTTCTTGGCTGTTGGCATATTCTTCGCAATTTGCTGCACAAGATCAAGGTCCCTCGAGAGACTCAAATGACAATGAGATTAGATTGCTATAGAGTGTCCATAATTACAAAGATAACATCGGAATGGACGATGGACTGTTTTATAGAGACGTCAGCTTCCATCGGGATGGAGGAAGATACGCCTCGATTTCATTGAGCGCGTCTATGCATATCAAAGAATGATTCTATATCATAAGATGGAGTCGAAAAGTTCCACAAACAAAGACGCTGTTCAGAGAATACCATGCCTGTCGCGAACTGTATGTCCCCGTTGAGAAAAACATGGTGCACCACAGGTTCTCTGGGCATAACAAACCGCTCTTCATGGCCGTCCGTAAACAGAGGACAAGCCACAATCAAGCACTGCATCAAAGCCAAAATAATCAACCACTAACTCGCTTGACCCAGAAGATGATGATTCAACAGCGCTCTCTGTTTTGCTGAACATGTTGCCCAGGAGGCAGGGTATCGTGTTAGGTTATGGAACCGTTTGTACAAAAGGGTAGTCTGATGGGCAAAGAGTCGAGGCCGAGGATGAGATGACTATTTGCTGGTCTTTTCCTGGACGACTTCCTTGGCTTCTTCCTTCTTGGTCTGGAGGAAGGAGCTGACATATTTGAGAACATCTGAAGTCAAGACAAGAGAAGTGGTGATGACGGCCTTTCCACTGGTGACATAGCTCTCGCCACCAATCTTTTTGTACTCTTCACTGTATGTGCTCAAAGCCCAGTCCTTTGTCTCGCCGGCCTTTTGGAGAGGCCAGTGGGCATAGCTGAAAAGGGTGCCCTTGATCTCCTTGGTCTCGGTCTTGACAATGGGCACCTTTTCGTCGAATTTGGAAAGGAACTTGTCACCGAGTTCGTCTGCTTTGACAACATAAGGTTTGGCGTAGGCTGCTGGTGTCTGAAAATATGAAAGGTTGGGCTTGACAAATTTGGTGTAGCTAGCGTTGGTGAAGTCGATGGACTTTGCGCCGTAGGGATTCTCTTTGACAACGGTGATGGAGTCAGAGACGAGAGGGTATGACGTCAAGTGCTGTAACAAGGGAGTTAGTCAAGGCATGGATGAGACGCGATCTTGGAGAGGATAGGACCAGGTGAATCAGGCAGAGGGCGACTTACCGAGAGGAAGGCAGAGTGAGGCATGTCGCCGTTAACAGTAGCGTCACCCATGATGATTGTGATGAGGAGGTAGAGATGAGTGAACTGGAAGATTAGAATCGAGTCAAGTTGGGGATGCAAGAGATTGAGAGAGAAGAAGACAGCAGGAGGGCAAGTTAAAGTGTCACGGGAAAATGGTCGGCAGGGAATGTTGAGGATGGCAAAGACAAGGCAGGCGCGATGGGCAGGCACATGGTAAGAAGTGGAATATTGCACATGCACATGCTTTGCATGAGGCGGAAGGTGGGTGAGTGGGTGAGTGGGTTGTTAGGGTTGGTTACAAGGGGCGGGATTGACATGTGAAAGAAAGGATCCTAGGCATACCAGTGCCAGGTGTGCCAGGGCATCGGGATCAACCTGTGGTGCTTGCCTTTACCTAACGAGTAATAAAGTACCTTTAGTGGTGGGTCCTGTGGCGGCTGAAATTATCCGAATGTGTACACAGATGGTAGATGCGTTTTGTATTGCCGTATAGTGTGTGGGGCTAGAGTCCAAGGACAAAGAACGATAAAGATAGAGGTTTGAAGGGGGCTTAGAAGATGAAGAAGAGAGGGAAATACAAATTCCAGTGTCTTATTAAGAGGCAAGAGTACCTAAGTACCTAGGTAGTAGTCAATGTTGAGTTCTTGCAAGTTATGAGGTCTAGGCACCACAGAAAGCAGGCGCGCCAAAGACCTCGTTTCGAATGTGGAAAGGCGCGTGGGAGGAAAGAGAGGTCGATGTCATTTCATGTCTACTGCATGCATCTATCACTCCGTCTTACCGGCTGGGGTTTGGGCACCCTCATGATCGACTAGAGGACAGGAAACGGGGATGGAGATCGAGACGAGGATACTGAGTTACACAGGTAAGAAAAGTCATGTAAGGAGTAATGGATGTCCACGGAAGGTATTGCAAGTGCAAACGCGCTTGGATATATAAATCCATATATGCATATCTACACCGCAGTCTACCTGATAAGTAAACCCCTCCGTACTTGTCCCTCACTTGGTTTTCGCAAGCCAACGAGCTGCCTAACGGTGCTCACCTCGTATAGCAAAGATCACGCATACCTGGGCACTCTTTGTATACGAGGTCGAGGTTACCTTGCCTCATCATGCCCACAATCCCCCCACTATTTGGTTTATCTCTCTGAACGATGACATCCCAGTTTGACCCCCATGCGTGGCAACGATGCGAGGCAGGTACGTGTATTCTTAGGCAACACAATTGTTTGGCTTGGATGCCTGGGGAAAGTGCGCCCTGCCTTGCCATGGGAGCGTGCCTACCGTTTCAGGGTAGAAGCTACGTGGCCGCCAAGCGCGGGAGGAGAAAGGAAGGGACAAGGAAAGAGCAAGGAAAGAACAACAACCTTGACTATTTTGCATGTGAAAGTTACTCATAGGTACTACTGAACCACCTAGGTGTTCTTTTAAATGTATTATAGGCTACCTAAGCTACCCTACTACTATAGATACTAAATTACCCATCGGTCGTCTCCCACGAGTCTGCAATATCTAGGTACTGAGTACTCTACTATATTTGGCTTTGTTTATCCGTACACACGGTACGATGGGTTCAAGGGTCTTTGAAGCACAGTGGCACTCTTCAGAGTTTCAATCCCCTAGACTTAATCCCCCATTCACTATCAACATGGGTCTCATTTCCGTTCCCATTGCGTCACCTTATCTCTCGTGTCTTTGTCTTTCCCCCGTACATACTACGTATCCTGATAGTCAAGCCACATGTCAGTGGCAAACAACCAGTCTCCTTACTCCGTATATCTTCCCAATCTTTCAACTTCCCAGCAATCAGGTTTCCCATCGTCACTTTCTCGTTGGTCAGAACCTTGTCTCATGCCTGTTCGGCTTCCGAAGACCTTCTCTCCCCGCCAGACTCGAACCACAGCCACGTTCAATTCGATAGGACTGTGTTGTGCGTACGTAGAATGCCATGCATGACTTCTTTTATTACACCTCATTCTTGACCATCATCGCTCCACCGATTCACATTAGTGCCATCGCCATGACACGGTGGGGCTTTGGGATCGTTCCGTCGCGCTGCCTACGGGAATGGACACGCGGTACATAGTGCTGTACACTAATTTATACTGCTCAACTTGTGACTAGAGCATGACTTGACTTCAGAACACTTTCACCTTGATATGGTGTGATCTGGCACCTGTCTATCATTCGGTTTCAAACTACTAACTCAAGTCGGTCACTGCTTCACTCGTCGACAACCTCGCCTCGGATTCTCACATGTCAGAGCCTGTTTGTTCCATTTCCGGCGATTTCCATGTTGTGCATCACCCCCAACAACTCTACGGAGTAGGCCTCAGATGCGCAATCATGCTTCAAGTCTGCCCGCCATCCCTGTACCTGCACGCGCGGTATCCACAATAGCTCCAGAAGCACTGTTCTCTCCCTCCAATACTGAGAATCAGTTCTCGTCTGTGAATGTATCTCAGCGGGGACGGTCGGCGTCGGCATCTGCAACGCAGCTTTCTTCGCATCGTGATACTTTCCATCTGAACCACTGTCACTCCTGCCATTCCCTTTCCCCGTTGTCCCGTGTCTAACCTTGAATTGCTGGTCCACCTGTCACTTGCTGCAGGACGACAAGCCACAGGGCCATTCCCATCTCCGCCAACCCGCACTGCTGCGACACATTGATGCTCTGCGAACCCATGCGAGTTCTGCATGCGAGCCTCGTCTGTCAGCGCTCTCGTCTCCCTCCCCCCCCCTCGCCCCCCTCGCCCATTCATTCATGCCTCAAAGCTGTCAAAACCATCTGGTACGAGCCATCCGTGATTCCGACATGCTCGTCGGTACGCTGCCATAGCTTCGCCCGTGCCATATTGTTGAGCATAGCGACCGTGTCCGCCTGTTTGGCCATTGATAAGACGGGCTGGCCGCTCTTCGTCAGACAATGCCAGTCGCACTTGAAGTAGGATGCTGTCCATCGATAGTGCCGCCGTCCAGCCACTATTGGTCAAAACCTCCATCTAGAATCATCGTTAGCCTTTCATTTGCCCGTACTGTTCTACTCCGACATGCATCAGTCACTTACACACATGGCTCCTCCCTCAGTCACGTTGCCCCCACCGCCCTGCTGAAATGGGAGAAATCGTGGGCTGACAACCCGGATGAATGGCGGCGTGAATGGAAAACTTGGCTGGAATCGCACTTCCAGTACCAAAGAGGTCAACCCCGCCGCTTTCATGTCCTTGGACAATGGCAAGTCACGTGGGAAGCTGTGCAATTCCACAATCCATTGATATAGGTTGCTGACATGGCTTGGATCAATGTACCATCCCAACTTTGATGCCGGTGTGCTTTCCTGCACTTCCATCATTTCCCGAAACGACCGCATAAGTGCCTGCGACGATGATGTCGTAGCGTTTTTCGGTGCTGACAAGAATATGATCCCCTCCACATTTAACATTCCTGGAACGAAGTCGGTTTCTTCCTCCTGGGCTTGGTCACCACTAAGAATGTCCGAGGCGGTGGCGGTGGCGACCTTGCTTTTGCCAGCTTCGTTCACCACACCTTCCTGTCCTTCATCCGCCAAATGCGTCGACAACAAGGCCAAATCGTCCTCGTCTGAAGTGATGCTCTTAGCATCGTCTTCCATACGTTCTGCAGTAGCGAGGTCCGTCTCGATCATCATCTTTGACCGCTTCTGAGTTCCATTGTCGCTCGCTTGTTGTACCAAGCCAGGTCGTCGAGACTTTGGCACTGCAGTAACAGGGATCTTGACGCGGGATCCTAGCTCGTTGAGGACCGGCCGGCCAGGAGCTTGTTCGTACTCGCACAGCGTATGGTCTGACGACTTCCGGACGACCACTGAGTCGCTCCGCACGAACAGATACCGCGTTTGGACCCAGTCGATGTTTGCCACCACATAATGAGGCGTGTTGCTCACAAACTTGTCCGTCCTATTCACCACCTCATTCAACGAAAGAGCCGCCCTGATGTTCAACGCTGAATGTTTCCAGCAAACCGCGGCCGAAGCCTGCTGATTAGGATTCCGGGAAACTGACGGTCCTGAATAGTACAAGCTTGTGCTAGCCGTGGGGCTCATGTAGACACCATTCCCATAAGCGCGCCCGTTCACGACTCGATCGTAACGAAGTCCCTGACGGACGATCGAGTGCCAGTTACCCAAATTGCTGCCATGCCAGGCCCATAAGCTCGGGTGCCTTGACGCTGATGTCTCCTTCTTCATGCATTCCACAAATCTATTCTCTTTGTCGGGAGCACCCTGAGCAAACCGGAATTGAATCCATTTGTCCATCTCTCTGACTTCGTCTGGACCAGGAGTTAGGTGAATCGCCGTGTCAATCTCCTCCATGCCATCCACCTGCATGATGTAAGATCGATTCGAAGCAATGATCCACCGGAGTATACTGAGTGCCGAGTCTGAAATTCGTTGCTTCCATCCACTCAACGAACCTGTATCTCTTGCCTCCAGATAGTCACACATGTCCTGGACGCTCGGCAGCGTCTCCAACAATACCTTGATGGCATAATGCTGTTGATCCTCGGCCAGATCATCGAAATTGTTCTCGTACAGACAGCAGTCAACCCGTGCATCTGCGACGCCCGATGAGCTATTGTCAGAACGTGATGCAGGTTCAGAGCGTGACGACTTCTTTGGCGCCGGCTTCTGGGACTTCTGTGGCGATGCTCCACTGACCATAGAGTCCGGAAAACTAATGTAAACAGTGGGAAGCTCGATCTTGTCCACACAGCAGTGAATAAAACCCTCGCCGGAATGTGGAACGAGAACAAGCCAAGCACCCGGTCTCAAGGCTTTGAACCGGTTGAGATCTCCGTCTTTTATATGGAGTTCCTGTGTCCCCGACTTGTAATCACAAGCAACGGGATTGACTGGCAGAGAAGACGAAGCTGTCGGCTGAGGTGGGCTAGATGATTGTCCGTTCCTAAGACTGCCTGAATCCCGAAATGGCAGAAGAGGAACCATGACATTCAAGCCTACAGGCAAAACTTTCAGGGATCCTTGGCATGCGGCAACATAGCAAAAGCTGATGAGCAGATCCACGACGTATGGCTGAGTCTTGATCTCCCATTCGATTTCTGGACCAAACCCCAGTGACATGTATTGATATAGGCAGAGGGGCTTGGAGCAGACATATGGCTTGAGCGCTTCAAACTTCTCTTCCATAGGACAGTGACATACGAGACAGAACTCGGTACATCGAATAACGTGTCGCAGGAGAAATTGCATGGCCACCAGTGGAAGGGAGAGCTCATTGTCTCGGGCAGTCTCGAAGTGGTCTGCATTAGCAACGGGTGCAAAAAGTGTGCTGCTGTCCCTAGCGTCACTATGATTCGAAGGTACGATGCTGGACCGATCTTCCTCTGAGCTCGAAATGCCCAGTGCGAGCACGAACTTTTCCGCTCCAAGCCAATTCAAGCCAAAATCGAGTCGAGACTGGATGATATGAGGAAGGAAGTCTTGCATGAGCTGCAACATTGGCTTGCCAATGAACAATGGCTCTAGCTGACCTTCATGATCAGCCATGGGTGCATTCGATTGATTGACCGCTGGCTTTTGGACCTTGTTGCCTTGAAAGGCTTTGTTGATATCTTGAGGGCAAGGCTTGTAATGCTGGCAAAGACCAATTCGCAAATCTATATCGGGAGCAAAGCTCTGGCGTGTCACGACATAGTCAAGCGTGCGATACCCGGAGGGATAGCTGATCATTAGCAGCAGGTACTTTTTGCGACAGAATTTCCAGGCTTGCATGACTTCTTCAGAAAGTCCAAGTTTGCCCACGCGGATTGAAACACAAAGCACGGCAGACTTGGAGAGATCGCCGTGGACACCGACACGAAATCCTGCGTCTTTGACTGCTCTGAGATCAGCCCATCGTCTCTCAGCGGCACCCATCTCAGAGACTGAGGTAGCCTTTGCATGAGATAAGCGAGGGATATTTGTAGCGCCTTTGGGCATCTCATCAAAACCGAACTGCCAGTCGTTCTCTTCCTCGATGTCAAAGTCAAAGTCTGACGCGTCCGAAAGGTTTCGCTGAGGGTCCTCAAAGCCAAGTTCCGGTGACTGAATGCCAGTAGTGAGAGCTTTCGTCATGGCAAGGGAGAGATCGGTAAGGAGGGTTGACAGAACCTTGCCGTGAGCATGTTTGGAGTGGGATTCCAGAACACGAGGGATGACATCGTGGAGGTTCTCCGAATCAGTGAAGAGCATGAACGAGTTTCCGTCGGGGTATTGGTCAAGATCAGTGGTGCAACATTGTACCTGGACGTGGATGGGGAGGTCTCCGTTGTGGTAAGTGTAGCGACAACTGACTACGCCTTCGTCTGGATTGTGGACGTTTTCGATATCTGGTATCGTAGAGAAACTGAGTTCCTCAAGATGCTGGAGAAACACCTTTCGGCCCATGTCGCTGATGGAAGCTGTGAGCGAGGAGCAAGAGGAAGATGGAAATGTGAGGAATGATTAGGTTCAAAGGCCGCGGAGCATTCATCCACCTTGCCACAGGTCGATCAGGTTTCTCAAGGAGGAAGAACAGAGATCAGATGTGGCTGAGGAGGAGGAAAGTTGATGTATGTTGAGGTTGAGATTGAGGCAGAAAACAGAAAAGATGGAAAAGAAAGAGTGTCTGGGACTTGCCTAAGAGGTTGTTCCCAGTCCGTGAAGAAGGCAGGTCCTCATTGTGCACTAAAGCATGTGCATGCAGTAACGCAAATCAAGTAGAGAGCAGGGCACATGCCAAAGGCAACTGAAGTGACGACGTGCAGCAAACGTATATGCCATGGACAACTGTAGAGAACACAGGCAGGGAACAATTGTGAAGTTGAGGTCAAAAGTCTTGCAGAGATAACGCCAGCCAACGCCAGAGCGAAAAAGCAGCCTGTAGATGTTCTTTAGAAACGATAGACCATAGATTGAGGTGAGGATATGACAACCTCAGTCATAATCGTTCCACAGAGGTGTCCCATGTTGAGGCTGTCACGGCCATGAATCATGATGGGCGGTCACAGACATGGCGAGCCTCAGAGGCAGAGGCCGCTGAGGCTGCAGAACACGTGTTCAACACATCTGCCCAAAATCTGAAAATTTGTGAAGAGCTATAATGCACGATGCGCATGCACCGACATGCCGCATAATTCAGATGACAGTAAAGGTGATTCTTCCTTTTCTGAGGATGCTCAAAATATGGTTTAAAAGGTCGGAAGTAGTACTTACGGAGTAGCTTTGGATGCTTGACTTTTGTTAAGTGCTCACCACAAGTCGCTGATGCTTACCTACCTAGGTAAGATTCTCCTCCACTCTGCTGTGTGCATGGCCGAGATTGGTTTGGACTTTGTCTGACAAAATGTTATTGTGAATTGGCATGGTTTGTGGTCTTTTTCGCACTTGGGTCAGAATTATATCCCTTGTCAGACAGACCTCCTCTTCTCATTGACTTCCCTCAGCACAATCCAAGACAACCCAAACACCTCCCTCAAGCAGAATGTCCACTGCCTCCTCTACGACTCAACCTGGTCAAGATCCAGCCAGCCAGTTTGAGACAAGGTTACGCGAATCTCAGGACTTTGATCCAGTTTCATTCCTTAACGACAATCTTCCCGCCTTAAACTTGTCCTCACAACCCCAGACGCAGACGCAGTCGCATACACAGACGCACCCTCAGAAAGGAGACCGATCAACCCATCTACAAAATGCCTCTACCGGCACCTTGAACCTCCTATCCACTCTCAACACCTCCAATATCCGTTCTACGTCAGAATTGACCTCGTTGACTGACGACATCATTCGAAGTGGCAACCGTTTGGCGTACGAGGTGGAGGTTTTGAGGGGCGATGTCAATGGCCTGCACGATCTGTTGACAGAAGCATTACGCAATGATATCGACTTATTTGTCCGCCAGGTGTCCGCCGACCAAGAGCTAGATCCTGAAGCCGAGACAAAGGATGCCCACCAAGGCATCCAGGCGAGCCAGGAGCCGGACTTTATGATCCAGTTACGGACGTTGGAAAAGGTCAGGGCACGTCTCGAAGCCGTTATTGCCATCTTTGGAGAAGCTATGAAATGGCCTGTAGTGCCCTCAGAATTACCTGGCGGATCCAATCTCATTTCGGTCTCGGCTCCAGAACTGGGAATTCAAAGTACGGAAGAGGACGATAAAGCGAGAGAAGCTCTGAGAAATATCAGGTCTGAGATCACAGAGCTCCTCAATTCCGGCCCCGACAGCCACGCTGGTCTAGAAGCTGCGACAAGACGTGTTGAAGAGTATCGTCAGATAGCACTCTTGTGGAAGGGCACAGGAGAAGAAAAAGTACGGACTAAGTTTGTGGACACCCTGACAAGGTTGGTCGAAGATCGGAAGAGAACTCTACAATCTCAGAAAGTCTCGAGAGACACCAAAGCGGACAACGCAGCGCGACCCAGTTCAGCAATGGGCCGGATCACTAAAGCATCTAGCGAAGTCACAGGCGCTGCTGGGCTGTTCCGGAATCTTCAACGCTTGAAAGATGACCTCTACCTTGAGTAGCACACGATTGACGTTGACTTTGATGCCATCATAACGAGATATCCCAGACGAGTAATGCAATACACACCGCCGATTATGGCCGCAAACTGCACGTCAAAAATGTTTTCCACATCGGTCTTCATGATTCTTTATTGTTGTGGTCACCTTGATGCGAGGTAGTCTTCAATCGCTCTCCGCTCCACTGGTCACTCGTGTGTTGTCCAAGCCTTGACAAATGCGTCAGGCTCCACATAGATTCTTTGTAAAGTAATGCCATGTATCGACCGTCCCGTCAAACAAGAGCCACCGTCGAAATATTCCTGCGATGTTTCTGCAGACTTCAATGGGCGGACGCAAGTCTGACACACCTCGCCCTCGATTCGCTTTAAATATGCCGAGCAAAGACAACTTTTCCCAACACAATACCATCTAAAATCTCAGAGGGGTGAAGAACCATCTGTTCTTGCCACTCAGGTATCTCTCCTCCAAAGCCTTCTTGACGTTCTTCTTGGCGTCTTCTCGCTGTGAGACTTCCTTGAATGTGTCGTTTGAGATGACGTTCTTCAGTCCTTCCAACTCCAGAGTGTATCGGGTGGGCATGATGTGGTTGTAGTTGACGAGCTTGATGAATGGCTTGACCTTTGATCGCTTCTCGACTCGCTTCTTGCCCATTCGCCGGGTCACTTTCGAGGGGTAGCGCTCGATGCCTGCCACGAGGGCATATGAGAATGGGTGTGCCTTGGTGCCGGAATCGACTGGTTGGATGATGACGACCTGTAAACCCTTTTGTTAATCACTGTTGAATCGTAAAACCAGAGCGAGTGATCGACGCATGGAAGGGCGGTTGGGCGAAAAATCTCGACGTAGCTTCATACCTTTTTGCCGGCATATCGTCCCCGAGTGATGATGGCCACACGGCCGACCTTGAGAACTATTACAACGTTAGCAGACGCCAATAATGTGCGCAGGAGAAAATGCCTCCATACATTTCACCATCTTGAGGTCGACTGTCGGATTGTGGTTGAGTTGTCGCAAAGTCGTTGTGGTCGAGTCAAATTGAATGTCGACCCAAGTCGAGAAGTTGAATCATTTTGGAATTTCGCAGGCTTGGCAAGGCGAAATGTGTGGATGGCTTTGATTGGCCAGCTGCGGAACATTGATACTAGTCCCAAATAGGCCGTATGTTTACGCGCTAAACTCCTCACCTAAACTGTGCGACACAACTCAGCGTCATCGGCCCTCTAACATTCTGTTCGTATGATCACCTACAAAACAGCTTCTTTTATCCATGTTCAAAAGCATTGCAATCATCAAGTGTTTCCAGCCTTCAGTGTTATATGACCCGAAAGTTGTTGCAACCACAGCACTAATATTCCATGATGAGCATTGACCTCTTTTCATCTTAATTGACAGACATTCTTCGCCGTACGGATTCCCCACAAGAGGCATTGACCACATTGTATCATGTCCACCAGCTCAAGGGACGCTTCAAGGGACCGTGCAGAGTCTCGTTTGGTCAAGCATCAACATTCTTTCTCAGAGTCTGGTCGTGCCTCAGTGCCCATGTACGTATCCACCTTATCATCGACATTGTTTACCTATATTGACAATTGTTTAGGTGGGACAGTTCTGATCCTGAAAGAGCACCGCCACCTCTCCCGCTACATCCAGGCAATCCAGGAAGCCCCATTACCCGATCCAATACATCCAAACGTATCGACGAGGCTGCTGCACTCATCACAGCAAGAGCCCGCGAGAATGCGCCTAGCTCTTACACAACCAACCCATTGCCATTGTCACCGGATAGGAACATCATGAGAGCACAGAATCGACGAATGCAAAACATCCAAAGCCCCAGCGTTAGCCGTTTGAGTGATTCACTCGAACGACGTTCCCCCGACAAAGGTCTGCGCACCGCTAAGTTTGTTGACTTTGAAGACTTTCGGAGCAGCCGGTCATCTGATCGTCCATCAGGGCATCAGAGATCAGAGACACCGACTCCTGGAGAGCGAGCTTCAGCTCGGTCGAGGGAACATGAGAACACACCTCCTGGTACGGGTATCCTGACCTTGCATGGTGCTCGTGGCCGCCAGGATGCTACCCCATTGTCCGACATCACTAATGGCACCCCTCTACCTACACAACCTTCCTACTCCTTCGACTCATTATCGACTCAAATTTTGAGCCTCACAAACCTCGTCACAAATGTCCAAAAGGAAATGATGTCTTTGAACAAGAGGAGCAAAGAGAATCATGGTGACATCACAAGTCTCAAACTTGCAGCCACGACTCGGGATGAAGACCTTTACAAGAATCTGAGGGAGCTTGTCAACGGTTTGGAGAGCAAGTTTACCAATCTAGACGCTCGACTCTTGTCTGGACATGAAGATTCAAGGCAAGGTTCCAACTTGGGCATGTATCTCGATGAAAAGGCGCATAATGGCTCCCCACGCAAGAGTTTTGGCCTGCCTCGGATTGGCAGTCCATCCGGCTTTTCAATGTCAATTGATCGTGAGTTGACGGCGTCTCCATCGCTGGCATGCGTCGACGGCGCTGCAAGTATCGCTCTCCTCGAGAAGGTCTTGCGAGAAATGGCTACTCGAGAAGGACAAGAGGCCATCCGAAATACGCTCGAATCGGTCAAGTCACAAGCCTTGGTTCGCGGAGAGACAGCACCGTCGTCTTCACAGCCAACAGTTGATCCAACCATGATGGCCAAGCTGGAAGATATCTTGGTCATCATGAAAGACTTGCGCCACGAATCCAACTCAAGGGCTTTAATTCGTTCCGCTGGGCCCGAACATGCGAGACCCTCCTCCAACGGCGAGGGCTACGACAATGGCGTCGTCTCGAGAAGCAAAGGGACAAATGAAGATCGAAATGCGGCATCAGCATCCAACTTTGTGAACGACGAAATGATGAAGCTGATGAAGAGCATCAAGCAATCTCTAGCGCAAAGTGGAGGCCTCACAAACGAAGTCAAGATTCTCGTCCGAGACCTTCGCGGTGAAGTGCTGGGGATGGGCCGCGAAATTGCGAGAAAGATGGAGCAAACCAGTGTCGCAAAGAAAGGCTCAGAAAAATCCCTCCCCGCAACCCAAGAAGAGATCGCAGCAATTGTCCACTCTGGCTTTGCGGAACTTAAGGAGTCAATGCATCAAATCGTGGAAAGCAGTCGACAGAGAGCTGCACACCAAAATCGATCGACAGTTGAAGCAGAGGCTGTCCTTCTGGCGGTTCGCACTGCTATCGCCGATATTCCTCCACCTCGCGAGACGCCTGAACGGGATGTCGCTGCCGAACGCGCAGAAATGATATTGGCAGTCCGTGAAGCCTGGGAAGATTGTAAGCCAGAAATTGCACTGGAGCATTTTGGCCTGGAACGTGATGAGATCCTCGAAACCCTCAAGGAAGGTCTCAAGTCTTACCAGCCCCAACATGACATGACTAAAGAGGCCGGTGCCACATATGATGAAGTCGTTGCAGCGGTGTCACAAGCCTTGTCGACCTTCAAATTACCCCAAATGCCACAAAATGCCGGTGTCACCCGTGATGAGGTCGTGGCCGCAGTCCGTGAATGCTTTGACGACTTTGAATGGCCAAATTTCCCAGGAACAAGCTCCAGGAACCTCGACCTGACAAGAGACGACGTTCTCGACGCTGTACGAGAAGGTCTTTCTAACCAGGATCAAGCGTCCAATGAATCTGTCGCAGATGCTATTAGAGATGGATTTGCCCAGCAGCAGATGTTTTCGAAGGAATTCGTGGCCGACGCCCTCAAGGATGGCCTTGCACAACAAGGAGCCTTGACCAAGGAAATTGAATTCAACCGTGACGACCTTTTTGACGCGATCAAGGCTTGCTTAGAGGGTGAACAAAATCCTCTGGGTGGAATGGGAGAACGAGTCATCGAAGCCATGCACGAATTTCTAGGCAGCATGAAGACTGAATTCCAGCAATACTCTGCCGCGAGTGGCAAAGACACGGAGCAAGTCCTCGACGCACTGAAAGACGGCCTCGAAGATCTGCGCGGAGATATCGAAAGCTACGTCGACCGAGCATCAGATGTGACAGGCAAGGACGAAATCATCGACACCGTTAAAGCAGGATTTGCTGTCATGCAGGTGGATTTGGAAAAGGGATTTGCCAGCCGTTCCAATATGGCCACGAACACGCCTGAACTTCTCGACGCAATGGAAAAGGAGTTCCAACATCTTCGAGACACCATCAGCAAAAGCATGGGCCAAGGTAGCGACGTCTCGTCGAGAGATGAAATTCTAGACGCCATTCGTGATTTGTCCGATGATCGCCAGTCGGCATTGAGCAGCAACAGCGAGGATATTGTCCGTCTCGTCAAGGAAGAGCTCGAGCACATGCGTGTGACGCTGGCAGCCACTCTACTCAAGAGTGGTGGTTCGTCATTGGATCGCGATGAAGTGCTTGAGACCATTCGTGAGGGAATTGAGTCATCCCGGTCTGCCCCTAAGAGTGGCAACGAGAGCATTTTATCCAACACCAGCGAGCTGCTTGACGCTTTTCAGGACGGCGTCGATGGCATTCGAGTCGATCTACAAAAGTTGATTGAGCGACCCTCCGACCTTGGTAGCACCTACGAAATTCTCGACTCTTTGAAGGTGGGTATTGAGGAAGTGAAGGCCGATATTCAGCGCCTGCACGAAAAACAAACTGATAACCCCGACTCAGAATCCCCCAGAGGACAAGAAATGATCGTACATGACCAGAACCGCATCACCACGGAGATTGAAGCGTTGAAGGTCATGATCACTCAATTACGAATCAAGGTTGAATCGCTGGATCACATGGAACCTCCTCCAGCCCCGACGGAGATGCGGATGCACAAAGACGACATGGACGAGCTATATGGAGCTATTCGCCACGTTGAAGACGTCGTCTCACGTTCTAAATCGACCTCCAACCCTGAGATCAAGGAGGACCTTGACGGCATCTTCACGGCGATTCGACAAGTGGATGAAAATGTCAGCAAGATTCGGGAGACAAGTGCACCAGATGTGACCATGCCAGAGAACGCAGCATCAAAGGACGACACCGACGCCATTGAAACACTATTGCGAAACGTCAAAGCTCAATTGGACGAAGTCTTCTTCTCCCCAGGTCCTGAATCGATTGCTAAGACCGGCGACATTGTCGGGCTGGAAGATCTCCTAAGAGATATTAAAGTCTCAGTGGACGAATCTGCCGATCGCGTCGCGGAGTCATCCGGCAAAGAAGACTTTACCATGATTGAACTGTTGCTGAAAGATGTTCAGGCACAAGTGGAAGACGTCAAGGCCAAAGTCGATACTCTGGACGGCACGGACAATTCTTCCAACAAAGAAGAAGTCGAAGTGGTGCAGACCTTGTGCATGGACATCAAGGCTCAAATCGCCGCGATGAAATTACCTGACGTTGAAACCATTCCTAGTAAAGATGACATTGTTGATGTTCGAAACGATCTCAAGGCATTCCGTGAACAGCTTGAAGCGGACAATGGTCTGACGGCACAAGCGTTTGAGGCTCGCAAGATCGAACACGGTGGTTTGGCCACTAAAATTGACGATGTCAAGGGAATCCTGAGCGATCTCAGAGATGAACTGATGCTCAAGATCGATGGTAGTGCTGACGGAATCGTCGAGTTGAACAAGGTTCTCGGCACACAGCATGACGATATCAGTAAATACGCAACGGCAATCGGTCTCGCGGAGCTTTCTGATATGATCAAAGCGGAATTCGACAAGAATATGGCTGAGCAGATGAGCATGAAGGGCGAGATGGAAGAACGCGATGCCACACTCTTCAGCAAACACGACGAGACAGGCGCCGTGCTCAAGGCTATCATTGATGAGAAATTCTCAGAGCTCATTTCAAAGTACGACGATGGCCAAATTTTCAACGAAGCGAAGTTGAATGCTTTGGAAGACCATGACACCATCCAGATGGAGGCGACAAGCAGCACGAGGACCGCGGTAGAGGATCTCAAGTTGGTTATGGAGTCACTGGGCCTGACCATGACCGAGACATGCGACCGAGTTTCAGCAGACTCCAAGACTGTCTTCGAGGCGGTGGAGGAGTGTAAAGCCAAGCTGGACGACTTATATACAGCCAACGCATCTGACCATGGCGCGACAAGAGACGAAGTGGCCAAGACATTAATGACGGTGACGAGGCTGGAGTCGACGATGGACGAGAACCAGCCAGCATTACTGGCTGCCATTCGGGAAATCTTGGGTGTTGTCAATCAGCATTACGAGCATTCTCAACAGCAGGCAGAGAGCTTCGCCAAAGCAACCGAGGAAATCAAGTCTGGCGTTGATTCAATTCCGGCTGCGATTCCACCTTTGCTACCAGCTTTGCCAGCTGCTCCTTCAAGTCCAATCATTGCTCCTGAGCCAATCAGACAGGAGAAGTATGATGATAGCGAAGTTCACGACAAGCTCGACACTCTCTTGTCGCACGCTGCTTTGGCCAAGGAAATGTTTGCAGGGATCGAAAACCATCAACAAGATACTCGAGTAGCATTCACGAGTATGTCAAAGTTGGACGAGATTCACCAACAGGTCATGACCACGGCAGCGGAAATTGCAGGGATGGTGACGACTCAAGCTCGACTAATGGGCGAACACCACGAGTCAAAAGCTGCCGAGGCAACTGAGGCGGCAATCGCGCTGGAGAAGCGTACAGCTCAAAAGGAAAAGGTCGAGGCGGAAATTGTGGCACTCGGGTCGGAGAAGAATGCATTGATCGAGTCTATGGCGGAGCTCAGACGCGAGCAAGAAGAGTTGAGAAGCCAGACCAAGAAGCTCACGCGTGACGTGGGCAAGCTTGAGACAGCCCTGCAGATTCGACAAGAGGAAATGCGCGACATGAATGCCCGAGCGGAGATGCTAGAACGCCGTATCCTGGAAGGATTGGTGAATCAAGCCCGCACTGCAAGGGCTCCTCGAGGCCATCCTCGAGAACCGGTCAAGAGCAAGATCACCCCGGCGGAGAGAGACGCGTCGATGAATCTCCGCCGTGTCTCCAGTAATGCGAGCACCGTGACGAGAAGAAGCTCGCTCAAGAGCGGAGGTACGAATCTTGGAAGCGCTGTTGGCATGGCTTTGAAGAAGAGGGCTCCCCTCATTGGCCAGACCCCAGCTATCACGACACCGAGGACTTCAGCGGTGGACCGGCGCATCCTCAGCACCAGCCATGTGACAGGAAACCGTAGACAGAATGCCCCCGATCTCAGTCTGGTACTTGCTCCAGTGCCCAAGTCGACAGGGCTGGCCAGCCTCAAGAGAAGTCAATCAGTCAAGAGCAACCCCAGCAGCTATGCCAACGGACGCAAGGCGAGCTGGAACGGAGCGCCATCTGAGTTCACGGACAAAGAGAATGTGGAAGTGCTGCATGAGAATGGAGAGGAATCCGATAGTGACGGGGACACCGAGCGACGAACCAGCTACGGGACCAGCATCATGTACAGCGACAGCATGACATATGGCACTGGTACCTCAATCAGTTCGCGCAGCCGACGATCCACCAGTGCGGCTAGTAGCATCATTGGAGCAGTCAACGGACAAGATATGATTGCAGAAGAGGACGAAGAGGGTGAGGATGAAGTGCCAGATGAGGAGACCGCGATGGTGTTGCACAATGGAGGAGTGAATGCAGGACAGGACAACTCGGCAGACTTGAATCGTCTTGACGATGTTGAAATCGCACATGCGGTGGTGGACGGACTGTCGATACTGGAGCCTCCGCCATTGATCACAGAACAAGGGCTGAAGTACAGTCATGACAGTGATAGCGGGCTAGGCACAGAGCCATTGACGGCGGGGACGGAGGAGAGGAGGGGAGAAGCGCAGGAATATTTCCAAATGACCGCGCAGGATATGCGAGGATGAAGCCAATCAGGTGGTCAGAGGACGCTAGATTGAACATTATTATGACTGATATGCAAATGGGCGTTGGATTATGTGGTTGAATTGGAATGGAATGGTTTGATAGTGACGTATGGCAGGACTCAGGACGAAGGGTTGGTTGTGTTAAAGTTGGGCAGAACTTGTTGGTGCAGACTGAGCAAGCGTTGTCTTCTTTGAATGGGTACTTACAATGATGTAAAGTGTTCAGGTTCCTCACAGTGAATTCAATGGACTCAACAAGCATTTTTTGGAACATGTAGATGTATGTGATGTGCTAGCCTGTGGTGTTTTCGTCAATGTTGGAGGGTTGTCAGAAGTCAAGGCCAGCAAGGCGAGGAGGGGGCTTTGGTAACCTGGATGATTAGAAGCTAGCAAATAGGTGTGTCATGGCTGATGGCTTGTTGGGGATTTGGTCTGACGGTGCTAAATTAAGGCTGGGCAGCGGGCTCCAGTGCATGCAAGCACAACAAGCACAGCTAACAAGCTCCACTCATCAGCAAATACGAAGTCCGAATTCTTGTCAGACAGAAAGAACCACCTACCTGTCGCAGGCACGATCATCCTCGGACTTTCCTATTGACATACAACTTCATCCCAACCATCTTGCCTCATTTCGAATGGTCAGGGTTGCCTCGTACCTGCCTTTGTGCCTGAGCTTGTGCCTGCGCACTTACCGCATTGTCTCCTGCCTGGAATAGTCATCTGCGTGATTGATCGCTTTCTCCTTTTGATTCTCCCCTCCATCAAAGCGCTCCCTCATCATCAGTACACACACCTGTTTGGCACTGCAGCATCTGTTGTCGTTCTCCTCCTCCACATCCACCTATATCTGCCTTCCTCCATCCTCTCTCCCCCTGACAAGATGCGAGACCCATTTCCACCACCCCCTCAATGGCTCTTCGACCTGACCAAACCCTATGCCGAAGCCCTCAACCTCGTATCCCTCCCATACCATATCCATGAGGTCCTCTTCGCTTTCATCTTATATCAGTCCACCCAATCGATCTTCTCGCCAATCCTCTCCAACATCTTCTTCCCCAGTATCTACCAGAAACTCAATCGACGGACTCGAGTCAATTGGGATGTCCACGTGGTGTCACTGTTACAGTCGACGTTGATCAATGGCCTGGCCTTGTGGGTCATGTGGTCCGACCAAGAACGTTATGACATGCAGCATAGTGCCATCGAGCGCATTTACGGATATACAGGTGCCTCAGGAATGATCCAGGCATTCGCTACTGGGTATTTTGTCTGGGACATTGTTGTCAGCACCAGATATGTCAGGATCTTTGGCCCAGGTATTTGGGCTCACGCAGTGACGGCCTTGGCTGTCTTCTCATTGGGATTTGTGAGTATGACCGAGGCATTTTGAACGAAGATTGGTCTAACGCTTCATAACAGACACCCTTTGTCAATTACTACGGACCCGTCTTTATCCTCTACGAGCTGTCATCGCCGTTCCTGAATATTCACTGGTTCTGTGACAAGCTTAACATGACGGGTTCCAACTTGCAGTGGTACAATGGCATGCTGTTATTGGGCATGTTTTTCTGCTGCCGGCTACTATGGGGAACCTATCAATCACTACGAGTCTACCAGGATGTGTGGCAGACGCTGCATCTGGACACGTCGGCTCCGTTGTATCGAGAAGTGCACGAATCGGCCAAGATGTCCATCTTTGCGCCGAGAAACGGGGAACTGTGTCTGGGAGACACCGAGTGCCTTTTGAACCAGTCAGAAGTGATGAAATTCGCGGGTGGCCATACACAGGCAGTGCCGGTATGGATGGCCGCGGTGTACCTGACATGTAACCTGGTGCTGAACTCGCTCAATTTCTACTGGTTTGGCAAGATGATTGAGACAGTACGAAAACGGTTCGACGGGCAACCTGCGGGCGTGGACGTTAAGAAAACGATTGACCGACGAGACAGTTTGGTGGAAGAATTGGCATCTGAATTGGACCGAGATGAGATCTCAGGACCCAAGACGCCGTTCGAGGAGAAGTCAGATGTGTTGGCAATGAGCACCGGTGTTTCGGTGCAAGCCGAGAGTGCAAAGAAGCGATGAGGGGAGTGGTTATGAAGTTGGAAAGCATCTGAGTTCAGCAAGCAGGTCGGCTGGTTCTGGCACAGGTGCTCTGGTCCTGGCATAAATCGTTGATGATCGTTGATGATCGTTGATGATCGTTGATGATTGTGCATGCTCGTGAGCTATTGGACTAATATTTTCATAGTATAGCCTAAAAGGATAAGCGGGTAGGAGTTCTAATGGTAATCGTGTTGGTCTACAGCATGTCTACAGCATGGCACTACCCTGGTCCACGGTGATGTCGATCACTGCTCCTGGGATGCGTGGACGTTCCATCTCTCAGGAACCATTATCTGGGCAGGCAGGCAGGGATTGAGAGAACTCGAGGCAGTCGCTCGTGTCCCCATCAATGGTTGGTAAATCATGGGCGAAAGTTAAGGTTCGGTTTGTACCAGTCTGGAAATATGATTTCCATAGTTTGTGCCCACCAGCTTTCGCGCCGTCACGGAGTACCAACGATGGTGCACCTATAACAGTCGAGTAAGTAGTTGGAGCCAAGATTCTGTCTAGGCTTGGGGCCACTGGAGGTGGATGCTCAGTTGAACGTTGGGAATTAACAGCCGAATTCTAAGGACCCCATGCGCTGGCACTGGGCACTGGGATGCTGGGCCTGGAGGCTCTCGATGGAGCAACCAACGTGTTCTTCCGAAGGTCCACCCCATATTTTATCCTTCCTGTTGCCAGACTCCACCGCAATCTTGAAGAAATGATTGTAATCCGGGAGACCCAAGGAGGATTTTGGATGAATGGGACAGAAAGCAACGAGTCTCTGCACGGTCGGACGTTGAGAGGGCGGATTTTGCTCAAGTGACCAAATGACCTGGATGATAGAATATAAAAAAGTCACTCGGACTCAAAATGTCTCAGTTAAAACAGGCAGGCATGCATTATCATTACGCACTACTGTCCACCGTTGGACTCGATGCGGGCTGTGAAGCTTACAGAGTCACCCAGTACGCGTACTACTGAACCCCGGTAGAAGTGCTGGAGAAGCCTATCGTCTGACTCTACGAGGCTTTAATGGGGCCGGGGTTGGTGTGACGTTGCTGGGCGTGTCTAGGACGGTGTGTTGTACAGCCTTATAGTTGAACACGTCCAACAATCGTCTCCTCATAGGTAGGTAAGGTAGGTAGATGGGAGGTGCCAGGCAGGCCACTGGCTACCTTAGGTACCTATCGTACCCTAGGTAGGTAACTAAGTACAGGTACTCGTATGCGCCTAGTGGCCTATTGGTCGTTACTATTTTGTCCCGGCTCTGACGCAGAGGCTGGCTTCAGCCACAAGGACATCGTCAGATTCAAGACTTGAACCTATGTTTGTACAATAGTCAATGTACCTACAGACAACACCTAGTTAGTCGAATGGCCCCTTCGACATCATAGGATCTTGTTAGTCAATCACGGTGGCACTAGGACAGTAAGCAATGACAGAAGTAGTAGCAAAGCCACCGACGCAGCGAGGCAGAGATACAAGAAAGGTGCCAGTAAGTTGTGCCCATTGACGTCTCAGCTCCATCATGCCATGGGGTCTGGGTCTGCGTCTTGGGCTTGATTTCATTTTATGTGGCCTTGCCTTGCTGTCTCCAAGCCTCTGACCGTTGACCTCTCACCTCTCACCTCTCACCTTTAACCTTTGAACCTGTCATCTCTGATCCGACCTCTTACCTCCAACCTTTACCATCCCAGTCATTTCTGCCACTTCCCCCATTCACCATCCACCATCCACGTCAACTTCCACCTCGAACACCCTCAACCCATATGCAAACATCCACATCCATAATTCTCGGCGTCCTTCCTCATCGTCGTCCTTCTTTTTCACCCGTCATCATAGTGCAACACCCGTTCCACTATCGTTCCACTTCCACATCGTCCTTTCGACCTCTCTCGCCTGCGGCCTGTGAATGCCACTTCGCCATCTCGCGCTAATCCGTCCAGGGTGTCTGAAACCAACGCCCATCCTCGCTACCACCGCAATCACCTCTGCCTTTTCCTCGCCATCTCAGCCCGTTCTCCCATTCTACCGCCTCGACGTCCCTATCTATCCATCGACCTGTGTGCTGCAACTATTGTGCCGCAGCCATGAAGCATCAGATACTTCTACGTCCATCTCCAACATAAGTCCGACTTCCAGACAGTCGTCTGTCCGGCACGTGTTCCTCTACCCTGAAGCATCGCCTATTCTACAACCTCTTACTCGACCTTGACTACCCTCGAGCTCTCCGCGGGACCTTGCCTCCCGAATCACCACATCAGTCATGGCCGACCTCTCTCTTGGTCCCTTGAGGATCGCCAACCCCGACGATGGATCCCCCGAACCTCCTCGTCAAGTTGGCTCTACCTCCAACCTCCCACGAGTCTCGCCCATGGTCGATCCTCCCTCCTCTTACGACGGCACAACCTCTTCCAGGCCCGATTATATCTCCTCTGTCCCAAGACGACCAGATAGTCCTGTCTCTCCACTGGAACCCCCTCCCGAAGAATTCTCTCCTGCATCGACCGTCCCATCCTCCTCACCAACCAATTCACCACTTAACAACCTAGATCCTTCGAGCATGATTCAAAATGGTCGGTTATCAGACCGACCGGCCCCGCGACAGAACATTCCCTACACATACCAAGATCAGCAACAATCACAATTTCCCCAATATCAGCCCATGCCCCCTCAAGCCCAAGACCAAAGATCTGTCAGACCGGCCTCGACATATTACATGCAGATGCCCGTCAACGGATCAAATGGCAACAACCTGTCGAGACAAGGCTCCTACCGAGTCCGTAGTGATGGCTCGGGGTCCACGGGGTTTCCTCAGCGATCTTCGTCCAAAAGATCGGCCATGTCTGGCATGGGCGATGTGGCGGGCGTCCCCTCGCGCGATGATGCCCACACCGAACGGTCTTACGGCCAAGGTTTGTATACCACGGGTAATGCGCCTCTCCCACCCCGAAGAAGTTCTCGGGGAATGCCTCCGAGCCGTATTGGCACGAACCCCGGGGGCAACACTCCCCTCTCCACCACGCCTAAATCTATTCATACCCCCCTCTCCGGCTCGCCCTATAACATCGAGGACCGACCACTAGCCAGTGCAGATGATTGGCAAGAAAGAGGCGCAGCCATGGGCATCAAGAGAGAGTACGACTCTGAAGGCCGGCAAGTGCTCAAGGCTGTTAAAAAGGGGGTTAAGGATTTCAATTTCGGTCAGACCTTGGGTGAGGGTTCTTATAGCACAGTCCTTGCCGCCCAAGATCGCCAAAGTGGAAAGGACTATGCCATCAAGGTCTTGGACAAAAGGCATATCATCAAGGAGAAAAAGGTCAAGTATGTCAACATCGAAAAGGACACGCTCAACCGACTGACTGACCACCCTGGTGTGGTTCGGTTGTATTATACATTCCAGGATGAAAGATCCTTGTACTTCGTGCTCGATTTGTGTGCTGGCGGCGAACTGCTGGGCGTCTTGAAAAGAATGTCCACCTTTGACGAGGAGTGTACGCGCTTCTACGCCGCTCAGATTCTCGACACAATCGAGTATATGCACTCTCGAGGCGTCATCCACCGAGACTTGAAACCCGAGAATCTTCTCCTGGACGAAAACCGCCACATCAAAGTGACCGACTTTGGAACCGCAAAGCTACTCTCGGACCTGAGGGACTCCGACGGTCGGACGGTCGGCTTCGAGCCAGACTCAACCTCGAACGAAAACCGGGCCAACTCCTTTGTCGGCACAGCCGAATACGTGAGCCCCGAGCTCTTGACTGACAAGTTTGCCTGCAAAGCCAGTGATCTGTGGGCTTTTGGCTGTATTGTATATCAGTTACTCGCCGGGCGCCCGCCTTTCAAGGCGGTCAACGACTATCATACTTTTCAAAAGATTGTGGGACTCGACTATGAATTTCCTCGCGGATTTCCCGAGAAGGCTAAAGATTTGGTGGAGAGATTATTGGTTCTGGACCCTCAGAGGCGGTTGTCTTTGGAACACGCGAAGAATCACCCTTTCTTTGCCGGCATACAATGGGGCCGCGGCCTTTGGCAGCAAGCGGCCCCACGACTCAAGCCGTACGTCCCTGCGCCGCAGCCCCCGATCAAGCTCAACGGGAGCGGCGCCGTTGACAACTATCCCCCCAATATCTCTTCAGGCCATAGCACTCATCCCACCATGCTGCCACCCAATAACCAGAAACCCCATCCACGAGTAATCACCGAATTGCCACCCCCGAGTCAACTGGACATTGAATGGTCGCCCGTATTGACGAGAAATAACGAGAGGATTCTCAAGCTTGGGAATCTGTCCGTCGTGTCGACACCGAACCCGCACAGCCCACACGGGCATGAAGGCGGTGGAAAGCTGTCGCGACTGTTTGGAGTGAGCACCACGAAGAAACGACAGAGGCTGGTCATGGTCACGTCAAGCGCACGAATCATCATTGCAGCGGCGGGAGGGGAGGAGAAGCGGTCCAAATCGGAGATCTCTCTTCTATCGCCCGATACGGGCTTCCACAGCGCCACTGATGCCAAGGGGGTGACTCAGTGGTTTGTGAACACTGTAAGTATTGGGATGGCTTCTGCGCGCGAGGGATCTGACTGATTATATAACAGCGAGACAAGCAATACGTCTTTGAGGACTCGAACGCCAAATCAGGAGAGCAGATGGCCACGGCAACATCGGCGCAAGAGTGGCTAGATGCCCTGGTGCGAGCACGCGAGATCGCAATGTCGCTCCAGGCTCAGAGCTCGAATCAGAATTATTCCAATGACGATTCCTTGAATTTGTCGTCATCCGGGCTGTCCAGTCACGCCAGTACGATTGATCGATCCACAGACCTCAGTCCCCATTCGGGGGGACATGGCCTCTCGCAAAGAGGCATTCTACATAAACAGAACTCGGTTGACGGGGAATCCATGAAAGGAAGGAAAAGATTCAGTAAACGGCAATCCAAGAGTGGACTGACGGCTGTTTTTTAGACGAGACCAGAGGCGGGTCAACAGGAACGTCTCGGAAAGGAGGAATTGAGGTGATGGGCAGGCATTCATCCAGGAAAAACTGACAGAGAAACCATTTATTTGGGTCACAAGAGAAGGGGTTGCAGTTTGAGATTTTGGCATAGCCATGCGTTGCATTGCGAAAGTGAGATTTGAGCGAACAAGAGCAACGTGTCATTGTATGTTCGGACCGCTGCTACTGCTGCTGTTTGGTGTGGAGGTTGATTTGGGAGACGGATATATATGGTGTTGTGTTGTTAGACGATGGTGTCGCTGTCTCGGTTTGGCCCATCAAGGGTCTGGAGCAAAGCGACACAACAAAAAATTACAGCGTGCCTTGAGTTGGCCCATAGGTGGGATCATGATCGGGACCAGAATCTATTCCTTGACACTCCCGAGTTGGTCAATTGTTCAATGAGTGGAATCTTTCCTAGTGAGGGGGTGAGTGATGGTCATTGATATTATTGACTTGCGGCTGGTCGGCTGGTGGAGTACTTATCCCCAGACAAGCACGGACCACACGAAAAGCCCACAATCAGTTGTTATCCGTACATACCATGGCATTTGAAATCTGCCTTATGCATAATCCGTAGGGAAGGGAATGCCACGAGGACTGTCTCCACAATCAAATGGCATCCCACGAATTGACCAAGTTGTTGCGAGTATCGATCAGTGTCTGTATATCAGGTGACAGGGATATTCCCCGTGACCCCAACCCTCCAGCCTTGCCCCTCCCTCCACCCCTCAGTGCCCTCCAAATGGTCTCTTCGGGTCCTCCCAGAGGCTACAGGCACCCAGAATGCAAGCCTACAGTCGCCCGAGGCCCCAAGGACCTTGGAACAGCCTCATTTCTACTGGCCAAGATGCACCAATACCGACCTAGGTACCTACGTAGGTAGGTATACCTCAGGACCTGCATATTCCCCCCCCCCCAGCTAGGCGTCCCCGGAGCATCCTTGGGCCCTTGGGCTTCCAAAAAGGCAGCCACTCATTGTTCCCAGGTGGCCGGACAGGCCGACAACGCCAATAATGCCTTCGCCACTTTCCACTTTTCCCCTTGGATTCTCCTCCAATCCCTCCTCGTGTCGACGGTCCCATCCGCATCGTCTGTCCTTCCATGACCAGTCAGCAGAGTCAAAAGAGTCAAAAGAGTCAAACACCTCGTCCCCCATACCAAGTCCATCTTAGGTCCATTCAACTTCCAGCGCAGGCGGCCTTTTCATTGGACCTTCTCCTCCAGACGCCTTGTCCGCTTTGCTGCACGCATGGCTTCAGCACCTCGTGCAAATTGAGCCAGTCGTGGCCGACGGGCCAACTTGTGATTTCCACCTCCTTCTCACAGTCTGAGGAGCGTCTTTGTTCTAGCATGCTCCTCTGCTCTGTTTCTTGCCAGCCGTGGTAGCTGTCTTTGAAGCAGAATCGAGAAACACCACAAACCCTCGACTCTCACACCCTCCCTCCCTTAGCCACAATTGACCCCGCCGTACCAAATCCGGCTTCCACAGGCAAGGCGTCGACACACTCAGCATCCGAAACTGGTCGCATGCATTGTCGCCTCGCGCCTAGGTACTTTCGCGCCTATTTTCTCCTCAGTATCTAAATCTCTCAGCCAGTCGAGTCAACCACACGATGCGAATAGCCTGAACCTTACAGAGCCTTATCCTTCTCACACAGACGCGACCCTTTACGACCAAGGCACTCGGCTCGACCAATTTCTCTTTTGATGTACAAGATTGAGGCAGAGAGTAAGGGAAAGGCTACCTTATGACAGCTGATCCTTCATCTTTGCGATACAAGACCGCCGACATCTCCCTGACATGACGTTGAATACACTTATACCCACAACCAAAGACCAACAAACACCTGAACTCCTTCACCATGGTTTCACGCGCTGAAGTTGCCGAGCAGTCCCAGGCCCATTCTCAATCCCATTCTCGAGGCGCACGGTCTTCCGCCTCTCGACCACCCAGATCACGACACAATTCCCAACACCATCATAGAGGGCGTTCTGATTTCGGGGCACCAAACTATGCTCCTCTCAACGAGTTTCCATTCTTCTCACAGTCGGGCGATGTTGAGATTGTCGTCAGTTGTGATGGCCAAGAGAAGAGATATCTTTTGCATAGTTTCACTCTAGCCCAGTTTTCTGGCTTCTTCGAGGCCAGCACCAGAGAGGAGTGGTCTCCACCCCATGCTGCTCTGACTCGTGGGAACGGTGAACTACCTCTGACTCTCGCGGGTGACAACACTGCACTGAGTGCTATTGGGGAAGAAGGTTCACAGATTGGCTCTAGGATTGAGTTGCATGGAGGAGCAGAGATTCCTGGACCATCGACCTCTTCGCAGTTGCAAACATCTAGTGCCCTCGCTCGGAGGAGATGGCGATACGAGCTGGACTGGCAGAACCTTGACGACGACGACGAACCCATCCTCGTCAAAAGGACACCAGAAGGACATCTGTTTCGTCCATCCCCACGACAACCCTTATCTCCTATTCCTCCAAACATTCCTCACCAACAGCCCTCTCACCATACTTCTTTTTTCCGCTCCATGGCGAATCTGACTCTTTCACATCATAACACAGCAACACAATCTTCTGCGCACCTGGCTAGCAACACTGTTCCCGATCCAGCATTGACTAATGCATTGTTACGAGACTATGACAACCTCTTTCGCATCTTTTACAATTATCCACCAATGCTCAACTCAGCCAACATCGCCTCTGCCTATAGTGAATGCAAAGCACTTTTAGCATTGGCCGATATGTATGACGCCCTTCCAGTTGTGGGACCAAGAATTGACCACCACTTACTCCGCTTTTCAAGTCGTCTATTCAAACAAATCGCAAAGTATCCACCCTCATACCTTAAACTCGGTTATCTGGCTCGAAGTCGCACCATCTTCACAGAAGCCATCATTCATGTCGTGGGCAAATGGCCCGCGGCCTTGCCATATCTCAAACCCCCGGACCAGAATGGCGATACCGGCTACGACATCCCCATCACCGTGATCCACCTCATTGAGGACCTGGTGGATGAATTGGAAGAACTCAAGCAAAAGATTGAAATGAAACTCTTCCGACTAACCTTGACCACCAGTCGAGGAGAAAGAGTCACTCCCAGTAATGACTACCTGGGCTGGTTAGCCATGAGTCTATGGCGACAATGGCTCGCAGAAAACACCACTCCAGAGGTTCGAGGAATTTTGAAGAACGCACCCACAACACCATCATCCCAACGACCCGGGAGTGGACACTCGACTCAACCCCTCAGACCTTCACAATCAATACCTCGCCAACCTCCGCCACCGTATCAATTGACTAATCCAGCTCCACCTCCCTCCCCATCCATCGCTTCCAGCCGCATCTTTCGTTTGATTGCCTCGCCAAACTCATCCGAGGCTTTTCTATCACATGACGAGCTCAAGCGCTTCCTCAAAATCCAACCAACCCATTCATCAACTCCACTTTACACCCGCGACAATCTCCGTCGTTTCGAGCGGAAAATGGATGAGATCAAGAACGTGGCTCGAGATATTGTCAAGCCATTGACGAGGAACTGTCTGGAATTGGATTTGAGAACCTTGAGTGAGGCAGGGAGCGGTGCTGGCACCGGTGGCTTGGGGTATTTGACCTGTACAAGGGTCGAAGAGGAAGATCTTCCTTGGGAGACTGGATGATATGGTTGCAATGAGTCACCATTTCCGTTGAAGACGACTTGATCTCATCAACACCATGTACGACATTCATCGCACTCGACAAGTCTTGACAATATGTTGGTCAATATCACCAACACCCACTCTCGGCCTAGTATGATTTACGGCTTCTTTCCTATTGTCGTGCACATGATAGTGCACGTTTTCGATATATACCCCACCTTTTTTGGTTCGGCGCTTGGAGTTAGTGGATGTGAAGGCAAGATGTACGGTGCGATGTGGAAGGGCGATGAAATGTGTCAACAGAGTGTGATTGCGGAGGATATGAAAGGAGAGATGTGAGGAGACTCAAGGGGAAATGGATGGAATTACCCATGCCATCGTATCGAATCGAATCACGATATGACAAGAAGGGACAACGTTACGACATGTCACGAACGATACCATATGATGTGAAACGAGATCTATCAGTTTATCATTTGATGAATGATTAATATATGACTTTGTTTTTCCCTTTGAGCTCTTCAAGTCTGGATTAATGGAATGACATACTCTTGACTGTGAAGAGATATATTATTCTTTTCTCTTTCTTGTTTTGATCCACACAGAAACCATTAGACGTATGTGAGACTTAAGTGCAAGTCATGCTCAGATCGATACCTCCATCGATTTGAATTCCATCATCATCCTCTGTCTAACCGTCTACCCACGCCCAAGATTCAAATCGGCCACTAGAACCATATCCTTATTCTCATTCATCTCACCACCCTCATCCTCAATAAACCCCGCCACCGCAACATCCACCACCCCCCTAAACAATCCCCCCACAACCTTGTCCTTTAACTCTGCACCGGTCTGTTTGAAATCCGGATATGCATTCAATTCCAATAACCAGACATTATATTCCTCATCGACAAGGAAATCCGCACCGAAGATTTCAAATGCATTGGGCAAGGTTTGGAAATGAATCATTTGTTCGCGCGCGGCGGCTTCGAATACCGTGCTGGTGATGGAGCAGATTTGTGTGAAGATGTTGTCTTGCGGAGATTGAGATGGTGATGATTGTGAACTGGGTGATGTCGGCATATCTAATTCCCAGAATGAATGTACAGATGTCGATTTCGTGTCTTCGGATTGGAAACATGTGTTGGTTAGGTGTTGGGCGAGGTTGATTGTATCGTGGTCGTGTTCGGTAGATTCTGGATCGTCTGTCGTTGTGCCATCACTAGCGGTAGATGAAGGTTCCTCGTATGGCACGGCTGCGAATAATGCAAGCATTTCTCGATAGACATATACTTTCAACGCCCCGACGGCAAGGATGTACGTTCGAATATGGAATTTGCGTCGGTCATGTGAATCGAGCAGAAGTGGTTTTGCAATGTATGGTTGTGCGATGAAGTGGCGGAGTTGAGATGTCATGGCGGTGGCGGGTTTATTGGTGGATGATTCTTCGGTGTCGGGTTGGGAATGAGAAGGTAATGTCTCAGGTGATGTTGTAGTTGCGACTTCTGAATCCGAGTCGGATTCATCTCCATCTTCATCTTCAGGTTCATCATCCGAATCCGAATCTTCTTCCCATTCCTCAAAGATAGATTGTAATTGCTCCAGACTTGAGAACAATCTAATCCCATTCCCACCATCACTCATGCCCGGTTTCAAAATCCACCATTCCTTCTTCTCGCCCGCCGACAACTCCTCATTCCGAGCCATACTTTCATTCAGATCCCATGCATCAACCAATGCATCGTCAAGGAATTCTGCATAGTCTAATTCGAAATGGACGCAAGGTTTGAAGTGTCGGGCCAGGAGACTTTCAGGATGTTTGACTAGCCAAGTCGAGATGGTGTTTGATAAGTAATGTTTCCGGATCAAGGCTTTGCGAATGACGTATGCGCATGCTAGTGATGTTTTGGGGTGTTCAAGGACGTGGTCGAAATCTATTTCTTCGTAGCCAGTAAATTGGAGGACTAGATCGTCAGGGGAAGGGAGTTGGGAGAGGGATTTGATGTGGTTGATAGAGGTCTTTGGAAGGGAGTCTAGAGCTGAAAGGATTAATGGCTGGACATAGTCGTCTGGATATGCGACTAGGGCATTGAGTGTTTTGGTCGCGTTCTTGGTTCTAACGCGTAATGATGGCGGAACTTCGTCGTCTCTACTTGAAACGGATCAGTCTTTGGCCACTGTGGATGGGAGGTATCGTTGCTCTTGCTTGCCAAACTTACTCACAGCTTGATTTCTCCAGTATAATGAGGCAGATGCCAAAAGTTGGCCACCAAAGGCGTGACACTAGATAGACACGTTAGACAAGAGACTGGTGGCGTGCTCGAAGCAGATACTCACGTGACATTCCCTTGTAGGATCTCCCACCCATCACCGTGTTGAGCATCCATGACGGCCTTGCGAATGTCGGCGAAATTGGGAGACCACTTGAATTTCCCATGTGCACGACGCCTTGGTTTCTGTGTCTGCTTCTCATCTTCTTGCTGGCGAATAGATATCTCTTCTTCGTTAGGATCATGGTTCTCTTCCTCGAGTGGAACCTCCTCGAAGGAACTGCCGGTAAGCCATCGGTTCTGTAGCATCTCGGTGTATAAAATCTTGGTATTCTCGACGCCTTTTCGTAGTGGGACATTGATACTGTAGAGATGGACATCTTCCGGCCATTCTCTCACCAACTTCTCTATGAGTTTGGTGCTTAGTTTCGAGGCCGCGGCGATGATCTCGGGGTCGTGTTCGCGAGAGTCGAAAGCATAAGACAATCCAATGCTTTTCATCCCACTCATGGCACCTTCCATGGCGCCACCAAGAGTTCCACTAGACAAGGCGAAAACCGCAGTGGTGTTTCGGCCATAATTGGGACCACTGACCACCACATCAAACTTTTGGTCTTTGAAAACATGATGAAGGCCGATCTGGACACAACTGGCAGGTGTGCCATCGATGAGAACCCATTCCTCGTCTTCTTCGTGGAACGGTCGGTCGGCTGTGACGCCGTCGTCTTTATGTAGAGTGCCGGGTCGGAAATATGTCGGTGTCAGAGTTTGTCCAACAATATGGGCTTTGCCGATCCATGATCTCTGAGTATGTGGCAACACTACTGAGACAGAATGTCCTGCTGCTTGCAGTGTGTCCACAAGCGAATGGACATATGGTGATGATTGATTTGACGGTGGACCGTCATCGTTAGTGACCTGGGAGTTCATTAGAAATTGATATAAAAGATAGAAATTTCGCAGCTAGCGCGGGACTCACAAGGATACGCATAATTGCAAGAAACTGTAGGAGATGGCTAGAGAAAGAGTCTATTCAAGTTATGAAGCCTTCCAAGGATTACAAGACTTCACAGGTTGAATGAATGGAAACTTCCATGGCTATATCATTTGGAAGTTTTCGTCGCCGACCATCGGGTGGAAAGATTCAGCGCATCATTGACACAACAAATGAATTTAATGTTCCGCTGGAGGGGAATGACGTATCGTCAAGTGCAATTCGGTTTTCCATCCATGTCAATGTCAACCCACGGAATCCACCCTTAGGAGTACATTTCTCGCGCTCAAAGACCAAAATGCCTCATGAAAGACACAGGTCGCGTTCTCGATCTCCCCTTAGATCTGAGAAGCGATCGCGCGACCGGCCTCGATCTCCACTAAAACCAAAAGTCATCCCTCTCCCACTCGGCGCATCACAACTTTCCCGCCATAGCCTCTCGACCTATCGACCTATGTTTGCGCTATATCTGGATATTCAAAAGCAAATTGACATTGAAGAGCTTGACGAACGAGAGGTGAAGGGAAGATGGAAGAGTTTCGTGGGCAAATGGTAAGGACTCCGCGTTTGTTTTGGTCAAGTTACTTCCACTATTTCCTGGCTGGAGAACTCGTTGTACTGACATGGCAGGAATCGTGGAGAACTGGCCGAAGGCTGGTACGACCCTCAAACACTAGCAAAAGCCCAGGCATCCTCGGCTATACCAGACCGCCGCCCAGCACCCACGTCCAGGACGGAAGACCGGCACGATGAGGACGAAGAAGGAGAAGACGACGACGAGTTTGGGCCGTCACTACCGAAATCCTTAACAAGGACATCCCACTCACACTACGCCTCTGGTGGCGGCGCTAGTCACAGCGCTTCGGTCCCATCATTACAAGACCTTCGCGCACGAGATGAACAAGCTCGAGAAGACGCCGATCGTGAGCGAGATCAAAGGAGGCAAAACATGCGCGACGAGAGAGCAGTGGATCGAAAGATTCAAAAAGATCGACTACAAGAGATCGCACCACGCGCTGAAGCGGGAACGCGAGAGCGAATGCTGGAAAATAAGCGGGAAAAGGCTGACTCGAATAGAGCATTTGCTGCAGCAAAGGACTCTGGTGATGTGGAACTTCGTGATGAAGACGTTATGGGCGGAGAAGATAGTTTAGGTGAAATGAAGCGAATGAAAAAGGAGAATGAGAGACGGAAAAATGAAAGGGAAATCCGAAAGGAGGAGATTTTGAGAGCGAGGAAAGCTGAGAGGGAGGTCAGGTTGGCTGGGTTAAAGGAGAAAGAGGACAAGACTATGGCTATGTTGAAGGACATTGCGAGAGCTAGATACGGAGGTGGCGTTGGAGAAGCAGAGTCTTGAAAATTACATTGTTGACCTTGTTATTTTGTAAATCATGATGGTCCCCCGTCCGAATTTATGCTTGATCAACATACAATCAGCTGGCCGTGAGGGCAGCAACGGCGTCAGCACCATCAGCTGCGGAGCTAGTTCCATTAGCACTGGCCGCAGATGCTTCTTTGGCTTTGTTCTGTGCTGCCATTTGCCACGAAGGGATGGTGGGTTTGGTAGCAGTGTTGGAGAAGCTGGTAGATGCAGGTCTTGGAGCGGTTGAAGATGATGGTGGCGCTGCTGAAGCTCCTGTGTAAGGGGAAGTTGTGGCTCCATACGATGATGGTTGACGCGCTGGGTTAGAGGGATTTGCTGGTGCCGAAGTAGACTCAGTTGAAGACGGTTGGGCATTCGTGGCGGTGTTGGTGGTGGGAAGCGTTGCAGGTTGGGTTCGCGCAACGCCGGAGCCATAGTTGCTGGATCCTCCCATGCGATTACCCATGAGCATCTTCAAACTCGCCAACTCGGTACTCAACTCCTTCAATTGTCTTTCACTGGCATCCTTGACACTATCAATCGATCTTGGGAGACTATCCTTCATGCTCTTGATCTCAGACTCCATCCGACGCGCATCATCTTCTCTTCTCATGTTTGCTGCCTTGAGATCTGCAACGATACTCTCGATATCTCCGATGGCACTGTCTAGTCGTGCAGTCCGAGCTTCTTCTGCTTCCTTCAAAGAAGCCGTGTCCGACGACAAAGTATCGAGCAAAGCAAATGCTCGGTTGAATTGTTCATCGATGGCGGCTTTGTCCTGCTCCAACTGTGGTGGGGTTGGGGGAGCAATCAACGGTTTGATGTATCTTTGTGCAAGGACGTAAAGTCCATAGCTTGCACCACCAACCACTGTTGCCATGATGAAATAGTCTCGCCAGTCCCGGCGAGGAGGCTCCGGGGGTGGCGGCTGTTGCCATTCGCCATAAGGATTGTATGGGTAAGGATATCGTTGACTGGGAGGCCCTCTTATCTGTTGCTGAGCTGGAGGGTAGTAGGGTGCATTCTGTGAAGGACTATACTGGGATGGTTCACCCGCGGCTCTAGCCAGAGAGACCTCGATCTCTTCTTCGGTCAGGTTCTTGGATTTGAGAAATTCGATGCGCTTTTCGACGGGAGCCGATGAAACCGACGGGTCCTGGAGGAAGGTGACGGCTGAGGAGACAAGCTCCTCGCGTGGTGCCATCGTGGGCAATTGAGTGACGAAGGAGGTCGAGTACTTCACTGCATACGCGATGTCGACGCCCAATTTAGATGAGATGGGATGGTAGGAAGGGCATGTGCAAGGTCGATAGTAGAGATGGAGGGCTGGAAAGCCGAAGTTGAGAATTGCAATTGCCAGCCTCGCCTCAAAAGGTGGTTGAGCCGAGGTTCTAATCACGTGATTTTATCACCGGCTTGGTCATCCGTTGCTGTGGTGCAATAATGAGCTAGTCTACTCTGAGAATCCAAATACTCTTGGCGCGCAACTGTTGACATGCGACTGAACGTGATTACCTCCATCCACTTTGCGGGAGACCACAGACCCATTAAACATCGCATTGAAGTCCAGCTGCTCTGTACCAGTCTCGTCCCTGCGACTTCATCCTTAATTCTACACAGATACGATCTCCGAACCCTCTGCAATCCAAGTCGCCCTTTCCAAACATGTCTCAACCACCAGGCATGTTCAGCGTGCGTCGCCCGCGCGAGACGTTGGGCCACATTCAGAACTTCTCAGGTATCCCGCAGCCTGCATCAGCCATGAAGCGCATTCCCTCCTCAGCCTCTCATGTGCGACACATCTCCTTGAATCAAAGCATACAGCGACCGGCGCAGCCGAATTTCCATCGATCTTCATCAGGCGGTAATCTCGCCGACTTGGGAATGACCACCGCGCGACGCTCCGCTTCTACCAATGTCTTTGGCAACACAAGTACAGGCCGTCAAAGCCTTGCGCCGAATCAACTCTTTGGTTCTCAGACTCCCGCCAGCCAAAGTTTACAAAGAAGAAGCAGCATCTTTTCTCGTCCGTCGGGCCATGGTCCAATGGCGCATCAATCTTTCTTCTCCCAGCCCCCAGTCCCTGCCGGTGGACCTAAAGATCCAAGACCGTTGAGGGACTCTTCGTATAGAGCGCGACTGAGTCAAGAGCTATTGGATTATCTTACTCAGAACAATTTTGAACTGGAAATGAAACATTCACTCACTCAAAACTCGGTCAAATCACCCACACAAAAAGACTTTACATTGATGTTTCAATGGCTATATCGACGAATTGATCCGGGCTACAAGTTTCAGAAGAGCATCGACACAGAGGTGCCTCCCATCATGAAACAATTGAGATATCCATACGAGAAGGACATCACCAAATCTCATTTAGTTGCCGTGGGAGGACAAAACTGGCCTCGCTTTCTTGGACTCTTACACTGGATGATGCAGCTAGCCCATATGCTCGATAACTTCTCCCGAGGGGCATACGATGATGCATGTGCTGAAGCTGGCATCGATGTAGCCAGCGATCGGATCGTCTTTCGATTTCTCTTTGGGGCGTACCAAGATTGGCTCCAAATGGGCCCAGAAGACGACGAGGAGAGCGAAGAAGCGGCTCTGCAACCACACATTCAAACCATGTCAGATGAATTTGAACGGATGAATGCTAGACACGCCGAGGAACTGAAGATGTACGAAGCGGAACACGCGACTCTAAAAGAACAGGTAGAAGAGTTCGAACGGAACGCGCCTGATGTGGCCAAACTGGACAAACACTTCAAAATTCTGGAAGACGACAAGAAAAAGTTTGAAGAGTACAATCTCAATGTGCAGAATAAGATTGAAAAGTACGACTCAAGGATCAAGATTCTCGAGGCCGAAATCCAAAAGGTGGAAGCGGACCTTGCAATCGTTGAAGCCGAGCGCAACAGCCTACAAGCATCCGTTGACCGACAAGGACTCAACATTCAGGACATTGACCGGATGAACACTGAACGTGAACGACTGGCCAAGTCGCACGAGGATGCAGTCACCACTCTACATGAAGTCAACAAGACAGTCGTGGACAAGGAAGCCGAGACATCTCGCAAACTTGAAGACCTTGAGGCGATGATCAAACGCTATAATAGTTTGGGTTACCAAATATCTCTGATCCCGGCAACGGCGCATAATGCTAAAGGACATGATTATGAGGTCAAGCTCAACCTCACTTCGCCTCTGTCCGCCTCAACATCCACCTCAAGCCGGCGAACCATCCAGCACACAGACTCCTCTGTCTACCTTCTCGCAGACGCCAGCACCAACACCGGCTACTCGCCGATCCATCTACTCAACCTTGACCTCCGCGGCTCGGTGCGGAATGCTTTGATGGCGTTACGTAAAGAAGTGAACGAGCGGCGCAAGACGGCTGCCGAGTCGGATCTCAACGCTCGCGACTTTCTCGACAACATCTCGGAAGCCTTGCATGAGAAAAACACCGAGATCGACAACCTCAATTACCGAGTCAACGAGGCGTCTCGCAACTACGCGTCACTGAAGGAGCAAGGCATGACATCTCACACGCAACAGACCTCTGCCGTTGAGAAACTTGAGAAGGAGCTTGGTCGGATGCGAGAAGGTCTTGAAAGGGGAGTTGTGGAGCTTGAACAGCGTGAGATGGAAGTCGGCGTCGCTTGGGAAGCGATGCGCGAGGAGGCGAGTCGGGTCAGAGAAGAACTACATGGTGGTATTGAGCGGTGTCTGGAAGATGTCATCAGATTCAAAGTCCATGTTCAAAAGGGCTTGGAGGAGTTTGAAGGTTGGGTTGGTGAGGAGGTTGAGGTGGAGTTGCTAGGAGATGAGATGGAAGGTCTTGGGTTGGCAGAGCAAGATGAAGGAAGTCGAGGCGACGAATGAACAGACTAGCCGCGCAAAGGAGGAGGATGTGCTTTGATTACGACTGACTACGAATTGGACACTTTGTACAAACGGAATAATAGTTTCTTGACAACGGTAAATAGAGGGTTATGGTCATCAATTGATCTTGTATTCATTTCTCATATCATGGTCAGGATGCGCGCGGGGGGTAGGAATAGTACAATAGAACGGTTTCCCAAACAGAGAGAGCTCAATGCCAGACGCACGCACGCACGCACATGGTATAGTACATACACCATCAACCAACCAGTCCTTTGTCATGTTTTATTATGATCAAGCCCCAACCCGCACCTCCCCGCTTTGTACACCTTGGACTGGGACATCATCTGGAAGCATCTCGATCTGTCGAAGGAGAAAACTCTTTTCATCGAGAAACTGATCATCATCGGTCCGTCCTTCAAGGAAAGCGGGAAGAAACTTCAACAACCGGCCTTTATTCTTGATCAGAATCCGCCTCACTTCGTCACTCTTGTTAGGGTTGGCCACGAAGACTTTGAAGACGTGAAAGGCCTCGTATTGCACCATTTTCCGGTCGTCTTTTAACAGATTCATGGTCAATTTGAGATTCTCGCCACTGGCCACATATTGTGTCATTATCACATAGTTGGCTCGGTCGAGTAACAGTTCGCCGAGGAGTTTGATCGATTGTCTCTTGGTTACGTAGGAGGAAGAAAGGAGGAGGCGAGGGTTGTAGAATGTTTCGAAAAAGAGGTGGTAGTTAGTCGCGAGGTATTGGGACACGAGTTGTTTATGCTTTGTCAGGATTTCCTGGGTCTGGTTAGCGGAGGAGGGGAAGATGGTTGAACCGTGATGTATCAACGTACTCTGAATGTTGTGAATGCATCGGCGCTGACTTCAAATGTGCCTTTGTTGATCCACTGGAAGAATTCCCAGAATAAACCCTGGCCAGACTGTTTTCGACTAATGTCCACATCTTTGATTTGAACGGCCTTTTCACCAGGCCGCGATTCGTCGTACAGGATGACGGCGGCAATAGTATCGTATTGCAAGGCTTGTCTTAAGATTGTTCCACAGGGCATGGCGCTTTGCGGATGCTGATAGCCTCGACATAGCTCAACGATGATCTCGGGTCTTTGCAGGACAAGGTAGGAAATGGCAGAGGGGTCGCCTGTTTGGGCATTGGCGGGTTTGAATCGGAGGATATGAGAGAAGATTATCTGAGCGTCCTTTCGGGCTTCAAAGGGAAGGAGTCGAATGCTTTTGGCAAGTTCAAACAGGATGTCTTCTTGTATGATACAATGGACCAGTTGGTGGACTTGTTCGGGGCTGCAGTCGACTTCTGGAGAAGAGGTTAGATCAGACGCTGGAAGAAAGGCGACGAGAGGAAGAAGTCAAGTCTCACCTGGAGTGCCTTGGACAATCAACTTCATCTGAGACATGTATTTGGCCACATCGTCTTCGACCTTGGGGTTGTCTTCCAACTTGAGCAGGACATCTTTTAGGGACCGTGCGATTTCGGCGGGGGACCGTTGACGGCCTCGATTACCAAACAAAAATGCCATGTTGGCCCAGGAGATATGATGGCATCTATAAAAGGCAGAGAGAGTCGGAAAGACGTAAGATGACAGACACAGACTCAGACTCAGACTCACTTGACTCTGATAATTGTTGATGGATAGACAAAAATGTGGATTCAATGCAGGTTCAATCGCACTGGGACGCGGGGTGGGATACAAGTGGTCGAGGCCCAAGGGGGCCGACGTGAATGTTGTTTGGGTTTCTGGTCGGGTGGGTAACCGCAGGAGAATGTTCAAGGGTACTCGAGACCCCTGGCGCCTTGGTTTCTGGGCGGGAGGCACCTCGGCCTAAGCCCCCTCGGCCCCGTTAGCCCCTGTGGCTGACGCGTTTAGGCATAAAGTTGGCACCAATGGGTAATATCGATAGGTGTGCCAAGCAAGCATCTGTCACCAGCCTATCTGTGTGTGCAGACAGTGCCCGGATTAGATACTCGGTACTTCCACAGATCAAGATATATATACTATCATCCAGTTTGATTCTTTCTTGCAAGTCAACTGCATTCGTTTGCCGTGTATATGGATGCTAGATCAAACCTTGGATTGCATCCAATGTCGTGGTCCAATTTCAATCCCTCATTGCTCGATGGCCACGTGGCCACGTGAACAAGGTAGGTGACAAGGTAAGTACCACAGACGTGTGGACGTCGTTCACGCCTTCCTCAATGACTTCAAGTGATGGAGGTGATTGACAAGGCAGGAGCTCCTCCATCAGAGGCTCCTCTCCTACTGCGGTGGTTCATGTCCTCCCTTCGACAATATTTTCACTCCATTGCTCAATTCCTCGTCCCTCTTAACAATGATTCGATTGTTCCCTACCAGTCTCTCCCTTTCTGAGAGCGATATTCAATTCCATTTACATCAAGTCGACATCTATCACGGTTTGCGTAGGCAGGGTTTCAAACAGCATGAAATCGCCCGTCATCTTGCCGACTATCGCCTCAGCACTGTTCCTGGGGCGGCCAACTTCCCCGACGATTACCCAACAAAGATACCAAGCACAGTCGAACTGGCTCTGCGCCAAGCAGATCAGTCTTGTGCAAGAGAACCATTGCCAGAGCAAGAGCCAGATGTTACAATCGGTTGTACATCACACATAAATTGCCCTTGGCTACTAGAGTCTTGTGTTGGTGCAGACATCTCACGCAGTTCATTCATAGCCCACGAGATTGATGGCACAGAAGAATGGATTCAGGGCGACGGAGCGGCTGAACCGACCTCCCCAATCGCCTTGCCGCAACAGTTGAGAAAGACAAGCCATGCTCCACGCAAAAGCTCCTTGCTCAGGTTCTCCAAAGCAGCAGCATCTGATTCTCCTCCCCCAGACACTCAAGACCTTATATCCCCTACCTCGGCTTCATGCTTGCCCTCGATGAGATGTACACAACGCAGTCACGCATCTTCTTCTCAATCAGCCCTAAAAAGCCTAGATGAAGATGGAATTTCTGCTACACTGAGTCGAATAGCCATTTCGGACTTCACTACACACAGTTCTTCTCGTGTGTCTCCTCTCCAAGATTCCGACCTGTCTCTTCCACAGTTTTCAACTCCGCGACAGGATTCTCACCCAGATGGGGCGATGGAAAGCTTTTGGCCGTCTTCCTCCTCCGATCAGACAGATAGCAGTTCTCAAAACAGTGATCTCCGCCACTCTCTGGCCGCACTTGACGACATACCCAGTTCACCTCCCCTTGGAAGCTCGTCTCCGGAGCCATATCCTGCCGCAAGTTCCTCAGGCGTCACTGGAAGCATTCCACCTCGAACTCCAATCTTGTCTCGGACACGTCTTTTAGATAACCGTACCGAGCCTCGTCGACATAGGCACGGATTCCTCGATGGCAATGCATTTTCAGTCTACAATGATTCTCTTCCTGCTAATGACCAACCACAAACACCAGCCGATCTTTCGCGTCGACCCGTGTTGACTGAATATGAAGCATCTTACACCGCACCACCAGGAATGATCCGAAATGTGTCAACCTCTGCTCGTGCTCTAGGGCCGGCTATAGAGCTTGATCAAGGCGACGTCAGCCCTTTAGCACGTGCAATCAATCTCACTTACAGACGCACTCGGGAAATGAGGCGCAGTGTGCGGTCAAACCTGGATCGAATCAGAAGAGAGTCCGAGCTTGTGCAAAGGATTAGAGAAATCGGCCTCGACCAACTGGACGAGCCGGTGACGTGGGTGGACGAGTTTGAATTAGATCGCCTGGGAGAAGAAAACTTTGAAAACGAATTCGACCTCAATCAGAGGACCATAAGGGTTGTCAGTGGAAATGCTCATTGGGACAGTCTTACCGACGTAGAAAGATGAAAGTTGAAGAGCTGTAGATGACTGTGGTCGGACGCTGTGCTGTTGCCAAAGGGTGCAGCACCTTCTGTGGCGCGAAAAGAAAACTGAACATTGCGCAATCATATTGATACACTCCATAGACTGAACAGAGCTTTGATGAGTTGGTGAGGGTTTAGGTTTAGCGTTAGGTAATCGGCATCGGTACCTCAGGTTGTTGTCTTGAATTTGGAATTCGGTTTGCCGTAGGCTGGTGGCTGGCAGCTGGCAAGAAGATTTAAGTTGTTTTGAAGTCTATTGAATGACTACGTGACCAAAGATGTCCTTTCGTTCGGATGTGGACTAAGAATGTGGGCGTGGGTGAAGACAGTCAGGGTGAGGAACTCCGGCGAGGCTGAGTAGAAAAGGGGGCCGAGGGACTAGTGGAGATTCTGAGGATGTTCTTTTTCTTGGAAGAACTCTGACCAGCACAGAAACAGCTCTATAGCACATTGATCGACGACCATCACACATTTATTATACCAGAAGCTTGGCCGAAAGCCAGTAAGTAGATTTCTTTTTGTCCTTCCTACTTCTGGAGGTTTAAGATCTCCTGCTCAATTGCCTCGCCAAAGGAGTTTGTTGTACCTTTCCCTCCCATATCGGCAGTGACAACAGCAGAGTCCGATCTGGACAAAACAGCTTCAATGGCACTGAGAACACCGGCAGCGGCCTCACGGTGACCGAAATGCTCGAGCAACATCTGACCAGCCCAGATCATACCGACGGGGTTTGCAATGCCCTTGCCAGCAATATCAGGAGCACTGCCATGGACAGGTTCAAACAAGCTAGGGAAGTCTCCGGTAGGGTTGATGTTGGCGGAGGGAGCAATACCGATGGTACCGGTACAGGCTGGGCCCAGGTCGGACAAAATGTCTCCAAACAGGTTGCTGCCAACGATGACATCGAAGATCTGAGGCCGCTGGACAAAATGCGCCGTCAGAATATCGATATGATATTTATCGACCCTGACATCTTCGTACTTCTTCGCCATATTCTCCACCCTCGTATCCCAGTACGGCATGGTGATACTGATACCATTACTCTTGGTCGCACTCGTGAGATGTTTCTTCGGCCGACTCTGCGCCAGCTCAAACGCATATTTCAACACACGATCGACACCCGTCCTCGTCATGACCGTCTCCTGAATCACAGTTTCCCGCTCCGTTCCTTGAAAGATCATCCCCCCAATACTACTATATTCACCCTCTGTGTTCTCCCTCACAATCCAGAAATCAATATCACCCGGTTTCCGTCCCGCCAACGGACATTTCACCCCTGGCATTAACCGAGCAGGTCGTAGATTGATATATTGGTCGAATTCGCGGCGGAATTTCAATAAACTTCCCCAGAGACTGACGTGGTCGGGCACTTGGTCCGGCATGCCCACGGCACCGAAGTAGATGGCGTCTTTATCGCTTAGTTTGGCTTTCCAGTCCTCGGGCATCATGTCGCCGTGCTGCTCGTAATAGTCGCAGCTGGCGAAGTCGAATTCTTCGAATTCCAGTTGAATGTTAAATACTTTGGCAGCGGCTTGGAGACAGCGTACGCCGTAGGGCATTACTTCTTTCCCGATTCCATCGCCTGCGATCACGGCGATCTTGAGGGGTCGTTGTTGAGTCATGATGGGTGGGAGTGTAGAATTGGATGGCCTAGATTAGTTCAACTCAAGGTATGAGTGAGTGGGTAGGTAGGCCTATGCTTCTCATGGATAGATGAGCTTGTACATATGTCATTATATATATATCTCTCCGCCATGTCTATCGTTAACTTTGGAGATTCCCCAACTCGTGGCAAATCATCCGGCGTCGAATGAAACCGAGGATAATCGTTGGACCGCAACGCCAAGAACTGAGATTTGCTGCGTCAGACAGGAGGACTATTTCCGACTACGGCCAAAATTAACCACGATAAAGAAACCTTGGGATACAATTTAGGGAAAGTGCCTGACTTTACAATAATTTACAATAATTTACTACTATTTTATGCGGTTCAAACCTCCGCCATTGACAAGTGAATGAGTACGATCGGGCCTAGTATATGAGGGACCTGGTACTTGTCGCTATTATTGCCTTAGGAGTCGTTCTAAAGGAGAATTGCGAATACTGACACATCATCTTTCAACAAAACTGAGATGCTGTAAAGAGCATTGGCTTGCGACAACTTTCCCCCAAAAGAGAACCAACGACTCGCTTAGCTGCCCAGTTGAGGAGCGCCGAGCGATACCCCTCGGCCCTCCACAGGCACTATGCCGCTGAGGAAGCAGAACATTATGAGTCTATAAGCCAGGTTATCCTCTTGTATATCTCTCAACCGTAATCAATGTTCTGTTACAAGTGAACCCATAATGGTTATGTTCCGGGAGAACTTCCAATCCCATCAAAGTTGTCATCATCAAAGCATTGTCCATATCTAGACCGTGAGTATCCATCACTGCTCGACATTTGAAAGAAGCTACACACATTTGCAACTCCTTTAACTACGAAGCAAATAGTAAGTCGCCACCGAGGAGGGCGAACAAAAAGGGGGGAGATCCTACCTGTGCCTGCGGTTCGCAGTAGCTTCACCGGAGTATTTGCGCAGCTGACGCAAGAATCTTTTTCCCTTTGCCTCCGCTCCTTATTCTCGCAATGAATGTACTCATCAGGCGATGACAACAGACATGAGCAATCTCGATGAATGCCAGAGCGAATATCCCTGCATTGAGACTCGTGCTGACCGCACTAATCACCCGGTAGCACTGCAGAACCGCCCGTCTGTGATCAGTCCGACTCGCGGACGTAAAACTCTGTCCGGAGATTGAGGGTGTCTTTGCATGATAGAGGGGACGAACAGATACGAATACGGCATAGTCCATATGCTGGACGCCACCCAGAGTCTGGAAAGTAGACACTTTGAGCAGAGGGTGTGCAGCTGGGACCAATGGCAGCTAGGGTTCTTCAAGAATACTGGTGCCTGGTTTTGCAAGCACTGATGGACGATGATTGCGCCTTGGCATCGTCGAACGTCCGAGGGCCCTCTGCTGAGGTGTAAATACAGGTAGGATCGTGAGTTTTGCTTGTTCTCAGTGCTTTGACATGGTTTGTGTGCGCTGGACGCTCAAAGTCAGACACAACCTTCTATGGAAAGGTGACAATGGACATCGCTCTCAGATACACAGTGTCACAGGATGGCACCAAGCTTGCATATTACCAGCTCGGCACGGGTCCTGGCATCATCATCGTCCACGGAGCAATGCAATCTGGGCTAAGTCAGAGTGAGCTTGCTCTGGCTTTGGCAAAGGACTACACTTGTTATCTACCTGACCGTCGAGGCCGCGGCAAGTCTGGCCCGTCCGTACAGACGTACTGCCTCCAACGCGAGATTGAGGACATCGAGGCAATTCACACTACGACTGGAGCTCGCTATCTCTTTGGAGTAAGCTCTGGGGCTTTGATCGTCCTGAGATCTGCCTTGGTCGCCCACCCTTCTCATTTTGATGGTGTTGCCGTCTTCGAACCTCCATGGTGGCCCGACACTTTGATCGAAGAGAGCACCTCCTGGGTAGCCCGGTACGAGGACGAGATCAACCGTGGCGAAATTGCAGAGGCTCTTACTACAGCAATGCTCGGCGTCAAGATGGGTCCTCCTCTATTCCAGTCCAAGTACTTTCCACGACCGGTCCTCACTCTTCTCTCGAGGCTCATGATCAAGGCTGACAAGTCATCTCAATCCAAAAAGTTGGCCAAGACTACACAGCAGGACATCATGAGCGATCAACCCACTTTTGAAGACCTCGCTTACACCCTACGAAACGACATCAAGATAACGAGCGAAATGTCAGGTGACGATAACTTTGATCTGCTGTCAGGGGTCGAGGTTGAGACTTTGATCCTCGGTGCCAGTAGAAGTCCCGAGTACTTGAAGAATTCGGTCCGCATACTGGAGAAAATCATACCACATGCATCTTTTGTCGAGTTTCAGGGATACGATCATGGTATGACTGGAAACAAGAGCCATCATGGAAGTCCTCAAGTTGTGGCATCGGAATTACTCAAGTTTTTCATCTCGCAGGACGCCACAGCGAGTTCAACTTAGGGGTTTTTTCCTTCAGCGGGGACCCTCTTTACAGCAAATCATTTAGCGAGTATCCCACCGTCGACCACGATGCTAGTGCCACACACGAAATCACTGGCCTTGCTGGCTAGGAATATCACCACACCGCGAAAGTCTTCCGGCAACCCCCAACGACCAGCAGGCGTGCGGTCTATGATATACTTTGTGTACTCGGCATCATCCGTGTACACCTTTGTCATTGCTGTTTTGATCTGTGTCTTTTTGTCAGTCGACATGGCATCATGAATATTTGCGTGGGCTCAACAAGCAAAGACATACATAGCCAGGACAGATGCAATTCACGTTGATGCCCTTGGAAGCCCATTCATTACTCATTGCCTTTGTCATTTGCAAGACCCCCCCTTTGGTACACGCGTACGCGGCGATGTTGATATTTCCAATGAATGAGATGATGGAGGCAATGTTGATGATCTTGCCGGGACGCTTAAGCTCAAGCAGTTTCTTGCCAAACTCCTGTGCCGCCACAAAGGAAGCTTTGAGATTGATAGAGAAAACCTGTTGTCCCCATGTTGTTCAGAACAATGCTCATGTCATGGCTTGACCAAATTGAAGAGATAAGTACTTACAGCGTCAATATTCTCATCTGTAAAGTCTTCCACTTTAGCTCGTCGATTGATACCGGCACAGTTGAGCAAGATGTCTGGCACCACGCCGGCGTCCCAGATCTTTGCAAAGCAGGCTCGCAAGGACGGTGAGTCGGCAACGTCGGCTTCAAACACCTTGAGTTCCCGACCACATTCCTTCACGGCCTCTGCTAACATCGACGCGCGTGGGTCGTCCTTGATCTGAATTGATACAATATTAGCCCCTGCTTCCGCCAGCGCAATTGCCATTGATAGCCCAAGTCCTCCCGTACCACCAGTGCATATCGCCGTCTTGCCCTTAAGTGAGAAGAGGTCTGTGACACTAGGAAGATTCCCTTCCCCCATTTGATTGACAGATGCCATCTTGTCCTATGAACTCAACGTAACTTGGTTAGTATACGAGGACTCCTAGCATAAAGCACATGCAGTATCGTGCTCGGTTTCAAGATTTCATGGGTAAACGTGTTAAAAAACAATGGACATAAAAAGACCATAGACACAACAACGAATTGAGTCTCTCCGGAATGGACACTCATTATCCCCCCTACTCGTAGACATAACCGAGGTCAAGGCCTCAAATCCGCAAAATGATGGTTTCTTGTCCCCCTCAAACCCCCTCAGCCGCATCGCATCTTCTCCGCAGTGAATATGAGTGTGGAGTAAGTACTTAGTACAGAAGCAAGAAGTTCTCACTCATAACCAAGGGACAAGTGTGATTTGAGATAGAAATCAAGGAAGTGTGACTTGTATACTTGCACTATTTCTCTCTCTCGGCTATCAAACAAAAAATTAGTTGACATTGGACGAACTCTTAAAAAATACTCTATACTCTCCTTAGACCTATACACATTGCCACCTAGACCAAACCATGGGCCGTCTTGAAGGAAAGGTCATTATCGTTACTGGAGCAGGAGCAGGATTTGGACGAGGAGTAAGCTCGCCTCCAGGCATTCTCTTCCCACCAAATAAATGCACCGATTTCCTCACAATAAACAAGAGACCTGACAGAGACATGTGACAGATTGTTCAAAAACTCACCACCGAAGGCGCACGGGTCGTCGCCGTCGACATCAACGGAACTGCCAACGAATCCACCGCCAAATCATGTCCACCGGGTACATGCGTCGCACACACGGCAGACATCACGCTCGAGACCAGCTGGCGCGACATCCTCTCGACCGCACTAGACAAATTCTCCAACCGTCTGGACGTCGTGGTCAACTGTGCCGGTGTGGTTCACATCGCGGCGCCCTCGCACGAGGTACCAGAAGAGGACTTCGACTTGATGTTCAAAGTCAATGTAAAACCACTGTACTTGAGCACAAAGGTGATTGTTCCGTTCTGGAAGAAGAATGGGATCAAAGGCGTTTTTGTCAACTTGAGTAGTATCAGTGAGCCGAGACCGAGACCCAACTTGGTTTGGTATGCGGCGAGTAAAGGGGCTGTTACGGTGGTAAGTACTAGTACCTACCTAGAGGTAACCTTGATGATTCTCGTTTGTGGTCACTGATGACAGGTACAACTCTTTCACAGACTACCAAAGGCCTCGCTGCGGAGTATGCCACTGATGGGATTCGATATAATTGCATTCGCCCTGCGGTGGGAGACACTGCAATGTAAGCATGGGTCCTGGGAGGGGGAAATCCCCGGCGAAACCAAAACGCTAATCACAGGTTGTCAGGCTCCCGAGAGTCCTTGGAGGACAAGATACGCCGGAAGGAAGGAAAAAAGTATTGGGCACTGTGCCTCTAGGACGTGTTTGCATGCCCGAAGACGTGGCAAACATGGTCTTGTTCCTGGCGTCTGACGAGGCGAGTTATATCACAGGTGCGGCCTTTGACGTGGACGGTGGAAGAGGTGTGAGTTGAGTTGACTTGAGTGTCGGACTGCACACCTCCAACCACAAATTTGGACGCGGCGATGGAAAAGAATCTGCGTTGTACAGTATCAGGCTTCATTTGAATGTCTCACAGTAATGTTACATGCTGATCTCGCCCTTCCACATGGCGTCGGTGATGCCGAGCTTCTCCACTACATTTTGCCATCTTGGTCCTCCCTTGTCCTGCCTCCTCAGATACTTCAGGTGTTTCTGTCTTCGGTGCACCAGGAGACGGAGATTTCGCTTGTTTTGTTTGTCCTTGTGGTGGAGATTGTCGGCCAAGACATTGATCTTTGCCGTCAGGATGGCGATCTGAACTTCCGAGGATCCAGTGTCGGCTCCAACTCTAGGCCGAATCACTGGCTCCGGTGCGAGCGTGCTTCGCAGCCTTGGTCCCAGTTCACCGTCTGTTTTGTGCCTTCCAAACTCGTCGATGCACCTCTGGATATGGAGGCGTGTCTTGTCTTTGCTGCTGGCATTTCCTAACGAAGCAATGGAAAACAGTGCCCTTGAGGCATTTTCATGCCACTCTTCGTGCTGTTTCAGAGCTTCCTCATGAGCACCCTCATTGCCGGGCTCCACAAATTGAGCTGGTTGAGGCTCACTGAGCCATTTGGAATATTCCTGCGAGGCTTCCACATCCTTTCTTTTGAGATAGTAATTCAGGTGTTCCTGATTGACTTCATTGGTGACAGTACGAGAATGCAGCGATTGGACGAAAGGACTCGGTCGTGACCGCACGGGGTCACCCAGGGCAGCAGCTCGTTCAGCCTTGAGCACTTTCTGCCTCGCCAAGTTGGCTTGCTTTCGCTGCCGTGCCTGAGCCATCCTATATGGATCGATATGTGGTTTGAGCTTTCGCTTTTTCGCCGTCTGCGTTTGTAGAGGCGCGGCGGTGGAAAAGAGGCAAGCGGAGCATTTGGTCAACGCTTGATTGCGGGAGAATGAGGGTAAGCTCTTGAGAAGACTTGTCACTGTAGACCAGGTTAGCAGACAGATGGTGCATCATGGTGAGCATACGAACGATTGAACATGCTGCTTGCTGCAGCGACCGCAGGACGCGGAGGCATGATTGTGCCGATGAGCTGGTTGATAGAAAAGACGATCAATCCACTCTGCAACGTTGATAACTTTCTCAGTTGGTAGTAAATTGAGAAACCTCCCGTACCTGCCAATTCTGGTGCCCAGCACGGAATCGGAGATATATTATTCCGTAAATAGTCCACTAGTCTCAAATGGGGAGTGAAATCTTGGCAAGCCCTAAGTTGCACTCACATGAAAAAGTTCCCTGCGCAACCTCATCTCCAAATCCAATCCTTTGCAACACCTCAATCCTTGTACACTACCTTCAACCTCTCCCTCTCGACTGAATCTCATCCTCGGTCGCAATCATGGCAAGCCCTGCAAACCTCCCCCCCATCTTCAACCCTACCTCGCAGGACATTGAGCAGCTTCTCGCCGCACAATGTCACTTGGGATCCAAGAACTTGCAAGTTCACATGGAACCATACCTGTGGAAGACTCGCCCTGATGGAATCAACATCATCAATATCTCCAAGACATGGTATGGCACCTCTGTTGCATTCATTTGGGATGCGTCTATTTGAAGTCGAGATCGAGACCTCAGCTCTTTCTCATTTCTACGTTTTTGTTGCGCGGACTAAGGGACTGACTCGATCGCGTAGGGAGAAAATCGTTCTTGCAGCTCGTATCATCGCAGCTGTCAACGACCCCGCCGACATTTGTGTCATCTCTGCCCGTCCTTATGGCCAGCGTGCCGTGCTCAAGTTCGCCGCCCACACCGGAGCTGTTGCCATTGCCGGTCGTTTCACCCCCGGTAACTTCACCAACTACATCACTCGATCGTTCAAGGAACCCCGCCTGATCATTGTGACCGATCCCCGCACCGATGCTCAAGCTATCAAGGAGGCTTCATACGTCAACATCCCCGTCATTGCTCTCTGCGACACCGATTCCCCAACCGAGTTCGTCGATGTTGCCATTCCCACCAACAACAAGGGTCGTCATGCCATTGGTCTGGTCTGGTGGTTGTTGGCCCGTGAGGTGCTGCGTCTCCGAGGAACTCTCGTTAACCGCGAGGTGGACTGGGATGTCGTCGTCGATCTCTACTTCTACCGTGATCCCGAAGCTGAAGAGCAAAAGGAGGAGGAGAAAGTCCCAGGTGCTGACGAGGCTGGCCCAGGCGCTGTCGACCGTGGCTTCACTGACAATGCGGATTGGAGTGGTGAGGCAGCTGCTGCAGCTCCAGGAATTGAAGGTGCCGCTCAGGCTGATGCCAACTGGACTGAAGGTGCCGGTGGAGACTGGGCCCAAGAGACGGCTACCACTGCCACCGGTACCGCCGGCTGGTAAATGTGCCGACCATTGCTTCTATGACCATGTTCGCTGCAGATCAGTGCGCTTTCTGCTTATATCTCGGCTAAACAACATGGCACATAACCCACTCTGTCTCCTGGTCTAAAAAGTTAACGGCACTCATGAGGGAAAGATACTCGTCTGGAAGCATTCATCAGCTCTCAGTCGAGGGAAAGCCCTGTGCTGAAGATGAAAGGGATGTACTTGATCGTTACCCGGACCTAGAGCTGGCGTGGCAATTTGGACCAACTTCTGTTGCGAGAGCACAGAAGTAGGCGTGAGAAAAAAAGAATCAAAATAAAGCAATGAGAATAATCATTTACCTACTCCTTGTAATGATATCGCGGCTCATAATTCTCGACAGTAAGTGTTTGCTGGTCGGCCGTTCCTCTCATAAATGGCGTCTGTCAGAACGACCCCACTCTCTATCCACAATAATTTTTAGTCACCACCCAACCATCCTGCACTGTTTTCAACGGTTATTTAGTTTTGTGTCTACCCTGCGTGCGAAGCCTTTTGCATAAAACAATAGATGCATTTTGTGGATGAAGCAATGCTGCACAACAAAGCCACGAGTTAGACTCGGGGTGTTCGACTACTTACTCCGCATAAGGTTGAGAAAATGCGGGCGGTTCGCGGCGAAGGCGGGTAGTTCCTTCTTTGACTGATCAATGTAATGGCAGGTACAACTTGCCACTCGTAGGCCACAACATATGGCAGTGCTGGCATAGCCTCCCGTGTAGCCGCCGTGTAGCCACCTGGCATCCTTTACTGCCAGTCGTTGTTTCCTCGAAGAAGTGAACAAAGCTGAAAATGCCTTATGACGAGGCAGCCACACCCAAAAAAGGCCCGAGGGACCCCAGGCGATTGCCCTCCTGTGCCAAAGTGCCTGCCTAACATGAATTAAACATCTCGCCAATTGCCGCTACCACGTGTTTAGTGGCTTGGCAAGGCTGGATACTTCCACTCTTCTTCTCTCCTTCGCCCTCAGCCAGACTACAACTGAAACCACAGCCCAACCGCAGCCTAATTTATTCTTTCTTCTTCCCAGACACTCATTCAATCGTTCAGAAGCCTTTACACAAATATTGTCGCATTTGCATCCGCTTTCATGTTGGTACTGCTTCTTCTGTTCGACATGTCTAAATCAGTCTCATTGAGCTAGCGAGCGCTATCTCAAATCCTCAGCCTTGTTGCATAGAAGTATTGCAATCCGCAAAAGGACACCTCATAAGACAGTGTTTGAAAACTCGTTGTTACAATGAGCTGGCCACCTTGGGAAACTCTCCATAATTGGAGTCCGTTCCAGATAGACGCTCTTGGTTTAGTCACCTTCCTTGGAGCAGAAGAAGTCAACTCTGCGGTTGGAAGGTTGGTACCCAGCTCCTACCTTGAGTATCTGCCCTTGCTCGGTGCATTCGTCATTGCCGGCAATCGATTCCAGGAGAAGGCTGCCGGTTTCAATCTCTACAACATCTCTCATGGAATTCATACCACTGATCTCGCTGCATGGCTGACTCGGTGGATGCTTTCCCAAAACTTTGAGAGCACGCGAAGTTTTGTGCAATGGACTGTCACGCCGCCGAAATCACACTGGACAGGGAATGTCTCTGCTTTAATCATCGGTTTCATCTTCAACGGCATTCTGGTTGCCATGACAGTGTTGTCCCGTGATTGGTACGGATTGACCAACGCCCTGTCCATGATTATTTCAGTCATCATCCGCGCTTATGTGATCGGCCAGAACCGTCTGGCTATCGATGATATGGTGAACAAAGTTGTGGATGCCAGTCAAGTGGATGAAGATTCCTACGAAGAGAAACGTCGGAAATACCTCCGCGATAAAGCACTCAGGAAGCTTGCACAATCGAAGGATTTACGCACATTATCGAAACTCGGAAAGGACTCGCCCACACCAGCTGGAAGTATTCATAAAAACGCATCCCCATCATCAATTTCCCAAGCACCACCCGCCATATCCACGAAGTCGCAGGTGATAAAAACACGCACTGGACTTCATGATCTCAAGCTCCCAAAGTTCCCAAAGCCAAAGCCCAAGAACTTCCCGGGCGATGTATGGCCTACCAATGATCCAGAAAGGCTTAATAAGACCTTGAGCAAAGTCCTCATCGTCCAATCCGACTCAAAGGCCATTACTTTCTGGATGCCAAACGCGCTTCTACGGCCGCCGTCGGTTTTCATCCAAGGACCAATTCTGTTACATCCTCGCAGATATCTAGTAGTGAGGACCCTCGGGTGGCTTGTATTTGCTGTACACATCGTTGCTATAGGAATGGCGAATTTGGCCAGTCAGCTATACACCGTCGTCCTCCTCGTTCTCCCAACACTTCTCTTTTCTCTCAAGTACGGATGCGACGATTCAAAATGGAAGCACACCATAGAGCGCTGGCGACTCACACTGTACAGGTGGGGTCCGGGTGATGTCAACCCGAAGGTTGACCCCGAAAGCGGCGACAGAAACGAGTTCAAAAGCCTTCGATTCTGCTACATAGGATCACGCCTCAGAGCCGAGATCTTCGAATGGCCTGAGTCATACGAGTTCGTTGAAAAAGAAAACCAGCATGATGAGAACCGGGTTGAGTGGACCAATCGCGCCATCGAGCCTAACGAGGCTCGTGAGCGCTCAACCAAACGGCAAGAGCTCTATGCCTGGTTGGCATTGACTACGGACGAAGAAGAAAGCATGGATAAGTGGGATCTGTTCCCCCATACTCGGGACAACAACGAAGATTGGTGGAAAGAATACCAATCAAAGAAATGGGCACTCACAAGCAACCCAACATTTGGCCCTCAGAGAGCTCCCGACGAACTCGACTCGGCTGCTGCTCAAATTGATGAGGATGACCCTCAGAGACGAATGTTGCGAAGAAGAGGCAAGACTGGCACTGAACAGCTTGGTGATCTCACAGTCCGAAAGAACCGTGACGAGCCGTCAATACGCAGGTCCGGTGTCATCTTTTCAGCTGCGTTCCCTGCGACCAACGATCACCTGACTACCATGCAAGCAGCAACAGATGCTGCTCAACAAGCATCATCCACGCGGCAGAAAAACGGCGTTGCAGAAGGATAATGTCCCCACATCCATCAATGCCGACTTCTAAGACGGCCATGCCGCAGTTTGAGCGATTTCGGAGGCACAGTATTAATGCTGTTTCGCGAATGCATTTGACATCTGAATTAGCGAGTCATGCAAAGCATGTTTCATTTTCGGGAATGGTGCGGGATTTTTATTTTATAGAGCGTTTGATTTGCCATAGTCAGGAGTTTTATACCATTGTACGAGGACGATGACGAGCAAGATGACGAGGACGACAGAACATGAAGATACGAAAGATCAGCCTTGGAAACCTGGGGAAAAGATTATGGATGACATAAGCAAATATCTTTAGCCAATCACATAACGTCAATTTTCAACGAGGCTGAACTTATGCACGTGTTAGCGCCGCCGACCACCGGGCGCCAAGAAATAAAAATAATTCCCGTAGCTTCAACATCAGCGCCGCCAAACCCCTGGCTGAATTTCCTTCAACGTGCATTACGTCCAGTTTCAACGTGCAAAGATGCCGTTGACAAATGGAACGCCCAAGGAGGTTCGAGTCAACCTCCTGGGAAAAGAAAGTATTATAATCAACTTTGGTCTGTGGCGCAGCCAAGTCGCCCAGGACCTGGTCAACAATATTGAGTCATCAACCTATGTTTTAATTACCGACACCAACATCGGAAGCCTCTACACCGACCCCTTCAAGAAGGCTTTTGACACTGTTGCCAGTCAGAGGCCCAACCCTCCTAGACTTCTTGTCTATGAGATCCCACCTGGGGAAAGTTCAAAGTGCCGGCAGACCAAGGACGATATCGAAGACTGGCTCCTAAGTCAGAGTCCACCATGCGGACGAGACACTGTCATGATTGCTCTTGGCGGAGGCGTTGTGGGTGATCTCATCGGTTTTGTAGCAGCAACCTACATGCGAGGTGTTAGGTTTGTCCAGGTGCCTACGACCCTTCTGGCCATGGTCGACTCATCTATCGGAGGAAAGACGGCAATTGATACTCCTCTGGGCAAGAACCTTGTAGGTGCTATCTGGCAGCCTCAACGGATCTACATCGACCTCGACTTTCTCGGAACCCTCCCTCGCCGGGAACTTATCAATGGTATGGCCGAAGTCATCAAGACAGCAGCCATCTCCGACGAGGATGAGTTCATTGCTCTGGAAGCGAACTCGGAGAAAATCATGGCTGCTGTCAACACCGACATCAAGCAAGGTGCAGCACGTTTCAAGGATATTGAGAGCATCCTTCTCCGTGTCATTTCCGCATCTGCGAAATTCAAGGCTCACGTGGTCACAATCGACGAGCGTGAAACTGGCCTACGGAATCTTCTGAACTTCGGTCATTCGATCGGCCATGCTATGGAGGCGTTTCTCACCCCTCAAGTCCTGCACGGCGAATGTGTCGCGATAGGCATGATCAAAGAAGCTGAATTGTCTCGCTATCTCGGCGTCCTGAGTGGCGTGGCTGTTGGGCGTCTCCAGAAATGCCTGACTGCTTACGGCCTCCCCACTCGGCTCGACGATGACAGGATTCGGAAGTTGTCGGGCGGAAAAGTCTGCACCGTTGATGGTATGCTAAAGAAGATGGGTGTGGACAAGAAGAATGATGGAGCCAAGAAAAAGGTGGTTCTTCTTTCGGCCATCGGCAAGACTTATGAACAGAAAGCCAGCGTTGTATCGGATGCAGATCTTCGTGTGGTATTGTCCCCCAGCATTGAAGTTTCCCCAGGCGTGTCAAAGGACCTAAATGTGGTATGTGCGCCGCCGGGATCCAAGAGCATCTCCAACAGAGCACTTGTACTAGCAGCTCTAGGCCAAGGGACTTGTCGCATCAAGAATCTACTTACCTCGGCCGATACAGAAGTCATGCTAGAAGCGTTGACCAGGCTAGGCGCTGCAACATTCTCCTGGGAAGACGACGGCGAAGTTTTGGTTGTCCATGGAAATGGAGGCAAATTGCAAGCCAGCTATACGGAACTCTACCTCGGAAATGCTGGCACTGCGGCAAGGTTCCTAACGACTGTCACGACTCTGACTCACCAGAGTTCCGTCGGTTCAACCGTGCTAACTGGGAACGCACGCATGAAACAACGCCCAATTGGAGATCTAGTTGATGCGCTAAAGACGAACGGCGCTGGCATCGAATACCTCGAATCGGTGGGCTCTCTGCCCCTAAACATCAACGCTTCTGGTGGTTTCAATGGTGGGGACATCAATCTGGCGGCAAAGGTCTCGTCTCAATACGTGTCCTCGCTTCTCATGTGTGCACCATACGCGAAGAACCCTGTCACGTTGAGACTTGTAGGGGGCAAGCCAGTGTCTCAACCCTACATCGATATGACAGTCGCAATGATGGCTGCTTTCGGAATCGAGGTTCAGAAGTCGACTACTGAGGAGCATACCTATCATATTCCTCAAGGATCCTACAAGAATCCAGAAGAGTATGTAATTGAAAGTGATGCCAGCTCGGCGACCTATCCACTAGCGATTGCCGCAATTACCGGCACAACATGCACCATTCCCAACATCGGTTCTGCGTCGTTGCAAGGCGATTCTCGATTTGCGACGGACGTTCTAAGACCCATGGGATGTCGGGTTGAACAGACCCCGACTTCAACCACTGTGACTGGTCCTCCAGGAGGTGCCCTCAAGCCTTTGCCAAACATTGACATGGAGCCAATGACCGATGCATTCTTGACAGCATCAGTACTGGCTGCTGTTGCGCAAGGAGGCTCTTCAAAGACGACCCGAATCTATGGAATTGCCAACCAGCGAGTCAAGGAGTGCAATCGCATCCAAGCCATGGATGACGAATTGGCCAAGTTTGGAGTGACCTGCAGACAATTTGAGGACGGCATCGAAATCGACGGCATTGACCGAGCACGCTTGCAAGTACCAACTGGCGGCGTCCACTGCTATGACGATCATCGAGTCGCCATGAGCTTCAGTGTCCTCGCACTCGCAGCAGTGCACCCCTCCCTCATTCTGGAAAAAGAATGTACCGGCAAGACATGGCCTGGCTGGTGGGATACGCTGGCAAGACAGTTTGCCGCTACCCTGACGGGAGTGGAACTCGAGTCGACCGCGCCCTCTGCAAAGAAAGGAGTGGATCGAAGCAGTGCCTCGGTGTTCATCATCGGCATGAGAGGTGCGGGAAAGACTACTTCGGGTCGATGGGCTGCAAGATCACTTGGCAAGACACTCATTGATATGGATACGGAGATGGAGCGGCGCGAGAAGCTCACCATTCCGGAGATTGTTAGAAACCATGGCTGGGACCACTTCCGAGCCCGCGAATTGGCACTGTTGAAATCGATCATGAAAGAAATGCCGAAGGGTTATGTCTTTGCGTGCGGAGGTGGAATTGTCGAGACTGCTGAGGCGCGACAATTGTTGACCGACTGGCACCAGAAGACAGGGCATGTCTTGCTCGTCGAGCGCGACATTGGCGAGGTCATGGACTTTTTACAGATCGACAAGACCAGGCCCGCTTATGTGGAGGATATGATGGGAGTGTGGCTACGACGGAAACCGTGGTTCGACCAGTGCAGCAATATTCTCTATTACAGTCAGCATATCTCCAATGAGCGAATGTCCGAGGCGGCAGAGGATTTCGATCGCTTCTTGAAGACGGTGAGTGGACAGATCGATGTCCTCGGACGACTCAAACAACAGAAACAGTCTTTCTTCGTCGCTTTGACCTTTCCAGATCTCCGTGAGCATTTGCACCTGCTCCCCGAGATCTGTCTGGGGTCAGATGCTGTGGAGTTGCGCGTGGATTTGCTCAAGGATCCTCGATCGACGAGCGAAATTCCTTCTGAGGAATATGTCAAATCACAATTATCCTTACTTCGTGCCAGCGTGCCCCTCCCCGTAATATTCACCATCCGGACAGTGGCGCAAGGAGGAAGATTCCCTGACGACGCGCACACAGAATACGTCAAGCTCAATACCCTTGCCATTCGCATGGGCTGTGAGTTTGTCGACTTGGAAGTTGCTTCGCTGCCAGAAGACACCCTCAATCAACTCTCCGATCTCAAGAACAGCTCTCACTCAAAGTTCATCGCGTCGCATCACGACCCACAAGGTCGACTGTCTTGGGCGAAATCAGGTTCCTGGATCCCCATCTACAACCGATGCCTTCAGTACGGCGACGTGGTCAAGTTGATCGGTGTGGCCAGCACCATCGACGACAACTTCACCCTGCGCAGCTTCAAGCAATGGTCGGCGAAACAGCATCCCGACCTCCCCTTGATTGCCATCAACATGGGTCGTGCCGGCCAAGCGTCGCGCATCCTCAATGGCTTCATGACCCCAGTGTCGCATCCGTCATTGCCCTTCAAAGCCGCCCCTGGCCAGCTCTCAGCCGCCGAAATTCGACAAGGCCTCTCGCTGCTGGGCGAGCTCGTGCCCAAGCAATTCTACCTATTTGGCAGTCCCATCTCAGCGTCCAAATCGCCAGCCCTACACAACACCCTATTCCGCACCATGGGTCTACCGCACACCTACTCTCTCCGCGAAACGCTAGACCTAGATCTCATCAGCTCGACCATCCGAGCGCCCGACTTTGGCGGAGCGTCAGTGACGATTCCGTTAAAATTGGACGTCATGCCTCTACTGGACGTGATTGACCCATCGGCGAAGATCATCGGAGCCATCAACACAATCGACCCAACAGTGGACCCCAAGACTGGCAAGACGGTGCTGGTCGGGCACAACACGGACTATCTGGGCATGAGTGACTGTCTGCGAACGGCAGGCGCAAGCACTGCGCTGGGCGAGGGTCCACAGGCAGGTCTGGTCATCGGAGGTGGAGGAACCGCTCGAGCGGCGATCCAGACTCTGTCCACAATGGGCTACGAACCCATCTACCTGATCGGACGAAACGCATCCAAACTGGCAGAGCTGAAAGCCACTTTCCCACCTACCTACGGTATAGAACTCCTCGACGCGTCTCAACCCAAGTCTCTCGAAGCCATCCTCGCCTCACCACCCACCGTCGCCATCGCGACCATTCCCGCCAACATCCCCATCGACACCGCCTTGGGTTCGGCATTAGAATCCATCTTCGCGGCTTCAGTCCAAGCAGATGCCGCCGCCGCCGTAAACCCCGCCGCGGCCGCACCCATCAGGACCTTGCTCGAGCTCGCCTACAAGCCTGCCCACACGGCCGTCATGCAGATGGCTGAGCAGGTTGGTAAGTGGAAGACCGTCCAGGGCCTTGAGACCCTAGTGACTCAGGGCCTCTGGCAGGCGGAATATTGGAACGGTACTCGTGTTCGTGGACTGGCGGATAAATTGGCAAGGGTAAGTTTGGACTCTTTTTCCTCTCTTTGATAAATATAAATCCATCTCGCTAACTTTCTCTTGCACAGGAGGTTGTAATTGGACCGGAGGCTTGATTGTTTCGTCCTTCCATTCCTTTCCTATGGAAGATACGCGAGGAATTACTTGTATAGCAAAACCCAATGGTTCAAAAGTGTGAAAAGTTTGTTCTGTATGCTAAAGACATGGCGAAACAAAAAAAAGGGGGGGAAGCAGATGGAAGGAGAGGATCTCTTGCCAACATGGGAAGAAACTACCTAGAGCGGATCCATCACAAAACATGGACAGTGTTTCATTATATCTGCGTCTACCTATATGTAGACATCCAGGATAGAGAGACTAGAAGCACTACTACCTTGGTACTCAAAGAACTTGTGGCCCTGGGCATCATTCGGCTTGAGACATCACTTCATTTGATTTTGAAACTCCTCATTTTTCAAGACTAGCAGCCCAGTCGCCAGAAAGCAATCACGCAGAACTGAACGGCAACTCATGATTGTGTCATCGAAATGACTCTGTGTGTGGGTGGGTATATTTATTAATACAAGAAGACCGACTCGTACATAAGACACCGAGCTAAGTAGGTATGTATCATTATCATCATCTCCTTCCCCAATTCTGATTGGGATCTTGTGAGGAGTTCTGATTTGGATTCTGATATTGGTATTGATTTGGTGGTTGCCCCTGCTGAGGTTGCTGCGGCATAGGCGGAAACTGCGGGTATTGATTAGTATGTTGCTGCTGCTGCTGCTGCTGTTGTTGATGCTGTTGAAATTGTTGATGGATTTGTTGTAAAACAGGGGCAGAGAGACCGGGGATTTGAGGGTTCATATAGGGATAATTTTGATGGGGTTGGAAGCCAGCAGTGAAGTTGAAAGATGAATTCGGTAGAGGAGTGATGGGAGATGGCGACATGTGTTGATAGCCCGAACTGTGTGGTGGAAGTGATGGTGTAGTTGGAAGAAATAGTTGAGGTGGGTGACTGACTGAAGCGTTTTGGAATGGATAGTCGTTGTGACTTGACGAGGATCTGTTGTTGTTGGTCTGGTTCCATGACGGTCCGCCGCTCTGGTTCATTCCTCCGCGTTGATCTCGATTCTGATGATGTTGTCTCTGTCCTCGACCGCCTCTATTAGAGCCTCGACCGCGGCCACCGAAATCGCCCCTGTTTGGTGGAAATGCAGATGGTGGAGGTGGAGGTGGTAGAGGATGTTGCATCGCAGATGGTCCATTGACCATCATTTCGAAGAGATTTGATGGCCGTTGAAGAGGTGTGTACTCATCATCACCGCCACCGGGGTTCGACACATCGTCATAATTCATCTCTGGTGTATGGAAGTCGTTGGCACCAGGATTGTTCTGTTGACCACGGTCATTTCGACCGCCACGACCGCCTCGATTCGCCCCACGTTGGGATTTAACTCCACGTCCTCTCCCGCTTTCTGCCGCACGGCCCTGTCTCTTCATCTTCAGGTTTCGCTTGTGTTCAGCCTCAGCCTCGTCGTCAGAAAATTCCATCTCATCATCACCAACTTCCTCGTCGTGGAAATTCGAGGCATCACTACCTTTGACACCCTTGAGAGGCTGTGTGAAGACAAATGTCGAATGCTGCGGGGAATAGTAGATCTCAGTCCCAATAACAGAGACACCTGCCTCCTGGATTGCTTGGTCGTTGGTGAAGCGAAGCGTGTACCGCGGTTCTTCGACTCGTCCTATCAAGTCTGCGACCACACCAAGTACAGTTCTGTCTTTGAGACAAAGGAGAGAATTGGTCTCCAAAACCTGATACTCTCCTGAAGTTTTGGCTTTGATCACCACTGTGTTTTCCACGATAAATTCCACGTGGCCCAGCTCCTCGATTGCCATTTCCTCGGTGATTGTAATATCAGGCTTTGGGATGATTTCCTCAAACCGCTCGTTGGCAGTACGCAAAGCAGTCCCACCTGATTTGTCTTTTGATCCACCTCCTTCGTCGTCTGATCCACCGTCACCTTGCATGAGAATCCGAGCTGCTTCTTCAGGGTCGAGCATTGCATAGTCTCCGTCTTCGTCTTCAGAGGACGTGGTGTCGGAAGAGTCGGAGTCGGAACTCTGATAAGGAGAAGAATCGACTTCCCATTCTGCGCCTTCCCCCCCTTCTGCTGGAGCCATGTCCATAGTTGCATCTGGAGCGGTAGGTGGTATCACAAATTCAACATCGGCTTGATTGCCTAGGTTGGAAGCCACTGTGGTAGTGTTGGCCTCTGCTGTTCGTGTAGAGCTATCCACATCTTCCATGACCTCAGTACCTTGCAATGTGCTTTCGGATGCTTCACCCGTCTGAGAAGCTTCGGCAGGAGGAGGATATGTGCCCTTCTTCTCTTCGTCTGAAGAGGATCCCGTTGTCGGGACATCTAAATCGTGCGAGGATGGAAACAGCGGCGCGCCTTGCTCAATGTCGGCGGCCTGGACGTTGTCGTGGCTTGAGGAATTATTTTGGTCGGCAGCGAGTGGGTTTGTATCAGGTTCTTGTTGCAGGTTCTGTTCTTCCGTTGCTGCAATTTCTTCATGCCCCGAAGGCATCGTGTCCATAACTGAACCCGGGTTATTGGCAACTAAATTCTCGGCCATTAAACCGGGAATGGCGATCGTAGGGCTCGGCTCAGTAGCCTTCTCGTCGAGTGACGGAGGCACTATGGTGGAAGTGACTTCAGAATCATCTTGCGGTTCGACCTCAACGGGTGCAGACTGAGCAGGAGGGTTATTCAGAGACTCGGTGTCGTGTTCGAGGTGAGCGGGTTGAGGTTGGGCTGCCGACTGAGTTTGAGATTCAGCTTGGGCCTCAACCTCCACCATCAAGGCGTCGAGGAGGGAATTTGGTGCAGCCATCGTTTACGAAAAAGAGGCTTGGGCCTTGAACACAGGTAACATTGCTACATGGCAGTGAACAGATTGAAAATGGTTTCTTCCACCTCCCGCCGCATCTCCATCTGCGGCGCCTCCAAACTTCCCAAAAAAAAAGTTTCAATGCGGAGAAAGAAGGATTTATGGTCTAACCCCAATTGGGCTTAGTCTCTCAGCCTTCCGTATGTATGTTAAAATCCGATCAGGAAACTTGATATCACGTGTCCTTCCTTCCAACGAGTATAGACAAGTATCTATGGACATGTTCTGCTCACTTTAAACCTAGCTCAAAGATCTACTTAATCCATATCAGCACTCTATCCACCCCTTACTGGGTTGTTTGAGGACCAGCCGCCGCCTGCAAGGGAGCTGCAGGGCTAGATACATTTGGGGGGGTCCCAGACTGCGAAGGTAATTGTGGAGCTCCCAACGATGCCGAAGTCGTAGGAGGGGATGGTGAGCTTGGAGGCAAATTCTGTGTCGTTGAAGAATTAGGCCCAGGCTGGGTTGATGACATCGATATCGGCGAAACATGGTTTTGACCTGGAACCGTCGTAAGCGGAATCGTCGGCGAACTTGTGCCCGTGTTCTGAGAATGAGTAGAAAGATGCGATGTGGAGTTTGGTAAGGCTGTCTGATCTGCCTTTGCAAGAAGAAAGCGAACTTCCCAAAACTGGAAAACCTGAAAGATCAATACAAATACGCCAGACACAACCATGGAGGCGATAAACCCCGGCCAGTGGATGTTTGTGTAGCTGCCTTCTCGAGATGTAATCATTTGACAAAGCTGTAAAGTCATCGCATCTGGCGGAAACTCCTTGAACAGCTCTGACGGTAGATAGTTGGTTCGATGGGCTATCGCAAAGATTTTCAATTGCAACTTGGCTAGTGAAATCCCAAACCAGGTGTTCAACTCGTCTCGCCACGGAGTCGGGCTCACGGTCTCCTGGTTCTGGGAAAATAATGAACGGCGTGCGAGTAACGCCGAAGCACCGCGGCCTTTGATTGTATCATGAATAGTAGTGGAGCTGATCACATATTGAAGGATGTTCCAGGTTCGATGGTCTGCACCAGATTCAAGAATGCCAGGACTGTTGAACACCGGCACCTCTTCCGACGAGAACCACGGGCTGCAAGCGCCAGTGCTGTTATTACAAACGAGGTATTGGTCAACGCATGCGGCAACGCTGACGAGATTGTCTGCTGACCATCTCAGCCCACCCGTCACAAAGAAGTGCTCCTGGTGAGCAGAAAACATCAAGTCGTCCAGGGGTCGAGGATAGTACACACCCGGGGCTTGGAGAAGAACAACCGTCACAAAGCCATCAGAAACTCTCAGTTTTGAGTCCAAGTAGTCCGGTTCTAGCGTATTCTCAGGAATGGTTGTCAACCTATATCCCGGTGCCACCATGGTTAGATTGCGGACGTCAAATTCGAAGGAAGCAGTTGAGCCGAAGGCGAGGGTGAAGTTGACACCCTCTAGACCAGGGGGTTTGAGGCTTAGAAATGATTGGGTCCGCACAATAGAGCATGTCATTGCCTTCTTCAGCTGTAAGCTCGTCGGCGCGTTGATCGCTAACTCATCCATCGTCAGAAAGGGTGTTTCCATTCTCACGTTAGTGTCGGCGCCGGTATTGGCACAAACATCGGGCGTAAATGGACAGCTGGTGTTGCTGTCGCTCCATTCGAGGCTGTCTTGTGCCAGATTTGAAAGGCAACTGAGCGGGGTCTGTCGAGCGTAGCAGCTTTGGAAATACTCGTTGGCGGCCAGAGTGAGGTTGACGTCCCTCAGAGTGGTCAGAGACGGGGTGATACCCCCTATCAGGTAGGTACAGGTTGAACCAGAGGCCCTGACCTTTGGCGTCTCCTCCGTTCCATATGTCAGGCCCCATGTCGCTCCGACCGGAATACCTAGCGTGGCAAGCACAAAGAACCCTGCCACGGCCCACACAGGCACGAGGCGCCACCAGTGGTCCAGGCCATGTCTCTTGCGCAGAAAGATTTCGATGAGTGTGACAAAGAATGACGAAGGCGCGATTTCGAAGAAGTTCCGGAGCATCTTCAAAGACTCTGGACTCGAAGGAAGCAGCAGCCGCAGGAACACATAGAGAGCATTCCAACAGCTTGTAACCGCAAATGCTATCCAAGCAGACAGCAGCGTCAGGATCACAAATGCATCGCTGTCGCTGACGGTCAAGTAGTGCTGATCCCCTCCAGAAAGATGGTCAGTCCAGATTCCAACATAGATGTCACTCATTGTTGCCACCCCAGGATGATATTCTCCGAGCTCGGGGCCGTGTGCCGTATGACACTACGGAGGAGGAAGAGCTCCTCGGGGCAGACCAGGAAGATACATATGTCTTGCACGATGAAATGCTGAGCAAACTCCTTGCTCCTTGGTAATGCACTCGGTCAGGCTGAACTAGTAGCTTGGAAGCAATGCCAAGCTGCGCCATTTTGAGCCTCATGGCGAATGATGGCAATGAAAGCCGTGATTCCAAGAGGTCAGGAGTGACTGCAATATGTCCTTTTCTCGTCGTGTCAATTTCAAGTCGTTGGTATCAGTTTCCCTCTCCCTGATGTCCCAATCATGGCGATTCGTCTAATGTCTGGGCATCCTCCCGGAAGCGAAGAAGGTTGAACAAAAGCAAGCTCAGCCTGATCGCAATGCTTCAAAACAAAGGTTTTTAGTCAGTGGTATATAAACGCCGCTGTCGTGATGGGTTGACTCGCCGCGATGTAGATTCTTGCCATCGATCAAGGCCAGTGTGCTCGGACGCTTAAACTATGGCTTCTCAACTCCCTCTTAGTGGGTCTCCCATCCCACAGTACGTCTGCACGTTGCTCTTGTCTCTGCTTCGCTCATCCGATCTCTTGGTTGACTGCTCAGTAGGAAGAAAAAATGGGGCTGGAAAATTATTACATTGACATGCGTTTCGCTCGTGATTTTGCTAGGTCTGGCGCTTGGTCTCGGCCTGGGATTTGGACTACGGAGTGGAAATGAAGACACCGAGAGCACCTCCTCTCCGTATGTTAGGATTTTATCCACCATATTCTCCCCACCCCCCCCTTTCCTCTGGTTCTGGTTTCCATACTGATGTCGTTCCTACCTTACCACAAGAAGCACAACGAACTCTACAGACCCTGACTTTGAACTCGGCCTGGGAGACTGGACCATGGAGCGAGTTTCTATGAAGTGGGCCACTGGAACCTGCGTTGACCTGAACAACAACACCGCATACGGCACGGTCGACCAGCCTGAGTATTGGTCAACCTGTGGGAGCTATTTCGGTCCCAACACCTACACCGTGTCGCAGCTGTCTAACGACAGTTATGCTCTCGCGGGTAGTTTCCCAGCAGAATTCCAGAACGAATTGGCCTTCCCACCTTCCCTGATCGACATGCCGCTGTATCAGTGGCTAATACCCTTTGTCAATACGGCAGGGACTTGCGATGTCACGACTCAACTCATCGTAGGCTTGGGCAGAACAAGGGACGAGTATCAGATTATACTGTACGTATCTGTGATGAAGGGCGAGATTTCCAATGCATCCCCCAGATCTATTTCAGGATTGCTGACTCGCCCCTTGATCCAAACCAGCACGTCTTTGAATCCTTCTACTTGCGAGGTCGAAGGTGCGACTGTGCCAAGTGGATTCACCTGTAACTGTTTCTATGATGGCCCTGGGCTAACGGCTTGATGTCCCGGTCGGCCCAAAGAGCAGAATAGCCGTGGTACTAACCGAGATGAGGAAGAAGGAACTTTCGCGACGGCGCTGAGCTCCGCCCTGGGTTTTTGCTTTGGGGGGCGGACGGAGGAGGATTTTCGGCTCACCGTAGATACGACATACCTCAGGTGATACTTTTCGCTACCCATTTCACCCTGACACGTCGCTTATTGAACCACTGCCTCATACCCTGTCTCGTCATGTATATGTGGCCTCATTTATACAATTAGTAAGCCCATACTTACATAAGAGTTGCCTACATACACCTCGAAAGTCTGGCCATCACCTCTTTTTCGTTTTTGCCGCCCTCTGACACATGGAGTCTTACCAAGACATGCAGAGGCCGCAAACGAAGTCATCAGGTGAGCATCATGACACAAAGAAACAAAGCAGAGCAGTCGACGTTTCCACATAATGTAGAGGAACCCAAGACATGAATTCAAGTCTGTTCGAGACATTAATACTCCGATAGTTCGCGCATGTTCTTTCTGTGCTGCGTCTTCTTTCGAGGGTCTTCAACAAGGATGCCATCAGCAAGGTCTACCGTTCTTCACGTCGCAATTCAACGTCCAGAGGTTTGGAGGCAGTTCCGTACTGCAAACATATGGCATCGAAGCCCTCATGCATCATACCTGTCGGCTCGTTGGTTGGGGAGCCGTTGCCGCAGTGGCATAACCCAGACAACCCGGCCCACCAATGGATTCCAGAGGAAACAAGGCCGCTTATCCAAAGTTGAGGAACAACTCGTGCTTGATGGCCGTGCACGAGGACTAGGGGTTGAGTACATCGCTGGCTTCTCGAAGCGATCACCCCAGGTCATCCGGCAGCGTTTTGCAAAGTTGTAGGCTCTCAGATGTTCTTCGAATGCCAAGGAAGGTCTGCCGGCTCATAGGGTCGAAATGTATGTGAATGTCTTTGAAAATCGTTTACATGAGATCTGGTGGGAATGGTACAAGTGCGATGTTTGGTTCGTCTGGCGAATGGCACTGCATCGGAGAGCATCCGAGGAATGGGTTCACTCCGTATGCTCGACTATGCTCCTTGGGCAACGCACCTGAGGGCGGTATTGCTGGGACATTTTAGTGGTTAGTAGGGACCATGTTCGGCTTACAATGAATATATCAGTACAAACTCCTGGAGAGATCGACGCTAATGAAAGGGAGGCCCCAAGTGGTGACCCGTGTTCGATGTCGAACTGATTTCCACCTTTGACGGAAGATGTATGAGTGGGCTGTGCTACCACGAACATCAAAGAACTCGGACTCAGGTCGGTCCGTGAGGATACCGGACACCGCCCACACCCATATGGCACCAAGTCGTTCGGAGTTTACATTGGAATTAATAATAAGTCCTCTACGTGCCAAAATCAAAGGGTCGACTCCACTGCAGATTCCTCGACCGACACGTTCGAAATAAGGACCACATAGTTTGGGTGGATACCAAAATATCAATATCGGACAGTCAGACCGACGCCTTTTCCTCTACATATTGTGGAGACACGCGTGACACGGAAGATAATTGAAGATGTATAAAGAAAATGGCACCGTCAGACGAAAACCTTTTCTCACTACTGATTGGCCAAATATCACCAGCAATCTTGACGCTAACCTCGACTCGTATTTGTAGATACTTTTACTAATCCCCTTGTACAGAAGGACTGAAACGTGTCGTGGTGCTGGTACTATGATCCTATCTTCCCATCGCTTTCTCAGCGTGTCGCAATCCATTTGGCAAATACATCATGCTTAGATTATAAGTTCGGAGTTAAGAAGTAATGTTGGATCATCACTACCGCCCGTTCATCTGGCGGTATAAAAGAAAGGTAGGACCTGATTAAGAGACGAATAAAAATTTGACAAACAGCGATTAGCAATAAACGGTAGCGTACCCTTTATACGTCTTCATTATCTAGGCTATTCCAAAGCCCAACATGTCTGCTCAGTATGCCAACGATCAGCCGTCTGGCTTCGCCAACCACGTCTCCAACGTTGCCATTGTTGGCGCCGGAGGAACGGTAGGAAAATACGTGACTGAAGCTCTTCTCAAGACTGGCAAGCACAAGGTCACCGCCCTTACACGAGAAGGCAGTTCCAACAAATTGCCTGAAGGGGTCATCGTCAGGAGGGTCAACTACGACAATACCTCGACGCTCGTTGAGGCGTTGAAAGGCCAGGATGTTTTCATCATCACTATGAATGTCATGGCACCGAGAGATTCGGAGAAGAAGCTGGTTGAGGCGGCAGCAGAAGCCGGTGTGCCATGGATTCTTCCCAATGAATGGTCAGGAGATCCAACCCAGGTCCAACTAGGCGCGGACACATACTTGGCTGACGGGAGACGACAAACCCGTGAGCTCGTCGTCAAATTGGGCAAATCAGCTTATCTTTCCATGATATCCAGCTTCTGGTATGAATTCTCTCTTGCTGGGTCGGAATCTCGTTACGGATTCGACTTCCCCAAAAGGCAAGTGACCTTCTACGATGATGGCAAGACGGCCATCAACACCAGCACTTTTCTCCAGTGTGGTCGTGCAGTGGCTGCATTGTTGAGCCTCAAGGTCCTCCCAGAGGATGAGAAGGATAAGAGTCCTACAATCTCACAGTTTAGGAATGGACCTGTGTATCTGTCTTCCTTCAACATCAGCCAGAAGGACATGTTTGAATCGGTCTTGCGGGTAACGGGGACGACGGAGCAAGACTGGACAATTCGTTATCAAGATAGTCGCGAGCGATACAAGGAAGGTCAGGAAAAGATGAAGGGAGGAGATCGCGAGGGCTTTGCGCAATTGCTGTATGCAAGGGCATTCTATCCAACCGACGAGGCCAATTATGAAAGGCGTGGGCTATTGCACAACGAGATCTTGGGTCTGCCAAAGGAGGATCTGGACGAAGCAACAAAGAGAGGTGTCGAGCTGGTCGGACAACAAGACCGATACAGCTCTTGAACCCCGAGGCACGTCAATCAAATAGGCAAATACTACAATTGGTTCATTCGCCCTGGGCGCGAGGGGCGCTAAGAGACAAATCTATCTATGAAGTTATCCTCCATGCCGATCCGAGTTATGCGTACCGAGGTCGCTTACGAAACCCCATCTTATCCCAGCCAAGGCATCAACCGAGCCTCAATCTCAACTTGTCTTCAAGTCTGCCAAAGACATATGGGATCGTCCTACAAGCTATGCCATGACTTCCAAGCACGTCGATATGTTTAGTCAAACTCACATGTAAACGCATGCATCGTCTCGTATTATTGGAGCAACTGGCCATGTTTGCTTGGCATGAACGCCTTTTTAGCCCCCTGCATATTCTCTTTCGCAATTGTCTCACTACTTGATTGACTATTGTATCTACCACAATAGCCTACTTGCGCAGCACGCCTAAGCCAACGGTTTCTTCATCAAAGCGACCAGCATGGATGACGACCTCGCTAGGGTTGGACACGCGAGCGCCGAGTTAGGACCCACCCTGCCGGTTGCGTGATCTAAGTACACCACAATCGAGGAGGTACACCCAGGCACGTCAAACATCTGTTGCGACAGCTTGTTCATGGTCAATCCATGAATCTATCTACACTGGTCGCGTCAGCTGACTGTTGTTGGTAAATTGGAACCAATGCTAGCAGCGTACTAGTCCAAACCCCAGCATTATCTGAAGCTCATCTATCGATGTTTCTAAGCGCCGTCCCAAGGCCAATGCAACGCCATCGAAGGGGAATGCGGCCACACGGCCACAAGGTTGATACCTGGGGGAATGGTCATACTCAGCCCGACACAGCTCGCTTAACAGGAGATCAAGGTAGTTCTAGTTGGCGACATTCACTGTGGAAGCATGAGGTTGTACTGTGCGAATGCGGTAAGGACCTGCCTGCGCCCTTGGACAAGCGATAGGTGTTTCGACCGTCTCCGGGGATGAAGGCTTCAACTCCCTGGCGTACTCCGTACACTGCCGCCGTGGGGCAGCCAGGCTGCTTAGGTCGACACATCGCTTCGTCTCGGAACTACATGTTATCAGGGGGAAGTCTAGGGCAAGGAAGGACGAAGAACTGGGTGTTTGTGGCTTCTGCAACTCTCTAGGTCCAAGTCGGTAAGTCTGTGGCGGTGATCCTGGCTGGTTACAGGCCTCAGTCTCCTCTCCGACAGAGCTCTTCTTTCTTTCTGCCTGAGAGTGACGTGGCTTGGGTTTGGCAGCCTCAACGGCCTACTGGATGGTCAGCTGACCGGCTGCTCTGATATGATATGCTTAAGAAGCTCCCAGGTTTGGAATGGATATATTGCTTGTCCAGCGAGCAGTGATCTTGCAGTGAAGGTCAGGTATTAACGATCTTGACGGGCGACTGTTTCGCTCCAAGGCAGTCATTTCTAACCCTTCCTCAGTTACGCATATATTCTCTTTCTCTCTCTCTTCCTCGTTCAGTCTACGGCTTGTCACGCACCTAGACATGCATACCGTCGATCAGCTTTGCCATGATCTTGGGATCAGACACCCGGCCGATGCCCCGTGTTGTATAGGCTATGGGAAGAGGTATCCCACGTGTGGCAATCAAGTGGCCAGGCATTATCGAATGACAGCAATCCCAATGCTAGAAAGCATTGGAGTTGCCCTTGAGCGCGGAACCCCGCCGGAAAGGCTCAAAATTGATCTCGAAGAGGCGGCTACTTTGCTCCATTGCTCAAGATACCACAGACCTCAGGCACCTGGAAAGGTTGAGGAGTGGGTGATGAGGTTGAACAACCGAAGATTCCAATCATCGGCTAGGCCACGACAGTCGTCTCAGTCGTATCGTGGCAATGAATACAATACTCGACCAACTCCTTTCGCTGCACGTACCTTGGCGACATGTCAAGACGAGGAGCTTCTCTTGGAGCTGAACAGTCGTCTGGGAGCAGAGAGATTGTCGTCGATCGTTCTTCGTTCATTGATTGAGAATCCAGGGCCTTACCTGGGGCAGACTCGCATCAGTGACAGACCCACATTTATGTCAACTCCCACGGTCATGCGCCATGGTGGTGCTAGACCAGCAATCCTCTCAGACTCTGGTTACGAGAGTGAGAGCGACTCTTCGTCATTAAGCACTCCGTTGAGACCTATATCGACATCTCCAACTCCATCATCCCGGTCATCTACGGTTCCCATTTCGTCGAGAAGGTCTCCCGATACTTCCACAACCTCCTCCACTCCTTCTATTCCTTTGAATTCTTCGCAACCTCCTCCACCTTCTACGATTACAAACTCGTCGATAACGTCTCCACTTACTTCAACCTCCTCCACTTCCTCTATTCCTTCGAATTCTCTACGACGTTCTCCACCTTCTACGGGTCCTACATCGTCGACAAGGCCTCTCTTGACTTCGATATCCTCCTCCACCTCCACTTCCACCTCCATCTCTCCCCAGTCCTCCCCTCCGTCCTCTCCAACTCCTTCTACTCCTTCTACTCCATCAAATTCTCCACGACGGTCTCAACAACCTCCCACTCCGGTCACAAGACAAGATCTGAGAAATACAGACAGTGTTCCATCATCACATCATGAGACGGAACCTTCTGACTCCGATTGCGAATGTGGCATCTGTCTTGAAACACTTGGTCAAAGTCAAGGTCTGTGGACGTGTACTACTTGCCACAACGCGACACATCGTGAGTGCTTCGATGCGTGGCTGATCAACACGATTGATAACATGATTGTGAGATGTATATACTGGTACGTGGGTTCTTTTGTTCTACGCACACACCGTCCCATATGTTTCTGAAGGTGATTCACATGGGAGAGTGATACTGACTTGAGGCCCACTTTATAGTCGAGCTTCCGATGCATGATGCGAATCAAGACACAATACTTTTAGAGAAATGAATGCTTTGACGGAACAATGTGTCCAACCTGGGGGGCCAGAACGAGTAACACGTTCGACTAATGAATAACCAGGAGGGATGGATTTCCTTGGAGTGGCGTTAGAGTAGAGGCGCTATAGTGGGGGCAAGGTGTCTCCTCCAGGGGCAGAGGCGTTGGAAGGATTGATTGGTTAATTGGTCTACGAGTTAAGTATTCTGATGACTCAAGAGGAGACTCTCATGTGAGAGAGTAATGCCCGCTTTGATGAAGTGACATGGTGCATACTATAAGCATAAATAAGTTTCATCTTTCATCCGTCGTCCGAGTCCCGCGCACGCCAAGACCGTATATCGAACTTTCTTCTTTCAACCTTGCAACACTTCCTGAACATGTCACCATCCCAGCTACGACCTTCCATGATGGTGTAAACATTATTCTGGCTCGATGGAAGAGCAGTCTGAGCATGGGAAAGTCATCCCAACCGTTGATATTCTATTGATCGGCAGCCCGGGAGTGGGCAAGTCGACATTTCTCTCGTATGTTTTTGATATGCTTCCCTTGCCGCGAGGGGTTTCCCCACCCGTATCAGACAGACAGACAAGAGGGATGATAAAGAATATTGAATCTAACGATTCATCTCTAGACAGCTACAGTATCTACGGCAAGGGAAACTAGATGTGACAACGCCGCGGCCTCGAGTATTTGCGCCGAGCGGGCCAGTGATATATGATGTGGTGTTGTTTGGTCGACCGTATCAATTCCGAGTGACCGTGTCGACGTCAACGCTATTCATCGACCCTTTCCCTGAACAGGTCGACTTTGCCATCATTGCGTACTCGATCTCGTCGCGCGAATCGCTGCACAATGCGCAATATTACTGGCGTCAACAATTGGCCATGCATTACGCCGACTTGGAGCACAACATGCCAATCATGCTACTGGGGTTGAAACGAGACGAACGGACTGATGATCGGGCCGACGACGGCACCTTCGAATGTGTCATGCCCCAGGAAGGTCTGCGTGTCGCTCAGGAAATACGGGCTGATCGCTATGCAGAGTGCAGTGCCTTAACTGGCGAGTTGATGTGGCAGGTTCTGGAGGATATCACTCGAACCGCCGCAAAGACTACGACTGAAGGTGGTGGACTTAGTCAGGTCGGCTCTTGCGCGACCATGTGACCATGTGGCTGATTTACGGGGTTCTATTGTCTATGTCGGGATACACGGCAAAAGGTTGGCAAGGAGAATTCAAGACAAAGAGTTTGTCATTTGTGATACCTTCTCCAGCAGGTAGGATGATTAAACTATCATCAGAATCTCTGCGAGAAAACGTAGTGTGTATGAGTGTGTGCAAACGCTGAACTGAACACTATGAAAAAGAAAGTAGGAACCCCGATACGCTCGCAAATCTCAACGGCCAGAGAAGGACAGGCTCTGGTTGTGTGTTCATCCACAAGCACCGCTATCCACCAGAATGACCAATACCTGGATCATGTGACCCACAGAACCGTGCATCTCTCCAGCGGCGGCGAGGTCTTATGGCAGCCAGACCGACTCAAATAAATGTATTTTCGGGTGGCAAATATCACGATCCCAACTGTCCTTGGTTCATTTCTGGCAGTAGACAACGTCAAACACATCCGTTTGTTTTTGCGCTGGACGTGTCATCCTTCATAAACCCCATTATTTCATGTTTTTAGCAAGGGCGCATCTAAAACAAGCAGTCCAAGCAACAACAGCAAGCAAGACCAGCGAACAGACCGGCACAGATTCCTGGCGCTGAACTGCCACCTCCTCTTCGATCTTCGACGTACATGGGCTGCTGTTGTGGATAATATCCTTGAGGAGGACCATACTGAGGGCCCGGAGGGGGGTAGTAGCCGCCCTGGTTGTACTGTTGTTGGTTGGGGTCACCATAGGGCTGCATTTGACCTTGAGGAGGCGGCGACATATAACCTGAGTTATTGTCATATGCCTGAGGAGGGTATTGCGGAGGAGGATATTTGTCGGCCATGGCTGATTAAGGGAAGATTATGAGGTGATGTTGCGGTGGGAGGTTGAAAAGGACTGAGAGGTGAGGTTGGAGGTGGAATGAAAACTGCGAAAGTGGCAGGCGCACAGCTTATGTGGCAAAGTCGAGATTGACTTGGAGAACGCTTCGTGGGAAGTGATGAAGAGTATGTGTCAAGATTAACCGTGATGACGAGTATTCGGCGACGATGACAACGAATACACCTGCGCACGTACGGATGACGCCAAAGATAGTCGAAGGGAGAGGATGAGTGTGGTAGCGGCAGCAGCAGTAAAAGTGCTCGAAAGGGCACGAACGGCAAACGAAGAAATGGCAGGTGAGAGGAGCACTCCCGTACCGCGGTGCAACAATGCTGGTAGATGAGTGGCTGTACAAAAGCTTCCCTTCCAAGCGATCAAAATGGGTTTAGTCGGACTTGGTGAGGGATAATGACTGGTGCCGCGTCCTCTGACCAAAGAAACAAGCACAAGGTGGCCCAGTTGCGACGCGTAAGAGATTTGAGTCCGTCTCATAATGGCCTTGGACTGGCCCGGCTGGGCAATGAATGATTGACTCACAGGGTGCGGGAAGCACGATGCCACGATGCCACGCACTCGCATACTCCATACTCCATACACGCACTTTGCTGAGCTGAGCCACACGCTTCCGGGCGCATCCAGGACCCGTACTTCTTGGTTCCAGGTGCTGATGAGAGCAAAATGCTGCCTAGCCTCGGCCTTCCGGGCCCCTTGTACGCCCGGAAAATCTTCAGTAGGCGCCTGCTACGGCGAATGGTTCAGCCGCGGAGTTGTACTCTGCCATTAGCTTTACCATGCGAGCGTCACCACAAGAGGTCATGCGAATGTCACCTACCGTAAATAGGCTGTGCCTATGGGCTGAAGGTCAGATTTTCGACACTTCACATCCATGGGGACAAGTTATGAGTCAAGTAAGAAGAGGGATTGCATCACAGAAACAGTTCTGACCTGGGCACAACTAAACTCCCCCCCCCCCCATCTCCCGTCAGTAGTAATGCCAGAAATGCCAAAAACCGTGGTGTCACGTTGTTGACGATCCAGCCAGCCGCCACTGGACAGCCACAACCCCCGAGCCCCCTGTGGCGGGTACTGAATAGTGAGTGGCGTAGGGCTGGATGTGGCTTGGACCTCAATGAGGCGTCAGTCTGGAATATCTCATCTTCCGTCTCCCGACACAACCAACGCAGGGTCAAAACTTGACAGGCAGGGGCGACAAAACTTGCCCAAGTTTCTGCCTGCCAGACACGCATGGTATAGCAAGCTGACAGAATCAAGGGGGGCTGGCACGTGCACGGTCACATGTCAGATTTCTGCAGGGCGGGCGGGCAAGGTGCAGCCTAGGGGACTATTTACTGCACTGGCCATATTCTCATTTTCGATTGAGGCTCTGCGACACGAAGCACTCTCGCGTGTGGAGATGAAACAGCAAACTTCGAATGGAATGTTCGACAAAGCAATAACGGGGCGCCACCAGCACTGACCTTCCACTAAACCCAACTGAGGACGGGGTCATCTGGTTCCCGCGACGTTCACACAGACCATCATCGTGAGGCCAACCTGGCAATGTTGTGAAGATCCCCTTCGCTCTCAGGGGATTATTGTGGACTTTAGCTTCAACGCTCAGTTCGCGAGGCTGCACTGAGGAACGGCCGTGCTCGTGGCCGTGCTTTCGATGATAGACCGGGGTCCAAGTTTGCCGCAAAAGTCAAACAAACGAGACGTCTCATCAACGTCGTATGTAGATTGAGTCACGACGCTCGGACCCCAATGGTATGGCGTTTTGAGATGGCGGTGTCGGATGGTCTTGTTCTTGTTGGAAACATAAAATGAAACTATTGACGTGCACCCTCGATTGGGAACCAATATTTTTTTGATGGCTCTGATGGGCCTTCTCACTTACTCACCAGGGTCACCTTTGCATCGTCAATGCTGCCGTCTCATCTCGCCATGACCTGAGACAATGTGCTCAGACTCATGTTTGTTTCCCTTAGAGTCGACTGATGTCGTGACGACTAAAACGATGAGCAAGCAGACGCGTGATACCAGAACGTCCGTGATCCAGTATGGCAGTCGTAGTAGTCGTAATGATGTTGTTACTGACATCTACCGAAAGGCTCTTGTCGCCAACAATAGCCACACTCGGGAGACATCCGGCCAACGTAAAGTCACACTCGGTGTTTCATTATTAGCACAGGAAGATGCAAGATACCCTTTTTGTGCCTGCACGGCCGAGGCAAAAATCGGTCAAACAATGATCATGACTGCCTACAACACAGGTGCGACCCTCGATGAATAATCTGCTCCTGCAATCGCGATCGTGATGTCACCTCCAACGAGCGGACAGTTACCTATAGAGCTTTCCCCAGAGCCGGCTATCAGCAACGCTTGCTCGCATGGAGACAGGAATGCATATGCGTAGGCGGAGAGAATTGCCAAGGAAAGGCAAAGGCGTTTAGCCAACACAAGTCTGGCTCTGGCCTTGCTAGAGATTCGCTCGGGGTAATCACCCGCCTGATGCTTGGTGTAAAGACATGATGGTGAGAAGCGGACGAAAGAGAGGCATGAGGCATTTACCTTCTGGTCCAGTCAAAGACGTTGACAAGCAGACCATATCGTCAAAGCCTAAAGACCTCGTGAGGCCTCTTGATGAGTAAAAAGCCAACCAACGAAAGAATAACAGCGGACACCACCACCGCCGTGTCGAGTTGGAACAAAAGGCTCAACGGCTACAGGCAAGTTCGGATGCCGGCCAGGCCGGAGCAGGATTCCGGAAATCGTTGGCATCTAGACCGATATAGGGTTGGTAGCGGTGGTCCACACCTAGGATCTGGGATGTTGATTGGTCTCTAGCCAAAATTCCCGAAGGTATGATGAGTAGCTGCGTGTCTACAATTGCGGCGACTCTTGCTGACTGGCTGTTTCGACTCCGGATATGATATCGAACACGACCACGCGGACGCCTGCATTCCTTTCTTGGACGAATTCAATTAGAGCGAGTCACGGCTCGTATGTGTATCACCAGCATGACAGGATGTCGTTGAATTAGCAGCCAATGATGAGTGCCACGGCCGTCTGAAGAGCTGTGATTCGTGTATGACCCTCGCGAGCAAATACTTCGAAGCGCTCTTATCCGGTGTGACTCGCTGACTCGCTGACGCTCGCCCTTGCCAGTTGGTTTCGAGTGTCAAGATCGCGATGTACCTCAGTCTTTTGACTATGTACAACCAGAGGTATTAACTCGGAAATGTCAACCTCGCATCTTGAGTTTCCCACGCCACCAAAACTGTCAGAAGTGGCCAGATCTCCGGCCAAACCCTTCTTAACAAAAAATTGCGCTGGTGGGTAGTGGAATGACGGAGGATTTTCATAAGTGCCAACGTCAGCATCAGCAGAAGAGGAATTTGAAAGTTGAGCTTTGGTTATTTTCATGTTTGGGATACTTTCACATCGTTGAGACAGTTATGTCTGGACAGGATTGGGCACGAGCGCCAATAGTATGTACGGAGTATTTGTCGCTGAGCTGCATGTCCATGATCCACCATACTCGTGAGTAAGTGAGAAATTGATAATCTGATAAAACGAGATCCGGCGACCCACACTTGCGCGGGCCTGAACGCGATCGGTTCCAGGAGATGGATGCATTGTTCTAGCAGTTGCCAGTGGCAGCTCACAGAAGGAAGTAATGTTATCACGCCTCAGGACGGAGAATGCGCACGGTGGTGAGGACGGGGTGTCTAACGTCCCAGCGTTGAACATTGACACAACACGAAAGGATTGGTTCATCCAGTAGGCTGGAGCTGATTTCCAGGCGGGCCGCGAGCTGCCGCAAGTAGCGGCTTGCTTGGGTCCCAAATAAGGCAGACTATATGAGGGCATGACCAGGCAGATTCAAGTGCCGGTGCCACAGGCTACGCCCGTGCTGCCTGCTCGTGGCAGAATGAAGTCCCAGCATGCATCGTGACGGTCGATCAATGGAGAAAGATGACGGATTTCCGAAGAGAGGAACATTACTTTGTGGCTGCAGAGGCACGAGAGGCTCCTGCATAAGTGTCCTGTCGTGGAGGGTCACCATGGTTCTTGAAAGGTCGTCGAGGTATCAACGGATTGGCTATGCTGCATGATGCACGTCGAGGATGGGGACGAGCGTGTTCACTCTCCCAAGCATATACGGAGTAATATTTTCTATTGTGACCCACTTGATTGACAATCATTTGCTCTTGGTTTGCATTAGTTTTGCTGCCCAGTCGGCATGACAGAGTTTTACTGGCGCGCACAGCGACGGCTGGTATCGCCGCAGAGACGGGAGCCAAAATCCAATGACGGTAGCCCAAATAGATCGTCCACCTTGTCCGACTCTGTGCGCTGAAAAGCGGGGACTCTCGACGCTCAAAGCTGCATGAAATGGTGGCAAGTGGGCTAAGATTGACAAAGTTGTACCAATCAAAACGTCGTCAGCAGCGGCTGGAGCGGGGCTGTGACCGTCCAGCAAGGCAGCCAATCCTCCTGGCGAAGAATGTTGTTGTCAAAGACGAGGGCCGGAAACCCCTGGAACATGAGGCTTGCAGGAGTCGGCCCATGAGGCGGCACACTCGTGGCGAGACTGACGGGGCAGACAGGTCAAATGTCATGCAAAATAGCGTTCAAAGGCTGCCACGGGTTCGATCATGTCAAGTCAGTATGCTCGACTTTTGCCCCTCGATTACCTCACGACCAGTTCACCCATCCTCACCCCCAAAGTCTAGGCCACCCATACCGCTCCACAATACGAGACACCGGTTACAAGGGTTGGTGAAATTCACGTGACGTGCGCCGTCGACGGCATGGATCCCAAATTCTCCAGGGTTACAAATGGTTTGAACAATTTTGAATGGTTATGTACATATGTTCAATATAGAGGGCCCTTCGCCTAGGGTCCCAGGACACACAAGGCGCAGAACTCCAGGTTTTGACCGGATCTTTCCAGGCTGACCATTTTGGACCGTGGCCTTCGTGGATCCTGGAAACCCTGGGAGCAAGCCTGGTTGTGAATATACAAAAAATGTCGAGGTAGAAAGTCAAGTCGTCTAGCCCGCCCTCGCCTGTGACCAGTGTCATCTCGCCCAGCACTTGGATTTTGAGTGACAAACAGAAGACGCCAAATCGTGATGCACCACTTTCTCCATGAGTGTTTTTCCACGAGTCCACCAACAAAGTGTGACGACCAAAGGTCATGCACCAGACAATCCTTCCCTCCAGATATCAAAACTCCATCAAATGCTCCGAGGTCGAAATTAAATCGCTACGTCTCCAAAGCACTTTTCGAGAAAAAAGATCCATGTCAAACAGATCGGTATATATTCTTGGTGGATGGACCTCCTTGGAACGGGTCAATTCCGAGGGGTCGAAGGTTCGGTCAAATCATAACAGCGTTTCGGGGACCGTCCAGTATATATAGAACAAAGTCGAAGATTAATAGGTAGCAACGGCGGGTGCATATCCAGGTGGGGAATAAAATGTTTTTTCGTGGTCGTTGAGGGGAATAACGTTGCCGTAGAAGTTCAAAGGTTGATTGCAGGGGCCAATATCAGCGTACGAAACCTCAGATTCATAGCCAGAGTCCACTGAGAGGGAGGAACACGAGGACACTTGCTTTGATGGAGGCGACTGGTAGGGCGACCATGCCGGAGGCGAGGTCTGGAAGCTGAGGGGTGATTGGGGCTCCTGGGGATAAGATGGCGAAGGAAGGGCCACACTGGCACAGTCCGCGGAGTCCACAAAGTGTTGAGGGGATAGAGGAGGAGTTGGAGGTTGGTTGTCGGGATAAGCCAGAGTGGTCAACCGGGGACAGTCGATGATGGCCTCGCGGAGTTCCTGGATCGTGATCCTCTTGTCGGGGTCACATTCGAAAATGCGTCGCAAGATCAAGTTCAGCTCAAACGAGATGGGCAGAATGGTGCTCAAGAACTTGGGATCCTTTAGAAACGCGCGGAAAGTGGAATCCTCGGACGAGGCCTTTTTCCAGGGGTTACGTCCACAGGTCAAGTTGACCAAAATGACGCCAAGGCTCCATACATCGTTGGGCGCAGCGGCATAACGACCATGTGTTCTTGGAGAAGGCTGTTGGCATTCTGTGAGAGACTGGTTAGTATCGCTTGAATTGCATCAAAAGCGGACGTGGGTGAGCGTACCTGGGGACATGTAAAAGGTGGATCCACAGCCAAAGTCCGATGTGACGCGATCCGTGGTAGCCAATCCAAAGTCGGCGAGTTTCACAGTGGTGCCATCGTCGGTAAGAAGGATGTTCTCAGGCTTCAGATCCCGATGGTAGATACCAATGGAGTGGCAATACTCAACCGCATCCAAGATCTGGAGAAATGCGTGCTTGGCCAATTGGTCGTCGCCCACGAAGTGGCCTAGTTCGGTGATGTTGGTGAACAAGTCGCCCTCGGGACAATACTCAATCACGCAATAAGTGCACTCCGGGCAGTCCAAGATGCGAAGCAAAGAGAGGACATTGGGATGTTGGCTGGCTTGGTGATGCAGGGCAATTTCGCGTTTCTGGAACCGTCGCTGTCTGGGGTCCAATCCAAGCTTGGGGAGGGCTTTGACCGCGTAGAGATTATTGGTAAGAAGGTCGACGGCGCGATAGACGACTCCGTAGGCACCGACTCCAAGGATGGACACGAGTTCCAATCGGCCAGCGAGTAACAATCCAAGTCTATCCTCTGGTGCAAGAGGTGTGAGTTGAGGCGGCGGGAGTGTCCCAATCATTATGGGAGAGCCCAAAAGTACGTAGTACTTGTCCTAGGAAAGGATGGAGTCGACAAGAGACCAAAGACAAACAAAGGCTGTTCAAAACATGGGTCCAGAAGTGTCCAGAGACGAGGGGGATGACAGGAAAACAGTAAAAGAGCCGGGAGATGGATAGGGACCGGTAATTTCCTCTGGAAAGTCTATGGCCACAAATCGGATGGAGATGTTTGAGGAGTTGATTCAGTCGAGTAAAGGAAGGACTGGAGACAAGACAAAGGTAGAAGATGGATGATAAAGGGAAAAGGTATTGTGATGAGAGGTGAATGGTGTTGTGTAGGTCTGGAAGTGGTGGTGAAGCTGATATTATGAATCGTAGGCGGGCGATATAGCGCTTTGCTGGATATGACGGTAGTGTTCGTCTCAAGAAGGCAAGGTTTGAAGGATGGAGCAAGACGCACCAACCTTGCCCGACCCATGTCACCCATGCGAGTGGGGCAAAAGAAAACGCTTTGCTGAACCTGGTCGTCAAGGTGCTTCGAATAGAACGCCATCAATAGCAAGGGCCCACTATGGGTGCGTCAAAAGTTGGCAAAGCCTGACCCATGGGCTGTGGCATGAGGAGTCAGGATGACGAGTCGGCCCATGCGTTGATTTGGGTTTAGACCCATCAGGATGAAGCAAGACGAGGCGGGCACAGACGGGCAACATCAGAGTCGGGTGGGTCGTATGGTTTGGCCATGGTGGTGGTCGGATCGCTCAGTGGCTGGGCGCATTTCTGGTCACCGATCAACATTCCTTGCGAAACCGGGCGGGAGGCGCTAATCCTGTGATCCAGTGGTGTCTTATTAGTGTCACTGCCCTGGTGTGGTGTCAAAGACGAGGTGAGTAGGGGGTCGCTAGCCTGGGCGCAGGTAAGCCTTGATTGGTGGTGGAGGCTGGAATGAAGATTGCATCTGGTTCGATAGTCACTACTCGACGATTGAAGAATTGGCAGGAGTGAATTCTAGTGATAGTGGTAAACTGCCCGTACAGAGGACTCAAACTAGACATTTCCCTTGCGAGTAGGGTACAGGAAGGCCTTGAACAGGTGGCAGCCAGACCATCAGCTACGTCTTGGACAACAGGACCGTGGCACCACGGAGAATGACCTACCGTACTCCGTACTGTCTGTGGGGAGATGTCCTCGTCCTATTCTCATCCTCAGGATCCGCCTGAATGTGTTCAAAGATGATGGGCCACTGGGCCAACAGCCAGACCACTGTCATCAAAAGCAGTGTCGTTGAACGCCCGCCCGTATTGGTGGCGATTGGTCGACTCTGGCGCTGGCAACATACGCGAGACACGATCTGTTCAATTACTCCGTAGTTGAACGATGATCGGTGGGTCGCCACACGGTCGCCCAACAGTCGAGGGGCAGGCTGGTCGGTGAACGTAGACGATGGATGGGAAAAGTCGTGTTGCTTTCTTGACACCTCGACGTGGTCTCCTGCCACTGTCATTCGCTGTACTTGTGGCGAGATGGGAATGCGAGTGGATCACTCCTGCCAGATGAACAATTTTGGGAGCATCCTGGTGGCAGGACTCAGATTTACGCGTGCATCGCCCCTCAATGCTATGCTGGTACACGGCAGGTGCGGATTGCCCCTCAATCGTTGGACTGTTGCCTCTGACCTCGACCCTGGGACCTGTCCCCCAACAGGCCCTGGGCAGCCTCTCGAAGAGCCAATGGCTTGGGCAGAAGCCATAGCCTTCAATGATTTGTCCTGTGCGCCGAGCAAACGGCCTGGCGTGCCTACTTGCAGCGAGCTGCCTGATGGCGGCTGGTTTTCCTGTACTAATCCCCTATCATTTGGGTTGCGTGCCTGCCTTTGCTGCACTTCTGCACAGGCGTCCCATCATGGCTGCCCGACCCTGCCGAATGCTCCTTGCCACTCCTGCCCTGCGACTCCAGCGTCAAAGCCTTCTCGAACCCCCTCGCCTTCTCTCTCAACCTCTCAAAGCCGTTGTGAAATGCTGTGCTCCTAAGTACGGCTTATCACGAGGAACGCCCCTCCCCCCAGTCCAGTGCTTTGAGGCCCCTTCTGCCGCAGCACTTTTTTCACTTTTTCATAGTCAAAATAATAATAATAAACAACCGACGCAGGATGACCTTTAGGCCAGCGCTACAGACTTGCCCCCGCCAAAAAGATAACCACCCAAGACTCTACTCATGTACATAGTACAGTAGTCACCATTGACTGGCCAGGGTCCACCATTGGGCGTGTAATTATGAGACTGAAGATAGTAGTGAGCAACCTGCATCAGGTCTGCACCCGAATCTACGATTCGTCTCGCTGTCGACGAGCAGTACTGAGAGAACCCAGTCAGTCTGCCAGGTCCCTACCTAGATAGCGCATACATGTACCACTAGGCCAAAGACCAGCGCCCATAAGCCCTGCAGTGGTGGGCAATCTAGAAAGAAAGTGGCAAGCAGCCATGCCAGTTGTTGGTAGGAGAGTCCCTGTGGTCCCTGCAACTCGGTTTGGTCGTTGGTCGTGAGTCGTTGATCGCGACTGCCATCGTCGGAGGCCGTGATACAATTTTGCCTCCTGCGCTGCACTGCTTCCAGTTCCAGCGGCTACCCCTACGTCTGTACCTACACCTGCGCCTTTCCGATCGCTGTCCTCTGCTGCAACCCGTTGTCGTTGAAGCGAGTTGGCTGCCGTCGCCGCCACCCAGCCTCGGCGGAATGGTCGGCGACTGACCTCGCTGTGGCTGGCCCATTCAAGGTCTAGTCGCCCTATGATCATCAATCTCGAGATCGCGGCAGCCTCCCTCTCACCACAGTGCCTGCAGGGCCGTAGCATATTGTTTCAGTGACCAATAGCTGCTAACTAATGCCTCAGGAATCAAAAACCCATCGATCCTCAAGCCAATTTCAAGATTGGATTCTTGTCCCGCTTTTCCTCCCTCGCTCATAGGCCATGTGACCCGCCTCTCACCTTCATGCGGACCCCAGCCAACGATCAGGAGCGACTTTCCCAAGATCCACCAAGGCGTGCGACAGTCTCTCGTGTCCCTCTAGTGCCGGCACCTAGTTGTCTGAGCGAGATTGATCAGTGCAGTCACTGTGGACCCCTTCAGGAGACAGCTTCGCCCGTCTCAGAATGGATTTCTTGACAAGCTTCCAGCCTAGAAGCCTGACATAACGTGTTGTGCGTAGCCCGTAGTCAAGGTTTTGGCCATGAGTACGATTTGCGTGTCGAGAACACACTGGACAGGGATACTGCCTGTGGCCCAATCTGCCGACAGGGGGGCGCTGACACAAGACACGGCTCCATGAGTAGGCGCAGGCCCAAAGACCTTTGGCCCACCACCATCCTCCTCTCACGGTGACACAGGATTACGTAGGAGATTTCGTCTCCAAGACACGCGTCTGAGGCGTCTGAGGCAAAGGTTTATGGACTTCGCCATGAGAGTGGCTGTCGTTGTCACGCGTTGATACCACACACAAATCCGTCAATGCATGGATAAGCGGCCACCAAGTGTGTCTAGGTCAGCCCATCAGGCATCCAAATTGAGTGTCAAAACATGGCAATGGTTGAGCACATTTGGGCTCAAGTGCCCGTTGGCAAATCCTTGACAAACCTCGCCACCAACATTGTTGCCATGCCGCTCTATCATTTCCAGATGCCTTTTCAGCTGGTTTTTAGTCCACACCTATTAGTCCAGTGCAGAGTGTCACACGCTCGAGTAAGCACCTGTCTCGTCCGCCTTACAGCAAGTCCATTACAATCGACTTATCTACAAGTTTTCGTCCATGCTCTAATCTGCGTCGCAATGATCGACATGCCTGATTGTGAGCCTCATTAACTATCCGCAAATGCCCTCGATGAACACTCTCTGTATTGGTTATGCAATGTGAAAAGGTTCGGATTGTTTAACTCAATGTTTCTTCTGTTCTCCAAGAAGAAAATGATCTTCATTGCAACGGGCCGATCGTTCGCCCTGAAAACATATCGGCACCAAGTCTAAAGCATTCTGGAGAAGGTTTGGCGGAAAGATCATCGCACTGACACTTGTGATGTGCGATCGGTACCTTGTCATGGCTGATTCTGGCCACCGCCAAATTCTTAACCGTGACATTTGTCCCACAAGGGTTCACCCGTCGTGCCCGTCCACGCCCGTCCTCTCGTACACTATTGTTAGGCTCAGGAGAGTGTCGTGAGTGCATAATTCTGTCGTCTGGTCTAGGTACACCGAGTAGAGCTTCTCATCTCGATCCGCACAACCAGCGTCACCCTGCATACACCGTCTACCGTATCAGTCGATCAACACAATCACGTCGATATCGGTGCGTGGGATGTGCTCTGAACTGCCGTGGTGACCTCGTCCCCACCTCCGGTTCTGCGTGCCATGTCTATCGAAGCAATGATTGTCATGAGCTCATCGGACCTGCCTTACGCACGGTGGCACGTCCTCTATCCGATTCATACCGCGCAACGTTAAGAAAGAGGGATCTAGAGCGATGAAGGGTCAGAGCCAAACCTCCTGAAAATCCCTCTTCACACGTGATGCTCAAGTCATCCACGTGACCTTTTTGTCACGCCATAGTATGTACATCACCTGTCGTGGATAGATGCAGTCTTGATATCGAGACCTTCTTGAGACACCATATTGTCACCTCATCAATGCGCCACCTGCACCAGGATTTGTGGACTTTTCGATTTTGGTGACCTGACAAATTGAAAGTCAGTCGGTACCCAAGTGGTCTCCCAGACGCCGATTCTAGTGAGACTCAACCAGAAACCCTCCTGTTGCGAGGTTCAAGCGGTCTGTTCCTCAAATACGAGCGTTTGAAAAATGTGGACTTTGGATGCCATAGGCTCGAAATCTTAAACTTTGCCGGTTTCTACTCCCTGCCTTTAGCGACAAGTTTTCTGCACTGAGCAAGCATCCCTTGTGTCCCTCTGTCATCGGCTTACCTGCGAGGTCCACCCCGGAATCGAGAGGTGGAACATATCGAAGACCGAATTGCGCGTTTTCGATTTGAAAGAAAACGGGCAAGTCTAGACGGGCACTGAGACTTGACCCCTTGAAGCCCTGACGCCTATCGCGATTCATAACGCCTCAGACTGTGACATTTCAGGTTTCATAAAGTGGCGTCCCAGAACCAAAGTACCAAGCTGACGGAGGCCGCCGGTAGAATTATTGGTCTGTCCATACTGCCGAACTCTGCCGAATCTCTCGATTGTATGTGTCGGCATATCTCTGTCCATTTCCTGACTATGTACGCCTTTGCCTAAGTTGCCTACAGATGCGGGTTTCAACACCACAGCTCCATGATTTCGAGTTAATAGCATACTCGGATGTACAAGGAGACTATTTGTTGGCTTCCATTGAGAACACGTGTGTCGCAGACATCATTGCCTAACTTTTCATGATATTTTCTGTCTTCTGGATGTGCTAACAAGAGATGGTCACGTGGAAGTGAAAGTATTGACCTTCCTAATTAGGCTGGATCTTGCTGACCATCAGAACTCTAATTCGTCCTCATTTGATACCTGCCACCATTTCTCCAGATAATAATCAAGATATGTATCTTGTGCTATAGGCACAGGTTGAACGAAGCTTCAATGAGAGAAAGGCTCCTATACACGTGTACCGTTGCAATTGTGATTAGTGCGACAGTTCAATACTCACGACTGGCGGTAGTGCTATTCCGCTCGCGTGGCTGACTCAGGAATATATATTCATCTTCCTACCCAGCTTGTAAAGGCTTGAAATCTTGCAAAGCCACGAACCCCCCAGAATGACACGTCGCAAAGCTTCCAGTCCCGGTGCCCCAGTCCATGGGCTGAGGACCACAAAGCTACAAGCGAATGAATCTACGACGGATTCTTCCAGCCTCGAAACAATATCTCGCGACTTGTTGGTCTCTCCTGTGCAAGCAGAACCTGCTTCCATTGAGCACCCTGCTCATGTCATTCATGCAGGGCTGTTGATTCCAGGTCGCGGAGAGCCGAAACAAAGTGTTTCGGTGGTGATACACGATGGCAAAATCTCAACCATCACGCCAACGGAGTCGTTGCCCAAGACGTTCCAACATCTGCCCTCAACGAGCGTTCCCGTCCTCATGCCAGGGCTTTGGGACTGTCACACGCACCTCCTAGGCGCCACGTCGTTCAACTTCTCCCCTCTTCTGACCGCCACCCCCCCGGCTCTGGCAGGAGCTCGTCTGGCCCGAAATGTACATGACATTCTGATGAGTGGATTTACGTCCATTCGAGATTTGGGAGGCTACGCTATCGAAGTAGCAAAGGCAATCGAAGAAGGGTCTCTCCCTGGACCGAACGTCTATTCTGCTGGAGCTGCCATCTCGCAAACCTCAGGCCATGGCGACGTCTATGACCTTCCTTCGGGTGTCGTGACGTCGTATCTTGGAGTTCGAGACACCCAAGGCAATGCCTTCAACCCTGGCTGCGGCCCGCTGATACTTGCTGACGGAGTCGATGAATGCCGCAGGGCAGTGAGACTTCTCACGCGCAGAGGAGCCAAATGCATCAAGGTCTTTGCTTCGGGAGGGGTACTCAGCATTGCTGACGACCCTCTGAGACAGCAATTTTCTGACCAAGAGCTCTCAATTATTGTGGAAGAGGCCAATCGGGCGGGCCGAGCTGTGGCAGCACACGTTCACGGCAAAGTGGGAATTCTAGCAGCTCTCAGGGCGGGTTGCCACACAATCGAGCACGGAACTTACATGGACCAGGAGTGTGTGGACATGATCAAGGCCAAGGGCGCGGTGTATGTAGCTACACGCACAATAGTCAAGGTTGGGGTCGACCATCCAGAGTTGATGTCACCAGAATCATACAAGAAGATGCTGGAGACGGCAAAGCATCACAAGGCGGCATATCGATTGGCCGTTAAGTCCAACGTCAAAATTGCCCTCGGTACAGATCTAGGGATATCCACACCGGTGTCCAACCCTTTGGCACTGGGCAAAAGCGGAGGGGAGTTGACCTATGCAGTGGAAGACGGTGGTATGACGCCCCTCCAGGCCATTGAAGCGGCAACAGCGACGGCGCCCGAAGTACTGGGCGATATGGGCATGGCGCCCAAAAGCGGGCAAGCTAAGGTGGGATTCGATGCAGACCTTATTGCCTTGAGCTCCAATCCTCTGGATGATATGGGGCTCTTCAAGGACCCCAAGAACATTACACATGTCTGGAAAGGTGGTGTTTTATTCAAAAGCCCTGGTCAACACCATTGGTGAATAAAATGGCCATGTACCGGAGGATCACGTGAATAGTCAGTTGAAGGGCCTCGATACGGACTGGAGAGTCAAGCTGCACCTCTCGCAAGTAGGAATATATGTAATCAATGTTGATGCTGCGGCCCTCAACACCAAGTATTGTTCACCACTTCCAAAGAAGGGAAGATGTCGCTTGCTAAAGTCTTAGTGATCGACGTGTCTGTGGTAATATGGCGCGATGAGCAGGCCCACCAAAAAGCCTGGGACAAAAATTGACATCCGTCAGACGAAATGACTTGCCCGTGGTTATCGGAGTTACTGTGGCATGAGTTCTCGTCAGACAATTTAATAGATGTCGTGGGGGCGCTCCCAAATGGGTCGATGTGGCGTGAGCCCCAATCCCTATGCCACTTGGTCCCCAACGCCAATTTGAATGCTACCAAGAGGTGGTCATGATCGAGGATCGCGGGGTTACTGTTGCCCTTATGACGTTTCGTTCCTGCTGTGGAGAAATAATTTGTCGGCCGTTGTCAGACATGTGAAGATCCCTTGCTTCCCTTTCACTTTTGTGACTTTACATACAATCCTTCTTGATCCCGCCCCGTCAGACATCTGTTTTTGTCCTCGCTCGCACTGACCTCATGTGCCTGTCTCTGTTGCTCGGGTTTTATTTCAATTGCCCTGCCCTAGCTTCCCCAACTTTTGAGAGCTCATCATAAAATCCGTCACGGCACCAGTTAGACAAAATGGTTCAAGAAGTCCAATTCAAGTCCTTTACTGACCAGAAGCCTGGCACTTCGGGTCTTCGCAAAAAGGTCACCGTCTTTCAACAACCCCACTACAGCGAGTCCTTTGTCACCTCGATCCTTCTGTCCATTCCCGAGGGTGCAGACGGTGCCTGTCTCGTCGTCGGCGGTGATGGCAGATACTGGAATCCTGAAGTCGTCCAGCTGATTGCCAAGATTGGTGCTGCTTACGGCGTCAAGAAGCTCATCATCGGCCAGAATGGCATCCTCAGTACCCCCGCTGCTAGTCACGTCATCCGCATTCGAAAAGCAACAGGCGGCATTCTGTTGACGGCCAGTCATAACCCTGGAGGTATGAACCTACCGTAAACTCACTACCAAAGCTGGACGCTGACGAGCATGATCTAGGTCCAAAGGCTGACTTTGGCATTAAGTACAACCTCGCCAACGGAGCCCCTGCCCCGGAATCCGTCACTAACAAGATTTACGAAAAGTCGAAAACCCTCACCTCATACAAGATTGCAGACATCCCCGAAGTTGACATTGGCACAATTGGCACAAAGAAGTATGGCGACTTGGAGGTCGAGATCATCGATTCTGTGGCCGACTATGTGACATACCTCAAAGAAATCTTCGATTTCGATCTCATCCGCTCCTTCTTCAAGTCCCAGCCCGACTTCAAAGTTCTGTTTGACGCTTTGTCCGGTGTCACCGGTCCCTACGGCAAGGCTATCTTCCAAGGGGAGCTTGGTCTCTCCGCCGACAGCGTCCAGAACGTCGAGCCAAGCCCTGATTTCAATGGTGGCCATCCCGACCCCAATCTCACCTATGCACATTCTCTGGTAGAAAGAGTTGATAAAGAAGGAATTCACTTTGGGGCGGCCTCAGACGGCGACGGAGACAGGAACATGATCTACGGCAAGAATGCCTTTGTCTCCCCTGGTGATTCTCTTGCCATAATTGCACACTATGCCAAGCAATACATCCCTTACTTCCAGAAGCAAGGCGTCTATGGCTTGGCCAGATCCTTCCCTACCTCTGCGGCCCTCGACCTTGTTGCCAAAAAGCAAGGCCTGTCCATTTATGTTGTCCCCACCGGATGGAAATTTTTCTGCTCCTTGTTCGACACAGACAAAATGTCCATCTGTGGCGAGGAATCTTTTGGCACGGGATCCAATCATATCCGTGAGAAAGACGGACTGTGGGCTGTGACTGCCTGGCTCAACATCATCGCCGGCGTTGGTAGAGACACGGGCAAGTTCCCATCGATCTCTGAGATCCAGAAGCAGTTTTGGGACGAGTACGGACGGGTGTACTTTACTCGATACGACTATGAGGATGTGAGCAGCGAAGGTGCCGCAGATATGGTCAAGTACCTCAAGGGCAAACTCGCCTCCAAAGACACGGTTGGATCGGTAATTGGTGGCCACAAGGTCAAAGAAGCCGATGATTTCTCATACACTGATCTGGACGGGTCGGTGTCCAAGAACCAAGGAATCTATTTCATCTTTGATGACGGCACTCGAGTTGTCGTTCGCCTCTCTGGAACTGGTAGCAGTGGTGCCACCATTCGTTTGTACGTGGAGAAGTTGGAGGAAGACAAGAGCAAGCTGGGTCAAGAGACGCAAAGCTACCTTAAGGGGTCTGTGGATCTTGCCATTGAACTCCTCCAACTTCAGAAGTTTATCGGTAGGACAGAACCGGATGTCAAGACCTAAGGGTCAACCATTTCACATCGGCGGATCTTGGCCAACGTTCGGCGCGATCCACAGTCTGGGTTGCGACGCTGAATCATGTTACAAAGAAACGTTGCCTTGTTCTACAGTTTTGCATGCTAGATAAGTTGATGATCAGATGAGCAGAATTCAAAACATTCCTACTTCCGATGTTTACACAAAATCTTTGTTCGATCAAATTTTCTGACTTTCCGGGAATACACTAAGAGCACGATGAAATGTGATGCTGTGGCTGGTTGCACGGATTCTGGGTCCGGGTGCAATGCCTCCGATCGAAGACAAAGTCTCGTCTCCAGGTTTGTAGATTCTGGCGTGTGCTGGCGTCAGCAGTTGAGGCTGGAGCTGAGACACCTGGGTTCCACAGGAAAATCAACAAGGTCGTTGCTCAAGACAAATCGCGATTGACGTGCTTGCTGCGGCGTATCTGAAGCATCTCCCAATCCTGGTCGACCACTCGGCTATCGATGCCAAGCCCCGGCAATCTTCCAGCCTTCGTAGATCATCCAACCGGCCTTTTCATCTTCCGTTCTGCCTTTATCTCTTGCAATTTTCACGTATGCGCCCTGTAGGTAGGTACCTATCTAAGAGGTGGTCTGTCACAGCCTGGAGTACAAGCGTCATCTCGTTCCACTCAACGTTCAGATCTTGCCAAGCGTTGCTCGACATCCAGAACCTTGGGTGGGACCTAGAAGCCTGTGGGTTATTTTGCATTTGACATCATATCTATCTTGTCAACTGTTCTCATGTTTATACATTCCAGAGAATCGTAGGAATTGGCAGGATCAAGTCGTTGACCCGAGACTGGCACAGGAGCACAGCCTCGTGCTTGGCGGAACGATTGATGATAAGATGAGTCGGGTTTGTTTCCTTACTGGGCTCCAAGTCGACCACCTACTTCAGCTGTCCTTCAGACCTCCCAACCTTGGTTTGATTGTGAATTGAGAATTGAGACTGGCTTGGGGGTCGAAGGGGGTTCATTTCCGCAAAATTCTACCGCTGCTGGTGAGGGTGTATTATGGATGTAATGATTTTCGACTATATCTGGTTCAAAGGAGAGAGAGTCTCTCTAGGAAGGAGGTGGAGTAACAAGTAAGGCAGTCAAGTCATAGGAGGTGCAGGTGCGTGCGAGTAGGTATAGTACGTACTCAGGTAGGTAGTAGGCGTGGAAAGTGCGCCTGAGGCGCCCAAGACCTCACACCGGCAGCCACCCGCAGCTGCCGCGGAAAGAAGCACAAGGCGGGGCTCGCCGAGCCTTGGCACACAGAATGACAGATCAACTCATGCGTCGATCGTTCCATCTTGTCTTTGTTTTGCATCCTTATGGTGACATTCATTGCGCGGCCAGCTATCATAATATACTTACTTTCCGAGCGTTTTGCAGGGCCTCGTCATCCTCATCATTGAGGTTTGTGATCCAAGCTTGAGCAGTACTGACGACGAGTGCTGCCTGAGTCGAGTTGAGATGTAGCCCCCTTTCTTCGCGGTCACCCGAGATGAGGGCGTCAACTCATGCTCGAAGCCAAGATCAAGACCCAGACATACTACACTGATGCTTGACGCAGCCACTCTCTTCTTAGCTTCCGGAAGTATAGTGTTTGAAGGTGATCCACATGCATCGACTTGGTCTCCTGTCTGAGCCTCGTGATTGTCGATTGCAGATTTTGCCATGGACGCTTCCCCGTCGTCTGGATGCTGACATGTCACGGAAGTGTCCTGTCCGCCCTTTGCGTGCGAACCCGTCGGATGTCCTGGGAACCTCCAATGATATTGTCGATAGACGGCAATCGACACTGATACAACTGTTGACCAAGACCAAGTGGATCGTTGTGTTGCTGATGATTCTTAGGATGTCTGGTTTTCGTGCTTGGCGTTGTCACCATTCCTTTGTCTCTACCAGAGTATGGGCGTAAACGTCTTTGAGACGTTGGTGCCAGGTTTCAGCATCACTTGTATATGAATATTGGGTCTCCAGATCACCATTTCCCCCGAGTGTTTGCACAACATGGCCTCCCTCATCCCACAGACTAGACAGCCGCCCTTACGATTCTGATACTCGTGATACCCAAACGAACATTGACCGACACTTGTTCTTGCACCTTTCTTTACTCTCCTTCTGATTCAGCATGTGTGATCCTTCCTCCGCTGCAGAAGATGGCCCCTTCCATCTCCGTCGATTGGAATCGTCTTCTACTCTCACTAATTCCCCATTCAACTCACCTCAATTTTCCAGAGACAGTAGTCGAAATTCGAGTCTGGAAAGACAGAAGAGACACATCATGTCTCAGCAGACTGAATCTTGGCGCAGAAATGCAAGCTCGACCAAACGATACCTTTACAACGAGCTCACTGTTGCCTACAGTAAGCCTTTCAGCCACCATAAGTCCCCAGCCTGCACGGTTCCTACTGACGTCGACTTCAGTGAGTCTCGTGGTGATTGTCTGCTTCTTTGTCTCAGGATTGATTGACTCTGTTGCTTTCAACTCTTGGAATTGTTTCGTCCAGATGCAGACTGGTGAGCACTCTCCCATCATCACCATGCCATTGCCAACTCTAACATTGTCTTGCAGGCAATACCGTCTTCGCGGCTCTTGGATTGGGAGGACAACCTGCCGCAAGCCACTCCCAACAGTACTACAAATCTCTCACCTCCATTGCCTCGTTCTGTTTGGGGGCGCTCTTTTTCAACGCCCTTCATCGTTGGCCGACAGGCTTTCATCGACAACCATGCTCCCGCCGACGCCTGATCTTCATCCTCTCCTTCTCCATACAAACCACCTTCATCGTCATCCCTGCTGCGATAGTATCGGCAAACCTGGTCTCGAACAAGCCTTTTATTGCCGGCGAATTCTCATCTGGCAACACAAGTATTGAACCTCGCATGACCAATTTTCTCGATCTTTGTCCCATTGCCATTCTATCCTTTCAAGCTGCAGGTCAAGTTACACTTTCTCGGCTTCTCTCCCTCATGGACCTGCCGACCATTGTCCTCAGCACACTGTACCACGACTTCGTCGCCGATCTTTACTCGTTAAGAAATTCATGGCAAAAGAAACCCAACATATTGGAATTTTTCTGGGGCCCCCAAAAGAGACAAGTGACGCGGCTTGGAGCCATCATTTCCCTCTTTTTAGGGGGAATAGTTGGTGGTGAGATGTACAAATCCTCCGCCGGCATGGCTGGAGCCCTCTGGCTCGCCGCCGGCCTCAAGCTTCTCGTCACTCTGAGCTTTCTCTTCTGGAAACAAGAGATTCCAACTACTCACGACGTTGACCAATCCGCATGACCCGAATAACTGGAATGCTTCGGTGTACGATCTTTTGACCTCTAGACTATAACGATAACGACTGAACGAAATTGCTGCTTGAGAAAAAAGGCACACTGGGTTTGGGGGGTTTTTACTGAGCAATCTTTCTTCCCATATTTGAGAAAAGGGCCAAGGAATTGGGCTTGAGAATGGAGACGAGCCAACCTACCAGCATTGACAGATTCGCCATGGGGGCCAGAAGTCTGTCTGCCTTGCTGCCTGATCGTGCATGTGACCAGTATCAGTTCTGATGCACGTGATCATGTTGAGCCTCACAACGCTACAGTTACCACAATACTACCACAATAATACTACCGGATGAGCAAAAGTAGCCGATCACCCTGTCACTTGTTCCAAGTTCGTATTTGGGATCCAGCAAGTCTTTGCGTCTGACCAACTCCTCTCTTCCAATCGACCACGAGTGAGCGGGTGAAAGGCCACAGAGACCATTCCTTCCAAAGAACGATATCTCGTTGCCAGACTGCGACATATGTCTGTCCCAGCGACGCTACGATTCCAAGCCTCGTCGTCGTAGCGTCGCGATCGCAGGAACCAATGACGCCCATCCATCTACTGACCATTTCCGCTCTATCACTTTCGTCTTCGCGAGAACGCGAACGTTTCGAGCGGTGAACCGTTAAACGACCTCTGTTACCAAGTTCCCCCCAACAACTCTCACTGATTATAATTCTTCACAAATCCTGTCATCATCTCCATTCATCCATCCATCGTCTGTCCGCTTGTTTAATGATGCCCTCAGTGTTCGATTTTCCATCATCATGAATCAGACTTTTGGTCCACCTACATATCGATCTCAGCCCTTATCCTCCCCATCTTCGATTTGCTCAAATGATAGTCAAGATCAATCCGATAAATCTGACATTGAGTCAACAGACGAAGACGACTTGACGGTCGTAGACACCTTATCTCACGTCACCAGACCTAGCCCAAGTCCACCTCAATGGAACAAGTTCCCGCCTAAGGGCACGACAAGTAAGGCTGGAGCCAGTCGGCCCACCTTCTCCAAGCGTCGCCTAGCCTTCTTTCGTTTACAGGCCCGCTACCCCCGCGTTTCCGCCTTGCTCTCACGCAATGGACTTGATGTCAATCAGCGACTTATTGTCGGTGATTTTGTCACAACACACAAAAACCTTGTGGGTGACCAACTGACTGAGATCTACGGTGATACTACTAGCCCACCACCGTCCATCCTCGATCTTGTGCCTTCCTCATGGAAAACTTCACAACTGCCGGAGGAATTGTTGGAAGTTGGTGCTCGGTTTCGCCAGAGCGACCGCCCCGAGCTAACCACCAGCCCCCGAGACTCAAAGCCGACGAAATGCAATGACCGTCCTCTTCACTGGGTTTACGACCAAAGCCAAACACTTGCACATATCAAGGAATGTGGAGATACTCGAGATCTAGCAACTCCGCAGGTGCCCCACGGTCAGTACCCGCTGCCTCCCAGAGCGTCAGTCCTAGCTCCCTCCCCTAGAACATCTGCATTTGCCTCACTGGCTGCCACTCCAGCACCATCTACCCAGCCGTTGACAGCCTCGCATTCGACATTTACTCGGGGCCAAACTCCTGTCACCACACTTCACTCAGTCCCAGGAACTTATATACCCAAGCTGTTCTGGACATGTCCATGGTACCAGAAGGATCCTATTGGGCATCACAATTGCCGCTCTTATAAAGCTAAGAGGATTGACTCTGTTTTGAGAGTAAGTCTGTCCGCCGTGTTGTTCTACAAGAGCAGTCTAACTTGTCTCAAGCATCACGCCAACGAAAAACATGCAGATGATCTTACCCCCGAGATTAAATCACGCATCAACGCAATCGGCAGACAGCCCTCGGCCGAGGCTAGATGGAACGCTATTTACATGGCCATTCATGGGGACGATCCTGCGAATGTCCCCTCAGGCTGTAAGAAAAGCAATGATCTCATATAGTGGGTTACTGACGAGAGCACAGACTGGACGGAATCGACACAAGACCTCGAAGTGAAAGAAGTCGTCAATAGAAATCTAGAATCAGCCAGGGTCAGCGGGCTGGGCCCGCAACAGTTTGTGCACGAAATGCAAGAGCTGGCTTTCAAGGAGTGGCAAGAGAACAATGCAACAATATATGCAAGGTATGCACGGATGCTGCACATAGCTTGCACTGTAGCACCTTTGTTGGTCAATGGGGGACACAACACACACCCCGGACCGATCCCGTCATCTGAGTCTGTCATCGATTTCAATTTGGGACCATACATGGTCCCAAATTCGAACGTCGCGAATGGGGTTCCATATGGTTGGCGCGCATCATCCTCATCCATGGAACAAGCGGTCCCTTCCCTTAATGACATACAGGAACCGTTCTTCGAGCCTTTTCATCAAGACAACACGGTCTGGCCACCGGTGAATTATTCTTACAATCCATTCTCGCTTACATCTCCCCAGCTTGGTCAATCAGTCCCGTCCTATATTCCTCCTGCTGAGGTCCAGCTCTCAGACACCAATACCTTAGGATCCTTAAATGTGACACCACCATCCACACATAGATCTGATTCATCAGGTGATCCTAAGGCTCCATCTCCCGATTCTGGTTATGTCTCTGAGCCCAATTTTGGTTAAAGATTGTTGCCACCTTATGGGCGTCAACGCTTATTATACCTACGCCTATACCTATGCCTAAATACATCTATATCAACTCCGACACCAACACCAACGTCAACTTCAACGACAAAGCAGACGATTTTCTTTTGTAAAATACTATTGGCGAATACATAGGGAACCCAGATCATCACCACGAAAAGACCAAACCAGGACAAAATACACTTTTTACGCATATGCATGGGCATTGTCGGACATATTTTAATCGACGACTACCTTATTTCAGAGATCACGAACGTACGCACACACCAACACACGCGGGCAAACATGGAAATCAAGATTTTGGACATTTCCAACGTCAACACCAAAGCAGTGCCCGCGTTTCTCTATGCAACAACTTTGACACCAAGTGATGCACATTCGGGGTCATGAAGCCGGCATTAAGACCCCTCAACTGATCCACCGTCTGCCATAGCGATGCGTTTTCTTGACATTGAAGGTGTGGTAGAGGGTTTTTCTTAAGAATACCTATGATTTCTATTCTGTTAACTATTCTCCAAATACCAAAAAATGAACGAATACCCTTGGGTGGTTATGGCAGACGAATTGTGGCTGAGATGGTCCAACCTTTGAATGTAAAGCTTCCCCTTCCTTGTTCCCTTTCACCTCGTCTCACTTCTTCCTATAACTAACTTCTCTCTCCCTCTTCTCTCTCCCTCTTCTCTCTCCCTCTTCTCTCTCCCTCTTCTCTCTCCCTCTTCTCTCTCCCTCTTCTCTCTCCCTCTTCTCTCTCATCCAACTAATCTTTCCTCTTTCCCTTCTCTATCTCATCGAACTCTGCGTTTCCCTTCTTCATTCAAGCCCAAGCTCCGACGACGCTCATGCCAAAAGCACCAAAGAAGACGAGCAGGCAAGCGTAGACTCGTCTTCTTCCTCGCAGGACCCTCCAACTGGCGTCACTGAGGAAGTCTTCAGACAATAGCTCCACTAGGGAAGCGTAGACGAGAAGGCCGGCCGAGATGGCATTCATGATTCCTACCAGGAGGAGCCCAGTTTTCGATTCGGGATGATAAAGCGTGTGGAGGCCGAGACCGAGTGCTTGTCCTACCGGGGTCCTGTGAACAGTAGGTTAGATCAACTTCAACAACGGCACCGGGGAAAAGATTGGGATGGTGGAATGACCAGACGTCGGTAGGAAAATAGCAGTGGGAGACAACTCACGTGCATCCATAGGCCAGAGCCATCAGCCATGGTTGTATGGCCCTCTTTTCCCACTTGATGTCAGCAATGCGGGAACCTAGGGCGAGGCCCTCAAATGTTTCTATCAACCTAGGTCAGCCAGGGCACACTTTTCCTTAACTAGTTTGGTCACGTACGATGAAAGACAATTGCGATGAGGAGAACAACAAAGTCGCTGCCGGTGGAGACACTCAGCGCCATGCCAATAAAGACGCTGTGGAAGAGAATCCCGAGCTCCAGTAAGACACACTGCATCACTGCTTTTCTTTGTTTTTGTTCTGGTGTAAGCTCGATCTCGAAGTGAACCGGAACTTTGAAAACATCGGGGTTCTCTTTGCCGCTGAAATCGGGATCGGCCTTGCTGGAAACTTGTTGAAGTTGATCTCTCTCGGAAAGTTCTGCGATTTCTGCATTTTCGGCAAGTCGCGAAACACGCTGCCCGACACTTGAGGAGCGGCCTTTCAAAAGCCCTAGGTTCCGCATGGGGACCTCGTCGTCATTTGACGGATTGGTTCGGGGCTGGGGGCTCGAATCCGCAAGAGCATTCTCAGGCGATTGACTGGTGTTTTCGATGTTGGTCGCAGAAGCCGTTGAGGATGATGGATAGCAGGATCGGACCGGGGTGAAGACCATTTCGATAAGAGTGACGAAGAAGACGGCAGCTAGAGCAATGGCTCCAGGCATTGCGTCGTAGTCACTCGTCCAGAAGTCGCCTAGGCACTCATTGCCAAGCATGATGAATGCCGTTGGCAAAAGATGCACAAAGGCCGTGGCGATCAGAACCCCTGTTCCAAAGTGTCTTGCCGCGAACAGAAAGATGGAAGGAATTCTTAGACGTGGAACCTTTAGAGCCAGGAGAGGGAAAGCGCACGCGCTACCAGAGACGAAGAGAACGATAAAGACTGCGCCGATGTGAAGCGGAAGGTTGTAAGTGTCTTCTTCAGATCCGTCGCGGCATGCATCTCTTTTTTTAAGCCGATATGTCTCTGAAGAGGCCACAAAGGCTGAGGGTGTAAGGTTAGATGATACATGTTAAGTAGGGAGGGGGTCTTTCAGATGAACTCACGGTCTTCAAGAGTGTGGTTTGCGGGCTTGGAAAAGAGTCCATAGTGTGCACAGAGCATGCCACCGTTGATCAAGGTCAAGAATAATCCACTTCCGAGAGAGCATGATAATGTGGGCTTGCTCTGTAAACAGGGTTCAAGCCCAAGGTTTGTAAGCTTAAGGCGCGAGGTCAGTTGGCCTTTGAAAGATGTTCCAAAATCTTTCAAAGGCGAACCCTCGCGCCTGGGCGAGGAAGGAAGGTCGATCTTCTCAGAGTGATCATAGAACTGAGGCAAGAAACCATCACCAGAACCATCGAGATCATTGCCAGAACCTAATTCGCCGTACTTGTGCTCTCGTGCATTGGCGATGCCATCAAGATCCTGGCGGGTGGTCAAATCAGGGGCCAAGAAAGGCGGGTTCTGGTTCCAGTCAGGATGCAAAACAGTCTCATCGACACGAGAAGGACAATTCATGTTGGGCGGGATGAATGAAGAAGCTCAATAATGGTGAGGAGAGAGTACAGGTCACCTCAGGTCGATCAAAGATGTAGATAATGGCCGTAGAGAAGTGAGTGAGAGCATCATCCGTAAGGTCAGAGCGTCAGAGCACGAAAATGCCATGGGGCTAGACTGATGGGCGGAGTCGTCAAGGCCAAGATCGGGTGTATGATACGAAGTAAGAGAATGTGTGCCAGTGACAAGGCGCGGCACTTCCGACGTCTCACCTTGGCTTGACATGACGTGGACTCTTTAGGCTATCAAGTGGAACTGAGCTTGTAACAGTAGACCTAATGTACCTAAAAAGACTTGTGGGCTAATATTACTAGATTGAATAAACGTGTGTTGTTGGTGTTGATGCTGTCAAGATAGAGGATTCAAATTTTTCAGAATCAGAGAAGTGTAGAAGGAGAAGAAGTGGAAGGATCGACCTGTGGTTGTGTTCATAGAGTTCCTTCCTATGATTACTTTAGAACAGGGACAGGTTGAGGCAAGCGCAACCATGTGATTGGGTCAAGAGCTTATCCATAGCTAGTTATTGTTGATAGTACCTGCCTTCGTCTCAGGTACAGTTACTTGTCAACGTACGCTTGAGGCTATGCGGGGAACCAGGTTGAGTATGGTTTGTATGCATGTGTACGGACACACGGAGTATGTAGACCGCCTCAAAAGTCACGTGGACGCCGCTCGTCCCGTGAACTCCCGTGGTATTTATACTATCCATGGATCGACGTCTCCTACGGAGTAGTCCTCTTGGCCTGTTCCAGACAAAAGATAATCCGATCGGTTTATGTACTGCCCGTTGTCCAATCCACTTCCTAAGGTTCTCAGTGGATCTGGTTCAGGATAAGCCTCTCGCCCTCTCCGCATTTCGCTTGCCTGTTATTCTGCGTCTCCTGAAGAATTTTGTTTCCACCAGGCATACCTAATGTTGGCGCATGGGACCCCAAGCGCCCAAGAACCAAAGAGCAGAACCTTTGCGTATGATTTTCCGTAGTCCTTTTTCCAAACTGGTACTAGTGCAAATCTTCTACTACGGTCACGCATTCACTCTCAATGCCCTAGTGCCCTAGTGCCAGACGCGAAAGCCAATCCAATTGGCCTGCACTTGCACCTGCGCCTGCAGACTGCCATCCTCGCAATTGTGAGTCTGACATAGTATCTTAACAATTCTTCGAGAACAACGGGAGAGCCTCAGCGCTTAGAGCGATTCCAGCCTCAACCCATCCAGTCATCCTCTTCCTTGTCATGTCCTCTTGTCTTGCATCTACATTCACTGCCTCGCACCTGCATCACAGGCGTTTTGTTGTTTCACCTGCTCTCTCTGCAAGTCCGGGTCCAAAGTACTTCAAACAAATTCTGTTCTCGGCCTTCGCTTGAGCTTCTGGATGATATCCAGTAGCTGCCCCAGTTCGACAAGGGCATCTTTATTATCCTCACCTATTACTTCCAAATTCACTAAACAGTGGACCTTGTCCCATCCTGCCTATCCTCGTCTCTGTTTGACCAGAGCCATAACATACCTGTCGTCCTGCAACCATCCCCCTTCTCTCCCACCCTCGTCACCGTTACACCCAGTTGCTCTCCGCCACACCTCAAGGCTCTTACCCACCACCCTCAGCCTCTCAATCTCCCCCGCCTCCTTACACAATTCCCATTTCTCCACCATGTCCGCGCATGGAGAGGCCCGCCCCAAGCGGAGGTCGAGTCCCATCACTGCTCTTGAACGACCCAAAAAACAGTGGAGGCCGGAAAATGGCGTCTCAACACCAGGGGATGCTACCCCTCAAAAGGGCTCAGTTTACGACGTCGAGGCAGATTCTAGCTCGGTTCCCATCGTCAATGCCATCGCCGCAGCTGGCGACTCCCCCGAATGGCAGGCCACCATCGAAAAGGTCATCAAAAGTGTCGTCTCTATTCATTTCTGCCAGACCTGCTCCTTTGATACCGACATCTCTACCTCCAGCCAGGCAACTGGTTTCGTTGTAGATGCAGAAAATGGGTACATCTTGACCAACCGACACGTTGTCTGTGCGGGGCCATTCTGGGGTTACTGTGTGTTTGACAATCATGAGGAAGTACGCTCCCGCTTCGTCCCTGTTGCCCAATTTGCTCCAGCGCTAATCAATCTCCCAGTGTGACGTTCGTCCCGTCTACCGTGACCCGGTCCATGACTTTGGCATCCTGCAGTTCGACCCCAAAGCCATCAAGTATATGCAGCTCCAGGCCTTGAAATTACAACCTGAATCCGCAAAAGTGGGGGTCGAAGTGCGCGTGGTTGGCAACGACGCCGGCGAAAAGTTGAGCATCCTGTCTGGCGTCATCAGTCGTCTGGACCGCAATGCTCCCGAATATGGTGAGGGTTACAGTGATTTCAACACAAATTACATTCAGGCTGCAGCCGCAGCAACGGGGGGTAGCTCTGGTAGTCCAGTCGTAAATCTCAGCGGAAATGCGGTGGCGCTACAGGCTGGTGGTCGCGTGGATGGGGCGGCAACAGATTACTTTCTCCCTCTGGACCGTCCTTCAAGGGCCTTGAAGTGCCTCCAGCAGAACTTGCCGATTACCCGAGGAACAATCCAAACTCAGTGGATGCTGAAGCCTTTCGACGACTGTCGAAGATTGGGTCTGACCCCGAATTGGGAGTCAGAAATCCGCAAGCACTCACCTACCGAGAACAGTATGTTGGTGGCCGAGATTGTCTTACCTGAAGGCCCTGCCGACGACAAGATCCAGGAGGGAGATGTCTTAATCAAGGTCAATGGAGAGCTTTTAACATCATTTGTCAAGCTGGACGATATTCTCGACTCAAGTGTGGGAGAGACTGTCCACCTCCTTTTCCAACGAGGCGGAGAGGACCGTGAAGTCACACTCGAGGTACGTGATTTACATGCAATCACCCCGGATCGATTTGTCACAGTGGCTGGTGGCAGCTTCCACAACCTCTCCTACCAGCAGGCCCGGCTGTATGCAATTGCATGCAAAGGCCTCTATGTGTGTGAAGCCGCCGGATCCTTCAAACTGGATAATGCCCTGTCTGGATGGATTGTCGACACGGTGGATCAAAAGCCTACTCCTGACCTGGACACGTTTATTCAAGTCATGAAGACTATCCCCGATCGCGCCCGCGTGGTCATTTCGTATCGCCACATCCGAGATCTGCACACTCGGGCAACCAGTATCATTCACGTGGACAGACATTGGCACCCGAAGATGAGATTGTCGACAAGAAACGACAAGACCGGCTTGTGGGATTTCCAAGACCTTGGGCTTTCTCTACCCGCCGTGCCCCCCGAAGCAAAGGCAGCTGATTTTATTCAGCTCGACGGGGTGAATCTCCCAGCTGCCGCCGAGATTGTGCGGTCGTTTGTCAAGATATCCTGTTATATGCCGGTCAAGATCGATGGATACCCACAGGCCCGTCGCACCGGGTTTGGGCTTGTGATTGACGCTGAAAAGGGCTTGGTCGTGGTCTCGCGTGCGATTGTACCATACGATCTATGTGACATCACCGTGACTGTGGCGGATTCCATCCAAACAGAAGGCAAGGTTGTGTTTCTCCACCCCTTGACCAATTACACTATCATACAGTATGATCCTAAGTTGGTGCAAGCACCTGTGCAGAGTGCCAAATTATCGTCGGAGATGATCAAACAGGGCGCGGACACTATCTTTGTCGGGTTCAACCAGAATCACCGTGTGGTTGTGGCCAAAACCACTGTGACTGATATCACCGCAGTCGGAATTCCTGCAAATGCAGCCGCACCCCGATACCGGGCAGTGAATCTGGATGCGATCACGGTAGATACCGGTCTATCTACGCAATGCTCTTCCGGAGTATTGATTGGGGCTGACGGTGTGGTGCAAGCACTCTGGTTGACATACATGGGTGAGCGCAGCCAGGGAAGCCACCGTGACACCGAGTATCACCTTGGCCTTGCCACAAGCATGATCAAGCCCGTTGTGGACCAGATCCGAGCAGGTGCGATTCCCCAACTGCGAATCCTTAATATGGAGTCGTACGTCGTGCAGATGGCGCAATGCCGGATTATGGGAGTGGGAGAGGAGTGGATCAAGAAAGTTGCCAAAGCCAACCCTTCAAGGCATCAGTTGTTCCTTGTGCGCAAGGTCGACTGTGGCCCGGCCAATGGTCCGAACGACGGGCAATTACTCTTAGAAGGCGACATCATCTTGACGTTGAACGACAAGTTGATCACTCGAGTGTCCGACTTTGACATCATGTACGATCAGCAGTGGCTTGACGCTCTGGTGGTGAGGAAAGGTCAAGAAGTGCGACTGCGGGTGCCGACACTGCCGACACAAGATTTGGAGACATCGCGGGCGGTGATTTTCTGTGGAGCTGTATTGCAGAAGCCGCATCACGCCGTCCGACAACAGATTAGTAAATTGCACTCGGAGATCTACGTGAGCGCCAGAAGTCGAGGCTCGCCGGCGTATCAATATGGACTGGCGCCGACAAACTTTATCACGCATGTGAACGGGGTCATGACGCCGGATCTCGATGCTTTTGTGGCTGAAGTGAGCAAGATCGAGGACAACACGTATTTCCGACTTCGTGCGATGACATTTGACAATGTACCGTGGGTGGTGACGATGAAGAAGAACGACCACTATGTAAGTTATTCGCCAGGTCGCGGCGGACGTTGATTTGAGCTAACCACGTTTAGTTTCCCATGTCGGAGTATGTCAAAGACGTCAATCAACCAAACGGCTGGAAGGTTATATCGTATCGCGGCAAGGGCAAGAGGGCCAACAGAGATGATGGAGCGCCGGTGACGGCTGAAGCCATGGACGAGGAAGGCGACGACGGCAGTGATGGCGACGAGGCTCCCGACTGTGGCCATGTGGGCAACGGTGAACGAGGTCGGATTCATCGATGATAAGGGCAAGCGACTAAAGGACAAGTCTAGACGGAGGCGACGACAATTGTTGCCCGGGAGTTGTCCATAGCCTGATCATGTATAGTACTCTACGAGAGCTGTAGTAATTTCTAGAAGGCAGGACAGGCGTGGGAGAGTCCAACCCTGCCTGCGACCAATGATCATGGAAGAGTGCAAGGAAGATGAGATGACCCAAATAGGTGGTTTATGAGGACCGAGGAAGATGCCAAGAACATTATCACGTGATATGATTATCACATGTCAAAGCTCAAACAAGGACGGGGAACAAAGTTTTGGAAGTTGGCAATGCGGAACACGGGGTGCCAACATTGGTGGTTCTGGGCGAAGATCGGCATGATCAAAAAAAGCTATGTATGGGCTCTGTTCACTTTCAGAGAAGGTTCAATTATGGAAGAGAGAGACACTGTGAAGAGATGAATCGGATGGCCCCCTGATCAGATCAGAAAGGTTGCTAATCTGGGACCGAACAACATCTCAGTTCTCTCTGGGTGTTGCTGGGGTTGGGCGTTGGATAGGAAGAAATGCAGCCTGCATGCATGAAGTGGGTGGGTGACGTCGTATGTTGTCAATAATTCTAATCCTTGTGACGTGACCGACTGCTCACTGACCCGTAACAGAGACCTGGGATTTGATTCCGGCGGTACACTTTATAGGGCCCTTTCGGCTGGGTTCTTAACTAGCGGCACCTAATGAAACTGACCTGCAACTACCCTGCAGACCATCAACGGTATCTAAGATTAGATGCTGCCCTCCCTAATGGTACCTACAACAGTGCACGCGACCTATGCCTGGATTGATAACCTCACACCCCATTTATCATTACTTTAGGTTGATTAGGATTGCAGATATCATGTTTAGCTTGCGATGATGCTCTTGTACAGTCGAATGTCAAGTAATGTACTCCATTTTATCCGGGTTCCAGGGGCTCTTGATGTGGGTGTTCCTTGAACTAGACATCAACTTGGAACGTTTTATCTCCTTTTGCTGAGGTTTGGACACTCAATAATGGAACTACCGTGAATCAAACAGAACACATGTACTATTGAACCAATATTAGGTAGTGAAATGGCCAACAGCCAGGCATCGATAGGGTAGGCATATGATAGGCATAACATAGGCGACAATTAACAATTAACGGGAGTAAACCCAAGACACGGTGTCAAGTGTCAAGGAATCTGTTGGCAACGGGACCAGGCGAAAGTCACATCACTTTCTGCACACTGCCATCATTATTTCCCGGCATAATTCCTGCCTACTTTATTTCATCATCCCATCCAATTCCATCTCATCCCATCCACCTTCTCCTCAACCACAACCCACTCTGGCCAAATAGTGCGCGCACACACACACTGGACAATCTTCTCCCTGATACTCTTCTTCATCCTACTTTTGTCTTCCATCTTACTCCTATTGCCAGCTGTCATCCTCCGCCTTGATAATTCTCAATCATCGCAGCTGCGACAACCCACAGCTTCGAACCCCTAATCTTCCCATAACCATCATCTGCAATTCCTCATCCAAACATGTCGGCAGATAACCTGAATCCTGATGCCCTTCCGGCACATATCGATGCCTCCCAAGTCAGTGATGACCTATCAACTCCTGCCACCAACGGCACTGCCACTCTCCAGGAGACCCTGGTCAACAGTAAGGTAAGTACCAAAAACACCTCAACAATTATCATCCATTCCGCGGCCAAGTACTGACACTGTTTGTAGTTTCATCTCAATACCATCCGCCGTCCATTCTCTTTCTCACCTCGTTTAGGCACCTCATCCGCAGTAAACACCGTCAAAGACCATCCTGTCACACAAAATCTGGTCAATGGTAAATCCTCCAGACCCGACACACACATCATCCATTGGCTAAATCATGTTCCAGGCCCGGTGGCTGCATCTATCAAGAACGAGGCAGAAGCCACTTCTTCCGAGTTCAATGACCTTGCCAGCTCCCGTCAAACTCCTTCCTACGCTGCTGCAAACGACACCCCCCTGACCCACTACCACTCTTTCTTCTATACCCTTCTGAGCGTGAGTGGCTCCCCTCAACCGAGCAAAATAATCCCCTAACCATGGGTACAGTGGAAGAACAAACGTGCCACTGGAATCACATTCCTCTCTGTCGTGGCTCTGATTTTTGCATGCCGATATCTTCCAGTCCTGCGATACTCGCTCAAATTGACTTGGTCGGTTCTCGGAGGTAAGCTAAGCAGGTGGTTCCCTTCTCTTCAAGCTCCACTGACTCTGTCTTTTAGTCGTCACTCTCGCCGAGGTGGCCAGCAAAACCGTCACTGGGTCTAGTCTCACAAGCGCCGTTCGTCCTCGCAGATACTACAAGATCCCCAAGGAAACCCTCGAAGCCTCCCTGGATGACCTCGAGAACTTAATCAACTTCTTTGTCATTGAAGCTCAGCGCATTGTATTTGCCGAGAACATCCTCGTGACAGGGGCTACCTTCTTTGCCGCCTTGGTGTCGTATTACCTCATAAAACTCCTGCCGCTCTGGGGATTCATCTTGCTCAGTACCGTCGTCCTCTTCACTGCGCCTCTGATCTACATTGAAAACAAGGAGTTTGTCGACGCTCAATTGGATGAGGCCGCGAAGGTGATTGGACAACAAACCTCTCAACTCAAGGACTTGACTGCGCAGCATACCAGCAAAGGACTTGATACCGTCAAGCAGTACACGGGAGCATACACAGCCAAGGCTCAAGACTTGGTGGGCAATATTGGAGCATCCCGACAAAAGATCCCACCCCAGCCCGCCGTCAAGGCAGAATCCTTCCCTACTGCCCCGAAGACCGAGTTGCCCAAGCCTGAGCAAGAGCCCCTCCTGGCTGAATAGGTCGACAACGCCCGGCTGGACGGTGGAACCAGGGGTGAGTTGCAGACGACGACACGACGGAATACGAACATTGTGCCTGCATGGTCCTGAAACATCTTTGAACCGTTGCCACGGAATTGATTGCCTAGTCCCTCTTCGAGCAACAAAGCGAGTCAGCATTGACGGCAGGAGTATGTGAGGGGTGGATGGTGGGAGTGATTGAAGTAGTGGTTGTTATTGTTAGATTCACAGTGTACGATAGACGAGTCATTCGAAGCCAGAAAAGGGCCCCAGTCTCGTCATGATATATCTTTCTCTATCCGGGGAGCGGTTGAATGGTCTGCTCCGATTGCTCTTGTAAGATGACCGGACAAGCTCAAGGCTGTCTCATCTGCTGAACCCAGTTGTTGGCCCACCCAGCTCCGGGAGACCTTGGCATTCTCGACCTCCACGGAGACACCACAAAGAGAATCTGCGTGTCCATACGGACATTCACATTGAGTGAGTCCAAAGCTGCCAGGGAAGAAGGTGACTTGATTTACTATTGTCCTGGTTATTTTGCAGAGTGCTATAGCTGAAATCAAGGACTACTGGTGCAAGCTCATTTTGTATAGTAGCCTCCATTTCATCTGGCCAAGAGATACACGAGGAAGTCCGACGACGGGGGATTATCTCCGGAATCAACGTCTGATTCGTTCGGTAGGCTGAAGACATCCAAAGGCAAGAGCTGATATGGTAACTGGTCAGTAGGGGTGGTCGCGCCTGCCACTACGGAGTACAGTATTGGGCATCGTCATCGTCACGTGCGCGGGCTTTCCCCGCAACTTCTCGACTTTCTCTCTGCCGAGGACGATGACTGGACCAATTCCTCTCTTATTCAGTAACCCGAGGATACTTGATTCCTCTACCGGCCAAATGCCCCAATCGGACTTGTACCAACAATGGACCCCCATCCAGTACTGCCTCGAGAGAGCTCGTGTGATGGGGTTTGTCCTTCTATCTCTTTACCTTCTCCCTGACCTTGGTTGACCTGTGTCCCTTGTTCCATCTCCAAAGTCGATCAGCCAGTCTCCATCGCACCCTCAACATGCCCATCTTCAAGTCCGCACACCCTGACATTGAGAGTAAGATATGCTTAAGTTCTCCATGATAGCGATATCTACAATACTGACAAGTTCTTCTCGCTCTCAGTGCCATGGCATCTCCCGGTCTGGACATGGCTCTTTGACTCGGAACACAGTCCCCTCCGCACCCAGAAGCCTGACCAGATCCAAGGCTTCACCAACGCCATTACTAAGGAGCATTTGAGTTATAGCGACCTCAAAGACCACTCGACTCATCTCTCCACCGTCCTCGTCAAGAAATATGGCCTCAAGCAAGGCCAGACCGTCGCTTTGTTTTCTCCCAATACCGTTTGGTACCCATGCGCCATGTTTGGCATCCTGCGCGCCGGTGGTGTCGTTTCGGGTGCCTCTCCGGCCTATAACGTTGAAGAGATGAGTTATGCGCTGAAGACGGCCGAGGCAAAGTTTCTCTTCACTGTCCCCAGTTCGATGGAAATCGCTGCCGCTGCGGCTAAGAATGCGGGCATTCCTCTCGACCACGTCTTCCTGCTCGAAGGCTCGATGGAAGGTTTCACCACCATCAAAGACCTCATCCGACAAGGCCAGGAATATGGCTCCTCTGGCCAGATTGAACAGTTTCGCCTACCCCCAGGAAAGAAGAACAAGGATGTGAGTGGCCACTTATCCTACCCCTTCGATGCGCTTGCCTTCAACTGACCCTCTGATACAGATCTGTGGCTTCCTCTCATTCTCTAGTGGCACCACCGGCCTCCCAAAAGCCGTCATGATCGCTCACTCCAATGTCATTGCCCAGTGTCTCCAAGTCCGCCAGATCTCACCCAGCACCTTGACCCGCATCCTGGCTGTCCTTCCACTCTTCCACATCACTGGTCTTGTCCACCAAATGCACCTTCCCGTCCTCCTCAATGCCAATGTCTATATGCTCCCTGCTTTCACCATGGACTCGATGCTTCAGACAGTTCAAGACTATAAGCTGGAAGAAATTCTCTTGGTGCCACCTATCATTATCCGTCTAGTCCGCGACGAAAAGACTCTAGCAAAGTACGACCTATCATCCATCAAACGCTTCTCCTCTGGTGCCGCACCACTGTCTGCCGAAATCCTCGATCTGCTCAAAAAGCGATTCCCTGGCACCGGGTTTAAGCAGGGCTATGGAATGACCGAGTCATGTTCTTGTATTACGGCACATCCACCGGATAAATATTCCTTCGACTATGCATTCCGGGTGGGCACCATTGTGGCAAGTACCGAAGTCAAGATTATCCACCCAGATACTGGCAAGGAATGTGGCCTGGACGAACCTGGAGAAATCTGGGCTCGTGGGCCACAGATTGTGATGGGCTATCTCAACAACCCCAAAGCAACGGCTGAGACATTCGACAAGGACGGTTTCCTGCATACTGGTGATATTGGTCAGTTAGATAAGGAAGGCTTCATCACCATCACAGATCGACTCAAGGAGATGATCAAAGTCAAGGGCATCGGTGTGGCGCCTGCCGAGTTGGAGGATCTACTCCTTGGACATGACGATGTGGAGGATGTTGCTGTATTGGGAACGCCTGATGATTACGCTGGCGAGAGACCGAAGGCATACATTGTTCTGAAACCAGGGAAGCAAAGCGGCGACGTTACAGCCATTGGCAAAGGTTTGATCAAATATGTCCAGGAGAAGAAGGTAAGGCATAAATGGGTGACGGAGGTTGAGATTATCGATGAAATTCCCAAGAGCCCTTCAGGGAAGATCTTACGGAGGGTCTTGAGGGATATGGATCGCTCTGGCAAAAAGGGGTTGGTTGTCAAGGACGACCGAGAACGAGCGAGGCTGTAGACGGAAGGGGAAGAACGCACTATAAGAGCTTGAGTTGTACATGCTCATGTTAGACAATAGCAAACTGCTTTGGCGCGCCAGGGCCGTGAATTAACTAGGCAGTTGTGAGAAATGTTGACGGTTGAATCACAGAAATGGTAGAGAGTAGGCCTGCTCATGACAACGACAGTGAGATATACACATATGCCTATCTAAGCAAACACGCTATTTAATCGCTAAATTCAGAGTGCAAAATCCCAAACGACCGCAGGAGGACCAAAGACGTATTCAATTTTAAACACCATCTTTCCCACCCTGCATAGCATCCATCTCAGCAGCCTTTTCCGATTTTTTCTTCTTCTTCCGCTCATCAACACTATGTCTCCAACCCATGCCCCACAACGTAGTCGCCCAGACAGCGACAGCACAGATCGCCAGGAAGACAGCGGAAATGGTTGAAAACCAGCCCACACCAATGGCTTCAATAGCCGGCAAACAGACCGCACTGCCAGCAGCAGCGAAGACATACCGAATCATGTAATTCCCCGCAACCACCTCTGCAGAACGACCTTTCGCCTGCATGACATCCAAGCAATAGGTATTGAGACTAGGGAAGCAGAAGAGTTGACACACGCCCTGCGTGAACATGGCTACCACAGGGAGTGGTATTCCACCGACGGCTTTGTCGACGGACCAGCCATAGACGAGCATACAGGCGGGGATGGCGATGCCGATAAAGGCATAGCATGAGCGGAGCCGATCCTCAGCGACGCGTTTGCCGCCTCGTTTGACGATCCATTTCTTGACGATGTAGTCGGCCCAGCGGCCGCCGAAGAAGGTTCCCAGCAAATATCCGCAGCCCGGTGCGATGTAGAATAGGCCGGATTGGATTGGAGAGGTGAGGTCGAAGCGGGGGTTGAGCACATAACGAATTGGTGTTAGGAGAGAGTACATGTTCCATACGAGAGCGCTGGATGCGAGGCCGGCGATGAGCAGGTTCGGGTATGTAAACAGGAGGACGCAGACTCGGAACGGTGATATCCAATGCATGATCTGGGATGTTCGTTCTTTAGGCGGCAGTTCTCGAAGTTCTTCGATTTTCTTCTCGGGAATCGTTTCGGGAAGGAATAGAATGACGAGGACGGTGGCAAGACCGCCAAGTGCGGTTTGCAGCCAGAAGATGTCTCGCCATGATCGATATGTCACGATGATGCCGCCGATGAAAGGTCCGAATGCGGGGCCGATTAGTGTTCCGCTGAGAAACCACCCAAGGGCAGTGGCTCGTGCTGTTGGCGTGTAGATGTCGCCGAGACAGGATGTGCCGACAATGAGGAATGATGTCCCTTGATAGGCGGTGAGCATGCGAAATATAAAATACGAGGCGAGGTTCGGCGCCAGCGCCGTGCCGATGCTAAATGCGAAGAATAAGAATGCCGTAATGACGCAGATGATGCGGCGGCCGTAGAGAGAAGATAGCGGTCCCCATAGACATGGTGATAATCCCATGAATATCAGGTACAGTGCGTTGGACAAGTTGATGATGCTGCCACTGGTGTCGTATGTTTCGGCAACTTCGGGGATGGCTGCTAGGATGGTTGTGGATGAGATGGGAGCGAGAAACCCGCATAGAGACAGCACCGCTGTGATGACGAGCTTGCGGCGTTCGGTGAAGCGTTCATATTGAGCGGCGTTGACTTCGACGAACGAGCTGCTATGGCTGGGAACGGCGTGGATGTCGTGATGTGAAGTTGTAGATATGGTTGTAAAGAGACCTGGATCATCGTCACGGTCGGCCGGTTTTGGTGTAGGTGCTGTTGCGGTTCTGGATAGGTCTAGGCCAGTACCGTCGTTTGTGTATGTTCGGTTGACAGCGTCTGGATTGCGCCGAGAATTGTCATCATCTATGGCGTCGTGATGGTGGTCGCCTGCCATGATGATTAAAGTGGTAATGAAGGTGTGGGATCAGATCTTGGGAGCATCCTTTGGACAGGATGATGTGTCCAAAAGAGCCTGGATGTGAAGTGGAGACTCGATGGTACGAGTAGTGACGTCCTTTTGTTTGCTGGACTAGCGTCGAACGAAAGGACAAAGCAAGCTAGTCAGGGAGTGGATGTGTGTACTCCGTATACTGGAATGTGTGGGTGGGTGGTCAAATCAAAGCGAAGGCAACCTAATCGATCAGTATGGGGAACAAGATATCATATACCAAACTGAGCATCATAAATGAGTGATATATGAGTCAGTGGTGATATGAGATAAGTTAAAAAGAGATAAGAGATATACAAGAGCCGAGGAAGATAAGTCGTAGAAGGGCGTCAAATTTTGACAGACCCATCGAGTGCTGTAGCATTGATGTACTAATCTGGCATTCATGTGGAAATGTTGGAGAAGGACAATAAATGATAGCCCATGAGAGGCCAGATGAAGATAAGCCAGTCCAATCTGGTCATGTTGACCCCAATACTGAGCGATTTCGCAGCCAGATTTTGCTGGCTTGGAGTCATATCTCCATGCCAGGGACAGTTCAGGGGATATGGGGAAACCTACCACGTCGACCAGGTGGCGGTGGTCACCGAGATCGGTGGATATTGATGGGAAGTCCAATTGTCCAGAGTTGTGGTTGGATGGAAGTGGATGGAGTCTGGTTGGAGATGAAAAGTCTGAAAGTCTCTTTTTGGAAATTGAGATGCCGAGGAGCCGCTCTGACCAATCACGGAGCTTCCATCTTTGATTTCTTCTTGGCCATAAAACGCCGACCGCGGAAAATCATTTATCCGCACCTCCGCAATATCAGCGGACGAAATTGGATTGGGGGAAGGTGCGTGACTTGCGTGGCTTTACGCCTTTGGCATTTCAACGACATATCAACCATTTGCCGAACAACCGAAGCAACGCTGAGAATAAGATGTCAAATATCCTCGAGACGCCCTCGAGGCGACGTCCAGATTGGTCACGGACTTGGTATTGAGCTGAACTGGTCTCTTCACCGTCTTTTCTTCTCCTCTACTCTGACTGTTCTTGACTCACAACTTGGAGCCTTGCTTTTGCCGTTTCACATTCAATGTCTCCTTCAACTGTCTCCTGAGGATCTTGCCACTGGTACTCTTTGGGACAGCATCAATAATGGTGATCCCACCTCTCAGTCGTTTGTGGTTCGCAATTTGAGGGTTCAACCAAGCATGGATCTCTGCCACGATGGCCTCTTCCCCTCTTGACTTTGCGCTTTGCTTGATGACAACAAAGCCATGCGGGAGCTCAGTGGCTTGTTCCTCGACCCATTGGCCAACCACACACGCATCCTCCACATCTGGATGTGCCAGCAACTTTCCTTCCAGTTCGGATGGGATGACTTGCATGCCTTTATACTTGATCATCTCCTTGATTCGGTCGACGATTGTCACGAACCCTTCATTATCAATGGTGCCAATGTCTCCTGTTCTGAACCACGAATTTCCCTGTTGGTCCTGTGCAAATCCTTCCTTGGTCGCTTCAGCATTTCGAAAGTATCCTTTGGTGACATTTGGCCCCCGGCACCACAGTTCTCCCGCTTTTGACGTGGATCCATCCGCCGCAACGTCGACATCCTCGCCGGAGTCTGGATCCACTACCCGGAATTCCATCCCAGGAGTGATGTTTCCCACAGTGTGTCGTTTGTCTGGTCGAGACGAAGGTACCAGTGTAGCCAGTGGACTTGTTTCGGTCAGGCCCCATGCTTGAAGCCCGTACACAGTGGTGCCATATAGCTTCTTGAACCGATCTTCCACATCCTGACGAAGTTCAGGGCTGAGAGGTGCTGCTGCTGACATGAACCTCCGGAGACTGCTGAGGTCATACTTCTCAACCAAGGGATGTTTGGCCAGCAACAGCATGATGGGAGGTACCACGAAAACCCATTCCGGTCGGTATTTGTGGAGACACTCAAGATATAAAGGTAGGTCGAACCGAGGTAAGACGACTAGCGATGTACCAAGAAACACGTTGACACATATGTGCGACGTCAATCCGTATATATGACTGAACGGTAAGAACGTCACAAGCTTGGAATCATTGTCCATCTTCTCGAGGAAGTGTACCATCCATTGTTGAAGGTTAGAGACCATGTTTCGATGAGTGGTCATTACACCCTTGGCGCGGCCGGTTGTTCCCGAGGAAAAGCACATGAATGCTACACGGTCTCCTGCTTCGTTGGGGGAAATACTGATGAGCTCTGTGGCAGGACACGTGCTAGCCAGAGACTCGGCAGTTGGTTGTCCATGTTTGTCAACATCGCCATCAGCTTGAAGAATTCGGATGGTCTTGTCGAACTTGACAGCCTTTTCCACCACGTCGATGACTGACGAGTGCGCTATAACTAGTTTGGCTTCACTGGTCTCAAGCTGCCCTTGCAACTCCGACGGGGTATAAGCGACGCTGGCGGGCGAGATCGTGGCTCCAGCGCCAAGCACCGCATAGCATGTGATGGCATAATCGATACTATTGGGACTGATAAAGGCAACAACATCCTTGGGTTTAACTCCTAATTTGCGAAGTCCGTGCGACAAGGATTTTGTTCGCTTCTTCACCTCTCCGAAAGTGCGAGTGGCTTTGGTGACAGCATCAATGTATAGCGGACGGTCCTCAGGCGTGTTCTGTGGGTTCGAAAAGACATACGTGACCACGTCGATGTCGAGAGGCTTGAAGTCCGGGAACCTGGAACGATATATTGTCGAAGGCATCGTGAGTCAACCTGTGGATGGAGTAAGCTTGCGCAAGGAGGGGCTGCAGATGAGATGTATATCTGTAGCGGATACATCCCGTGATAAATGCAGTCCTCTATCGCCTACACCTAAATTGCCAATGCCTGGCCCCTTCGGCACTGTTCCTGGGCACGTACCGGGTACCGAGATATTATGCCGATGGTTGGTTCTGTACCGCCCGCCGTAAGCTGACCCCGGGGCCTTTTAGCTCAACAGAGTAAGGTACACCTTGTCTACTTTTATCTACCTACTCCGTACTTAGAATGGGGCACGGAATGTCCCACGAATTGACCTGGAGGGCCTGGGGAAGCTCCTCGCGAACAAAGGCGCCGTGACACCCTAGCATTGGCGTCAAATCCTTTAAAGTATAAAATGCCCACTCACAATGGATAACTGCGGCTGAGAACCACAAGGTTTCATCATCATTCCCAATGCGAAGGTCAATTCATCCTTGCACAGCATGCTTGATGCACCCAGCTACGCGTAAGCGAACAAATGAGTGGTGTGGATTTAGAGCTTTGCCAGTGCATGATAGTCTAGTTGAAAAGGGCCCAAGCATGTTTTTGGTATACGTACATCCACAGTAACTTGGACTTGTGGTGGTGTGTGTGTGTGTAAACGAAAAGTGGATCGGCCGAGGCATCGTTGCCTGGGTCTTGAATCTTGATTACAAGGTGATTAATTTAATTTTTAGACTCGGCATCTGTGTGCGATCTCTTTCGTAAACTTCATACATGCATAATTAAGTCTATCAAAGGGTCCGTCGTGCCCCAGATTCCACACGTGGAGATCGACAGATGCCTCGGGGCTCGATTACTCATACAAAAAGACATCGATGCCTTAACACAACGCACCACTGGGACTGCAGCCTCGGTTGGGAACACGATTGGCGCTAATGACAACTAATCTACACCATATGTAGATACTCGACAAATAGATCGTCGTAATTCACGAACAATTGTTCGAAAGAAGATATTTATTCAAGTGGATGTATACAGTTCGCTTTGTCATTGAAAGCCTCCTGCTGACAGAGCATATTGCTATGTTGCATGGAATAATTGAATAATATGCCTTACGACATACATAATTGTCAGATTACATGAATTTCAACCCTTCCACCTACACATCCAAGGCTGCCCCGACAATCAACGATGACCCCTGACCCGGCTTGGAAATCACAAGCGCCTCCTTCAACTTTTCATCGGTGATGTCGGGGAATTTAGGATAGTAATACTGTCGCTTCAACGCCTCGGCGACCTCGGCAACCTTGTGCTGAGGAACCAGATGCACTGTACACCCTCCCCAACCCGCCCCTGTCAGACGAGACCCATAAGCGCCAGCTTGTCTCGCTATCGAGCAGATCTCATCAATCTCTGGAGCCGAACACTCGTAGACATCTTTACAAGATGCCTGTGTCTGGTTCATGAGATCCCCTAGATACAATAACTTTTCCTCATCTAGCTTGCCTGTTGACGATAGTGCATCTTTGAATCTGAGCACTCGACCGGCCTCTTCCAACACATGTAGTGCCCGCTGCCTGAGCTTGAATGTCTCGGCTCGGACCGGGAATTTGGAGAAATAGTACTTTTCAACGTCTTCGACTGAAATTTCCAGAATTTGAGAAATGTCTTGTCGGGTGTATTCGTCCTTGGTCAGGTTGGACTTGATGGCAGCAATGACATAATCCACCTGTGACAGGGCGTCATCGTCTCTCTTGCCATCTCTCTTGACCAGCTCTTCTTGGAAATTTCTGAGGGAGAAACCGAGCGAGCTATCGTCTGGGTTGAGCGGGATGTCGTGAAGCTTGGCGAGGACAACAGTCGCCAGTGTCACTTCGACGACTCGAAGATTATAATGTATGGGGGCTGTGACAGCCTTGTCAGAGGTGACAAAGGACTGAGCAATCAGAAACGTGACCTCAGGGTCAGATGCTGGGACTGGGACATGCTCGGCCGCAAATTCAGGAAAGAAGCGGCAGTAAAGGAGAAATCCTCGTTCCGAGAAGATGGAGGCGGCTTGATCCATACCACCAGAAAAGACACCAACCGCTCGCTCAGAGACAATGCAAAGATCGAGAAGGTCTTGCTTAGAAATTTCGTAGCCATTGGCAGCCATGACCGCAAGAGCAGACGCACAAACAAAGGCAGCGCTGCTTGAAAGACCGCCGCCAGCTGGAACATTGCCATCAATCAGAAGTTCCATACCATTCGTTTGGAACGAGTCGCCGAGTTTATTCCGGAGGTACTTCAATGATCCACTCAATCCAGCTGTGAAGTAGTTGCTCCATGAATGACTCTCTTTATCGACCTCAACGCTACCGGATTTTGGGATCGCGATCTCTTTAGCAGGGTATTTTGATGGGTTGATGTTGGCAATCTTGATGACCGGAGGATCGTTGTCTGTCTTGTGAACCCGAGTGGCGATTAGAACGTCGACAGCAACGGCTGTTGGTAGAACATTGTACAGAGAATAATCCACATGTTCACCAATGATGTTGACCCGTCCAGGACTTCGAGACACAAAATCTGGTTTATGACCATATTGTTGTTCAAAGGACTTGACTAGATTGACGAACCGCTGTTGGAGCTCTGGGGGGACTGTACTGCCTTCGCCAGCGCCTGCATAGACCTGGTCCAAGGTTTCGACCTTGGGCACCAGAGGCGCCATTGGTAGAGGGGTATTTGTGCCCTTATAAGTTCGTGTGTGCGGTTTCTGGCAACTGACTTGAGCAACTTGAACGCAGTCAAACTCTCACGGGTCAGTACAAGTGAGAATGCAGCACGATAGCAAAAAATGTCAAAGAAAATTGAAAAGAAACAAAGTGTACTGCTTTCGCTAGGAATCTCCCATATCAAATCATTACATTGCACTCGAATTTGTTTAGTTAGACAATGGTATTTGAGTCTATGGGCAAAAGTTGTAGATTGATGTCACATTCGCGGGGCGGAACTGAGTGTGGAGGGGGCTAGCGCCTTGGCATAAATAAAGCTTGATGAAGGCACGCGTGGGTCAAGGTCTGTCGCTCTTGCCTCAGTGCCTCTATCTATCGGCCGGAAAAACGTCCTAGCGATTCCCAGAAATGACAGTCGCCGAGGACCAAAACAATTGCACGACACGACCCCGTCATATCACGTGATCCAGGATCCACCCAACGTCTCCCAAAACCAGTCAGGCTTGCGGCACTACTCTACCTCATCGATCCGACCGCGGCTCATACCACCCCCATGAGTAGCAGCAGTAGTCGGTGCCTTTGACTACTGACCAGTTCACCCAATCTTTCGAAATCTTGATTGATACACCATTCACAGGTTCTCAAATGTCTGTTGTTGTCATACTGACATAAGTCAATCGGCGTCCTTTCTCTTCGCTCCCACCCATCGCCTTCCTCCCATTTCCTAACCCACGTAGATATATTCCACCCCGACGATAGCCTCTCTGATCACCTTTCCAACATCAACGATGAATTCGGACACTGCTGATACAGCGGGTCTGGATCAGACCAATGTTGACCCTCCACAAGAGGATTCCGCACCTCCTGATATCCCTACCCGCCCCACGGCCCTATCAAGAACCTCGACATTCGGAAAGAAGTGCTGGATCTGTATGAGTGATGCGAGCGAGGATGATCCAAACAACCCTCCCATATGGCGCTCCCCATGTTCATGTAGCCTCACAGCCCATGAAGACTGTCTGTTAGACTGGGTCACCAATCTAGAAGATCCCAAAACAACCAGGCGGAAGGGACAACCCAAGATCCTTTGCCCGCAATGCAGATCAGAAATCAAGATATCCAGGCCGAGGAGTTATGTTGTTGATATCTACCGCGTGCTTGACAGAACAGTGGCAAGAGCCGTGTTGCCTGCAATCGGCCTCTCCTTGTCAGGGACATTTATAGTGGGTTTGTGGCTGCACGGGTTCTGCTCGGTATATTGGGTCTTTGGGCAACAGGAGGCTAAACGCATCTTGGACATGTCCATACCCCGCCTCGGCTGGCTGAGTGCTTACCCTCTCATTCCCATCAACCTCATTTTCTCTCGCACCAGTTACGCCGACTTTGTTCTCCCCAGTGGAACGCTTTTCCTCCTGTCCACCCAAATCACCGACAAGTTCGAATTTGACACCGTCGTGTGGCCTCCCTTGCCCAGCACAGTCTTTGCATGTCTCCCTGCTGTACGTAACATCTACAACTGGTGTTACCACCAGGCGTTCTGTGAATTGAACAAGAAATGGATAGCCGAGGTTCAGCCAAGGGGAGGAGAGGTCGCCGAGGACCAGGGGCAGAATATCGCAGATCTCGCCAATGCACAAGCCCCAGATGGTGTGGTGTTGGAGATCAATTTTGGTGCGGTTGAAGACGAAGAAGAAATTCCAGAACTAGCAGATCAGCCACAGGGTCCGATTCCAGGCCAATTTGACGATAACCAAGCTGGCGAGGACAATGCAGGAGAACAGAGAGGGGACAACGAGCCCGCGGCGGGGGCTGGAAATGCAGGCAATGAGGCTAATCAACAACAAAACGGCCACGTGCATCGACTTCTAGGCGACAGAGGTGATTTTATTGTGGAAGGAACATCAAGTTTAGGCCAGAGCATCTTTGGAGCCCTCACATTTCCAGCCGTGGCAGCAGGCATGGGCGAGTTGCTGAACCTGGTGTTGCCTAGCTCTTGGCTTGGAACAACCAAAGCCATCAGGGGCCGACCGGGACTACTTCAAACCAAATGGGGTCGAAGTGTCGTAGGAGGCGCCTTATTTGTCGTTCTGAAAGACGCTTTGGTTCTGTACTGCCGATGGCGACTCGCGCAGAGTCATCAACATCGGCGAATCATGGATTATGACAGGAAGACTAAGAAGTACACAGTATAGAGACAAGGCTAGGGGGAGTATAAAGCTCTGAGCCATTCATATTTGCTGGAGGTATTCGTGGAAGAAATCATGGAAGGGATTGCAGCCGCCGCTCGGTCTTGAAATGACGAACAAGGCGACGAAGAACAGAGGATACCTTTGTATTATCATCGGATCTCATCAACAGTGAACACCTTTCTAACATGATGACAACGCGTAACTAGGGACAAGTACCTAGTAGATTGAGACAAGACCTGCGTCCATTCATAATGCAAGGCTAAGCCACAGCCTTGTGTTTGGACCGCACGTTGAACTCTAATTTCAGCTTCGCGGAGTGTGCAAAGGTAACATACATGCCAAGACCCCATGCTTGCTGGAAAAGTTTCATAGACAACCGAATGAGCTTCTATGCTTCATGACGAGAATACCACCAAACAAACTCCCACCACCCAGCCATATCGCCCAGGGATACTTACTCCATCTATCGGAGTAGAGTGGTGGCAGTCTTTGACCCTTCTCACACCGGTATCTCCAGCACATCACCCTCCTTACCAACAACAAAGCTCCCCAAAAAAACCACCAACCGCAGGGGGGTTCTGAACTGAACATGCATATCACAACACCATCTCTGCGCTCGGCGCTGGCCCACGCATTCCAAATTCCTCTTCGACAATATTCGACAAGTCTCCTGTCGAGAAACACGACCAAAGCCATGGTGACCTCGCAACAATCTCATCCCTTCGCTCCGCAGCAACAGCAATCATCACCATTTTCCTCGAGTACATCTCGCGCCGCGAAGGGAAAGAAGGGAAGGGGCATGAAGCCAGATCGAAGAATTAGTGAGTTTTGTTCCTTTCTTCCCAGTGTAATGTTGTGGCGTGTGAATCTCGATGATGACGGCAATGATCACCTTCATCTTCTCTGTCTCTCTTTTCCTCACCACTAACAAATCTTCCCCTACTCGTAGCTCTAATCCGATATTTCCTTAACCACCCTACATTCTACACCCCACGACCGCTGCGATTCTCACGGACACGATATCTGCGACACTGGACGATTCACCGGGCATGGAACCTGTTCAACGCCAAGATGAAGAAGGAGCGAGCCTTGGAGATGGAACGACAATATAACGCCATGGCGGCGGCGAACGAGGAATTGCGCGTCAATGCTGGTGATGCGGGCCGTCTGTTCCGCATGGCTCAGATGAAGACTGGCATTTGGGGTATCCCTGAGCGTGGCGCCGGTGTGCCGATCGAATATGCAAGGGGCTTGGTGGAGTGGATTGGTAGTACGGGTGGTCTTGGTGAGGGCAGTCAGGCAGGTGGAAAGCAGGCTGCTGCGGGAAAACTTGCCAGAGTTTGGGATTCCGAGTGGAAGAGACATTGATTTGATTTGATTTGATCTAATTATATCAGATCCGAGGGTCACGCGGTGGGGCTGATCTGGCATGTCAGGAGGTATAAAGACCGACTTGTTGAGCTGTACATTATCATATGGTGCTTTTTGGTGGTCTGAAAATCATGGTCTATTCTCCAGACCAAGAACTCGTCAGTGAGATAGCATGGAATGGATTACAAGTGGCTGCTTAGGTAGAAATCATTCACATTATATGCTCCTGTTCTCTCTTTGATGTGTACTTGGGAGAGAAAAGCGATTCAGCTCACAATATATCATATTATGAACAGGATACAAGCTTGTTTTCTTGGTTCATGATTGTCGCGTATTCGAATAATCGCTTATATTCTGATCGTTTCATTCCTTGGTTCGGCCCAAAACGGTCGCAATAACTCAAGTGGTCAAAGACTGGCTGAAGGTGCTATGTCCATGCACAGACTTTCAAAAGACAAAAGTGGCAGATTTATCCATTGTCATCGCTAAATGTCGGAAACATCAAAAGGTAGCGAAGCAGAGGTGGGCCCGTCCAAGGCGTATTCAAGGCCTGTGGTACGAGAACCCAATCAGCCTGGTGTACTGGGTGTGCGCTTTTAATCCCAATTGCAAGACTCCACGAGAAATGCTGGCATGGTGACCCAACGTGCAAGAAATATCCTTTTTTTTCTCTTCCTTTGGTGATTGAAAGGCACCGTGCTGGAAAGAGTCGTTGCTTGCAGATTACCTCCACTGCGGAGAAAAAGGATTGATCCTTGTCTCTACTGGCGCTAAAGAATGGTCGTAAGGGGGGTGGAGGTTGGAAATCATAGAATGACGCAGCAGCCGCCACCACCTTGTTTGTCGGTGAAGTTGAGCAAAGCAGCTCTAGTGGCGGCCTCGAAGACATCATCGACGCCTTCGCCTGTCAAGCTTGAGCATTCGAGATACTTTCGGGCTCCACAAGCCTGTGCCATCTCCTGACCTTCTCGGGGTGTGACGAATTTCTGGCTTCGTTTCCGCATTTCCTCGATAGCGACGGGATCTTCTCTGAGGTCTTTTTTGAGGCCGACCAGGATAACGGGCACTTCGGGGCACCTTTCTCGAGCTTCCTCGATCCATTTATGTCGAACATTCTCCAAACTGTCAGGCGTGTCGACACTGAAGCCGATCAGGATAACGTGTGATTTTGCATAGGCCAACGGCCTTAATCTTTCGTAGTCTTCTTGACCAGCGGTATCCCATAGAGCTAGTTGGACAGATCTTCCATCGACTCGACAATCTGTAACGTAGTTCTCAAAAACGGTGGGGACATAATGGGTAGGGAAATAACCCAAGGTGAAGACGGACAACAGGGAGGTTTTGCCGCATGCGCCGTCCCCAATGATGACTAGTTTCCTGCGAGGTGGTGAGATTTGGTGACGAATGATTTCGAGGCAGTGGAGGGAGGGTTTACCTTCTCATAACATTTTGTTGTGCCTGATTGTCGGCCATTGTGGGGCAAACGTAGTCAACTCGGTTCAGGTATCGCCGAGTGACGCTCGCTAAGGGACACGGCCGACAGGTTGGACGGGTTGAGATGAGAAGGATATGATCAATGGATTCTCAAGGCTGGGGATGAAACGCCGCCGTGGAGGGAGAGAAAGGGAGGGGAGAGAGAGACAGAGAGGGAGGATGAGCGACTCGCAAAGGGTTCCTCGCTAGTTGTGTAACCGTGGACAGAACAGTGGCTTTGTGTTATCGGGGGATGGAGATTGGACTTTGTGGCTGGATGGCGGCGGCAATGGTTATGAAGCTGAGAGGAGGGTCGCAAGAAGGTTGGGTTGGAGGTCGAGGACAAAGTCGGAGGGACAACAGATCGGTGGCAAGTGCACAGGTGAAACTAGTCGAAGAATTGATTTAAGGGATCGTGGGGTCCAAGATGTTGTCAGTCTCAGAAATGGGGTGTGTTGGGAGGAGATGGAGGAGGCGCAGCTGGATATGGTGGTGCGTAGATAGGGAATAACGCAAAGGAGTGTCTGTATGTCTGCACTGAAATTAGGATTGATTGTGAGGAATGACGGCAATGATGAATAGGTAAGATGGTTGTTAATGTAGATGAGATTTGGTACGAGGGAGAAGCGGGAGAGTAGCGTTGAGAGGCAAGTAGAAGGTCTGGGGATGACGAGGAGTTGTACGTGGTAAGGGATCTTGGTGGTGCTTGGTACTGCTGGTGGAGCGTGGAGGGAGTGAGGGACCATGAAAGTTGACGCACCTTGGTAAGTACCTAAATTTGGGCGAAGATAGGGCCGAGGGGCGGCGGAACAGCCAACCAAGGCACCAAAGGGCACCTAGAGATCTTGTACCGAACCACTCTGGGTACCTTTATCGATTACGGTAGGTGTTGAATTATTACTATTAGTCAGTTGAGGAGGTACTATGCGCAAAGTAGCTACGAGTACTTGAATCATGCCCACAGTGCTTCTTGTTTTAGTTCTACTTATAGGTCGCTTGTTTAGTTTAAGTACTCCGTAGCATGCAGTATGGCACGTGTACTGTAGCAGCATTAGACCATCAGTTTGGGAGGGTGCCCGGGCCATCTACGGCAGCCTTTGGGCCCAAGGACGTTGGATTACAATGGAGGCACTTGGTGTCCCTATAGTACTCCGTAGGCAATCCACACCCAACCCAACAGCCAGAAGCCCAACGGGCAAGAACAAGGGCAAGGGCAGCCTTTGCCGCTCTTGCTGAAATCTGCGTCTTTGCGCCTCGCCTGCCCCACGAAACAGGACGAGGCAGGTAAAGACTGTGCTGTGACTGCAAGTGCGTGCCTGTGCCTGCCCTTGCCACTACTTGGTACTACGAAGTACTGCACTTACCCGTTATTGTCGTTGGTCACTTCACTTAGTACCGCACTGCACTTGCCTCTGCCTCTGCAACCTGCAACCTGCAACCTGCACCTGCCTGCACCTACACCCGCACCTACACCCGCACCTACACCCGCACCCGCACCTTCCACACTGACTCCAAGTCAGAATCATCCACCACGACGTCGGAGTTCAACTCAGTCTGGCTTCAAGGTTCCTTCTTCAACAACTCCGCTCTCTCACCAACTACCACTACCAACACATCCACCACCTCCTACTATCACGCTCCGCCATCGCCATCGCTCAATCCATTACTTGCCTCTCTGACGTTCCTTACAGTCTCAACGTCTGCATCATGCCATAGTCCTTCTTCGCTTCTTCACCACATCATGCCTTCCAATACCAAACCTGATCCCTTGACCGGCGACACCACCGAATCTGCTGGCGAAGTTGCACAACCCTCGACAGCCGTCAATCGAAAAAAGGCAAAGCGAAGGGCCAAAGAGGCGGCAAAGCGGCAACAGAGTTCTTCGCACCCCGTCCAACATCAAAACCCTCCGCCTGCTCCCACTACCAACCCTGCCACTGCCAATGGCTCCCTAACCCCTCCAAAACAAGGTCGCCCTCCGGCCAAGGGCTATTTCACAGAGGATACTGATCTAGTAGACCCTGCCAGCCCCGAAGACGCCTTCTTCTCTGGCGACGACGACCCTAATTACGCCCAAAACAGTCATGGCCTGCCCGACAGTTCCTGGCTCAACACCACAAAGCGCAAGAAATCCAAGTCGACTCCCACCTCTAGATCCTCCACTGCTCTTCCCAAACCTCAGATTCCTCCCCTCTCCAATGCCGCCATCCGCGCCTCACACAAACTATCCAGCGATCAGATTTGGAACACCTCCACTCAGGCCGAAAGAGAAAATATCAAACAATTCTGGTTGGAGCTTGGCGAGGATGAACGCCGGTCTCTAGTAAAGGTCGAGAAGGAGGCCGTCTTGCGGAAAATGAAAGAACAGCAGAAGCATTCTTGTTCCTGTTCTGTCTGTGGACGGAAGCGTACCGCCATCGAAGAGGAACTCGAAGTTCTCTACGACGCCTACTACGAAGAACTCGAACAGTTTGCCAACCACAATGGCGATATCTCCCAGGCCCCGCAGCTTATGGCTCCCCCGAGACCAGCTTTCAGCCGTATTTCCCAGCCCATGGCTGGTACATATCCTTCTAGAGGCCGTGTTCACGAAATCGAACAGGACGAAGATGACCTGGACGATGAGGACGACGACTATGATGATGACGACGACGAACCATATAGTGAAGACGACGCCGACTTTCATCATGGCCTTCCCCCCGGCCCACCTGATTTTTTCCAGTTTGGCAACAGCCTTACTGTCAAAGGTTCGACCCCCACTACTCTCAACGCCTTCCTCTAATAACACTAATTCTCGGTCCAGATGGCATCCTTACTGTGGCCGACGATTTGCTCAAGAATGACGGTAAACATTTTATCGACATGATGGAACAGCTGGCCGAGCGGCGTATGCAACGTGAGGATCATCTTCGTTATCATTCGCAGGCTTTCACTCATCATGATCATCAAGGTCACAATCATCCTCCGTTAGACGACGACGATGATTTTGATGACGAAGAGGACGAAGAAGATTATGATAGCCAAGAGGACGACTTCGAAGGCGATGAAATGGTATGCTCCTCACCCACTTTCCATCTTATCCTCCCGCTCACTTTTTTAGGACTCCATGACCGAAGAACAGCGCATGGAAGAAGGCCGTCGAATGTTTCAAATCTTTGCCGCTCGTATGTTCGAGCAACGTGTCTTGACTGCTTATCGAGAAAAAGTAGCCGCAGAACGTCAGCGAAAGTTGCTCGAGGAGCTCGATGAAGAAAGCCGCCTCGATTCACAGCGCCAAGACAAGAAAGCCCGAGAAGCTGCCAAGCGCAAGGAGAAGAAGCGCCTGCAGAAACTGGCAAAGGAAGAAGAAAAATCCAAAAAGGACGCTGAGAGAGCTGCTCAAGAACAAGCACTTCGAGATGCTGAAGAGAAAAAGTTGCAAGAGCAGCGCCAACGCAAAGAGGAACAACGTAAAAAGCGCGAAGCCGAGAAGAAGGCCGCTGAAGAAGACCGTCTTCGCAAGGAGGCCGAAAAACAGCGTCGACAACAGGAGCAGCGTGAACGCCAAGCCGAAGCGGAGAGAAAACAGCGCGAGGCTAAGGAACGTGAACGCTTAAAACGTGATGAAGCTAAGAAGAAGGAACGTGAGCTTCGAGAGCAAAAGGAAAAGGAGGCTCGTGAACGGAAAGCCAAGGAAGAAAAGGATAAGAAGGCAAAGGAGAACCAGCTTCGCAAGGAGAGGGAGTCGAATCAAAAGAACGACAAGGATTCCAGACATCCCTCCAGTCATCAGCCCCCTCCGAGAAATCAGCCTGTGGCCTTGCCGCCGGGTCTCATCCCACAGCCTAAATCTTCCAGCACGCAGTCACCTTTATCGCAGGTTGCGACTCCCATTGTGCCCCCAAAGACCATCACTCCAGCAGCACGGAACCGACAGACCTCACAGCCAGCGCAGCAATCTCACGGATCGTCTCCTAGGTCTCAAAAAGCAAATACAGAAACTCCTGCCAGTTCAGCCTCACCAGCGACCGTCGCCATGCCACAGACCCCTGGGCCTCCGCAGCCGCTCAAGACTCATAGCCATCCACTCGTACTGCATCACCCACAGCCTTCCGCTCCACGGTCTCCCCTCAATAACCAGGGCCGTGGTCAGCAGTTTCCTTTCAACTCCATGAATGGCCTGCCTGGATTGGGTGTCAGTGGGCCACCAATGGGCGGCAATGGGTTACCAAATATGATGCCCCCCATGCCCATGTACCAGGGGCCCCCAATGCCAAATCACCAGAGATTTGCTCCAAATGGGATGCAGTATCCTCCGGGATTTCCACGCCCGTTCCCCGGACATCAAGTACCCTTTGTACCACAACCTAATCAGGGGCCTATGCCTACTCCACCTAACGTCTCGCAACCTGCCTCACATTCTCGACAGCCTTCTGGCGACGCTTCGTCTCAGCCAGCTCCAATCGCCCGACCAGGTCCCATCGCCCGACCATCGAGTACGACGCCCGACAAGCAGAAGCTGCACAGACCATCGGCCGACGCAGAGGTGGACCAACTGACCACCCAACTTGGTAGCAAAGCCTTGTTGGATGATTCGGACGATTCGTTCTTAGGAAATGGTCTCGAGCCTCGAATGGGACAGCCACCTCTCGGCCCGCCGGGCTCTTCAAGGCTCCCGTTTGCCAGCTTTTCAGACCACAAGCAGGATGCATTTGGCAGTCTAGGAAGTCCCGGTTGGGCTGGGTTTACGCCAGGAATGCCACCGAATACAGCGAACTGGGGACCTCCACCAAACCAGCGACCCGGTGCTACGTGGTCGCAACCTCCGTTCGGAGCTATTGGTGGTGCCCCACAAGCCCTACCCAGACCTCACCTGCCTCGACCTATCTTATTGCGGCTCAACCTTGTGCAGGCTTGCCGACAGCTGTCCTCGGCTCCAGGAGCACCCTCGTCAGGATTCCATCCGGTCCAAAGTGTGTTGCGGCAACTGAATGCGAACCTGCTCAAAGACCCGAACGAGGTACCTGTATCAATGGAAGATATGCTGCTCTACTGTGACACCGAAGGAAACACGCAGAACGGAGGCGGCTCTTTTGACGTTGTTGTGGATCCCTCACGAGGACAAGCGGTTCGATTTGTGGAAGATGCGGCCAATCAAGTGGGATCAAGGAATAGCGTAGGGGACATTGGAAGTCCCATGTCACGTTTCTGACCGTCCTGAGTCGAGAGTGACTCGAGAATGCGGCGCGGCCCAAATGACATTGAGTTATCAAGCATGGGTAGGGGGGAGTGCTGCAAGATTCGAAGTGGCATGGTTCGACCAGGTCAGTCATCGATCATGAGGAACATGTCACTGGTGGTTTCATTCGTGGTACTTGAGTCGCAGGTGGCCTGATCTCGTCGGCGGTTTGCCGAGGGACGTTACAAGTATCCTGTTCAGTGGTATCGAGGCCTTCATGAGCATGGAAAAATTTCCACTTCAATATGATTTCCACCTCGCATCTCGGTATGAGCAGATTCTGTCCTTTCTCAGAACCGCGAAGCCGCTAGGTGTCCAACATTAGTTTCCAACCTGGTAGGCTAGAAAGCTGTTTAATTGAATAATCACCAACACCATGAATTCCTGTCTCATACTTGATTACACGTATGTCTAACAGAGTACGAAGATGTGTGCGTATACGTATGTTCAGGTATCGACCTCGCAACATCTATGGTACGTCGGTACGAAATCTGTCCTTCTCAATTTCGGCCTCGATCTCGCCATGCCGTCCATAAGCCGCCATAGCCACGTCGCCGGTCGTTCCTCCATCTGGTAGTAGGTAGGGTGGCGGAGCAGGCCGAGGAGCGTCAGGTGTGAAAAGTGCGGGAATTGGCGCGCGAGTCGAAGATGCTGCTGGCAAGACGGTCTGATGTGCGGGCATCTGATTCAAGGCCTGAATTGTATGTGACGTCTTGACCACGGTAGCGGACTTTTGGGATAATGGAGATGCTTGGATGATTGAACCGTGGGAGTCTAAAGAGGGTGGTGCTGTAGAATTCTGAGAATGGCTATTGGCGTTCGACTGGTCATGAGCTACCTTCGTTTTGGTTTTCGCTGTGTCGAACTCATTGCCATTGGCCCCGACGTTAGCGCTGTTCTCACCCGTCGTACTGGATCCAAGCCCAGAAAGCAAACGCATATAGAACCTAGCTTCATCAATACTCTCCAGTACATCCTCTCGAGCTTGGTGTGCGAGTTTCTTGGGCGGCATCTGTGCTAGAACTTCATCGGAAGCCCATCGTCGGACCATCTCCTTCATGGCACTCACGTCAAACAATCGATAATGGAGGTGTTCAAGAATACAATTCCAGGGTGGTATCATCAAAAATGCTTTGTCCGCGTGTATGGAGTTGCCTGCAAGTAGCGCTGTGCGCGGCTCAGGTATGTGATAAGTGATGTAGTCGAGGATGGCGCGGGATGCAACTGCGGCGCTCGTGGAGCTATTAGGGTCGCTAACAAGTCGAGTCAGGCCAGACGAGGTGTGTGTGGACACGCACCAGGGTGACATATGTGATAGTTGCTCTGGGGTGTGATAAATATACAAGGTGAGCCCCTCCGGTTCGATGGGGACCAGGGTCGAATTCGTGAGGAGGACGGAGATTGATAGAATAGTATCAGTGCGAGGGTCAAGGCCGGTCATCTAAGGAACCCTTTGCGTTAGTGGATGTACTTGGTTGCTTGTGGAGTAGTGAAACATGAGATATCAAGACTGGCGCATAGCGAGGCCCCCAGGAGGAACATTTGGCCAGGGAGACAGCTTTTAGAATGTTGTCTTTATCTTCGATGAAAGTCCTTTACTCTTACAAACGATGTCCTCTGGCAAAATTTCTTCGACTCTCATGTACAGACCTTGATGGCCTCGTTTGTCGGACTTGAACAGAGAAGAACTTGTGCAAAATGTGCATTCATGTAGACTCACCTCACAATCGAGCCACACCAAGGGGTCGATCGACCTTGTGAGAGCCATGGTGCCGTGCGACTACCATTCACTGTGACCCGAAGATTTGGAAGTTGAAGATTGCTCGATGTTGCTTCAATTGGCTTGGTAGCAGGAAGTAAGTATGGCGTCTCGATTTGATATTGTACAGTAGCGGCGATGATCGAGTATGAATAAGAACAGGGGAAAGAAGGTGCCTCAGAGAGTAATTGTTTCGATGATATTGTTCAGGAGAGGGCGATTCGCCATGTTAGTCGACGTTGTGAACAGTACATACACGTCCCCGGTCATTTTTCATGAGTCTCTGAAGGTTTGCCAAGTGACGTGATGAAGTCGAGAACCATGACGAGTGTGGCCAATGACGTGGAGAAGCAAGAATGTGCTTTTGATGGCCACAGGCACCACGATTTTGCCTTTGTATACCCGGGCACGGGACCGATGATGCGTATGCACGAGGTGATCGACAAGGGTTCTCAGTCTGTACGGAGGAGAGAAGTGGGAGAAGAGGGGCAACGGATATTGATGGCGGAGAGATATTTTGGTTGGAGGACGTTCCTTCCCAGCCAATCAGAGGCAGGAATTCTGCTCCTTCCTCTGACCAGATCAGGATAAACAAAATATAGGAAGGTGCGACTAACTGACTACATACATGGCTCACTGCATAGGAAAGAGCGTGGAAAGACGTTCCAGCAGCCTTGTCAGTCATCTAGAAGTGTGTTCATCACTGCATTTTCATTTCTATGGTTTCCTCTCGTTAGAACCCTCGCAGGTATGGCATCGTTCGTTCTTCACACATGCTCTATCCATCCCGGGCATTGGACTGAGACATTGCCAAACCACCTGGCTTCTTCCTAAGACCACATATGAATCTGATCCACCACTTAATTTGTGTAATGAATGGGACAAGAGCCCAAATGGAGAAAGGGCCAGTTGTCCAGGAAGTCAGTTCATTTGCCGACAAATGGCGCCCTCGCTTTGACTTGAATGCAACCATAGATAAACGCAATTCTTGTTTATTTTCTCCAACCAGCCCCACGTTCAGGCACCGGCTGTCGCAAATGACCTTAATTGCTGTGATAGACAAATCCTGGCGACTGTAACCGATTCCCCTGATGCAGGCATCTTTGAACCAAGTAATTAAAAAGCTCGGGCCTCCTTGCATGAACTCGGTCGATCCAAAAGCGTCGAGCAAAACGATGCGAATAGCCTTTGAATCTGGGCAGTTCAACACTCATGTCCTGGAAAGACTAGGGACCGAGGAGTGGGTGACTGGGTTTGGGAGCGACTACAGCTCCTCGTCGTCGTCAATAGCGGTGGAAGTGGATGGCTTTTGCAGAACGCCTCCAAACTGAAGCCCAGAAGGATTCGGGGCAGTATCCAACTCGGAGAGCGGAGGCGGCTGTGGTTGCGATGATGGTTGCATGCCCAACCCAATCACTTCCCCAATTGTACTTGCAGAAGCTGCCAGGCCACCTCCCAGTCGTTTCTTGACATCTTCGTCGAATTCGGCTACCGATGCACGTTGTCTCTTCATGGGACTGCCAACCATGAAACTCTCCTCTTCCTTGGCGACATCCACCGCCGCCCCGGGGACAGAGACGGGGTTGATTTGCGGGACCGCATCTTGGTCGTCACCAAGGTTTGGGGTCGACGCCGCAGATGGACTTCCAGATTTGGAGCTCTTCCGTGCTTCAGTCACGCCATTGCTATTGAGCGGCTCGGCCGAATGTTGCCTCTTGAGCTGATGATACCTTAGCCCGTGCCGAAATTTCAACGGCGATGGGTCTCTTACCTTCATTTTACGGATGCCCTCTGCCACTTGACCAGTCCGCTCAGCATCATCGGGGGAGAGCAGACCTGGTTCGCGTTTGATATCGGCGTCATTTATGTCCTCCATTTTACCAATGATGCCAGCCTCCTCATCGCTATCGCTGTCCATCTCATCGTCACTTGCTGACTTATTCTTGCGACTCTTTCGAGCCTCACGATCACGGAAATTGGAGAATCCAGTGGTGCCCTCTTTTTTCAGAGGGCCTAACTTGGGAAGATCGACACCAAGGCTTCGTCGTTTGGCAGGAACACTCGCCTTATCAGACTTTGGACGAAGAATCCCCATTTTTTGTAATTGCCGCTCGCCGCGGTACAAGAAGGTAAAGACAGCATAGGGCTTATCTGTGGGATCAATGCCAGTAACAGTTTGAGTCGAGATAGTTTTAGGATCCAATGTTTTGGGCTTGGCAAAGCTGGTGGTGTGGTCGACATCAGCACCAGACTTGCCATTACCATTGCTTGTTGTATCCTCGCCCTTTTCCGATTCCTCGTCATCGTCATGAGCGTCGAATTGTGGTGAATATTCCCCTCGTTTGATCTCGCCCGAGGCCAAAACTCGGAACAAGGCGACCTTGATCTGTCCAGCGGTTTCAGGGATAGGATCGTCGTCGTCCGAAGTGTCAGAATCGCTTAAGGAGCCGTCATCGTCCGAGATCTCTCGCAGTTGACCATCTTCATCATATCTTAGAGTCTTGATCTTTCGGCGCGAGAGTGCTGAGCTACCGTTTGCTTCATCATCGCTTGCTTGGGTTTCTTTTCTCTTCCGACGGCGTTTCTCCAGCTTCAGTCTGCGCTTCTCGATGACGGCGGCAGCATCTTTGCCATCTAGGTCTAGACCATTTAGCCAGCGCTCCAGGCCAACCTCACGGAAGAGGAATTCTCTTTCTGCCAGACCACCTCCCTCCCTCTCAGGGACACTAACCCAACGGGAATTGACCCAAGTTTCTTCTCCTTTGCGTAGAAGTGTGGCAACCTCTTCCTTTGCTCGGCCATCGAAGTAGATATATGCCGCAATAGTCTCGTTAGGACTAGTGGTCAAGGGAACGTAGGGCCCAATTATGGCATTGCTCTTTGCAGGCTCATCTCGATGGCCGGGGAGCTCTCCAACATATTTAGGCTTCGGATCTGGATTGTCGGGCGTGGCTTTAGGGGTAGAATAGGGCACTTCTTGACCCGGGGTCAGGAGAGTGATGGAGATGGCAAAGGTCGATTGTTCGGGCTTGCCCGTTTTGGAGTCGGAGGGGATACGAGCTGGAGGAACGGGGATGTAGGTACTGATACGAGAGAGGCGTGAAGTCTTCTGAACCGAGTGTTCTGGGAGAGGCCCGTTAGGAGTGTGGATGCTCACGGCGAGGCCCTTGAAGCAAGGCATTGTGGCAGATCTTGCGGCATGCAGTCGGAGTCTGTAGGACTGAGCCTACTCCGCGAGCGGCGGTCGGGCGGAGACGGTGAGGGTTGGTTTGTTAGAGAAATAGACACGTTGTTGGGAAGACGACAATCGTGAGGAGAGGTGTGATGCTAGGCACACAGGTCTACTGGGATAGGCATGGAGCCAGATGGTAATAGGGTCTTGCAGAGCGAGACAGGCGATGGAACATGAACATGGAACATGGAACAACCGTGAGGACGACTTCCCGAGTTGGAGGTGACTAGATGCCAAGTCTTGGGATTCTAGATGGCCGCGTGGTCCCAATCGGGACGGGGCAGTTGCCGCCCTGTGATTGTGGAGCTGCCCAGTGACTGGCCACTTGTGAATTAAGCACTTTAAGTCTAACTAAACCATAAGCAGTGTCCGCCTCCTTATAGACACTAGCGCTGCCTAGGGAGGTATCTAACCACGAGCACTGGTGAAGGGCAGTAACGACCTAGGCACAATGTGATCGGGGACATGAGATGGGCTTAGGATTGGATACTGATCTATTTTCATCACCCGACCTTACCAGTTATTCATGAACGTGAATTCTTAAGATCTAGTAGCACATGATCAGAAGCAGAGAACAAGCCAGAGTAAGGCTATTCAGGGTGGAGCACAAACTTGAAAGGCGGCTGTCTCTCCATTTTGTTATACTCAAACCTCCTACTATAGTCTCGCCAGTTTGTAGTCAAGATGCTGGTGGATCATATTGATATTAGTGACAAGATTTATATGATAGTAGTCCTGGAAGAGGCTGTCCTTGTTTGTGGAAGGAGGCAGAATTGTAGATTTTCGACTTTTCACCGGACTCTCTTCGAATCATTATTGCCTTACCTGTTGAGCTCTAGCTAGACCTCCATGGGTAAATAGTCCGTGCTGCTATCGACAAAAAGATAAACACACTGAGACTTATCTACGCTATCTTGATTTTTCAGGCTCACAAAATACTGTACCTTTGCTACCTCGTGTGAAGGTAAGATGATAGCTCCAGTTGGATCATCACACCGATCATCCTTTCTTTTTGAGCTATCATCGCCTATTCTAGTTCAGATGGACAAAAGAGACTTCATCACCATATTCTTTTCATGCCTATGTATCCATAAGCGGACATTCAATGTCCCGCGACGGTTAGCCAGATTGCAGCTTCACCATGTTGGCCCAACTGGAATTCTCAACTTGCAAAGACGTTTGACGGCCTTACGTCCGACATTCCTTCGCCATAATCCTCACTCAACTCAGTCCCGCCAATGTTCTGTGCTTTCGCCTCCTGGAGTACGAACATCATTCTCGCCCAGCCTTCGCTAATTACTTTCCATGCGTGGCTCGTCCCCCGTTGAACCACGATATCACCACGATTGAGGATCCTGCTCTCGCCAGAATCCAGGATTATCTGTACGGTGCCTTCTAGCATCACACCGTAGTCGAGGCTGACTGTTCTATGCAGCGGAGACAGGGACCCAGGGGGCATATCCACAACCCGCAGAACAGTACCCCCTGGGATTGTGATACCAGGCAAATTTTCCAGGTAATCTTGGTAGGTCTTGATGTCCTGCTCACTGCTGAACTCGACTGGGAAGCGGTTCGTAGCGTAGCTCAAGGCAAACAGTGCGCCATTGTCGAGGGCTTGGAAGGGTAGCGCCGCGGGACCAGATCGGAAAACAGCCTTTCCTTTAGCGTCATGATCTGTGATGAAGCGATGAACCTTTGGTAGGCCATTGGGGAGGATTTGAGTGCTTCCAGGCATTACTTGTGATGATCTTCGTCTTCTTCTTACTTCGGTCGTACAATGTTGGAAGAGGTGCAGAAAGATCGCTAGGTTACATTTTAGTGGAATCTCCTGACTTGTCTGGTTGATTAATAACGGGAAAACACAATCGGGCATCCCACATCGGCTCCACAATGCTCAGCTTTGGTGTGCTTCCGAAACCATCTCATCAGAATCGCCCTTCCGTCTTGTCCCATTACGCCTGCAATGAGAGTTATGTGGAATCCAACTCGGACACCGAGGACTGGTTATTCTTCTGCTCCACCTGGGATGTGCATGGAATTGGTGCCAGCCTACAAAACGACTTCGCTCAAAATACAACGGGTTGCTATTTCATGATATTGACTTCCTCACCACCGACAGTCCAGGGAATAGGCTGATTACTTTCTCTAGGATGGTAAAGGGGAAGAAAAATAGAATACGTCAGGATTTGAGGGCTTCACGGGATGTAAAGAGGTTACATAGTCTTGGTACCGGTCGAGGAATTACAGTTGAAGATGTAGATGTAAATTGGACTTGTTCCTACTGTTTTCACACTGAGGCTCCAGAAAATTAGACCACCTAGTTCCCGCTTCAGCTTTGTCAGGGTCGAAATGGGACAATTTTCAAGCTTCGCATTTCTCACTAGGCGCGGAAACAGATGTTTCTGGTTGCGCTGCGGCCTGCTTGCTGTCGAGTCTTGTCTGGGTTTCAATCAAGATTTCCTCCACGGGCGCATCAATGTGAAAGCTAAACTTGTTGCGATGGACATTGTAGAAGAAACTTGCTAAGAAAGAACAATAGTCAGCATCTCCAGAAGACAGGGTGAAACGAGGAACTTGGGGATGTATTCATGGCAACGCACCTACGAGGGCGGCGAAGCAAAAGCAGCTTCCCGCGATCCATGCATTGCGAAAGGCAATTGCGTAGGCGTCCAGAAGTCCCTGGGCAGCGGCTGTAATCACGTTGGGCGTTGCGCCATCGATGTTGTCTAGGGCATCTGCGTCGTGACTCACAGTGGCCGCGATGAGAGCTGGGAGCGATGACTCAGGAAGTCCCAAAGGGAGAACGGCGGCGGCGATTTTCTTAGGAACGTTTTCCGTCATTGCGCTGTTGAAAATGGCATTGTTGACCGCAAGGCCGATGGTAGCGCCGACGGCTCTCGCTGCTATGACCAACCCAGATGCAAGGGAGATGAGTTCGGGAGGGGTGCTTAGTTGAGCCGCGACCATGACCAAAGGGAGAATGATTCCCAGGCCTGCCCCTGCAACCACGGGGAAGCCCCAGAAAACATTAGCGGGGGACGAGAGCGTGGTGGTGGCCATGAGGATGTTGAAGATGAGAAAGGCGGTGAATCCGACTATGATAGGAGCCTTGATCGCTTTGAAATGGGTCGAGTAGGATCCGGCCAAAAATGCGAAGACAAGGGTAGTCGCGAACAAGACCGCAAAATGCAATCCAGCAATCAAGAGATCTGACTGGGTGAAGACACTGGTTTGGTACACGAAGTAGCTGTTGGTGGTGAAGAAAAATAGACCCTCGATGGCGATGCAGCAGAGAGAGATTGCGAAATTGCTGTTTTGGAACAGGTGGTGGTGGAGGACGCCCTGAGACTCAAATCGCAATTCATAGACGAAGAAGGCGGTCATCATGACGATTCCGACGATGAATGGAGCCAGGATCTCGACGTCCCTCCAGCGATAAGGATTGTTGGACCAAGACAAAGCGATGCAAAAAAGAATCAACCCTGGGACAAAAAGGGCATAGCCAATCCAGTCCAGTCTCTTCAGCCTTTCATAGTGTGTCAGGGATTTCTCGAGCTCTCTTTTAGGCGGGTTGTATGCCACGGTCACTCCCAGTGCAGTGGCAGCCAAAGCTCCTGCAGTGACATACCAGTAAATCCGGTAGTTTTCGAGATTCCCATGTCGGACCAGGGAGCCCCCCATGACGATCCCGATGATGGCACCGACAGCAGCTGTGATGTTCACCGAAGCCTGGGCAAGCGGTCGCTGCCGGCGTGGAATCACTTCAGAGACAACGGCGTGAAGCAGCGCTTGACTCCCATAGGTGACACCAATAAGACAGAACCCTGCAATCAGCCCAGCGATACTCTGTGCTCTGGCGACAACGATGGCTCCAACACATCCAAAAGCGGAGCAAATGACCAGCAGCCATTTTCGGCCCCAATAATCGGCAGCTTGAGTAACGGGAGGGCTCAAGGCAAGTGTGAGAATGTTGATGATCGAGCTGAACCAAACCGTCTGCGAAGTGCCTCCAAGCAGCTGGGTCATTGCTTGTGCAAGGAGGCCGGATCCGACAACGGCCACGAGCTGTGCAAAGTAGAGAAAGTTGATAGACTATTATGTTTTAGTCAGCGATTCTTTATAATCTTTGGACATGACCGCCTCACGTGGCCTGGTCATGTAGCGATAGGATATTCATACCACAACAGCGATGATCGTCTTTGCATGAACACGGACGACTCTATCGTTTTCACATGCTGATGCTCGCTCTACTTCTTCAGTTTGGGTTTGTTTTGCCATTTTCCCGCCTGAGGTGGCTTTGATTGATTTGACACTGTTCGACCTCTGGGCCAGAGCAGCTTTGCCTGAGGTTTTGACGAAATCGTTGACTATGGTCATTGGATACAGCAAGTATTAATATCCAATGACCCATGAGTGGTCTCCCCACTTCGGCAGAAGCGCCACAATCCCGGAGAAGAATTGCCCCATTGACCTTGGGGTCGAAATCTGGGGGTCCGGGATCTGATTCGGTGCATGGGTTACTGGCAAGGACTCGTCTCGCTTGACCCTGTTGCTGAGTATGGCGCGCACTCTCACCATGCCCTCTTCTAATGTATCTTGTCTTGAAGAAGACCAGGCTCTCAAGGAATACTGTAGACTCAAGGGTGACACTCGCCATGAATTAGCATGTGATGATGGTTGGTTGGTATGTGTTCTTCTATCTCGACACACATCTCTCGCTTTTCCATTCCTAGTCTGAGTTCCAAGAACCTGGTCTATTTTGCCCAGGACCCCATGGCTCACCTGGGCGACATGTATGGACCATTCCCCCGGTGCTCAAGTTGCGCGGGCCCGTGGGTAAAGCCGCCAAATCTGCAGCTGAAGAATGCCACTTTCGGCAGCTACAGATATCCACTCTTAAAGAGTTGAACGATGGAGCTCGTGCTCAAATCCATTGCGAAATTATTTGGCTGTCCAGTAAACATCTCACCCTAGTGTTGGGTCCAAAAGAATCACGCCCCTCTCGAGAAAGACATAGCGAAAGGCATCAACATGAACCTCGACCAGAAAATTTCAACGATCAATTGAATACCTCCATAGGCAAAAGTTTGCCAAATGCGGACCACCGATGGCACCATGGACCAGTATGTTCCTTCGGGGACGCATGGCCCACATTCCTTTGGCCTTGGTCCCGAAACTGGAATTCCGTAGATGCTGCCATATTGGAGGCATCTTCTTCCAAAGCTTCAGAAGGAAACGTCAAGAGCGTGGGAGACGCCACATGCCGACGGCGATGCCGGTAGGCTGTTTTCGGATGCGTATCAGGTTGTTTTGCTGGGCAACTCCCAATTGCACCTCGCATGCCATCTTTTTGACTTATTGTGTCCAGGATGTAACATGGTGAATCTGTTTTATTCTGTTGAGGTTGGGGTTTACTATCATGAGACAAGTAGACGGTTTGATAGTCAAATCCCTGCAGAAAATAGATCAACCCAATTTGTCAAATTGGGAGCATTGAACCGTTTCCGACGTCGTAATTACGGCATCCGGCTTCTGACCATCAAACAGGCGAATAGATCTCGTTAGCTTAACAAATCTGGAATATCTGCCTGGTTTTCGGGATCAGAATAGGGAAATCCAACGCCCAGCGAAATTTCAATGTCCTCTCAGAGATTAGTTTAATAGTACATTAGGAAATGAGAAGATGTACTTCTCGATAGGCATCCTTGACCAGGCACGGAGGCTAGATCATCTCAGTAGGATACTTCAACTTCTTTTCGAGTCCACTATAACTAAAGGGCAAATGGGCTTGAGTCTATTACTAATTTAGGCGACATGTATCAACTACCTTGGGTACATTGGAAAGAAGGATCACTCGCGTCGAAACCTAGGTCTCATTGAAGGCGATTAGAGCAACCAAGGTTTTCTCGGAGGACCGTCCTTGATCCAGTTGCCGATGCTGCCTTGGGACTGAGGTAAGTCCAGGGACGCTGCGACCAAGAGATTGGAGAAAAGCAAAGAGATCTTTGCGTCGCCTTCGTGTAGACCTCAGGAGGACCATCGCATGAACCATCGAGGCTTCTCCACACTTACATGGTGCAGCTCACGCCTCTTCGGGATCGGTGAATGCCCCACACCAAGCCCGAAGTTTGGTATATTAGAATTCTCAATGCCCAAGTACTAAGCCTCCCTCGCAGGTTTGACAATCCTTGCCAGCAAACTTAGACCTTTAGGAAACAGATGTAAAGGTGGTGAAGCAAATACAATGATTTCCCTACTTGACGTGTTACATTCCAAGGGCCTGTGTCTTGCTCTTGTGGCCGTTTTAGGCTGGATTCTGATTGTAAGGATTGCAGACTGCCGTTCCTCAAGACAAACTATCTTTGATAGTACAAGTACACTGACATGATCTCTCACCACAGTGCCTCAAAAGGCTATTCTTTTCGCCGCTTCGAAATGTTCCCGGTCCAGTCTACGCTAAGGTGACACACCTCTGGCTGAAGAAACAGGTTCTCAGTGGTAGAAGGCTGCACTACATCCATGATCTCCACAAAAAGTATGGGCCGATCGTACAGATTGGTCCAAACGAGATCGACGTCTCTGACCCACAAATGTTCAAAGATGTTCACCGAATCGGCGGTGGGTTTCTCAAAGATCCCTGGTACCAGTCGTTCCGCCAAGGTGATTTTCATGATGTGTTTTCCATGATCGACCCCAAGGAGCACGCTGAAAGGCGTCGCTTGTTTGCTCCTCTCTGGACGAACTCGGCGCTGCACAAAAATTGGGAGCCTGCCGTAATTGAGAAGGTCAAGTTGGCTGTTGCCAATATCCGACGAGATGCCCTGACTGGCGAAGCCGATGTTTTCAAATGGTGGACCTTTATGACTACTGACGTTATTTCACATCTTTCCTTCGGAGAATCTCTGGATATCCTGAAGCAACAGTCGGTGAGTACACGAGACCGCCCTGTCCCCACATTATCGTCGGGAGAATTGAGCTAATGACCCCGAAACAGCGGAATAGATACATTGATGATGTCGAGCAGGCTGCTAAACTGGGAGGCATCTTTTCGGAACTACCGTTTCTCCGATACGTGGTCAAGTTTGTCCCACTTCGATCTGTCCAGGATGCCATAGGAGCGGACCATCGGGTCTCCCAATACGGCCATGTGGCCGTGGTCAACGCGAAGTCTCGCAGTCTGTCCAAAGAGAATGTGTTCTCCAAGATCCTGGCTGAAAGCGAAAAGGATGGTAGCACAATGTCTGAAGCCGAAGTAGCTTTTGAGGCCAGCGGGTTCATTGTCGCTGGATCCGGCACGACAGCTGTGTCTCTGACTTATCTCGTGTGGGCTGCCTTATCGCATCCTGACGTGCAGTCAACTCTCGAAACAGAAGTTGCCAAACTTCCTCCGGATGCTGATGACTCCTTACTGCAAGAGTTGCCTTTTCTAAACGCTGTCGTTGATGAAACCCTTCGACTCTATGGCGCTGCACCTGGAAGCCTTCCCCGAACCTGTCCTCCGGGAGGATTTCAACTGGGAGGCCATTTCATCCCTGAGGGTACAACAGTGAGTTCACAGGCCTATACTCTTCACAGGAACGAGGATGTCTACCACAATGCAGAGAAGTATGTTCTCCTTTCCTCTCTATACCACCTTAGATTATCCGCTTGCATGGTTTCCACTGACTCTCTATTCTAACTATCAGGTTCAACCCGAGCAGATTCCTCGATGCCAACGGTAACTTTGTCCCAGCCAAGAGTGCATATGCCCCTTTTGGGGCCGGTTCTCGGACATGCTTGGGAGTTCATCTTGCCAGAATGGAGCTTCGTCATGGTGCCGTGGAGTTTTTCCGCGAATGTCGTGGCGCCAGGCTGGCTGCTTCCATGAGGCCGCAGGATATGGACATGCTTAACTTTTTCCTCATCAGTCCAAAAGGTAATCGGTGCTGCATTACCCTCACTTGAACGCATAGTGATATGTAGATAAGGAAGTTGTACGAGCTGGGCCTTGGTGCGCGAGCTCTGTCCAACACAAGATAGCATGGCCATCACATGGACAGTCTCTCACGTTTGCACAGGCTTTGTGCCTATCACAGAGAGCCGCCTGTGGCTCCTTTATACGACTAAATTCACCGGGTCCTACGTCAAGGATAAGGACCTCTGAATGTCGTAGATGTATGTTTCAAAAAGTATTGTAGCATCTTTGTCTCGTCATTCCGGTCTGTGATTGATATGTAAGTATATGAAACCCGTAGCCAAGCGTGAACGCCTACAATACTGGCTCCAACTTTGCAACCCGTGGTTCTAGATCCTTGCCCCAAACCAAATTCCTGAGAAGTTCCCTTACAACTCACGACAAACGGTCTCCACCAAGCAATTCTTGATCTCGCATCATCAAATCCGAGTCTCGTACTGAATAGCGAAAAATCCCCCCTAGTCTCAATTCTCCGCCTTTAAGATTCTATCCCACCAGATTGGTTTCTCGGTTAGTTCATGCCTTCGTGCGTTAGATTCCCAAAAAACATGCGTTAGGGAGTGTTTCAGAGTGGCTAAAGGGAGATGGAGCCGGTGGTCTCATCCAGTGCTTTGGTAGGGAAGCAGCTAGGGAGGCTCTTTGCAAGAGGCAAAAAGTCCAGGATCATTCGAGGAAGACATCCGATCACCTCAACTTTGTGTCTTAGAGCTCCAGACACATAACTTTGCTCGGCTTAACAAGCTGAATTTCACCTCCAAGAGTAGAGGTAATCAAAGATTGAACATACGTGAGAAGTCGCTGAGGTCTCTACACAGTATGAACAAACAATCGACTTAGGACCTCCAACTCATGCCATTAAGCGTGCTCGTTCAACGGCCTTCCAGCTCGAGAAGAAACTACTTTTGCTTGAGCGCTAGGAACCTGGAGTCCTCACAACACGCACTAACTTTTCCCCACCCGACTTGTGAGGAGACTCTGGGTCCGACATGGCACCACACACTTACCGAGGAACAATTTGAGCTCAACGCCTGGAAGAACGGCATATAATTATGCACCACTCCCAGCTTTGGGAGGCAGAGGCAAGCGATACTGCGAACATGGCTCTGAATGGTGTCTCTGAGTCCGCCCCGGCTGGGCTGAATGTACTAATCATCGGCGCTGGCATTGGAGGTCTCGCATGTGCTATCGGGCTGCGGCGACAAGGACACACAGTTAGGGTTTGTGATAGACGTTCCCATTCTCGAGCGAAGGCTAAAATAGCGAAAGGTGTTCGAGTCTAGCAAGTTCAGCAAAGAGACTGGTGCAGCAGTTCATATTGCGCCAAATGCGAATGGAGTCCTCAAAAGGCTTGGTATCAACGTTGATGAGATTGGCGCCAATCTAATGTTGAAAGTCAAGATGCCTAGCGACTCGAATGTTTTGCGTCATATCTGACTTGAATGTAGTACACAGAGTACGACCTGACCGGCGATCTCATAAAATCTGTCGATTTGAGGGAAGCAAACAAACTTTGGCAGCATGTACGTTTGCTCAGACTGCAGGTGAAGAAATTCTAACCTGTCAGGATTGGCGACTGGCCCATCGTGTTGGACTTCATGAGGCGCTGAAGACCGAAGCGACACGCTCTACCGGTGAAGGCGTCCCTGTGGAACTCAATCTCGACCATGGCGTTGCAGATGTGGATCCCGAACAAGCAACCATAACTCTCACCACAGGCGCTGTTGTCAGAGGAGACATCGTCGTTGGTGCTGACGGGGTCAGGTCCGTTGCGCGCTCGAAGATCCCCGGGGGGAATGTCAGCGTTCATGGTTCTGGTAAGAGTGCCTTTCGGTTCCTGATCAAGCGCAGCACTCTGTTAGAGGATCCTCAGACCAAAAAGTATGTTGAGAATCAAGGAGAATTGATCATCTGGTTCGACACCGATCGTCGTGTGGTCATGTATCCCACTTCAAATGATTGCCTGATGAATTTTGTCTGCATTCATCCGGACTCGGAGTCCTACGCAAATGAAAACTGGCACACCCCATCCGATGTTGCAACCTTATTGAGAGTTTACGATAAGTTTGACCCTGGATGCAAAGCTGTGCTGGAAAAGGCAGATTCCAGCAGTGTTCACGTATGGAAGCTGCTGGATATGCCAGTCCTACCAACGTGGATCAACAGCCGACTTGCCCTTTTGGGGGACGCTGCGCATCCTTTCCTTCCTCACCAAGGTCAGGGGGCTGCCTGTGCAATAGAAGATGCCGTCTCCTTGGCTACGATCCTTGAAAAAGGCATATTGGCAGAAGAGGTACCCGCACGGCTTAAGTTGTATGAACAATGCCGGTACGAAAGGGCCAATAAAATTCAGCAGTACTCTCGGCTAGCTGGTGCTGATCTTGATTCGAAGGCGTCGAAACTTGACAGTCAGTTTCTTCAACATGATCCGTGAATTAACCACTAACACAAGCATAGTAATTGAATACACCAACTATAACTTTGGACATGACGAAATCGACTACAGTGCCCAAAAGTTGAGGGAGTGGAAGTGGTCTTTGGTGCCCAAGATCTACTGGAGGATGCCCGTCGCTTTCGGCCCAATGCCGGGACCACGACAATCACACTCTGGCCGAGCTCGAGAAGCGACCGAGTCGACATTTGTCACAGCCTCTATAAAGTTCAAGACGTCGAGGACAATCTTACAAAACCTCTTCCCACCTGGCACACAAAAGTTCAGATTCAAAAGCCCCGGATCCATTGCGTACTGCTCCTTCAACTGCACAACCTTGGATAAGATGGAGTGGCTCGGAGGTACGGGATATAGTCACATCGGACTTTACATTCATGGAGTCGAATATCACAAGGATGATGGTGGGCTCCTCAACGGAACATACCTGCCAATTCTGTTTGAGTCCTTGACCGACCCGATTGTGTCGGGCCGCGAGGAGCTCGGCATGCCCAAGTTGTATTCTTCGATCGATATCTTTCGTGGCTCTGACTCTTATCGGGTCAGTACCGGTTGGCAAGGCTCCGTTTGGGGCAATTTCCAGCTTCAAGGTTTGAAACTTGCTCCAGAGGAGTTAGAGAATGCGTCTGGACAAGTCAGCGGGGAGGCCGACGACGGCATGCTGGCTTATAGATACATGCCCCAAGTTGGATCAAGCACAAAAGGCGAGGCTGAGAGTGAATATGCAACGTTTGTGCCGTTCAAGGAGGAGAAGCCACTGCCTGTGCCAAGGGCAATTTACAAGGCCTCTAGTGCGTCGTTCCACATCAATGCGTTAGACTGGGCGGCGCTTCCAACCTTACACCATGTGATTTCGCGCCTGCAAGAAATTCCGGTGTATGAGATTGTCAGTGCCAAAGTTGTGGAGGGTACCGGGGTCCCCGACGTTGCAGCTGCTCGGAAGGCAGAATTTGTCTAGTTCAAAGAGCATATAAATTGGATAGGGGATAATTGGCTTTACCCCCCTACAAACATCTTCTGCAGTTGTGACTTTGTAAGTGGAGCCGAGAGCCACATCCCGACCTCAACTTTCGCCCTTCATCTGTCATCGAAGCCGGAACAAGTGTTACTCAAATATTGGAAAACCCCTCTAGAAATGGTGCATCGAAACGGCACACAGGAGTCTGATCAAGGCAAGTCAAACTATCCTACTATTTTTCAGACAATGAGCAACGATAATTTCATCCGGGACCTCCCTATCGTGTGGAAGGCCACCTCTGCCAAGTCAACCTACGAGCAAGCGAGAATTGGCAGAGTTTTCAATTATCGTCGACCAGACCGCTACCCAGTAGCTGTGGTTGAGGCAGAAACTATCGAACATGTCATACAAGCAGTCAAACTGGCCAAGAAACATAACTATCGTGTATCTGTTCGTTCTGGAGGCCACTCGTGGGCGGTTTGGAGTGTGCGCGACGATGCTGTGCTAGTTGATCTGGGAAAGATGAAGCATATGTCTCTCGATGCTAAGAATAAAACAGTGGCTGTGTCGCCAAGTACGACTGGGAAAATGTTGAATAGCTATTTACTCAAGGAAGGGCTCATGTTTCCTGGTGGACATTGCCCCGATGTCGGTCTTGGTGGGTTTTTACTGCAAGGCGGAATGGGATGGAATTGCAAGGTCAGTTATTTCGCAACATCTATCTGGGGATTCTAATTTGCCTATCAAACTAACTCGACAATGAACAGAACTGGGGCTGGGCATGCGAGCATATCCTTGCTATTGATGTTGTCACGGCTGAGGGTGAGCTGATCCGAGCGGACAGCGAGAGCCATCGGGACCTGTTCTGGGCCGCTCGCGGCGCGGGGCCAGGTAAGAATTGATGGTATCGACATGCCACGAACTTTGTCTCTAAGCACCGATCAGGTTTTCCTGGAGTCGTCGTCCGTTTCCATTTGAAAGTGCGCGAATCATACAAATCTATGTATTCCTCGACGTTCACATACCCAATTGAAAAGTACAGGGAGGTACTACAGTGGCTCATTCAAGATGGTGCGGAATACGACCCAGACACGGAAATAGTCGCTATTGCAGCGGTGCCACCTGAGATTGGTTTTCGTTGTGTTGTAGCTCTATTCGTCGTCTTCAAGCATACAGAGCTTGAGGCGAAAAAGGCATTAGAGCCAGCAAACAAGAGCCGACCGGAAGGCTTCGTTGTCGAAGCCCCCAGTGTCCCAACTTCCCTGGCAGATCAATACCTCAACCAAGCAGCTGCCAACCCGGAGAGACATAGATATTGTGTGCAGAATGCTTACATTAGCAACGATGCAGATGTGGTCTCCATTCTTGAGGCTTCATTCACCACGATACCAAATTCGAAGAGCTTTACGATCTGGTACGCCATGAATCCATGCAGCAGGAGGCCGCTGCGAGACGACATGGCTGTAAGTATGCAAACAGACCATTATATGGCCACATACGCGTTATGGGAAGACCCAGATGATGACGATGCGATGCAAAAATGGGTCAAGGACATCATGGGAGGCGTCGTAGGATCGAGTCAGGTTGAAGGGGCATACCTGGGAGACGCTGATTTCCAGGAGAGGCAAGCAAAGTTCTGGAGTACACAGAATGCTCTGAAGCTGGCGGAGGTGCGAAAGAAGAATGACCCCGCTGGCAGAATCTGCGGATATCTGGACCGAGGTGATGTTTCGGGTTTGAATGGTCTTTCAAATGAAGAACACTTCTGCTAGACGTGATTTTAAGGATCTGTATGCAAAAGTCTTTACCACGCTCGAGACACAGATTCTATGACGATCTTCCGTTGTTCAAACGTTGGGCATTGTGAACGTCAACAGTATTCATACGAGCTGCTGTTTGTCTTGGAAACGACTGGTTCTACTTGCACTGTGTACCGTTACGGGGATAGAAGCGCTTTCTTCGCTCTGGATTCACTCTCCGCCAGCCTTTCATCCAGGGACTTCGCCGTCAGATCATGAGGAGATAAGGAGATTGGTGGATGATACTGTGAAGAAAATGGGCAGGCTGGACGTGATCGTTTCGAATTACGGTTGGACGAGAGTGACCAACTTCAACAACCTGGACGAGCAGCTACTAAACGACGATTGGGATAAGTGTTTCACAGCCAATGTCAAATGCCACCTGTGGCTTTTCGATGCTGCCAGAAAATATCTCTCCCAGTCACCCGACGGCGGCAGTTTTATCAGCATCTCTAGTGTTGCTGGCGTGGTACCAAGCGGGAGCAGCCTGCCATATTCTGTTACGAAGGCTGCTCAGACCCACCTTGTCAAAGAACTCGCTATCATATGCGCGATGGACAACATCAGGTGCAATATTGTCAGTCCCGGCTTGTTGATGACAGAATGGTAAGCTCTCCGTCAACGAAATTGCCAACTAAGGTATATTGCTCATTCGTCCCAAGACTCAAAGATGTCAAAGATGAGGTGAAAATGAGTTGCTTGGGCTTCCTCGATGCTATGGGGGAAGCCCATCTATCTATAGTCAAACGTATGACTCTACAGTGTACAGGAGGCTGGGAGATGATACCAACCCTTGTACGAAGATGTTGTACCAAAGGTGTTGGCGATTGACAAAAGATTCTCAAAACCACAGATTGAATCGTTCAAGAACCGCACCAAATTGACACGGCTAGCAGAAGCAGACGATGTTGCAGAACAAGTCAGACATCTCGCCTTGTCTAGAAGCATAACAGGCCAGTACATCTTTGTAGATTGTGGAATGTCCATCTAAAATACCAACTTGGTGCTTGTAGTTCAATCGGCATTCTAACCGACTGTTAGACCACCTGACACAATCATGTGAACTCCGTTCACCCATCGAGACCTCTCTTCGCAAAAGAAGGCTACGGCGTAAGCTACCTCCTTAATGTCTGCCATGCGAGATCCACATGGTGTCGCGTCTATCGTGGGTTGTAGTAATTTCATGGCCTCCGGACCAGCATCTGCAAATCCAGCGGTCCTGGTTGGCCCAGGACTGACAGAGTTGACTGTACATCCATATTTCGGTGGAAGCTCTTTCGCCCAACATTTGGTGAAGCTGTCCACCATACCCTTGGTGCCTGAATATATCGTCTGTCCTGGGGGTGGAGACCGAGCTGAGATGCTGGCAATGTTGACAATGCGACCCCCCTCTCCCTGATCTGGTTTGGGAAGATGCGGCAATGCAGCTTGAGTGAGGAGGAACGTTCCTCTTCCATTCAGATTTACTAGCCTATCCCAATGTTCCAACGTTTGATCTTCCAGAGGTAGGTTGACGGCCAAAGCGGCGTTGTTAACCAGAATGTCGATTTTCCCGTAAGTTTTGACGGTTTCATCAACGAGGAATCTCGGTCCTTCCACGGTAGAAATATCTGCTTCAACAGCGATGCCTTCCCCTTCAAGAGTTTCGAGGACTTGCGCTGCTTCCTCTTGAAGATATGGGAAGGGATAATTGATCACAACCTGTGCTCCACGTGATGATAGCTCCTGTGCAATTCCTGCTCCAATGCCCGAGCTACTCCCAGATATGACAGCAACTTTGCCTGTTAGTGACATTGTCTGTTGCATATGTTGGATTTCTTCTGCTATGCTAAGACTGAAGCTACGTCCACTCTTTCTTAAAGACTCCGTGAAGAACATCTGGCACTATTCGAGAGTACAGATCATTGATCCGCACGAAGAAAAGTTAAGATCCCATTGTTCCGGCAGTCGTCGGATGAAATGTGGGCGCCTTGGCTGTCTCGGCCACGCTGCCTACCACGGGGACGTTTCGAACCGAAGTGGAGGACGGGCTGCAGTCAAGCTTCCTGTATGCATTGAATCGTGGCCTGGACTATGGAACTATGGAGTGGTCCCGGAGAGCAAGATCGAACTGATTCTAGACTCTGAAGAGACAAGGAGGACGAAAAGGGGTGATGTAATAACGAGAGAGGAATGAATCACGCATGAAAAATGTAGGGGCAGGATGGCGAACTAGCAGATGACTACGGGCACTTGAAAGCAGTCAAAACTTCTGTGAAGATTGTACTTTCAGTGTACAATTCGGTTCCTGCATAACATCCAAAATATCATACGCTAGATATCGGACACGAATCATGCCATATTCCCCCCCCCCCCAATGACCAGTCGATATATTTTTACGGCAGGACCCAGTCATGTCTACTTATCGAGGTTATGTTGATCTTTGTCGTTTTCAAGAGGCAGGGATAATCGGGAGAGTGACGAAGTTCTCATAGTTTGGTCCAAAATGGATGTGATTCTTCCCAGCCAGTTTCGCTTCACTCCTGTGAAACCAAGTCAGTCAAGAGTTTCTTAACACTCTCCTGCGGAGGTTCCTCACCGGTCTTCCCAGCCATGATGGGTAAAGATCCCTGAGCCTTGTGTGTCTCCCGACGAAACTTCAAGCATTATTCGGTTGCCCGGTTCCACCACAACATTTGTGGGCCACAACTCAATGTCGACAAGATATACTTCTCCTGGCAACACCGGTTGTACATCTGATCTAAAATAGTCGCGATACGGCAAGTAATCTCGGTGTCGTGGGTGTTTATCATTGACTTTTCGTAGACTCACTCGCAACCACCCTTTACAAAGGGGAACGGGGTCTCCTGCAGTTCCAGTGTAGAAGATCTCATTGCCGTGGGAATCGAGGTGACGTAGAGTCAGGAAAAGGTCAATGTCTTTTGGAACTGGCCGTGCCATATAAGAGCTCATTGACACGTTCAAATGCGCCGTAATGTGACCAGTGATTTCAGTCTCCTTCTCAAATGGCGTAGTTAAGAACTGAAGGCATTCCGGAGCTTCCAAGGTCCCTAGAGCCTCATATGACAACTTCTGTATGTAGTCTGGTAGAGGAAAATCGGTTGTGAGTTGTTTCTCTGGAGTTAGATGGTATCGGGTGTACTGAGTCCTTGCGATGGGCCACTCATTTTCCTTCCGCCTTAGGAATGTCTTTTCAGCCTGGGGATCGTTATAGCCAATGTTTCCCTTCCTCAGCACCATGTCAACCGCGGGAACTTTACCTTGGCTCCACCCGGCATGATCTTCGCCTTTCAGGAACGCATCTAGAAAGCTCTTTTGCACTTCTACTTCCTCTTGATAGTAGAATGGAAGATCGTGTCGTCCGCAGATAAAGCGAAGAAACTTCTTCTGCGAGCCAGTATGGAGGTAGCCCTGAACATTTCCGCGAAGATGGAGGAGGATCCCTCCCCAGTTAGCTACCGACAGAAGAGGGACCTCGATATCTTCTAGGTTATACTCCTTGGTCGCATAATATTCTTCGTCGCGATAGTGGTTGCTAGCATTATCGGTATTCTGATCGTTTCGATTTTGCTCTAACTCCTCGAGACTTAGGTCGCCTTCAATCGTGTCTTCGCCCCAATTACGTGCCCGTCTTCCAGGGAGGCCATATTGATTCGAGACTACCTGTCGGTTCCACCAAAACTTTATGAAGCCATCTGACAATATTCCACCATGACGGCATCTATCGCGGTAGTAGTCGGACATTCCTTCCCAAGGAACTATCGCGGATAATCCCTTTGGTCGTAGGGCGGCGACTCTCCACTGGCTACCAGCGTAGTATGATATTCCTAGAAGCCCAACTTTCCCGTTCGACCATGCTTGTTCGGCTGCCCACTCGATTGCGTCGTAGAATGCCTCACACGTGGACTTTGACATTGTGTCAAGAACCCCTGGGGATTGACCCAGCCCTTGCTCATCAACGCGAACGACGGCATATCCTGAGGCAGTCCAGTAGCCGGGGTCAGGAACTTCCCAGGCTGAGTGTGCCGACTTCTGGTTGTCAGGCAATTCCGAGAATGACTGCGCGTGAAAACTGGATATCAGATTAATTACCTTCCGAAAGGAGGCATGTTGCATGATGCTGGGACTGACTCTCCATAGTAAATATCCTTGCCGTAAGGCCCGTAAGTGACTAGTACTGGCACTTGCAAAGACTCTGACACTTTCGGTCGATAAATATTGGCACGGACAACTCCCTCACTGCTTTTGAGGGGTATCGTGCAGTTTTTCTCAAATATGTAAGGGAATGTTTCCTTGTCAACCGTCCGTGCTTCTATGAATTGGCGTGGCATGATGAGCGACAACCCCGATGAAGTAAACAACTGACGAAGACCTGTTACTGGGCTCTGAAGTCTGCAAAATATCGTTTAAGCTTCGCGTCTTTAGGCGAAGATATACCGTTCAGGATCCATGTCGGCCCAAATGCTTCGGAACGTGTCCGAGCCAGGGGCCGAAGTGGTACAGCGGATCTGAAGAACTACGTACACGGTTGATTTCGTGGCGTACGATACAGTCCCCCCTCCCGTTCCAATTCTAAGTCTACCAGATTGCCAGTTCTTACCATCCTTTCACGTGTTCGGATTTTTGAACCCCCAAAACAGTTCAAGAAAGAATGATCGGCCTATGCAACGTAGTAGCGCTTGACACCGCTGCGATGGAGCCTACCATTCGCCGCCAACGCTGAATCTAAACAAACGGTCATTGACCTTCCCACCCGTCGCACGCCAAACACGATTCAGGTTCTGACGTACACGAATTAGATACAAATTCAATTCTGCAAGCATCACAGTCACAATATGGGAGCAACGAAACAGGAGACGCTTACTGCAATCACGGCAACCCCTCGGAACATCGAAGATATGAAAACGCTCTCGGCCAGACTTGCTCCTGGAGGTCTGGCAGCTTGGTCTAAGTTTCGGTTGGTTGGCCTGTAT